AAGCCCGATTTATCTAAGACATGGCCGCAGGGAGATAAGGGAAAGACGAGGGGAAATGGGGTAACAGAGGGGAGAGAGGACAGTACGTACCCATTCGAGCAAGGCCAGCTGCGTGGGCTGGGAAGATATGGAAGGGAGCATCTCGGCGGGTGCGTGCGGGTTGGCGATGCGCGATCCCGTGTCGGGCACGCAGCGTATTAGGAATTAACGGGAAAATACGAATCGACCGTGATGGCGTAGGGCCGGGACGGAAGGGGCAGCTAGCTGCGGCAGTCGTCGCGGTAGAGGCGAGAAGGGAAACGAGAAGATAAAAAGGGGAAAATGAAAAATCAAACCAGAGGTTTGTAGAGCCCGAGCTATGGGCGAGATGGATGGACTAGGCGGTCGACGCTGTATAATAAGAGACCATGATGCGAGATGCGACCGAGGCTCGAAGGGGTAGGAAAAGGAAGTAGTAGGATTTTCGGTACGCAAGACAGGGCGGCCACAAGGAAAGCTGGATGTATCTGGAAGAATAGGAATTGTTCAACTCGACATAAAGCGCATTGTTCCGCGGACCCTCTCTCTCGTGTCTCCTCTCGTCTCTTTTCCTTTCTTCCCTTGTCAGGCAGACGCAGACGCAGACGGAGCTCGTAAAGGCGGCCGGGTCGGGTGTGTCAAGGTAGACGTCAAAGATGCAGGCCGAGCCAAGAGGGAACTTGGGACGATGTATATGTAGTATGTATAGGTAGTATGCAGGCAGGTGGGAGGCAGGTCTGGGATGTTATTGAATGTGCTGCAGCAGCGATAGGGGTTGTGCATGCATCTACGCAGCGCATCTACGGAGGGGCAATGCAGTTACTGAGAAAGCGACGCCCCGGTTATCACACATTTTTTCGAGTCGACCATAGGTATATATGTACGCCGTAGATGCATCTCGTACTATTACATAGTGCACGTTTTATGTAGGTATCTCCGCATGGCCACCGACTCTCTCTATTCTCCATCTTTTGGCGGTCACAGAACACCTGCCCCGGTCACAAGCCGTACGTAGTGAAAAAAATGTATACTCATATGTTGGTACAGAGGTAAGGTGATACGCACAGACCGCTCCGCAGAGGGCCCTCTCATATCGCAAATCGATTAAGCAACATACCGCTGCCTCTCCACCAACCTGGATTGCCCCCCCCCCCAGGACCGGATTGTGGCGCCTGTGGCTACAGGGATGCTTCTGCATGTGCCAAAGCGCTCGAGCCTGCGTCTTGCCTGCCGGAGATGTACCCAGCCAGGTTGCGCCCAGACTCGCTGGCGGTGGTGGTGTACCCTAGGAGGGCGCTCATGTAAGGTACATACAACGCAGATAGGCACGCTGCATCTACGGCTGACGCTCGCCTCCGGAACACAGCATATAACATACCTACCTACATAGGTAGTGAGGGGTGCGCATGGCATAATAATACTCACACGTACACGTATCGATCCCGTCTATGAGTATTGGTATACGGTCAAGCATCCTACATAGGTAGGAGGTATATACTGCGTGGCACTGGCAGATACGTTGGTTTTCGGCACAACACACGCATGCTCGTCCGTATATCTATACCCCGTGTTGACATGAGCTGGAGGCTGGGTGTGTGTGCCTCCGAAGGATCGGGTTGTGATGCATAACCTCTAGTCGGGACCAGTTCTCTGCCACTCATGGATGTGTCTAACATACCTACTATACAATATCTCAGTTTTCATATCCTTCATGCTCCCTTTCGGAATTGATAGTCGCCGTGTAATTTCGGAAAACACCCAGGGAGACAGATCCTCTCCCAACCCAACCCGCCAACAAGGGCGATTGTTGTACGTCATCCGCGAAAATCCATCCTATACAAACACCTAGAATACTACCACTCGGTGCCTTATCTACGACGTACATATGTTATACATGCATACTTACGTGTGCTTCTCCTAGGAGGTAGTATGCATCTACGTACCTAATGTATGCACTCGCCTGCACGCTCGTCCTATAGACGCTCTCTCTCCCCCTCTCCCTCTCTCTCTCACCCCGTAAAGCTTTAAAGACCACAATGCTACCCCCAGGATTTCCTCAGCTACGGGCAACGAAACAAAACCCACCGTTCGTCCCGACGTCAACGACACTTCTGATGTTTCCGAGATGTGCCTGTGTTTCCACGAGGTTACAGGATCAAGGGTCAGTCCAGCCGGTCACACGGCCACCGCTCAACTCCCGGACTCCCTACTCCGCGCCCAGCGTCGCATTGGCCCATGACAGGTCCGTTTCAAGTGACCAGCTTCCCTCCCCCCCCTGCCGTCGCCGCCACGATGTAACGCGATCAGACGGGAGGCACATTTGAAAACGGATTCTCGCGTCTGTGTGTCCGTATGCGGCGGTGTGCCACATACTACCACGCTATGCTGCATGTGTGTGCGGTATGTATGTATATGTATGGCATGCATTGCCTACGACGCAGACCTACTCTATATTTACATATACTTAACGAATTCGCCGAACATCAATCGCCGTTCGTTGTCAAGAGGTCATGCCCGGCGTACATATGTACGTAGGTATATGCCTACCTACATACACAGACGCATAGGGTATGCTCATGTGGTGCATCATGTAGGTACATATGCAGACCCCATCGCAGACCCACGAACGCCAACGTGATACTTTTGCACTATAAGCGGATCGCGTTCGTCGTTTACGCAGCATATACATAAATCCTCCCGGTCCGGTATGTAAGGGGGAGAACATCTCGTTTCTCCCGCACACGCCGAGAGGAGGGGGGGGGGAGGCTATTCACGCATACCGATAACAAGGTAGGCAATCGGATTAGAAATCCGCGGTTGTTTCCAAGACACGCCCGCCCATTCCGGGCAAGCGAACGGTGTAGGAAACCAAATGGGGTCGAGAAGATCAGGGGGTAAGACCCAGACCAAGCCGACGTACAGAGCCGCTGGCGATATCGATCGCTCAACCGGACTAAGAGACGAACAGAGGAGGCGGTCCAGACCCGGAATCCGGCACTAGCCCACCGACAAACAGGTTTCAACAAAACGGCTCGCTCCGCCTTGCCCTCACCGAAACTACATGCACCCATCCACATTTGAGCTGTCGTGGAGCAACGAGAGGGGGGCCCATCATCGTCATCGTCGTCATCGTGACCATCGTGTTGGGGCTTTCTCGCCAGGACCGCGACCACGCCTGTGTGTCCGTATGTTTATATCGTGCCTGTCCTGCCCGCTTACCAACTCATCGCCCCCTCGCCCACCCGTCGGATGCGTGACGCATCATCCCCTTCCACACGTCTACGGTATCGTATCCAACGCACTCGCGCCTCGATGAGCCCAAACTTGGATCACATCTGGCGCCCTGTAGGAGCCGCGCACGTAGGCAGGCAGACAGGCATGACACCGGCACGTATATGTAGAGCAACACCGCCTCCGCTCACATTACATCATGCCATACCCGGGTGCAGATGTCTTACCTGGACCGCCCTCGTATACCTACTTATACGCGTACGCACTTACGCACGTATGCGTATGCATAAGCCGAGACCATCTTTCCTACCCGAGGCTCCTATTTTCTAATTTACGTCGGTAAGGCAAGGCCTACTGAAGTTCTAACCAGACAAGGGAAAACGGACGAGAGAAACGAGCAAACACGGCCCAACTTCGTCTCGAGTCCGGGTATCTACCTGCCTACCGGTTCGAACCTGATCAGCACTTAAAAAAACGCCAGACCTGCTACCAACAAACCCCGTAATTCGGGCACTGTCATTATTCCGTATTGGACTCCTCAACCTCGGATCCGCACGTCGAGGGGCGGGCCGTCTGACCCAGCCAGGCATTTACCACACACGTGCGTACCTACCTACGTGCGTAGCGTACAGCAGGACGCACAGTAGACACGACTTGCACTCGCGAGCGGAGAAGGGAGGGAGGGAGGCAGGGAAACTTCCTCTCCGGGCCGCCGGACCGGGCCGCGCGTAGTGCGCAAGTCTCCTTCTGCAGCGCTTGTAGTCTAGCGCTTCTTCGCACGCGGGAAGCACACGCGATGCACGCACGCAAACACAAAGCCGGCAACGTGTGTGTGCCTCCTCCTCCTCCTCGTACAAACGCAGGACGGCCGGTCCACTATGCGGGCATGTACCAACGACACTCACGGGGAGGCGACAGCGGGCACACGGGCGCAGGGGACAAACGGGAAAACGAGAAAATACCGGTAGCGTTGTTGCGTGTGTCGCGCCCGGCCGCTGTCGGAGCGAGCGAGCGAGCGAGTCGGCACACGGACCTAAGCTAAGCTAAGCGGACAGATAAGAGCATACTACTACGTAAGTATACAAGCAGGCAGGTAGGCAAGGTATGCATGTAGCGACGGACATGTAGATGTCGTTGGGGACGCAGCAGCAACGTGAGGTTTCGTTCCCTCAGGTGAAGAAGACGGGTTTGGTGGAGATGGAGGACGATGCCCCTGATTTCCTCGTTCTCTCTCTTCCTCTCTCTCCTACTTTCCTTTCCTCCTTTCCTGCCTCAAGTAACAAAAACAAAACAAAAGGTTCCCCTCCCTGGCCAAAGCAAAATAAGAGAGTTCTGCATAATAGCACGGATCTAAATAACGCCTGATTCTCCCATCCCATCTGATACTCTCCCCTCTGTCCTACTGTTGTCCTTGATGACCCGGTGAGCTGCGTGGGCAGGTGGTGGCTATCTCGTCGTCTCCTCGGGGTTCGTTCATGTGATTGTTGATTGTCGTGTTTCTCTTTCCTTTTTTTCCGTTCTTTTCAATTTCCCTTCGCTCTTTCCCCTTCATCTATCTCTTCCTCATTGTTCGACACCCCCCTCCCCATCTCCGTTGTCATCCTCATTGAGCAGGTGCCGTCATCATATGAATCGGCGTATCAGAACGACAGCGGTGGTAACGGCGGTTGGCAACGGGTGACGAGGAGAGCGCGACAGGAAGATAACGAAGGAGAGGAGAAGGGGAGGGGGCGTCGCGGGCAAGGAAGGGTCTAGTTGGAGCTCTTGTTGATCTCGACGACTTGGTCTTCCTCGATGACGGCGTTGAACTCGGCGCTCCATACGGACATCGTCTCGATGATCTTCTCGGATGCCTTGGCGGCAAAGCCCCTGCGGATTTATTTTTAGCACATATCCTGCTGTCACCTCTCTCTGGACATTCATCATCCCAGATCGATCTCGCTTTCGATCCCCTCCGCATACAGCTGTACATATAGGTCCGAGGGGGTAGCGTACTTGATGAGCTGGTACTCGTGGGTGATGATGCCGCCGGCCTTGCGGATCTCATCCTTGGCGCTGTTGACAACGTCGTCGGCGGTATCGCTCGGGAAGCTGACGATGATGGACTTCTGGGTGTCGACGGCGTAGGCGCCCTGGACGGCGGCGAGCGCGGCGACGGCAGTCGAGAAGAAACGCATGGTGGTTCGAGCGGTGGTGGAAGGAGCGGCAGGCAGACAGATAGCGAGCAGGGAGAAGAGCTGGGAGATAGCAGAGCGCTGTAGGAGGGGGAGATGCGGTGATCGTTTCCCGACACAGAGATTGAAGACGTCGAAGTTTAAGTAGGCGACGTACGAGGGCAAGTCTCTCGGTTCTAGGGGTTGGCGACGGACGGCGATTAGAAGGGGGGAGGCGGGAAAAAAAGGGTTGGTGGTGAAGTTGCGGTCGAGGCGATCTGGCAAAGAGATGCTGGTTGGTGGTGTGGCTGTATATGATAGAGTGATGGTGGGAGAAGCAGGAGTCCGGGGCGATTCCATTCGGATCATTCCAGACTTCTCCTAATCGATCCGTTGGTGCCTCGACACGGGACCTTCTTAATTGGAGACTAGAGCCCGGGGGAAGTGACGTGGGACCCACCGCGCTAGTCCCGCAATCGGTTAGCGCCCCTCTTGTGGAAGCACCTGGTATTCTAAGAGGTACATACCTACCTACCTACCTAGGTACCTTAGGTAACCGACACACCTAACTTAGGTGCCTCAGGTACCTCCCAAGGTACGCTACCCACCACCACACGGCACGTCTCGGTGCGATCGGCGCGATGAGGGGGTACCTGCGTTGGCCTACAATCACTGTACTTACAGATACCTTAGGTTAGGTACCTCTCAGTCTTAGGTACTTAGCTAGACCTAATTGACCTATCTTAGGCAGGTAGGTACCTTATGTTTCAATTTTCTTCCTAGGACCTGCCCGCAATGCGTCTTATCCTATACCTGATATGTACCTACGTACAGAGCACTAGGCGAACACCCAGCCTGTCTCTCGTCGGTGTCATCGAACTGAACACATCAACCGATATATGAGGACTATCGTGGCATCGCCTCGTCCGCACGTATTACCTACCGTTACCAACCAGCTGCTACCAACAGTTGCGGATTAACGCATCCAATCTCCGTCGAAATTGCGTTGAGTCTTCCTGTAATCACCCGTAGCGCCTACGAATTCCTGCCGGCGACCAGGCCGAGGCCGCCGCGGGCTCGAAGCAATCTAAGCCCAGCTTCCCGACCGCCCACCACGGGGCCTGGCGATGCGGCAAGCCATGAGTCAGAGAAGGCAATTTCCGCCTCCCGCCTCCCCCTTTCCGCCCCTTTCATATATAGGTACTACCCGCACATACCTGTATACTCGCCGCTCCTGTTGGCGTTGCTATCGTTCTCGCCTCTTCTCTCCCTTTTCTTGTTCGTAGGGGATGTGGGTTCGCGCAGACCCGTCCGTCCGCCACCCCTTCATCCTCCGTCTCCCCTCATCTCACCCGATAGACAACCTCTACCCCTGCAAACTCCCGAGCCCAACTTTCGCAGTCCCAGCTCGTGTCCCGTGAGCTGAGGACAAGCAAGCCCCGCGGCCCCTTGCGAGGCGTACCGTCGGATGGTCGAGGCCGTTCTCGAGGGGCGGATAAGTAATGAAAAGGTATCTCCGGTGGTCCGCAGGTGCTAGTCAACCTGGCGAGTGCTACGTTGGCTGGGACATGTCAAATCACATGTTGTTGCGGCAATGTTGTCCTCTCCGAAGCCTTTTCGGCGTAACCCACGTGGAAGATCCACATGTCACGCGGTTCAGATCGATGTTGAGATATAAGATCGAGTGTGATACCTATAACTATGCTCAAATTCGGTAGTCCGGTTCCTCTTAGCGTTTTTTTGCCCACGGATTATTGACTCTCACCTCAACGCGAGAGAGTAGTAGAAGCAGAAGAGAGAAGAGAGGGGGGAAACCCATTATATTGATGCTTGGACTCACAGAGGGGGATAAGCAGTTTCACGTTCGGCTAACAGATTCCCTGCTACGGCCACGGATCAACACACGCGGTTAGGATTGCGTGTCCCGTGAGTGGATGTTAAATGGGGATGGACGAGAATAGCCTCGAGCTACGTGTAGTATACAGTCAGGGACGTTGCTAGCCACATGGAACCGTTAGTTAAACGTTTCTCTGATCTACTGCGTCTCTCACTACTGGAAAAGACGAAAAACAGAAATCGAAGGTCGCCCCAACCCCAAGATAAGAACAGATAACCCTTCGACTGTTCCCAGGAATCAGTGCTGCTGAGTTCCAGCTTCATCCCATGACAACTCCTTCCCAGGGGGTGGCGGATACGATGCCAGTGAGGCACACGAGAGGCCGTGCCGGTCCCCAGCAGCAGCAAGACAGAACCAGGCCGTATCCATATTACAAGATGTTCCCGCTCTGCCCGCGTGACTGGCTTGCCGACGGGTAATCTTGCCGCGTAGCAAACCTTGTATGAGTCTGTATAACCAAAAGGGGGGGGGGGTTAGGCGTCTGCGTTTCCCCGTGGCACTGCGGGATGACATATTCGTACGCGGCTGAGGACATAGATTTATGTCCTCGGCTGCCACTAGCTCGTACGCGATCTATCGACGGGCACGCGGGAGTCTGGTTTGCTAATAGGAAGCCCCCTGCGAGCTGCCGGGGAGGACCAGCCCCCGGGTGCTCTACGCGGATGCCCTTATCAGCCTCGCCCCTTATTAGTCGTCTCGAAGGGCGGCGGGTTCATATAAGCCAGTATATGCGCGTGCGCGTGTGCATCGTCGAAGAAGAAGAAGCTCTAGAATAGGGGGGACGGAGACGAGAGAATAGATATAACCTAGGGCGGATTGCATTCCTTGTCGAAACTGCTAAGTCTTGGATTTGGATAAACACTTTCCACGTGCCGAGGCACAAGACCTCAGATATTAAACACTAGACTATGACAACCCGTGAAGCTACCGCTACGTCTTGAGAACTTCTAGTCCCCGCTGGAGAACTTTCTATGCCCACGCTCTCTATTTCATTATATTCTATCCAAGCCCCCTCGAAACGGTAAGCACGTAACATAACCACCAACTCTAGTTAATCCCATAGCCATGACACCGTGCGCAGCCACCCCTGAGACTTTTCCTCGGGGTCCTCGGGGTATTCCTCTGCCTGCTGGAACGCTTGCTCAAGCGGGATGCTCTTGAGCGATGGGATCTTGGTCTTCCGCACGAATTTCCAGATGAGGTACGCCGACACGACGAGTGGTATGTCCCTGCAAGGAATCGGTTAGACGAATTGGTTGGCCTCCACTACTACTACTACCTTGGTGGTAGTGGGTAGCGAAGAGAGAAATAGGGAGAAACAGCGGAACATACAAGTACGACGAGACGAAGGCGCTCGCGTCCCAGTTGCCGGCCGTGAAGACCTTGAAGCCGCTCGTCAGCAGTATCAGGATGCACATGAAGAGCGAAAACCCCGAGCTGTAAACTATAGTAATGAAAGGCAATCGTCAGTACAATTTCCATATCGACGAGTAGCAAAAGCGTTAGGTAGTATCTCGAGGCCAACAAAAACTTACTCGTCCACCAGTTTTGCCACGGCAGCCTCTCGGCCGGGATTCCCTGCTTCGCCATGGCGAGGCGGAGGCGGATATGGTTGAGCAGGATAACGGACCAGGAGACGAGCACGCCGGCAGCGGTGAGACTGACGAGCCACCAGAAGACGGTGAGCGCGCCGGCGCTGAGGCTCATAAAGCTGAGGAACATGAAAACCGTGTACAGCAGCACGCAGGCCCAGGGTGCGCCCCAGGACGTCGTGCGCAGGAAGAAGCGCGGCGCCTGTCCCTTGAGCGCGAGTCCGAAGAGCACGCGTGTGCCGGCAAGCAGCGCCTGGTTCGACGCCGACCATGCGGACGTGATCACGACCGCATTGACGACGCTGGGGATGGCTGCGATGCCCGCCGCCGACGCCGCGATCACGAACGGGCTCTGCGCCGCCGTCCCGGATCCGTCGTCGAGTCGCGGGTCGTTGCTCGCCACGAGCAGCCCGACGACAAATACGGCAACCATGTAGAAGAGCAGCACGCGCGCGAAGATGCGCTTGCAGGCGCGCGGGATCGTCCGCCGCGGGTTGCGGGTCTCGGCGGCCGCCATCGCGAGTGACTCGACGCCGGCGAAGGAGAAGACGGCGTTCGTCATGACGCCCCAGAAACCGAGAAAGTTACCGAGTCTGCCCGTCGTCACGTACTCGACGAAAGGGCCCGGGTCGCGCCAGTACTTGAAGCCGACGGCCGGGGTGCCGGGGATGCCGCCGGCAGCGATGATGATGCCTAGGATGATGAGGAAGACGACGAGCAGGATCTTGAGCAGGGCGAAGACGAACTCGACCTCGCCGAAGATGCGGACGAAGGCAATGCCGACGAGGAAGGTCAGCGCGATGAAGGACACGATGTAGACGGCCGGGCTTACGTCCTCGGTCCAGAAGGTGAAGAGCACGCAGATGGCCGTGATCTCGCTCGGGATCGACAGCGCGATGCCGTACACGAGGTTCCAGCCGACGGCAAAACCGAGGGCCGGGTCTACAAGGAATTCGGCGTGCCGCACGAAGGAGCCTGTCACCGGTAGGAGCGCAGACACCTCGCCGAGCGCGAAAGTCACGGAGCACACGATTAGGCCGACGATAGCGTATCCCAGCAGGGCACCGAGAGGACCGCCCGTCTGGATGGCGCCGCCGAGCCCGAGGAAGAGTCCGGTGCCGATAGCGCCCGCGATGCCGATCATGGACAGATGCCTCTGGGCAAGGCCGCGCGACAGAGAGCGGGACTCGGTGGTGGTGACGAGATCGGCTTCGTGGTCGCCATCTTGATAATGCTGATACGCATACACACCGCCGTTCTCGCCGTTGGGGTTACCCATTTCGTCGGATGATCGCGTCCGGCGAGCGGGCAGAAGAGGTTCGGTACTCATGATGACAAGAAGGAGAGAAGGGAGAAGGTGAGCCGCGGTGAGGAGAACAGCAGCTTAACCTACCCGGCTCGCTGCTGCTGCCGCTGCCGCTGCCGCCGCCAATACTACTGCGCTGTCGTGACTATAGCTACAGCGGCCAGCCTGGGGATCCTAGGTACGTACGCGAAGAAAGGAAACGGAAGGCTTCAAACCCATGTAAGAATGGCCGAGATAGGTAGGTAACAAGGAGAGGTGCTGAGACTGTGGGGCAGCAATCACCTCACCGAAGACCTGGATGGCAGGATGAGACAATGGCACCATTCCGATCCATCATTAGCCATGCAGCACTGGAAGTGATCGGGCCGTGGGGTGCGAGACAGAAACGAAGCCGTATGTGGGAAGAGGTTGATGACGGCGAGTAAGACGTACTCAGTAGAGTGCCACACCGGGGAGGTTGGGGACTCCTCCACATAAGCTGCTGCTCGCGTATCTTATCTTGCTATCTTATCGCTGACTGGCGAGAGGCGGCGACAATCTGCTTAACTATATAACCTATCTCATCCGATAGAGATGCATATACACGGGTCCCGACTATCCTACACGCTTACTATGGAGTTATGCAAAATCTCGACACGCTGTCTGGTTGCATCCGCGACCTGGCCGTCTGGAGATCACGTCGAGATCATACATACTACGTAGTACGCATTCTCCCGACGATTGATCGGTATTCTTGGCGAATGCGCAGTTCCCGAGCGCCATGCGTTAGGGGACTCTCTCGCCAGCAACCTCCAGCCTGCTGCTTTGGGGTCTGTATGGGTCACGGGGGCCCGTAACCGAAGGGATATGATATCGGTGAATGGAGAGAACCCCGGAAGAAGTAAGGATACGAAGAAAGAAAAGCAAAGAACAGACAGTCAGATATAACTCACAATTCGATTTGCCAGCGGGAATGGATATGAGGTATGGGTATATGGGTATATGGGTATATAAGCTAGACTACCCCTTCGCGAGCCACCCCTTCGCGAGCCGGGTATTCTGTATGGGTTTGCATACAAACGATTTATCCCCGTAAAAAGCCGGGAAAAAATCGGAAAAATCTGAAATCTACTTACGTAATCAATTAACTTAATTAAGTTAACATATAAACTTTTCGAATTTTTTGCTTACTAATATAAGAAGTTATATACGATTTTAGGTTTTTTGAAATTACACTAATAGATTGTCATATAATTTATTAGTAACCCTATTAACTATGCTCATATCGACATGTTTACCTATTTTTTTCGCGGTAATAAAGTGGGTCTATTACCTAATACTTTATTTTATAAATAAAAGAATGGCTAGTATTAAGTAATCTTATTTTTATGCTTTGATTTCATTTTTATTTAATTTACTATTTTAAAAAAACTACGTTTTTAAACAGGTTAAAACTTTCTAAAATTATACCTATTTTCATAGTAAGAATTCCACCTTTCCGACTATCCTATTTTTCCATACGAAGCAGTTCTAAAAAAGAATACTAAAAATCAACGTTTTTAAGACTTATTTAATTTAATGAAAATCAGAAAAATAAAAATAAAAAAGTTTACGTAATCTTAACTATCATTTTATCTATAGTATAAAGGATTAAGTAATAGACCTACTTTATTACAGCGAAAAAAATAGGTTAAGAGGCCGATATAAAGCACAATTAATAGATTTATTAATAAATTATATAGCAAACTATTAGTACAGTTTCAAAAAACCTAAAATCGTATATAACTTCTTATATTAGTAAGCAAAAAATTCGAAAAATTCATATGTTAACTTAATTAAGCCAATTAATTACGTAAGTAGATTTCAGATTTTTCCGATTTTTTCCCGGCTTTTTACGGGGATAAATCGTTTATATGTAAACCCATACAAAATACCCGGCTCGCGAAGGGGTGGCTCGTGAAGCGGTAACCTAACTTATAGGTATCAGGCGTAGAGACGTGCTCGCAGTTCATTGCCTGAGGTTATCGTATGGTCTCAGCCGGTCCCCTGGAAGCCAGCCTAGGTACCCAGGTAACTAGGTAGGTAGCCCCGGTTCGTGCCCCTCCCATTGGTATGATGCAAAATGAATCATAATGGCTCATGCACGATCATCCTTGAACCATCCTGATCGACATCGCACGCCAACCCGGAGAGAGAACTGGAAACGAGACGAGAGAGAGAGGGAAGAAGAAGCCGCATCACATACACTCAGTATGGATAGACATATCACGTGCATAGATACGCCGGGGCAGGTGTGCATTGGAGACGGGTGGGTTCATCCGGCACCAACCTCGACGGCTGGCAGCGACGGCGGGACGATGGAGGAAGAGGAACGAGCTGGACCGAGCGTGAACGAACTTACTGGACTAGGGATCGACGAGGACCTCTACGAATTGCTACGAGTCCCGAGCGCTGCATAGATGGCGGCCTGCGCGTGTGGCCGGCCTCGGGGAGATGATTCATTATCACTCATACGCGAAACAAGATGACGCTTTATGATGGTGGTCCGGATAAGCGGCGGCGAGGAGACACGAGACGTTGAAGAGACATAGGTGTAAATACAGAGACAGAGAGAGGGGTAGAGAGATTTGTGTTATATAGAAGCCCGGTGATGTTGGCCGTAGTCGTAGTCGCAGGTCGTGTCGAGAGAGAATAGACTCAAGTTGTCAAACATGGCTCTCCCGCACAATGGCCATATAGCACAATACAGCTCTTGAATCTCGTAAACGAGAACCAGGTGAGTTGTGCGAAACCGCGATTCCGGCCGGCAGACACCCGGATATCCTTCTCTCGCTCTCACATCCTAGTCCGAAGATGACACCTACGTTCCCTAAACCTACAAACATTCTGCTTTTCCGTCACGTTACGGACCAAAAACGCATGGGGAGAAAAACGAGTCGACATCGTCTGAGTCAAAAAAAGAAAAGAGGGAAAGAGATCCGTTCTGTTTCAATTCGCTTTTACGTGGACTAAATAGAAACCGAATATCCTCGAGATACGTGCGTCTGCTGTCCAGATCCGCTAACTCTTCCCACCTTTGCCAGAGTTTAGCTGTAGCATACTTCGAAGCGCTGCCGCCTCGGCCTCCTGGCGCGCGAGGCGGAGCCGCAGATCGTCCCGCTCTTCCTTGACGTCGCGGAGCTCGGCCTCGAGCTCGTTGATCCGGTCGATCCGCTTCTGCCGGTATTTGCGCGCCGCCACGTTGTTGCGCTGACGCTTGAGCGCCGTCACCGGGTCCACCGACGGCGACGAGCGGCTGCGGCTCTTGGGGGTCGGGTCCTGGCTCGACGAGGACTCGGCTCCTAGGGGCGACGGGAAGGTTTGACTGGGCTGAGACGGGGGCTGGGGTTGGGACTGTTGCTGCTGATCGAGAGGGCTAGTGTTGTCCAACTGGGGTGAAAAGGGAGGATCCGACGGCTGGTTGAATAAGAGTATATCTTCGAGTTCACAACCAGAGAGCATATCCGGGGCTGTCACAGTTAGCGACAAGAACACGCAGATAGATAGGTAGATATAGACCAAGACCAACCGTTGACTAATTGCCCGCCTTGCATGTTGCTTCCAAACAAAAGAGGGTCGCCCAACCCGGCGAAAGCGGGTAGGGGCCATTCTACCCCTCCTGGGCTGCTGCCTGCGATGTCTAGTCCTAGTGGCCAATCTCCAAATGTGGTTGTCGGTATCGTTGCTGCGGTGGGAAGCTGTGACAAGAAACTTCCCGCAACGGACAAGGGGAGGCCCGCCGGTCCTATGGCGGAACTCCCCCAGTCGAAGGGGCTAGTTTGGAGAGGATATAGGTTGCCGACACGGCCGGTAGAAGCCGTAGGCGACCTGTCTGACCGTTGACGCTGCGGATGAGGCTGCGGCTGCCATGATGATATGTTAAAGGGGCCTCTTCCCGAGGCCTAGGGGAAACTATTTAAACGATGTGAAAAGGTCGTTCATGCGCCGTCTTCGATAAGCGACAGACGGGGGTTGCAAGTCCCAAGCAGGTTGGGAGGAGAGGAAGAAGGGGACGGAGGTTGGAGGAGGGAAAAATCCCACGAAAAGGACGGGCGTCCCCGCGTTGGGGTTTATAGGCTTGACGAGAGTAGCTGCCTAGCCCACTATTTCCCACCTGGCGAAAAATTGCCGGTCCGTTCGTGGATGTAGGCAATCTTACCTAAGCTGAGGGGCGTTGTCGATCCCGATCTGCGCTCGGTCAAAGAGGCAGCCGTGGCTTGTAAACCGCATTGCACAGTGAGCGGGCTGTGCCGGCTAGCGGTCGGCCACACCGCTATACCGACCAGAAGCGCCCCGCATTCCGCCACAGCCCGCTAACTACCTACTTCCTACGCCGCAACCCGCACACAGTCACCTCAGATCGTCCGGCCGGGAAGACACAAAGAGGCTTTGATGCCCGTGACTCGGATCGACGAAGCCGTTTTCTATACGGGCCGGTCTGGGCCATAGGACCCACCGACCTCAGACAGGCAGAGATGTCGTATTCCCTAGGTATATTCCTAGCCTTATTTGTGATTTTTATTACGGTGGTTATAGCCAAAATCTGGAATAAACAACTAATATAAAACCGCTAGGGATGTGTCTCTGGCGAAGGAAGGGCCTAGGTACCTAGCTTAATATGAAAGAATCGATGCCGCCTTATTTCAGCGACAAAAGTTAAGATTCTAAATACTTTACAAATAATAGACATCGCTATAGTAGTAAGTGGTAGATGGCTTCTACTTTCGGATTCGCTGGTGGTGTCATACATATAAATAATGGGCGGTCTGTTGTACAGGAACCAGGGGACTTCGGACACTGCGCTGGGCTATTCGACTGAACTGACGACGTATTGCTAACTGCGCCCTCAACCACGCCGTTTGAGGCCCCCGAGATCAAATAAACCGTCCCATAAGGGGGTCTAATCCTTTCGAGCAAGTCTTCGGCTTTATCTTTTAAGCTAGATCCCATATCGTATGACTTTAAATGCTACGCTTTTATGAACGGAGATCATTATAGCGAAAAAATAAGAAAAAAAAGAGCTGATAATAGGTTTGGCTCTACTAGAATTATTGTCAGTTATAATGTTACGGTTGGATGTGCTGTTGTTTCTAGCGTTTCGGAGAGCTGGATCAATCGGATTACCATCTAATATACGTTGCCTTAGCGATAGGTACGTTGCCGAGAACTAGCTGGGAGGTATGTGTCTGGGAGTAATTCGATAAGGAATCAACGCTAGAGATCCTAGGATTATTATTGAGTTTAGTGATAGTGAGCATTTCAGAGACCGGGACGTCAAATGTAGTTAGGTGACGAAACCATAAACTAGTGAGAGCCTATAGAGCAGCGAGTGAGGGAAGAAGACCTAATAAATACCTCCCGCTGCCTCCCATCAGGGAATCGTGAGGTAAACCTCTCTGCTCATTCTGACTAGCTGCTTTCGGAGCGAAGCGCTGCTGCTTGACTCGGTTCTCTGAATTGCCGGCGGAACGTTGCCAAAAGATTTAGAAAATAGCTGTTCTCGAAGTTGTCCAAGTCTGTTTGGGGAATGAAGAAGATAGTATTGTAAAGCCGCTGCTTCTGGCATGCCACGAGAGCCATGACACGTACCGAAGACATACTCGGACCAAGTCTCCTACGCTCGAAGCATAGAAGCCTGGCACATACGGCTTTCTACAAACTAAAGAGAGCCGTCATTCCAAAACGTAGACCAAAGGCCTAATTTCCCATAAAGTCACTGCTTTCGGGCCCTCAACTCAGGAATTAGGAGTGCTTCTTACAGACGAACCAGGGCAGTTCTACCTGGCACCAGCTTCAGAATTTTGATGCCATTGCCCATTACACCATTACGACATATTTCCTCGCGATTACCAGCGTGGGTAAAACTGGGAGGGGAAAATGATGTGTTAAGCTGGTTTATTTAAAAGGCGTTAAGTTATAAACCTGAAGTAAATAAACACGAATACAAAACTTAGCCTAAGATGTTTAATAACTTAATAAACCAAGCTTTTAAAATCGGTAATAAAATCCAACAATCTTTATTTAACCTTTCTTTCATTAATATATAGATAAAGCGACGTATGAAATAAAAGCAAAGGGTATATAAATTAAGGGCAGCCTCATAGGTACTCGTATAAAATAAAACCTACTGTAACAAGGGGATATGCTTGGAATAGGTTTAATTTCAACTAATAATTCTATAGGGGGTCTCTTAGGTCCTTACTTCCCTCAAGTTTCCTAGTCTTATTTCTATACTAATATACTCCTGAGGTACCTCCGTACCTTAGTACCTAGGTACCTTAATACCGAAGTTATCCGTAACTTATCTAGGACTTTCCCTTAGTAGGTCGCCGAACGGCGACCTTAATGCCCGATATTATCCTCCTAACCTTTATAACCTAATTATTAGTATAAGGCTTCATTCCCGTATAATATTATCTCCCCTTTTCGAAGGAGTTCGTTTTTAAGCGCGGATTAAGTACCTAGGCTTCGATAGTTAATAGGTTTATTAAGGTTTTATTAATGGAATAACTTAACGGCTTCCTTCGTTCCTTCGGTAATAAAGTACTCCTATAGTTCCTAAGTCTAGTAACGCTTAACCGGCTAGCCTTCTTACTTTACTAAGTATTTAACGACTTTTCCGGTTTTAGCGGAATCTAATACCTTATTTACCTCGTAATCTTTTGCTTCGATCGGAATTACCTTTCGTAAGACCTAATTAAGGTTAGGTAGTTCCTAATTACTAGCGCGGTAGGGTTCGATAAGGAATACGTAAAAGGTATTATAAATATACTAGCCTTTCGGGAGCGTTAAGGTTACGGTAGTAAGCGAGACGACCTTTTAGACCTTAAAGGAACCGAGTATCTTTTTATTTATCTTCTTAGCCGGGCGTTTAGTCTTAATGTTACGGGCGTTTAATATAACGAGCTACCTTACTTCTAGGGGAAGTTCTTCTTTTCTATACTTATTTACCTATTCTTTTATCCGCTACCGCGCCTTCTTTAAATATTATTTAGCCTTATTATATACCTTAGTTATTTAGTAAATATAAAGATTATTTCCTAGATTCTTAAGGGTATTTAAAGGGGGGTTATATATTATTAGGTACTATCCGTAATTAACGTAAAAGGATAATATACCGGTAGCTATCGAAGCGGTATTATTATAGATAAATTCGGTAATAAGAAGTAAGCTTTCCTAGTCGCTTATTTCGTAATTTACGAAGGCGCGTAGGTATACTTTTAGGATTTAATTAAGTCTTTCCGTTTATTTATCCGTTTAGGAATAAAAGGCGGTATTTATTCTAGGCTTAATTTCGAGGAGCTTTAGGACGCCTTTCTATATATAGGAGGTAAATCGTAAGTCTCGATCGGAGATAATATTTAAAGGGATTCTATATAGCCGCTAGTAATTACGGATAAAGATAGGTATTAAGTCTTTAGCTTTTTTACCGTCCTTTTTTAGCGGAATAAAGTACGTTATTTTAATAAAGGGGTTTATAATAACCTATATAGAATCGTAGCCGTTAAATATTAGTAAGTCCGTAATAAAGTCTATCGCGATTATTTACTATGGTCGGTAATATAGTTCCATAGGCTATAATAGTCCGAACGGGGTATATCGGGGTACCTTATTTTACTAGTACTTACGATATTCCTTAACGAATTCCCTAACTATTACTTCTAGGTTAGGTTATTAAAAGTTTCGAGTAATAAGTTCTATGGTTTTATTTATATTTATATGTCCCGCTACTTTAATATCGTATTCCGATTTAATTATTTCTTATTATAGGTCCTTAGGTACCTAGAAACGGTTTCGTCGGTAAAGAAGGCTTTCTTAGAGCTTTATTTCCTTACCGAGTAATTTAATTAACTAGGCTTAATACTCCGGGTCCTATATAGTTATCGTTTTAACTTATTTAACGAACTCTAGGGTTTAAGCGGGTATTAGGATACTACTTAGTCGTACGCTAAAAAGTATTACCGTAGGTAAGCCTAAATTTTTTAAAAAATACTTTTCCTATAAAACCGTCGCTATCGGCTAGTCCTTAGCTCTTCCTTTTTTAGGGCGATATTATAATAATTTAAATAAAATATCGGCCTTTTTATTTTACTTCCCTAGACGGTAGTATATTATAAAGTAATACGAGGAGAGCTATTAAGCTTAGCGGGCTTATCGTCGATTTAATACTTTTACCGTAGTAAAGTACGTTAGGTTCTAATGGTTTAAATATACTTCTATTTAATGCTAAGTACCTTCGAAATAATATCGTTATTTCTCGAATACGTCGACGATTACTAGTAGTTCCTTATTATATATCTTATAATTTATTTCCGCTAGGATAAGTCGTTTTAAAAAAAAGGCTATTAGTTTTAGTCTTTCTTTATCGTTTTTTTACGAGAGGATAGCCGAAATAGTAAAGTCCGAGGCGTCGGCTTTAACGATCGGAACTCGATTAGGATCGAAATATATAAGTACCGGGGCTTTTATAAAGGTTTCTTTTAGTTTTTAAAAGGCCTTTTTTATTTCGATTTCTTATTTCCATAGCTTACGGTTTCCTTTATTAGCGCTAATAATTAGCCTAGCTATGCCTAAAAAGTTACGTATAAATTTACGGTAGAAGTTAGCGAATCCGATAAAGCTTTAGGAGTCCTTAAGTATAGCTAAGGTACGTTAATTAAGGATAGCTTTTACTTTATCTTTAAATATAGTAATATCCTTAGGACTTATATTATATCCTAAGAACTTAACTTCTTATATTCGCTAGGTATATTTCTTTAAGGCTACCGTTAAATGGTTTTCTATAAGCCGTTTTAAGACTTCTTTAATTAATTTGTTATATTTTTTTAACGTATCGGTATAGATTAGGACGTTATTTAAATAAGCGATAACTCCTACGTTTAAAAGGTCGCAGAAGATATGGTTTATTATAGCTTAAAAGGTAACGGGGGCGTTAATTAATCCTATAGATATAACCGTATATTCGTATAGCCTATAACGCGTTCTAAAGGCGGTTTTCTACTTATCGCCTTCCTTAATCCGTACTATATAAAAGCCCGATTTTAGGTTAATTTTAATAAACCATCGTACTATCTAGAATAGGTTCTATAGTTTATTAATTAGCGGGATAGGATATCGGACGGATATTATGATTTTATTTAATTCTCGATAATCCGCTACTAGTCTTAATACGCTAGGGTCCTTTTTATTTATAAATATTATAAATACGCCGCATAAGGCTTTAAATTTCCGGATTCTTCTTATAGTTATTATCTTATCGAGCTAAGGTTTTAAGGCTTTTAATTATCGCTTATTTATAGCGTATAGGGGTTCCTACGGAGGAGTAGTCCCTAGACGAAGCTCGATAACGTAGTTCTATAGTTATTAATTAAGGAACCGCTATTCCGCTTCTTTAGTTATAATAGGAACGAAGTCGCGAAATTATTCGGGTACTTATAACAAAGCGTCCTTTTCTCGCGTAATTCTTATACGGATCGGCCGGGGGCGATAATTCCGGCATTAAAGTAAGTTAAAATATAATCGTTCTTCCGTAAATAAACCCTAGGGAGGGTATTCCTTTATTTATTATTAAGGTAGGATAACGTCGACCTCTTCGTTTAATTTACTAACTTCTTAAGCGACGGGGTAGATATATTCATAGCTACGGAGCTTTATTTCGTTCGTATACTAAAGCCTTTCTAACGAAATCTTAATACCGTCGAATCTTATTAGGGTTCTTAGCTTCGAGCGTTAGTTAATAAAAAGGCGTAGTTACTTAACCTTAGCGGCGTTAATTAAAAGTACCTCGCTACCGGTATTTAGTAGGACTCGTAGGAAGTATTCTTTTCCTTAATGTTTTATTTATATTATATAAATAAGCCGTTTACCCGATCGGGGTTTACTTTAGTTACGCTAAGGGACTCGTAATTTCTTCGCTATTAGTATTACTTTCGTTACTTCTAGCGTTCCGGGTCGTTTCGTAGCCGTAATCTTTACGTTATCTTTATTACCCCTTTCTTTCGTTAACGCTTACGGGGGGGTATTTAAAAATCCTATTCTTTATCGGAATCGGATAGTTCTATAATACGAGGAAGAACTTCCTCTTATCGTATGGTAATATCGATTCTAGTCCTTTTATTAGGTAGTAGTTTTAGTTCCTTCCTTTCTTTTTTTCCCGATAAAACCTTCTTAGGTAATACGGGTAAGTCCCGTTCTTCTAAGTCCTTTTTAGCGAAATAAGTTAAGGTTTAGTAATTATTCCTTTTATACCGTTAATAAGCTTTCTTATCCTTCTTTCGCTAGTCGATTACGGCTTAGTTAATTCTAGCTAAAGCCTCTTTATTACCTATCTATCGTAAGTCCTTAGCCGGTACGGGTTTCTTACTTTCCTTACTTTTACGTTCGTTTACCGGTTAGCTTAAGCGGGAACGAGTCTTTATTACGGGTTACCTTTATTATTAATCCGCCTTCGTATATTCCTTCTACGAAGCGGACCCTCCTTTTCCCGAAATCCTTAGGTTAGTTATTATATTTTTATAGATTTAGCCGGCTTCCTTAATTACTTTAAGAAAGGCTTCGTTACTTTCGGGGATACTACTTAATCGTAAATAAACTAGCTTAATTATTTCGTCGGGTAAGATACGGGCGATATAATTTTAAAAGGTAATTCCGGATTACTAGACGACGTCGTTAAGATCTATAAGCTCGGTAAGGTATTAAGAGACGTTTTCTTAGTACTTAAGTTCCTATATCTTTTTAAAATTACGATATCGTTCGGCGGGGTCCTTAAATCGTTCTTAAAAGGCTTAGGAATATCCTATCTAAGTATCGACGACTATTAACCTCTTTACCTAGGCTAGTCGTTATTAATACTAGAGCTAGGCTTTCTCGGTAAATATCGATCCTATTTAATTAATCTTTTAAACGTTCCGGGTAAAACTTTCTTCGTAGGTCTTAAGATAGGACTTAACCTTAATTTACTATAGTCGAAATTTAACTAAGTCCTTATCGTTATAAGCCGTAGGCTTAATAAGGTATACCGGGTTAATCGTTACCGTAATATTTCGTCGATTATTTATAGCTTTAGTTTAGGCCTTAATTATACGTTCTTCAGCCGGGTCGAAAGGCTTTTAAGGTTCTTTATAGGCGCCCGATAAGCGTCGCGGCCTTTACGGGTTCCCGGATTCTAAGTCGTCCGAGTTATCGGAATCCCCTAGGTCTAGGGTATTCCGTAGGATCCTTAGCGGTTACGGTAGTCCTTACCCGGCTCCTCTTAATATAAAGGCGCCTACTACGGCGTTCTAGAAACGGGCTCTAACGCGCGTAGCGGTACGTTTAACCGCGGCGTCCTAAAGTACGCCGTTAGAAATAATCTCCTTTATTTTAACTTCGCTATTAATATATCGTCTTATAAATGCCGTCGTAAGGCGAGTAGCCGGTACGGGGATAAGTATTCGAGCCCTTTAGCTAGCTCCGGTTATAATAGATTCGATATCCGTTAATTTATTACTTAGTCGTCGCTATTAATATTCCTTAATTAAATTAACTACGTAAGCCTTAAGATCGTTCTTAATTAATTAAGTCTTTTCTTTTATAGCCCCGGGGATAAGATATTCCTTACTAAGGATTTCGTTAATCTATTTATTCTTTTACGTAGCTTATAAGTTAACGTCCGTTATTAATTTATTATATTCTTCGCGTAATTAAACTAAGGCCCGTTAGTTCTAAAGGGCGGCGTCTTTAAGCTAATTTACGGCGACGGTTCGTACTTTATTTTATCGGGTAAACTTAACTACCGTTTCCTATACGTTTTAAGCGAAATAAGTATTTTATTCTACGACCTACTTCTAGAACTCGTAGATCTATATCTTCGTAGTTCGGATACCGGTTACTTATATAGCCGTAGTAATTTAATAAAGCTATCGTAATTATTTATATTATTCTTTTAGGATCGTATTTTATCGGTATCCTATATCGACTTAGTTAATTAATATTATTAGGCTTTAATATACCTATTCCATTTATTTATATAAATCTACGATTTACTACGGGGAATTACGTATAATTACTCCTAAATTCGCGATTTCCGGCGTATTAGCTATAACTACCTCGTATTTTTAAGGCTAATATACTACGAGGGATTTATCGGTTAGTTCGGGGGTCGCTTCTAGCTAAGGCGCCGGAAAGGTTCGCTATCGTTCGGCGTTCTTCGCCTTTAATTTTATTATTATTACTTTTAGCTTATTAATCGTAGTTACTATCTAAGCTACTTCCGCTATAGAAACCGACGCTAGCCCTAAGGTAATAATCCGCGGAAATAAGAACGCCTATGGCTTTTTCGTAAAGGGCTTAGGTTAATCTAATAGTAATAATACCGAGGCGGCGGCTACGTATAACGCAGGCTTAGGCGTAGGCTTCTTCTATTATTAACTTATATTAAGGTTATAAGGGTAAGAGTAATATAGAATTATTTATAATAAGGGGATATACTTAGAATAGGTTTAATTTTAACTAATAATTCTATAGGGGGTCTCTTAGGTCCTTACTTCCCTTAAGTTTCCTAGTCTTATTCCTATGCTAATATACTCCTAAGGTACCTCCGTACCTTAATACCTAGGTATCCTAATACCGAAGCTATCCGTAGCTTATCTAGGACTTTCCCTTGGTAGGTCGCCGAACGGCGACCTTAATGCCTGATATTATCCTCCTAACCTTTATGACCTGATTGTTGGTGTAGGGCTCCATCCCCGTGTAACACCTACCGTATAACAACTTCCGCTCAGATTTAAAAAAGGATATCTCAACTTATCTGTGCCTCTTCCCGCTTGTACTCTTCTAGCTGCTTCAGCTTCTTAGCCACGAAGAGCTCGATTTCTGGAGACTCGTTCTGGTCCAGAACCACCGGGCCGCGCAGATTGTACTCGTAGATGGCACTGGCGTCCAAGGGGTTCCTCATCGCGAGGTTGAACCAGAAGCGCTTGGTGTCCCACGACTCCCGCATCTTGGCCGACAGGCTCGGATATTGACTGTCCGGCGAGGCCGTCTCAGCGCGCTGTACCGCGGCGAGAAATTGCTCCATCCTGCGGGTGAATAGAGTCTCGAGCTCATTCATCTCCGGGGAGCGCCCGACGGGTGGTTCACGGAGCAAGAGCCATGGCGGCACGTCGTAGGCATACTGAGCGGGCATGGCATTGATGAACTCGAGGTCGACTACCGCCGTGATCTGCCACGTGTCTGGGTCGGCAAGAATATTGGTGGGATGGAAGTCGTCTATATAAAGAAAGTAGCCTTCTTCTTGGTCGCAATACTGTGGGATCAGCTTAGCAAGGCCTTGACAAGCCGCGAGGTGCCGCCGGGCGTCCTTTGCGTCGTAAACCGCATTCCGCTGGGTCGAGAGGCGAACCCGATGGTAGTGCGCAACAGCGTTGAAATAGTCGCTCGCCTTGTCGAACGGCCCGTCGGGGAAGGCACTGGCAGGAGTACCAGTGATGGTGACCAGCTCGTTCATGTCGTAGGTCAATGGTCGCCTAGAGACTGCGGTTTCCCCAATAGCTCCAATGCGGCTGAAGGGAAGGCGAGAAAGCTGAAGCATGAGGCTGGCGATCTGGTCGTAGACAAAGGTGAGCTTCCTCTCGTCGATAGCTGGGTCGAGGACAGGTGGGTCTTTCTCTGGTACTGTAGGATCCCCCATGAGGGTGTCGAGCGGGGTCCCCTCTATGAATTCCATGATGATGAACGGCCCCAGCTGGGATGGACTGACGTCCGCCGGGCCCCAGGCAAGCACGCGCGGGACAGGAATTGTGGTGTGCGTGTGAATGTAGCCAAGTACCATCACCTCGTTGGTGACCTTCTCCTCGAGCCAGGGCGTATATACTTGCCCGGGGAAAGGGAAACGAATGAGGACCTTGGATCCATCGCCGACATTCCTCACAACGAAGCTGACATTGAATGACCCCTTCTTAATACCGGCGAATTTTGCGTCGTGACTCCAGCCCAGGCGAGAGGCGACGAACTGCACGATATTGTCCCTTGCTGAGACGAACCGCTGGACGAACTCTCGTTTTTCGTCTACGTTTTTTCGGTCGAGGATCTCGTCGTAGCCCATTTTCACGTCAGTATCTAATAAACCAAGGAGCCGAAAATTGATGTCTTATAACAGAGAAGAGCTATAGAGGGAAACAGAGCGAGAACGGAAGCTTTGTGCCACGGGCCGACGATAGAAGAAGACGAACTGCCCCTGAGGACGACAGACGGGGGGACACGGCCCCTTATGCCTGGGCGCTTACCCAGATACGTTTCGTACCAGTCCCCCCGCCTCCGTGATGTTAGGAACCAACACATTTTTCGATGTACCAACGAGACCCAAGTGAGGTGAGGGGAAGGCGCCACCCTCGGACGAACCAGCATCTGAGGAAGTCACGTGACCAATGTCGGTTAGGCAAGAAGTAAGTCGGCGACGACTCGTCTAAGTCGGTACCGACTCAGGCCAAGAAATCCTCGACGTACAGAGGGAGGAGAAGTACAAGAAGAGAGAAAGTATTCCTAGATAGAAGCAGCCGTTACCCGCATCGGCGACGAGGGAGCGGCCGCAGCACTCGAGATGTAGGTGGGCAGAGGTTGTAAATGATGCCTGTTGCCACGTAAATTGCAAAGAACGAAAGGAGAGGTTCGCGGAGTGGCGGTGGCGTAAGCCCGACCTTTTGTATATTGATGGTTTATCTAGCTTATATCTAAGTAGGGCGGCGGTTCAACATCTCAACCCCCACTGAGTTGAGCATCAGAGAAGTGCTCCTTTATCGTGAACAGTCGCATCGTATGCTTAGATCAACTGCACAAGATAACCTAAGCGAACTTGAACTCAAGCGAAGAACGGCACGCAATCTCCGAATATACTTAGTCGATTAGAAGAAGAAGAAGAAGAAGTATATTTTACGTCTTCTTCTTTTAGAGTTGATTAGTACGCGCACCTCAAGATCACACTCGATCTTGAATACTATCCGGCTAGCACCCGATGAGCCTCGGATGAACTCGCCTTCACCTAAGCTCTACCCAAGGGGATGCCGCTGACTGCCTGAGGCGTAAACGCGCTCTGGAAGTTACAAGGACGGATTCTCTTCAGGGAGGTATTGCCTAATGGTAGCGGGCGGGCACTAGTATGTGCCGTTTCTCGTCTTGTGGGCGTCGAGCTAGTAAGGGCAAAAAGCTAGCTATGCCTATTGGCCCATAGACGCTACGGATTCTTCCCGTGGTCCGCTTACTTAGCTGTCCGTATACCACATATTTGCATGAACCTGCGGCTCGAGGAACTTTGATTTGCGATTGAGCATTGGCGCTGGGCACGACCGGTGAGCCCGACGCTATTGATCAGTGTAAACCCTACACTCCTACTCCGAGAATAGAGACGATCGTCGCTAAACTTTGATGGGCGCTCATGCTCGAATCCCGTACTTCCTAACATTGGCTGTGCTCGCAATAGTAACCTGGTTGCCACCCTGCGCCGATACGCGAACAGGCCTGAGAACGAGACGACCGGCCGGGCACTGCGAGAGGGTGTCGCGCGAACAGATTGATTCCCTCCGTGCGAGTTTGATGCACCACAAAGCCGCCTTCGGGGCCTCGCCGGTGAGGCTCTTTCAGCTTTGTGAATATAGTTGCGAAGACATCATTGCCCTACCGAGCTCTACACCCCGCTGCGCCGCGCTTATCCATGTCGAGTTGCGGATCTTCAAGCGGCGATAGGAACTGAAGTGGCAGGATCGGAGTCGGGCTTCCACAAGTTGTCCTGATTTCCCCGACGCCGGTCAGCGTATGCCCGCGAACAGGGAAGGGGAATGCGGGGGATTAAAAGCGCAGACGAAGTAAATAGACGAACGCACCTGGTCGTATATTACCCGTATCATCAAGCTACAGCTCGGGCAGACCGCAATATCGGTTTCCTCGTCCTGGAGGTCGGCGAGCGCGATCTCGAAGCGGTCGCCGCACGGGCAGGGGTAGTGGTAGATCTGTAGAGTCTCGTCGAAAGTCATGTCCTCGATCTCGACCTCGTCGTAGACTGCGATTTCTTCATCATCCGCCATCGCGAAGGTTTGTCAGATCGGACATGAGGGTTTCACGCGGTTCTGTGATGGACAATTGCCACTTTGTAGGACTCGGGTTGCAGACTGGTGCAAAGAAGAAAAAAAAAAGGAATCTTGGGGGTGACGTCGCCACCTTTGAGGCAGTAATGGCCTGGGTACCTATATGTACCTAGAGAGCCTCGCGCTTGGCACGGAACAGGGTTACTTGCGCTGCATCGCCAGAATTAGATACCTAAGGCAGTGAGTCTACCGGCCACAGCGCCACCCGAAGTACCTACCTGTACCCCGTAGTAATACATCCCACATCCCGTTAACTGCATCCTCCGCTTGGCTGATCGATCGATCACATGCTAGCTCATGTACCCAGAACGTCACCAGCAATTACGGCCAAGGGCATTGGTCGTCGCATTTCCGCCGAGGAACCCTCAACCTCCCTAGGTTCCCGAGCTCTCACTCCTTACTACATTCATTCCTCCCGCCGCATGAGCCGTGCCAGACTCGGAACAAGGTCGAGCTCCGACTCATCATACCTTCAGCGATGTAATTGCGACAATCCCCATTGTACAATTCCGATCAGCGTAATTGATGTTTGGTTTTCTGCTGTCTCATGGGCCGGTCTCGTGTTCGTTCGCATCGGGTAAGACGAGTAGATAGGACGTGAGACGGCCGCCTCCTTAGGCTCGACTCGACTCGACTCGCCTCGCCTCGCCTCGGCTTCGACCACGCCCTCCGAATCCTAATACTGTCGCACACCATGGCGGCGCAGTCCAAGCTTGCTCTCCCCGACCGGTCAATCAAGAGCGTCATCGCACAGCTCACCAAGCTGTATGTGTCGAACCGGACCCGGATCTCCCGCGCCGTCTACCTTACCCTTCTGGTTGCGCTCGTGAACCGCGTCCGGAATGCCGTCTCTGAGCAGAAGGCTGCGTCCGCGCGCGAGGCGGCCAAGCGCCAGTCGGGCACGACCTCGGTAGACGAACCCGACGCTGCCACCAAGAAGAAGCGGGTTGAGCTGAACCGCGAGTTCTTCAAGTCCCTGCTGAGACTTCTGAGAATAGTAATCCCTGGCGTACGGACCAAGGAGACCCGACTCATCGTCAGCCACAGCTTCTTCCTCGTCGTGCGAACGCTTATCAGTCTCAAAGTCGCCGAGATGGACGGCGCGATCGTCAAGGCCCTCGTCAAGGGAAACGGGAGGGAGTTCCTCACGAGGATAGTGTGGTGGATGCTGATTGCTGTCCCCGCGACCTTCACAAATTCAATGGTGTGTGGCCGAATCCAGAGCATTATTTGCTGATGAAGAGCCGTCGAACTAACCGCCGTGCGATCAGTTGTCGTATCACCAAGCCGAATTGTCCCTCCGATATCGAACACGGCTGACCCAGTACATACACGACAAGTATCTCTCTCAACTCACGTTCTATGGCATATCCGCCCTAGATGACCGGATTAAGAACCCGGATCAGCTCATCGCAGTCGACGTCGCCAAGTTCTCTAATAGCTTAGCTGAGTTGTACAGCAACCTGGCCAAACCTATGCTGGATATGGTAAGAGCCCATGCGTATGGCAGTGGTGGTTATGAGCGGAGGAGAGGGATATAAGAGAAGTAAGACTGCTGACACGAAATATCTAGACCATCTATACCTGGTCGTTATCCAACAGCGTCGGCGGTGAGGGCGTCATGTTCATGTCCCTACTAGTGCAGCTCTCGGCTGCCGTCATGCGGGCCTTGACACCTCCGTTCGGCAGATATGTGGCGGACGAAGCGCGGCTCGAGGGTGAATTCCGATTCCAGCATTCGAGACTCATCGACCACAGCGAGGAAGTGGCACTGTACTACGGTCACGAGGCGGAGAAGGACACGCTTGACAAGGGCTACTTTACGCTCATTAAGCATGTGAATTACATCCTCCGTCGACGATTCTACCACGGCTTGATGGAAGACTTCGTCATCAAGTATTTCTGGGGCGCTCTGGGCCTCATGCTCTGCAGCATACCCGTCTTCTTCAAACTGCCCGGCCAATTGGCTGGCACGTCCAGTATGGGGGACCGGACGGAATCGTTCGTCACTAACAGGCGGATGTTGCTAAGTGCATCCGACGCTTTTGGGCGAATAATGTTTTCCTACCGCGAGATCATGGAGTTGGCGGGCTACACGTCGCGGGTTGCGTCGCTATTAGACGTCATGGACGACATCCAGGCCGGTCATTTCGAGAAGAAGCTCGTCTCGAGCTCGGGCACGGAGGACAACGAGGCGGTATTGAAAGGTCGAGGAAAAGTGGTGGAGAGCAAGGATATCGAATTTATCGACGTGCCGATTATCTCGCCCAACGGAGATGTCTTGGTTAGGGCGCTCTCCTTCTCGCTCAAACAGGGCGAGCATCTCCTCGTCGTCGGCCCCAACGGATGCGGGAAATCAAGTCTGTTCCGAATTCTGGGGGGGCTGTGGCCGGTGTACGGCGGCACCGTCTACAAGCCGCCATTTACGGACATCTTCTATATCCCGCAACGTCCCTATCTATCGCGTGGAAGTCTCCGACAGCAGATCACCTATCCCGATAGCCTGCGGACGGTGCGGGCTCGCGGGGTGACGGACGCGCAGCTCCTCGAGATTCTCAAGATCCTGTCGTTGGAACACCTCGTCGAGCTGTACCCGGAGGGCTGGGACGCGGAAGCGGAGTGGCGCGACGTGCTCTCGGGCGGCCTCCAGCAGCGGGTGGCGATGGCGCGGCTGTTCTACCACAAGCCGCGGTACGCGATCCTGGACGAGTGCACGAGCAGCGTGACGCTCGAGACGGAGAAGGTCATGTACGACAACGCGAAGGCGCTGGGGATCACGCTGATGACGGTCAGCCACCGACGTAGCCTGTGGAAGTACCACAGCCGGATCCTGCAGTTCGACGGGCAGGGCCACTACGTGTTCACCAAGCTGGACGCCGAGAGGAGGATGAAGCTCGAGGACGAGAAGGAGGACCTCGACGTGCTGCTGCGGCAGGTGCCGGAGATCGAGAGGAGGATCGGCGAGCTGACGGCCGAGTAGGCGAGCGGGCACGCACGACGACTACTAGTTTAGGGAGGGAAAGCAAGGCGGGGAGAGGGCAACAGTTGTAGAGATACCGGAACAGCCATATTTACGATGTACACATACTGGCGGCGGGCGGTAATATAGCATCACGGCGGTCTCGCCTTAACGGGGTGTTCATCAATTGAAATACAGGTAGTAAGTGGCTGAGAGATGGACCTACGAGTGCCGAACCGAGTCCAGTGGGCTCGGTGCACCTGCGGAAACGAAGCATTTGTATTGTCAGCATACACCGGAGATCCTGGCGAGGATATCTGACACACCACATCTGTCACAATGCGTTGTTTGTCACCTTATCCACGCCTTGTATTCTTTCTCTCTTTGTTTGAGGTTGGAGGAGTGGCTCTGAGGACTCGGTCCATACATACATCGTATTCCATTGAAGAAATGCCCCGTTACATTCTTGCTGCTCTGTAAGTACTGGATGGGCTTAGAGCGCTTCTGTTGGGTTACCTAGCCTCTTCTTGTTGGCTTCACCAGCAGCCAGTTGGCAATGCCAATTGGCCGCAAGGGGAGAGAGAGATGGCTGAGGCGAATTCGCCAAGCAGGGAGGGCTCCAATCCAGGGGTGGAGTGCCACTGTTGCCCTATAAAAAAGAGCCCTGAGATCGGGTCGGTCAGGTACCTAACGTCTCTAACGAATGGCGCCAGCCTACCTATTTGTTAGAGACGTTAGGTACCGCTTAATGAGGCATGTACCTGGTAGGTTGTCTACAGGCAGCTCCTATTGTGCGTACCTTAGGTACCTATACGCGGGGTACCTCCCTAAAGGCATCGGACCGGGCTCGATGGACGATGGCTTGAATGGAGGTAGGTATTAGGTTAAGTAGATGGAGATATACGGATGTCGGCGTGCCGTGCCAACCGAGCCTGTCCCAGGTCAAGTTGGTATCAATGGAGCTGGACCCGGCAACATCTCCGAAGTCAACAACCACCACACGACCACCACACAGCTGCAGCCTCTCTCTCGCCCACAGCTCAGCTCAGCCCCCTTGCGGTGACGAGTCCACACCATTTTCCCTCAACACCCAGCTCCCGGGACCCGCGGCGTCTCGACTGACACCGCCGTCCGTCCATCTGTCCCTTACCCGCCCATTCCAGTTGCGCTCTCCTACGCTCATTTCTAGGTCCAATCAGCTACGCAAATCCGGCCAGAGCACCGCTCATCGGGAGGCGTTTGAAGCAGGAAATATCCGACGTGACGCCAAGACGACATCCCCCGTATACACCTGTCTGCATAACGCATAACTGACATCCCGGGCACCGGATACACCACCAGCAGGCCCGTTGACTGACTGCATGTTGACATCTCAGCCTCCACTCTCCACTCTGGCCTGCTCCTGGTTCGTCTTCTGCCTGTTCTTCCTCGTGGCCGCCCCTGGCGTCCCTGCCTGATTTACTGATTATATTTAGATCCCCTCCAGCCCAACCTGAGGGGAGCACCGCCGGGTCTTGCGTTGCCAGAGCAGTCTTTCTCTCTAGTTCCGGGCTAGAGTTGGCTTGATAGAATCGGAACTGATTCCATCCTCCACATAAACGTCACTAACACCCCAAATCTGTCCTGGAGTGCCCCTGGACGTGCCTCATCTTTCTTTCCTTTTCCCTCTTCCGATTTCGTCTCTGCCAACCACGTCCCCTCCCCCCCCCACACACACCCGCAGGGGAGGGAGGCTTCTTTATACCGACATTGACCGCTACCCTAATTTTCCAGTCACTTGCGGAATCTGGCAAATCTTCAAGTATGGGGGAAAGCGTCGAGGCTCGTTCCCTTGCCTCGCTTAACTACCTGGCCGGCAACCCTCCTAAGTATCCTAGAAAGCCAAATGAGGAAAAGCAGGATCCCGTCACGCTATATATCTCGAGGGTGCCTGGCACGAGAGGTAGGCCAGGAAAACAGAACCATCGACTCCGTGCAATCTAACATATAGCTCCTAGACATAATCCTCTCGACGCAGAAACCACAGGTGAAGAATGTGACGGCAGAAGATGTGGCCAGTTCGCTGTATTACGTTCACGTGGACAACCTCGAGGATGCCACTCTTGTGTCATCTACAAGCCAAGTCATGCCGCCTGCCCTGACTCCTAGAACGAGCGGGGAGAGCTCACGATCTGGCAATCTGATCCCGAGGAAGCCGGTGCCCGGCTCCTCAAACCTAGCATCGTCGCGATTAAACGAGGTCGTGCCGCCGCCTATCCCCGGAAAGGAAAATCAAGGCCCCGGCGGCCCGGCTCAGACGACGCTACGATCTCCAGCATCTCCGACCGAGCCGGCACCATTACCCTATCAAAGAGCTACGAGTTCGCAGCCGGAAACACCGCCGGGGCCTGCTCAACGGGTGCCTCTAGGACCTAGGCTTGCGACAGCGGATTCTTTAGAGAGGCATCCCCCGCAAGCACTGGGCCATGGCCGGGCGCCGAGTTATCCGTCAAGGCCGCCGCCACTTCCCCCGAGACATAGCGAACTACCGGTATCACCGCCATTTACCGATCCGCTTTCTCCCACTTCCAACGAGGGTCGATCGCCGTCACCTACGAAAGTACGTCCCTTCACGCCCTTCTCCCTAACGCTAATCCGGAGAGACCCGAGTTCGGGACAGCAGTGGAATGTCGGAAAGGTTGCATCTCTTCGACAGGAGAACCCGGACTCGCTCACCAACGACGAAAAGTATCACCAAGCCCTCTGCCCTTCGGTTGTCGTGCACCTGGAGGCCTCGGGATACGCCAAGTTCCGCGGCATGCCGACTAACCCGAACACAGATATGAGGGACCTCAGAGAGATCAGGGCTAGCCTGGATTTGCGTCCCGGAAGCGCGTCATCTTCTGCCACGCGGTTGCAGATGCTAGAGTCCCTCGGACCTCAGACGGGCTCGAATGCGTTCGAGCGTCAAGTTGTGATGGCCTATTCGAAATCATTCGCTGCCAACTTGCGTGACAAATTTCATCAGCATCGTCGTCATCGAAGCTCGACGGATGAGGATCAACCGGGCTCGCCAACCCCCCACCATCAGTACCACGATCGTAGCGGCAGCACGGCGTCAGCGGGCTCGTTTGGCGGCGACCTCGACGGTGAGGCTCCGGTGTCTACGCAGCCGGCGTTGGGCCTCAAGCCCCGAGGCTACATGTTCTATAGCCCGTGGGGCGGCCGGTGCCAATTCCTGACGGGCAACGCCGGCCGGAGTCTCAAGTGCCGACACATCCTGCCGACCTACGGCGGCGGCGTGTTCAACCCGCTCGTCGACGGGGCGGAGGCCGGCGAGGGCACGCACAAGGCCAAGGCGTACGCCGTCAGCGAGCTACGGTTCAGCTTGCCTAGCGGCGAGCTGTTACACGCCGACAAGCGACCGCCCGAGGGAGGCGTCCGTGCAAGAGACCAGCTGCAGGGCCAGCTCAACAAGGTGATCCAGAAAGCACAGCACGGCCTAGGCTATGACGATGACTATGACGACGACGACGACTGGCATTTCGACCTGAGCCTCGGGCGCGAGAAGGCGGGCGGCGGCAACCGCGGCAAGAGGGCTAAGATGGGGAAGCTCATCGTGTTCGACGAGGGACTGAAGATGCTAGATCTAGTAGTCGCGGCGAACGTCGGGGTCTGGTGGACGGTCTGGGAGCGGATGGCCTAAGTGCGGAGATTCGTCTTTCTACAATATCGATCGATGGAGCCTGTCGAGCGCGGCGTTCCGGTTGTGATGGTTGTGGGAGGTGAGGGCGAAAGAAAAAAGAAAGAAAAAAGGAGAACGAAACTGGAAAGGAAGTGATGATATCTGCATGGAAACGGGGAGAGGCCTGGGCTGCCTGGGTTAATGGGATGGATTCATGAGTCTATGACACATACGACCGATCGATTTACACAGGAAGATATTCATACTACCAGCTCCTGTAGATGGTCCACATGAGATACCAGGGGGCGGCGGGGAATTCAGGCCCGGAGTCGCTCTGACGAAATAGGAGACGCGTTGCATTTATCGAAGTGTTCTTGATTCGATTGGTGACTACTACTGATATACAGATATTACCTGCATATGCCCTTACAACGGTAGGAGGCGGTGCGGCTAGTTTGCATAGCAGCGACCAGCCACAAGCCACATATAACTCCCACTCCAAGCTAAGCTTCTCTTCGTTCTCCATCGTCTCGCGTCCCGCCATCGCCCGATTTTGAGATGCCCTTTTCCTCCTTCTCCTGCTCCTCTCCCTCCGCCCGCCTCCTACAGCCCCGGAGCCCCGATCCGAGCGCCACGCACTTCCTCCGAACGCCGTCCTTGCCGTCCCTCGCCCACGGCCACCCATGATCCCGACGCGCGGCCTGCGGGCCTCGCAGAGCCTGGCGGGGCCGGGGCGCGTGCGCGGCCGGCCGGTGCCGGTGCTGCCGGCGCGCCTGCTGCGCAACACGCTGCCGCCGGAGCCGGCGGCCGGCGGGTACCCGGTGCCGCCCGAGACGACCCGCCGCGCGCCGCTGCTGCCCCCCCGGTACACGCCCAAGAAGGTGTGGCCGCCCGACTTCTCGCGCCTGTCGGAGCGCGAGCAGTTCCGCTTCGAGCGCCGCTACAAGCGCCGCGTGCTGCTCGCGACGGCGCGCCCGCGCTGGGACCGCGCCGTGCGCCTCGCGCAGTGGGCCTGCATCGTTGGTGCGTCTCGCCTCCCTCTGTCTCTCTCTCTCTCTCTCGTACCAAACGAGTCCCTGGCTCGAGGGGATGCGCGTGCGCGGGCTGACCACACAGCGCGCGCGCGCGCGCGCGAGCGAGCAGGATTTCTCGTCTACATCGTCCTGTTCTTCGACGCCGGCGAGGGCCGCGAGCAGCCCTTCCAGGGGGTACGTATTCCCGTCCTCGTTTTGTCTGCGGACTCGCTGCGCGGTCGAGCTTAACCACCCCCCCGTGCAGATCCGCGACCAGTTCTGGGAGCTCTTCGCCGCCTTCTCGCCCGAGCAGCGGTACGTCCGGCGCGCAGACCCGGCTGGCGTCGAGGCCGCGACGGGCTTGAAAGCCGAGCAGCGGCAGCGGTAGCCTGAGACGCGGCCTTTTTCATCGCTGGCCTTGCCTGTATACTGCCTGCTACTACTCCTACTCCTACTACTGGTGCTACTACCACTACATAAGACCTGACACGACACGACATATGACGGGCATATGGGCGGAGTTTTAACTTATTCTTTATTGATGACGAGAGGCTTTGTTGTCAAGGGTATGGAGACGAGGGGTCTACCCCCGAAAGTCGTGTAGTGGATCTTGATTTGAAATTACGTTTTATCGTGGCGTTGTAGCTGTATATATGACAACCAAATCCCCCGTTCTCATCGAGAGACGACAACCCGTGGCTCGTGAGTGATGATAGATAGACACCGACGCTGGGTATGCTGATGCCTTTGCTTACGCCATGCCATCCCGTAGCCACGCGCTCCGGCAGAAAATAACCATCATGATAATAACAATAATACTACGGCAAACAAGAAACGCTGGCAGACAAGGCCGCCAGGGCCACTAAGGCTCAGCGGCCGGGCCAGACGAAGCCGCCGGCGACGCCGAGGCCGGGGACGGCGGCGGAGGCGGAGCGGGACTCGTTGACGGGGCGCTTGGCGACGGTGCCCTGGGCGCGGACGCCGTCGACGATGCGGTCGAGGGCGGTCTCGACGACGACGCCGCCGACGACGATCTCGGCGAGGGCGGCGTGGAGGGTCTCGAAGTTGAAGATGAGGTCGAGCTCGCAGACGTTCTCGAAGAGGCGGTCGAGGGCCTCGACGTAGACCTGGACGAGGTCGAGCAGCGCGAGCGGCGACTCGGTCGCCGTCGAGATCACGATGAAGTACAGCGTCGCGTAGTGCCGGTACGTGACCAGCGACGGCACGTCGTTGGCCTGGTCCGCCGCCGAGCCCGCCGGCGCGAGCAGCGGCGGCAGCGGCAGGAAGTTGCACGCCCCCTCCGGCCGGTTCGACACCAGCGTGAAGATCTCGGAGATCAGGCGCTGCTGGATGCTGGTCTCCTGCGAAGGGGAGGGGGGAGGGGGGAGGGAAGCGTGAGCGGCGCGGACTGGTTGGAGGTGCGGGAACGAGGATGGATGGTGGGGGGGGGGGGGGGGGGAGGAGATGGCTCCTTGTGACGGGGCGCTACGTACCAGTTGGGTGTAGAATTTGGTCAGCCGGGGCTGGCCCTGGTTGTTGAAGATCAGGAAGGCGTTGATCATGGCGGGCTGGTGTGTTGGGCGGGAGGCATTGGCGAGAGAGGGACCGACGAGGGAAGGGATGGAGTGTTGAGCTGGAAGGGTTAGAGAAGTTGATAGGAGGCGGAGGCGGAGTGGTGTAGAGGTGTCTGTCTGCAATATACCTAGTTAGGTCATCAGCGTGCGGGATGGCGGGGCCCTGGAGAGGCTGGGGGGGGGTGTGGTGGGGCACGCCGATATGCCGACCCCTAAATATTATTACAGGGGGCATCTTTACACACATCAGCCCAACTCCTCCCTTGTATCTCACCCAGCGCACTAACAGGGTGGGAAGAGATACAGGGGACCAGTTGGGCTGGTGCGTATACTCGATTATAATCGACGGGGGACATCACACAGTTGGCGCAGTTGGACAATTGAAGAGCCAGTGGTATATTAAAAACAAAATCGAGAGAGCTACAGAACGTGGGGGGGTATAACGATGCGAGAGTGCCCAACCAGGACCTATGACCGAAACGCCGATGCTACCGCCACCGCCGTCATAGGCGGCGTTTCAAAATTCCCATTCCAACCTAACTCCGCTCATAACCATCATGCGTGCCCGTCCATCCATCGGAATCCATCCATCCAATCGGTACCGTCTTATTTCATACCACGTCGATGCAATCAATGCTGAAAGAAATGCCCCGTCACAACAAGTACAGCCCGGCGGCGGAGAAGACGACGAGCCCCATGACGGAAGCGTCCAGCACCGGCCGTTCGGGGGCCGTAGCCGTCCGCGGGCCGGGCGCGCGGTTATGGAGGAGCGATGACGTAGGGTAGGGAGAAGGGGGGGCGGCGGAAGTAGAGTGGTTGGCGGCGGTGCCGGCGAAGTAGTAGGCCGCAGCATCCGACCCCGACACGAGAGCCGGGGCTTCGACGGGCAGTCTGACCGACGACGACGGCGACGGCGAAGATTTGGCACTATTGTCTTCGAAATGGGGGCGGAAAGCGTCGGTGCGAGCGGCAACCGCCGACGCTGCTGCCGCCCTACATATCGGGATGTACTTGGCCTCCGAGAGGGCCGAGTGTGCGGGTGAGAGAGCGTGGACGGCGCGGGCGTTGGAGGCCGCGAGCAATAGTGCGGCGAGGGGGTTGACGACGCTGGAGACCCGCATTTCTGCTCCTGCGTACGACAGTGATGCTACTGTTGACGACGATGTCTACGACTCTGGCGCCACACAATAAGCCCCTGGGCTGGTCTTCCGTCGTCGCGCCGGCAGGCCTGAGGTGGCCCGTATGCTGCGTATCGTGTTTGGTTCGGTATCTGAGCGGACGAGGGGGAGCGAGGCGAGGCAAGGCAAAGTAATCTCAGGTCCGTAGAGGCCGGCGCAGAGTGGTGGAGGGAGAGAGCGAGCTCGACTGCGCCGGGGCCGCGGCGTAGGTATATACATGCAGCTCTCCTGAGGAAGGGCGGGAAGGTTGGCTTTACGTGGCTGAGGGGCTCTAGCTTTGGGACGAGACGGTGGTAGGGAGGAAGTAGTAGGTTGCGTACACATATGTATAGTATTTGGTGCTGTGTTAGGTTCGAGCGGACGAGGCTTCAAGGTATATCCGTGCGAGGTCTTTTAGCTTCTGACATGACCCGTCGTAGGTTACCGGTACCGATCGTGTGTGGGTATATGTGTGGGTGATGGCCGAGGCCATGTAGAGAGGCAGGCCAGACGGCTAGACGCAGCGGACAGGCACGGATAGGGGAGGGGAGGAGACGGTGGGTAAAGAAAGTGTTGTCGCAAGAGAGAAGATAGGGGGAGACGAGCCCAGATAACAGGGACTAACTCATACGGAGGATATACTAAGAGCATGGGATCGACCAGAGACAGAATGCGGAAAGTGGGAAAGCAGGCCAAAGAAAACTTGGGTACAGCCAGGTGGGAATCCATGGTATGTAGGTGTGGGACCGTGGACGAAACCGTTCAACGGCTCGTCGATACCCCTACCTTACCTACCTACCTCCTAAGAGGTATGTAGATACACACATGCCTACTACCTCCCACTTGATGGTTGTTGTATTACGGACGGGAATCATCTGCATCTACCTGTGTCTAGGTAGGATCGTAAGGTTGGTAGGTAGGTTGGTAGGTTGGTTTCGTCACAGGAAACAAGCACGTACCCACCTACGCATACGTATTCGTTCCCCTGCCCACCCCGCCGGCCTTTGTGTACGTGTTTCATCTGTTGTCGACTCGGCTCGCGGTTCCTTTCGCGGTAAAGTGGCTAGAGGTAGGTAGGTAGGTAGGTAGGTAGGTAGGTCGGTAGGTAGGCAAGTCGAAGGGAATGGCAGCTGGGATTCTGCAGTCGTGGATGGATAGCCGTAGTGGAACCGGCGAGATGCGACGGCGCCGGATTCCCAGGCCTGGGCGGGTTTGCCTTATCTGGCGCACCAGGAGCTCGAGCGCTGTGAGCGGCCGAGGCGCCTCAGACGAAGCCTGCTGATCCACAGGCAATCTCGACGTGCTGAGTATACAGCTTCACTCTAGCAACGAGAGCACGCCGGGCCTGGTGCAAGCATACGCTAAGTGCCTCCGTGCGGCATGCGCAGGTGTCGACTGACGAGGGGAAAATCGAAGTTAGCAGGTTACTGCGCCAGCCGGGGGGGGGGGGGGTTACAGGGGGAGGGGGGAGAGGCCAGCGTCTGAAACCGGTTGGAGGAGGGGGAAGAGCCAGTGTAGCACCACCCAGATCCAGCGAGGTAAAGGTACCTACCTACCTCTCTCCCGGAACGTGAGCATGCCACCCAAAGGTCGAGCAGAATGTCGACGACGCGAGCCACTTGTCCGCTCTGGAAAGATGTTAGGTACCGTAAGATGTGCAGGTATGAATATACCTTAGGTGGTATTCTTAATGCACTTGCATTCACACATGCGCTGCATGCTGCATGCATCTAGGTATACCTAGTATATGTGTGCGTACGTCTCTTCTTCTCTCCTCTCTGACGCCTCTGCCTGGGGAGCAAATATCTCCGCCGCTCCCCTCTCCCTCCTCCTACTACGCCCACACCTACCACACGCTGCTTCTACCGTCTCTCTCCCAGCATTCCCTCGGCCAAATGAAACGAAGCGATCACGTAGCCCGAGAGGGACCGGTCCTGTGCCCGCCTCGATTACTGTATGCCACCACGATGTTTCATAACGTCCGTAAGCACGATGTTTCGGTATGGGATGCCTGTGTAAGTACAACAACGCCCGACCTGCCTCTGGCGGCCGTGCCGAATCAGTGAGACACGCATCCATACCTACCTACATATCTGCGGCCTTCAGCTGATGCCGGCCGATCTATACACATACCTGCCGCAATCGGTCCCAAGTAAACATATCGTCGTCTCCCCGGCCACCCTATCAGCTGCCCCTACCGTCGTCGCCTACCCTCTGTCTCCCCCGGTTTTGTTGGCTCTGTTCTGCGCTGATATGGGAAACCCGCCGATCGCGCAGCCCACTTTAGTATTTTATAGACACACACACACACACACACACACACACATATACCTATATCATTTGCAGATTGGCAGTAATATGCAGCGGTGTTCCTTGAACTGCACTGGGTTACCTACTAATACAGCGCGGCGTGTGCAGCCGCTGGAGACGGCCTGGACCCTTTCTAACGACGGCGTGGTCGACCCGCTCGACCTGTCCTACTTCCAGCACCGTTGGTCGGTCTAGGCCCGACCGGTGTGTAGACATCTTTCGTGGATGCTATCAGAGAGAGCACCAGAGCAGAGAGCATCAGAGGCCGATTCCGCCCATATCCCAGCCTCTCTTTGCGTCGTACTACTGCCCACCCGGCATATGCATAGGTCGCCCTGCAGTCGATCCATCCTGCGAGGGGGGACGGCGTTTCGCTAAGGGGAGACCAAAAAAGATCGAAACGTCTCTACGTCATGAGCTGCAGGGTCTGTAACTCTAGCCACGTAAGAGAAAAGAGCGCGATAGTATCAGCCCATGGAGGTGAAGAGACTCTATAAAGCTATGTGAGGCCGTCCTCGTACGGTATAGAGATATAGATGTCACCATCTTTATACCCTGTAAGCCGATCAATTGTAGGTATCTGCATTCTTCCTACTAGCTTTAGGTACCTACCTACCTAGGCACCTAAGTCACACACGCAACAGGGTGCGCACGACATCTGCGAAAACCAAGCATGAAGCCAACTATCACCTCCCACTATACCTCGTCGTAGCCGTAACCCTCGGTATTCCCTGTGCTCTCCTCTCGCCCTCGTTTCCAGCAGTGCACCCATGCGAGGCGACCGATTACGAGGTCCCGACTCGACGGGCCTTTCTCTTCCATCCCACCCTGCATGCGCCGCCGTCTCCTTGGGTATTATCCAACCGGGCCTCCCTCGTATCGCTATTATCTCCTGCATACGCTGCCTATAGTGGCCTTGCACCCTTTCTACCCTTCCCCACACGGCCACGCGGCGCGGGATCGAACGTAACCCCAACTCCAAGTCGTCGACGGGCAAACCATGTCTACCACCTACAATACGAACTATATCGCACCATGCTATACCCTACCACTCACCCGCCTCTATACCTACCACCCGGCAATAGAGCCCCGGTAGGTATACCTAGCACTGCTACACCACCTTCCCACAACGCCACACCCAACATACAGGGCATGCGCCAGCGATGACGGGATGATCGCCCGCCGGACGGGGGACCGTCACGAGAACGCAACAACTTGCCAGTCCCCCTTCTTTGGTTTTGGTCCGATGCCGTATCGGCTGCCGACTACGCTGTATGAGTAAGTAGGTATGTAAGCAAAGCGGTAGTGGCAGCTAAACCGGCAAGGGGGTGACGCGTCATACCTAGGTACATATTACTCCGCCCAGCTGCAGAACAGAAGAGATCGGGAAGAGATAATACGATTATGCGATGATAACAACGACGACTACGATACCAAAAAAAAAGAAAGAAAATTTCCAGTTATGGTGGCTTCATCTAGGTATGTTGCTAACGAATACGCTGCATTAATACATCACCATGCGCATCACTTCTCCCGAACGAACGAAAGCCGTGATGTCCCTGAAGAGAGTCGATACCGACTCACTCCAACTATCTATCTATCTACGCTCTTGTCTCCTAACGTAGTATTTCTATGATGTCGTCTTCGGCATCTTGTCGGCCGCCTCAATCGAATTTCCTGAGCCATTCAATCGGCTCCCCCCCCAACCCCCTACTCAAGGGATCTGCAGACCTGAAGAACCAGTAGAGCACGGTCGTGACCGAGACAACCAAGCCCATGGACTGGTTGATCCGAACGAACGCCCGGTGGACAGCGGCGGCCTCGCGGCTCAGACCCAGGACGCGGAGGCTCCTGATGATGCGGGATATGCGCAAGTGGTTGTGGTCCTGATACTTCAGCCACCTATGAAACACTTGCTCATTCTCGGATAACGGTGTGACTTCCACCTCTAGCGCTGGCCCCTCCTGGTGCCACGCTATGTCGAAACCGTAGAATGCGAGCATCCGCTTTAGGACGCGCCTCACCTGCTCTCTCAGCTGCACGTCTCCCCGGAAGTAGATAATCACATCTTCGTTGAGCTCTGGCGCGCTCGAGTCCGACGGCTCTGGCAGCGGGAACAACACCTGGATATAATCGTGCGACTGTTCCAGCTGGTCGTCGCTCCAATTCAGTATCTCATCGAGGGTACGACCGGCGTGATCAACCCCTCGGGTATCTGGATGGTAGAAATCTACCAACTGTTTGAGAGGGTGTGTCATTTTTTTTTCTTTCCTTTCCTCCCTATTCCAAACTGACTCGCCTGCGCAAGCCTTCGTCTCGTCTCGCTCTGGATGCTTATTCTATGCTGGGGAATAGAAGCGCGGCTTGGTGTATCCTCTGACAATGCGTGCGCTTGGTGGTGGTGGCATAGATAAAGTAACCGCCTCTTCGGGCAGAGGTGAGTCGTCCATATATAGACGTATAGACAAGACATGTAGATACTGAAAGAAAGAAAATATCCATTTTGTTATGCCACAACACTTGTGTAACAACCAAACAAGTTCAGCCATCAACCAAAGGAACTTGGAAACGTCGTTGTCCTCCCTCAAAACAACGAGAAACAAACGAGAGAGATGGAGACTCCCGACCGTCGCGCCCGGCCACGCAAGTCCACTCGCTCGGCGTCCGCGCCCGGCGCACGGCGCTGACGTCGTACGAGGGGAGAGCGCGCGTCGGCGAGTCGTCTGGGAGCCCCAGGCGGGCCTGCGCATCGAAGTGTTTATCTCTTTATCCAAGTACTGGTTATGAAGCGGAAGCGTAGGGATGTGCGGTTCGAAGTGGGCGCCGGGAGAGCTGGCGGGAAGGGCGGTCTATTAGCTAGTGTCTCCATGAGAGTGACGCTGGTCGATCTTTTCTGCGTCGAATCCTCTTCTCCCCGTGCGTGCTGTGCGGCGCCCAAGCAGCAGCAGGGGGAGGCGGGGAGGCAGGGCCAGAATGGTTGATCTCGATCAGTAGAGATCCAGCACGATATAGTAATCATAATGTTGGAGGGGGACATGATAATTCGAGAGAGGTCTGCCTGTGACAGTTGTTACTTAGGGAGGGGTGAATTGGCGGTGGCAATTATCCCTCGGATAGGAATATTGTCCCTCGGATAGAAATGCCAGCAGCACGCGCACTAAACTACATACTACCTATATAACTCGACGATTAACCCGTCGCAGCTGGACCTAGCAAACTGTTCCATCCTGTCCAATAGGTATACATAGTCAACTGCCACCATTTCGCCGAAAATGACAGGGCCCGAGCCAGGACAGAAGACGGTTCTCATCACCGGGTGAGTGGAGAGGGCTCTCTAATCATGCTTTGCGCGGGCTTTCCGGTGGAATCCTTCCCTCGTTTCCTCGTCCCGTCCTGACTCGTCCGTCTGCAGGTGTACGCCCGGGGGCATCGGCCACGGCCTATGCCTGGAATATCACCGCCGAGGTAGAGGCATCTTCGATCTTTGATTCAAGTCACAGAAGAAGAAGAAAAGGCGATGCTGATATCGCCGCAGGCCTCCATGTCATCGCCACCGCCCGCAGGCCTGAGGTGCTGGAAGAGCTTGCCGCCGTGGGCATGAGCACTCTTGCGCTCGATGTCACCGATGCCGACAGCATCAAGAGATGCCACCAGGAGGTTGCGAGTCTCACCGGTGGCAAGCTGGACATCCTCGTCAACAACGCGTAGGTTACTTGCTGCCGCAGCCGCGGGTCGCCTTCCCCGCCCAGGACCCGTCGCTCACTAGATCGCAGCGGCCGGACGCACACCCACCCCGCGACCGACATCTCGCTGCCGGACGTGCGCCAGACGTTCGAGACCAACGTCTTCTCCATCATGGCCATGGTGCAGGCGTTCGTGGACCAGCTGATCGCCGCGCGGGGGCTCATCATCAACGTCTCGTCGCTGTCGTCGGTGACGCCGTACGTCTTCGGCTCCGTCTACTGCGCCAGCAAGGCCGCCGTGAGCGCGTACTCGCGCACGCTGCGCATGGAGCTCGCGCCCTTCGGCGTGCGCGTCATGGTGTCGATGACGGGCACGATCCGCAGCAACACGGCGAGCCAGGGGCACCGCACCCTGCCACCCGACAGCCTGTACGCGCGCGCGCGCCACGTCTTCGAATGGCGGCTCGCCTTCAGCCAGAACGACTCGACCATGCCGACCGACGTCTTCGCGCGCCGCCTCGTCGCCGACTCGCTGCGCCCCGAGCGGCCTCTCTTCCTGCGCACCTGGTTCGGCCGCCCCGACTGGTTCTGGTACGGCGGGCTGGCGCGCAAGGTCTGGCTCGGCACCGCCGTCGGCGAGTGGGTCATCGATACCGTCTGCTGGTCCCGGTTCCGCATGGACGAGGTGCAGAGGCTGGTGAGGGGCGCCTCAGAGTAGAAGATACCTGCATCGCAGCGTGATTCCCCCGAGAACGGACGAACGGAAGGAGGAGTAGGTGTATCGCTACCGCGACGAATCCCAGCTACGGAGAAAACGTCTGTCGATGTGTTTTACAGTCAATAAATGCCCATCGTTTGTGTGCTCACCTAAAATATGAGACCGGTTACCACTCGACAAGGGGCAACTAATAAATGATGACAAACAGTGAGACATGCAATAGTTTATTCTTAACCCACGCTCTATAAGTAGGTAACTGGATATGCTGACAACAGGGCGAGCATTGCTGTTTCTTAACCCTACCTAGTAATCGCCCGCCCAACTAACACCTACCTACCTATTAATCCCTCTCTAGTAGATAACTACCTACAGATTCCAGTCAAGTCCCGAATCCCTACGCGCGGTACTTTTGATGCTCTTTTATTACTCTAAAGCGTCTGAAACCAGCTTTCACTTGTCGCGTGGTACGAGTGGCGATGGAATTGGTAGGTAGGTATAGGTAGTTGACGTCTACCAGTCTTCCCGGGTATGCTGCTTCTCCCTCCTCCGCCACCATCGTCGCGTTTAGTCGATTCGTCCTTCACAAGCCGAGCGGTTAAGTAGGTGCTTGTACCTACCATTTTCCGATTTGGCGATACCAATGCGACCCACGTGATCACCGAAGTTCCCCGGCTCGTCAATTTCCCTTGACGTCGACAACTTGGCCTTAACCCAATAATCAACCCACTACCGCTACCGCTACCATCTCATCTACCCATTGTCAGGATGAAGATAATCATTACGGGAGCCACGGGGTTCGCTGGGGGGGCACTGGTTCGACAGGCCGTCGCTAATAACAAGATCACGCATGCGTTCGTCTTGACTCGCAGGCCACTACCCGAAGAGCTCTCGAAACACGCGAAGCTCACTGTCACACGGGGATGGAACCCTACGCCAATAAATCAGGCCATAAAGGTTAGGAGGATAATATCGGGTATTAAAGCCGTTACTTCGGCGACTTACTAAGGCAAGTCCTAGATAAGCTTCGGATAGCTTCGGCATTAAGGTATAAAGGTATAAAGGTATAAAGGTACTTCCGGGTTATATTAAAACGAAAAGAAAACGTAAAACTTAGAAGAAGATAAGGACCTAAGAAACCTCCTATAGAATTATTAATTAAATTAAACCTATTTTAAATATATCCCTTTGTTATAGATAATTCTATATTACTTTTACCTTTATAACTTTATTATAAGTTAATAATAAGAAAAGCTTACGCCTACGCCGGCGTTATACGCCAAAGCCGATATCCCGGTATTAGTACTACCGGATTAACCTCGATCCTTTATTAAAGAACTAGAGCCGTAGGCTTTCCTACTTCCGCGATTAGCCGCTTCGGGACTAGCGCGGATTTCTATAACGGAGGTAGCTTAAATAATAGCTACGATTAATAAACTAAAGGCCGTAATAACGGAATTAAAGGCAAAAAACGCCGAACGAATTACTTTAGCGCCTTAACCGGAATTAACCCCTAAACTAATTAATAAATCCTTCGTCGTATATTAATCCTAGGAATATAAGGTAGTTATAGCGGATACTTCGGAAATCGTAAACTTAGGAGTAATTATACGTAATCTTCCGTAGTAAATCGTAAATTTATATAAGTAAATGGAATAAGTATATTAAAGCCTAGTAATACTAATTAACTAAGTCGACGTAGGATACCGATAAAATACGATCTTAAAGAAGTAGTACGAATAATTACGATAGTTTTATTAAATCGCTACGGTAATATAAGCTACCGGTATCTAAACTACGAAGATATAAATCTACGAGTTCTAGAAATAGGTCGTAGAATAAAGTATTTATTTCGCTTAGAACGTATAGGAAACCGTAGCTAAGTTTATCCGGTAAGATAAAGTACGAACGGCCGTAATAAATTAACTTCGAAACGCCGTACTATAAAATTAACGAGCCTTAACCTAGCTACGCGAGAAACATAATAAATTAATAACGGACGTTAGCTCTTAGGCTACGTAAAAGAATAAATAAATTAACGAAATCCTTAGTAAAAAATACCTTATCCCCGGGGCTATAGAAAAAGAAACCTAACTAATTAAGAACGACTTTAAAGCTTACGCGGTTAATTTAATTAAGGAATATTAATAACGACGACTAAGTAATAAGCTAATAGATATTAAGTTTATTATCGTAAGAGCTAGCTAAAGGATAAGAACGCCTACTCCCGCGCCGGATACCCGTATTACGATAGCGTTTACCGGAAGATATATTAATAACGAGGCTAAAATAAGGGAAATTATTTCCGACGGCGTACTCTAAGACGCCGCGGCTAAACGTACCGCCGCGCGCGTAAGAATCCGTTTCTAGGACGCCGCGGTAAACGCCTTTATATTAAGAGGAGCCGGGTAAAGACTACCGTAACCGCTACGGATCCCGCGGAATGCCTTAAGGAATTTAAAGGATTCTAACGACTCGGATAACTTAAAATCCGGGAACCCGTAAAGGCCGCGACGCCTACCCGGCGTCCCTAAAAAACCGTAAGAACCTCTCGACCCGGCCGAGGAACGTATAGTTAAGGCTTAAACTAAAGCTATAAATAATCGATAAAGTATTACGGTAACTATTAATCTAATATACCTTATTAAGCCTACGGCTTATAACGGTAAGGACTTAATTAAGTTCCGATTATAATAAATTAAGGTTAAATCCTATCTCGAAACTTATAAAGAAAGCTTTACCCGGAACGTTTAAAAGATTAATTAAATAAAATCGATACTTACCGAAAAGGCCTAGCTCTAGTATTAATAACGGCTAACCTAGGTAGAAAGGTTAATAATCGTTAATACTTAGGCGGGATATTCCTAAGTACTTTAAGAACGGTTTAAAAATCCCGCCGAACGATATCGTAACTTTAAGAAGATATAAGAATTAAAGTATTAAAGAGATATCTCTTAATACCTTACCGAGCTTATAAACTTTAACGATATCGTCTAATAATCCGGAATTACCTTTTAGAATTATATCGTCCGTACCTTACCCGACGAAATAACTAAATTAATTTATTTACGATTAAGTAGCATCCCCGAAAGCGATAAAGCCTTCCTTAAAGTAATTAAGGAAGCCGGTTAAATCTACGAAAATATAATAACTAACCTAAGGATTTCGGGAAAAGGAAGGTCCGCTTCGTAAAAGGAGTATACGAAAGCGGATTAATAATAACGGTAACCCGTAAAAGAAACTCGCTCCTATTTAAGTTAACCGGTAAACGAACGTAAGGAAAAGGATAGTAAGAAACCCGTACCGGCTAAGGACTTACGATAGATAGGTAATAAGGAAGCTTTAGCTAAGATTAACTAAGCCGTTATTAATTAGCGAAAGAAGAATAAGAAGGCCTACTAGAGATACGGAAGAAATAATTATTAAACCTTAGCTTACTTCGTAAAAAAGGACTTAAAAGGACGGGACTTACCGGCGTTACCTAAGAAAGTCTTATCGGGAAAAAGAAAAAGGAAAGAATCCGAATTATTATTTAATAAAAGGACTAGGATCGATACTATTATACGATAAGAGGAAATTCTTTCCCGTATTATAAAGCTATCCGACTCCGATAAAGAACGGGATTTTTAAATGCCTTTCCGTAAGCGTTAATAAGAAAAAGGGGCGATAAAAATAACGTAAAGATTATAGCTACTAAACGGCCCGGAACGCCAGAAGTAACGGAAGCGGTACTAATAACGAAGAAATTACGAGTCCCCTAACGTAACCTAAACGAACTAAGGTTAGGTAAACGGCTTATTTATACGATATAAATAAAATATTAAGGAAAAGAATACCCCTTACGAGTTTTCCTAGATACCGGTAGTAAGGTACCTTTAATTAACGCCGCTAAAGTCGAATAATTACGCCTTTTTATTAACTAACGCTCTAAGGCTAGGACTTTAATAAGATTCGACGGCTCGGAAATCTCGTTAGAAGGACTTTAGTATATAAACGAAATAAAGCTCCGTAGCTACGAATATATCTACCGTATCGCTTAGAAAGTTAGTAAATTAAACGAAGAGGTCGATATTATCCTACCCTAGTAATAAATAAAGGAATATTTCCCTTAAGGATTATTTATAAACGAACGGCTATACTTTAACTCGTTACGGTATTAAAATTATCGCTTACGGCTAGCTCGCGTAGGAATAATACGAAAAGTAAAGGCTTTAGTATAAGTACCGGAATAATTTCGCGACTTCGTTCCTATTATAACTAAAAAAGCCGAATAACGGTTCCTTAATCGGTAACCGTAAGACTACGCTATTAAGCTCCGACCGGGAACTACTCCTCCGTAGGGACCTTTATATATTATAAACGGACGATAGCTAGACGCCTTAAAACCCTAGCTCGACGAAATAATAGCCATGGGAAAAATCCGAAAATCTAAGGCCCCTTACGGTATATTTATAATATTTATAAAAAAAAAGAACCCGGGCGCCCTAAGACCGGTAGCGAATTACCGGGAGCTAAATAAAATTATAATACCCGTCCGATATCCGATCCCGTTAATTAACGAATTATAGAACCTATTTTAAACGGCGCGGTAATTTACTAAGATTAATCTAAAATCGGGGTTTTATATAGTACGGATTAAGAAAGGCGATAAATAAAAAACCGCTTTTAAAACGCGCTACGGGCTATACGAATATATAGTTATGCCTATGGGATTAATTAACGCCCCCGTTATCTTCTAGGCTATAATAAACTATATCTTCCGCGACCTCTTAAACGCCGGGGTTATCGCTTATTTAAATAATATCCTAATTTATATTAATACGTTAGAGGAATATAACTAATTAATTAAAGAAGTCTTAAAACGGCTTATAGAAAATCATTTAACGGTAGCCCTAAAGAAATATACCTAGCGAACGTAAGAAGTTAAATTCTTAGGATATAATATAAGCCTTAGGGGTATTATTATATCTAAAGATAAAGTAGAAGCTATCCTTAATTAACGTATCCTAGCTATACTTAAAGACTTATAAAGCTTTATTAGGTTCGCTAACTTTTACCGTAAATTCATACGTAATTTCTCGGGCATAGCTAGGTTAATTACTAGCGCTAATAAGAAAGACCGTAAGTTATGGAAATAGGAAATCGAGATAGAGAAGGCCTTTTAGGAATTAAAAGAAACCTTTACGAAAGCTTCGGTACTTATATATTTCGACCTTAACCGAGTTTTAATTATCGAAACCGACGCCTTAGATTTTATTATTTCCGCGGTCCTCTTATAAAAGGATAATAAAGGAAAACTAAGACTAGTAGCCTTTTTCTTACGACGACTTATCTTAACGGAAATAAATTATAAGATATATAATAAAGAACTACTAGTAATCGTCGACGTATTTAAGAAGTAACGATATTATTTCGAAAGTACTTAGTATTAAATAGAAATATATTCCGATTATTAGAACCTAACGTACTTTACTACGGTAAAAGTATTAAATCGACGCTAAGCCCGCTAGGCTTAATAGCTTTTTTCGTATTACTTTATAATATACTATCGCTTAGGGAAGTAAAATAAGAAAGCCGATATTTTATTTAAATTATTATAATATCGCCTTAAAAAAGGAGGAGCTAAGGATTAGCCGATAGTAACGGTTCTATAGGAAAAGTATTTTTTAAAAAATTCAGGCTTACCTACGGTAATATTCTCTAGCGTACGACTAAATAATATCCTAATATCCGCTTAGACCTTAGAATTCGTTAAATAGGTTAAAACGGTAGCTATATAAAACCCGGAGTATTAAGCTTAATTAATTAAATTATTCGGTAAGGAAATAAAGCTTTAGGAAGGCCTTCTCTATCGACGAAACCGTTTCTAGATACCTAAGGACTTATAATAGGAAATAATTAAATCGGAATACGATATTAAAGTAACGAGGCATATAGGTATAAATAAAACCATAGAACTTATTACTCGTAACTTTTAGTAACTTAACCTAGAAGTAATAGTTAAGGAATTCGTTAGAGGATACCGCGAGTACTAATAAAATAAGGTATCCCGATATATCCCGTTCGGATTACTATAGCTTATAAAATTATATTATCGACCATAGCAAATAATCGCGATAGACTTTATTACGGACTTATTAATATCTAACGGTTACGATTTTATTTAGGTTATTATAAATCCCTTTACTAAGATAACGTACTTTATCCCGCTAAAGAAAGACGGTAAAAAGGCCGAAGACTTAATACCTATCTTTATACGTAATTATTAGCGGTTATATAGGATCCCTTTAGATATTATTTCCGACCGAGACTTACGATTTACCTCCTATATATAAAAGGACGTCCTAAAGCTCCTCGGCGTTAAGCCTAGAATAAGTACCGCCTTTTACCCTTAAACGGATAAATAAACGGAAAGACTTAACTAAATCTTAAAAGCATACCTACGCGCCTTTATAAATTACGAAATAAGCGACTAGGAAAACTTACTACTTACTACCGAATTTACTTATAATAATACCGCTTTAATAACTACTAATATATTATCCTTTTACGCTAACTATAGGTAATACTTAGTAATATATAACCCTCCTTTAGGTATTCCTAAAAATCCAGGAAATAACCTTTATACTTATTAAATAACTCGGATATATAACGAAGCTAAGTAATATTTAGAAAAAATACGGTAGCGGATAAAAGGATAGGTAAATAAATACCGAAAGAAGGAACCTCTTCTAAAAATCGGATAGCTCGTTATATTAAATACCCGTAATATTAAAACCAAGCGTCTTATAAAGAAAATAAATAAGAAGATATTCGGTCCCTTTAAGATCTAAAAGGTCGTCTCCCTTACCGCCGTAACTTTAATACTCCCGAAAGGCTAGCGTATTTATAATACCTTTTACGTATTCCTTATTAAACCTTATCGCGCTAGTAATTAGGAATTACCTAACCTTAATTAGGTCCTACGGAAGGTAGCCCCGATCGAGGTAGAAGACTACGAAATAAATAAGGTATTAGATTCCGTAAGGACCGGAGAAGTTATTAGGTACCTAATAAAGTAATAAGGCTAGCCGGTTAAGCGTTACTAGACTTAGAAACCGTAGGAATACTTTACTACCGAAGGAACGAAAGGAGCCGTTAAGTTATTCTACCTATAGAACCTTAATAAACCTATTAACTATCGGGCCTAGGTATTACGCTTAAGGACGAGCTCTTCCGAAAAAAGGAAATAATATTATACGGAAATAAAACCCTACGCTAATAAATTAAGCCATAAAGGTTAGGAGGATAATATTAGGTATTAAGGCCGTTACCTCGGCGACCTATTAAAGCAAGTCTTAGATAAGCTTCGGATAGCTTCGGTATTAAGGTATAAAGGTATAAAGGTATAAAGGTACTTCCGGGTTATATTAAGACGAAAAGGGAACGTAGAACTTAAAAGAAGATAAGGACCTAAGAGACCCCTTATAGAATTATTAATTAAATTAAACCTATTCTAAGCATATCCCCTTGTTACACTCACCGTAATCGAGCACAAGGACTTCTCTATCCACCCACCAGAGCTTCTAGCCCAGCTTGCAGGGGCAGAGGCGTGTCTCTGGTGAGCTATTATTCTACCAACCCCAAACGTAGTGATCGGGGGCTAAAAAGACTCCGCAGGGCTATCGGAGGCCGCGCCTTTGATTTCCCCGATATCGAAACGGCAAGGAAGGTCTCCGTTGACTATACGCTGGCGGCCGCGAATGCCTTCCTCACCGAGCTGTCTCCGAAGCTGCCGGACGCACAAAAGTTCCGGTTCGTGTTCTGCAGCGGGAGGTTCGCCGAGTGGGACCAGAACAAGACCCTGTTCATGCTGAGTAATACTCGACGTATTAAGGTGAGCTGCCTTGGAATTCACGCTCTGGACGCTTTTACGGGCCTGCTATGGTTGGACTTCTTAGAAGCGCTAAGTATATTATGTCGTGTAAAGGGTCAAGTGGAGAAGGGCCTTCTCGACCTCGCCGACGCCAACAAGAACAGGCTCGAGGTATGGGTCGCGCGGCCGGGCGGGATCGTGAGGAATTACGCCGGGTTGATTAACGTGTTCACTGCCAACACGTGCGGATTCATCGCTGTCGACCAGCTAGCCAAAGCCATGGTCAAGATCGCGCTTGACGGCTATCCAGACCGGATTATCGAGGCGGATGCGCTATTGAAGATGTGACACCGCCCCGGGACCTGCGCTGGGGAAGGGGGAGAGGGCGGGGGAGATCTCAAAGTCGAGCACAGAGAATCCCGACAAGGGCGTAGTGATTCGACACTACTTGCTAACGACTCATCTCACCGGCTTGATATTGTTGAGGCTGGGCGGGAGGACGCTTGGTCCCTCCTTTATACCACAATTATACTAGGTGTTCCACAGTCCCTACTGGTATTCCTTCGAGGACTCTACGCGACATCGTCTGAAGTAGGGTGAAGCAGATAAAGAGGACGGCAATAGCTCACTTCGGCTGGAACCGATAGCCAGAATAATCTATACTGTACTACGTCAATGTATAGGTATATGGTCAGTTTCTATTTACGTTGACCGTACGCCCCATCAATTCCAGGGTTATTCCCTTGTGTTTATTATAGGGTCTATTTTAGACTGATGTATAATCTCAAGGCAGACATTTAAATGCTGACAGGGTCCATCATAAATATTGTCAACCCTGTTAGTGTTTGTGGGCTCATTCACGATCCGTACCCATATACAAACAGACTTAGACTGAGAGCGATCGTACGGCGCCGATGTTCGCAGCGGATACATCCTGATCCTGGAGCAACTGACGATCGGGACGCCTACCAGCACACACGAGGCACTGGGATACAGGGTAGGAAGGAATGTAACAAGCCAACGGAGGAGGATGCGGAGTAAATACTACCACATAAGGAAATACATTGCGGCCTCTGGGGAACACGCCAACGGCCTGATCCCAGCCAGGATGACACGGGACAGGAGATAATTAATTCGTCGAAGGGGTCCCAACCATTTAGCTATTGGTGGGTGGCTCACAGCTGTCCCCCCGGACGTCGATCTGCTTATTATTAGAATAGCATCTGTTAGTGTCGACTCTCATGCATGTAGTCTAACAGGGAGCTTGCGAGCCGTCGCCGGTGCTGGCTCTACTACGTAGTATGTGCGTACCTGCATACAACACCGACCTACCTAATATATATGCTACCCATATCGCCGCCCCGTCATGCCGGCTGAGAAGCAAACAGCAACAAGCTGCCGTCGACGTGGTGTGTGGTAGGATGCCAAGTGGCCGGGGGAGCAGGAATCGGTTGGGCCAGGCTTCGCTTAGGATTGCTACTCTGCACAGCCGCAGAATCAAGGCCGTGAGATTGGAAGGATGCAGATTCCCCTCTATCCGGAAATCCGTCGCTGCCTTCCCACGCCTACAGATACCCCGGGTCGATCCTTTATGACGGAGCAGAAATACTGTCCTCTCCTCCCGCGCGCTCTGAGGCTCTCTCTTTCTCTCTCGCTCGCTACCTCTACCTACCTCACGCTTACCCCTCCCCTCCCCTCCCCTCCCTGCCGTATACTATTCGTCTCCATTCCTGACTTTCGCGCCTTGGGAGGACCGCGGCTTGCGCATTCTGAATACAATAGCTAGATGATATGAGGAAGTTCCTGGGATCCCTGATCGCAGCGGCGAGCGTGGTCAGCGCGACGGTGCCGACGCTGCGGGCGCCGGCGTGCGCGGTGGGCAAGGGCAGCGTCGAGTACAGCAAGTCGGTGCCAGACGGGGGTCCGTTCCCGCGGACGCAGGTGGGGGTGTGCTACAGCGAGACGGCGATCGAGATCACGTTCACGGCGCTGGAGGAGGAGCACTTCTTCTTCAACGCGAGCCAGGGGACGAACGACGCGATCTGGGAGTACGAGGTGATGGAGGCGTTCGTCCACCGGGGGACGAACGACCCGCAGACGTACCTCGAGTTCGAGGTCAACCCGAACAACGTCACCTTCCAGGCCTTCATCCACAACCCGTCCAAGGTGCGCGCGGCCGGCCGCGCCTTCGACACCTTCTTCGTCGCGCAGCCGCTCGCCGACGGGCTCGCCGCCCGCACCGTGCTCGACCGCGCCGCCCGCACCTGGACCTCGACCGCGACCGTGCCCCTCGGCCTCTTCAACGTCGACCCCGGCCGCGCCCGCGGCACCGCCTGGCGCATGAACTTCTTCCGCACCGTCGTCGCCCCCGACACCTTCCCCGACCAGCTCCTCGGCGCCTGGAGCCCCCCCGACCAGCCCAGCTTCCACATCACCCCCTTCTTCGGCAACGTCTACTTCGTGTAGCGGCCTGCGCGCGCCCGCCGACGCTAACCGGCCGCGCTCTAGATAGGACGAATTACTAGTAGTTCAATACGAACTTGGCTCGTCTCGTATTTATTAGTGAGGCGCGCGCGCGTGCGAGAAGGAGAAATCCTGCCGCCGCCGCCTGGCCTATCGTAGGGACGGAACCCCTCGTATCCCACCCCGCATCGCGTGACAAGCGTGACATTGCCCGACCCGTCGAATAGGCGCTTGGGATGTTCCCCCGGTGGCCCGATCGACCGCCGGAAATTTTACGGCCAATCGCCTCGTGACCTCGCCACCGTAGGGGTACAGCTGAATTGATGCTGTCCGTAATGATACGCTATTTCGGGACCTCTTAGTACGCTCCGTATACGGCAACATGTGTGTTACCTAGGTATATATCATGCGTCGGGTGCCTAGAAGAGACGTGAGCGAATCTAGACACCGGCTAGGTATGGAGTTGACTGGGTAGTAACATCTCTGAGTGGTTGGTTTCACAATCTGAGGGCTAGTGTCGATAGCAATACTAGGATAGACCATAAACATAGGTACTTGCGTGGCAGGGCGTGACATGAGAAATGCAGAAAGAGGGTTGGGTAAAAGGGTGAGATGGATTTCTTAGTAGCTCTACGGAGTGCCAATACTGCGTAATGGCCAAGGCTTCGATCCCATTACGGGGCACTGGAGACACCAGAACGCGTGTTGACACAATCCGTTGCCGCTTCCACCTACGAACTACACCGCTATCAGCGTTCTAACCGGCAAATACTCTTCCGAGTAAGTTTGATTCTCGGGTCTTATAGAAGTTACTGTACGTATAGAGAATCTCTTTCTCCTATAAAAAGGCACGGTATATAGTTGCCAAAAACTCTTACACAGTTGAATGCACCTTTAGAGTCAACTATCACGTAGAAATGTGAACGCCAATACATCTTAATTTGGCTACCTAGGCTCATATGTGAGCTTTCTATGCGAGATTAACGCTAGCACTTAGCGAGCGAGTGGGGCTTCTGGATGTTAAAGGTTGGCAATCCTAGCTTTCAAAAGAGAATACTGTTTCATGGTGATAATGGTAGAACGGCTGTTGGGTTGCTCTTATCGCAAGACTTGAGGCTCCGGAGGAGGGATTTTAGTTTGAAATTATCCATAGTCTGTCCTAATTATCGTATCTACTCATAGCTGAGCAATAACAACAGAGACTGTCCCCTCGGACTATCGTTGTGAGAATAGATCGAGATTCAAACGTTTTTCTTTGTATGTATGTGGGTATGAACTTGGCTAACCTATGCCAGCAGTCCCCATCTCTACCATAGGCTGAAATTTATACCTACTTGGCACGTCCTAAGGGGAACGTGCAGAACAATTCTATTTAGAAGGATCAGATAGGATTTCTACCACCACAGGCAGCCCTATCCTCCTCGGGGATCTGACCAATAACACCTCCTTTCTTGTAGCTGGGTGTACGGTGATCATGTCGTCCCTGTCCGCTTTCGGCTTGGCTTTTACCAAGAACCGTGGCGACGGGATCCGAGATGAGGCAGTCTACACCTCTATGTGTAAGCGCGACCTTGGCGGGAAGAGCCTAGTTTGAATATGTACGACGTATGATCTTTGCAACGTAGTAGCATCCTTGGGCTAGGCTGCAGCGATACCAAAGAGAATACCAATAATCAAGGCGTGACTCACTACGTCTGCTTTTCTTTTCCTTTTTCTTTCTTTTTTGACGTGTCCCTTCTCTGGTCGAGCAGGACAATTGCACAACTAACTCGCCACCTAATTTTGCCCTTCATCAACCTACCCCGGGCGCGACAACACCACGCTAGAATCGCTGACCGGGATGCTTGCTCCCTACACACCGATAGCCGTCGCGGCCGTGCTCCTCGCCGTCGCCGCAACCACCGCTCGCGCGGCCATCCCGCCAATCACGGGCCGCGACTTCGACTTCAGCGTGTCCTATGAATCAGGGATCGAGTTCTTGACGACGGCGCCGCCGGCGGACATCCTGCCGGCCGAGGACGTCGTGCGGCGAATACCGCGGCTTGCGCTGACGGACCCGGACGCGGCGGGCGCGGGCCGCGACGCGCTGTACCTCGCCTTCGTCGAGGTGACCCGGCTGCCGACGGTCCCGGGGCCCGACGAGCTCATCTACGCGTTTCCGTGGATCCAGTCGGACTTGCGGGTCGCGGCGGACGGGACGCTTGAGCTGCCTGTCTTTAGCTCGCGCGCGAGCCGGAACCCGACGCCGTTCGACACTGGCGAAGTCCGCAATGCTACCCTCCACGTCTGGCGCCAGACCCCTGAGCTCCTTGCCTTCATCGACGATAGCGACTGGCCCGTCTTCTGGCAGGTCGCCCGAGTCTGGTCCAACTCCACCGCCAAGGTCTCGTACGACTTCTCCCGCGCGAACGTCGACTTCAAGACCCGCAATGCGACCGCCCCGCCTCCTGACGACGTCAACGAGAGCGCCGCCCCCGCAGAGGAGAGCCGCACGTCCACCGCGGACTCGTCTTCGATAGGGTGCCCGGCGGCTAACACGTCGGCTACTCCCAGCGAGACTTCTAGCGAGACGGGAACCGGAGGTGACTCGGCGGCTGCGACGACGACTGGCGCAGAGGCCCCTACTGAGACCCCCCTGGGGAGCTCTGCCTCTCAACTGTCCTTATTATTGACTCCTATATCAATGGTCGCTTCCGCCATACTATTCTTCACTTGGGCCATTTGAACAGCCTCAGACACGGCATAGGGTGTGTCCGCTCCCTTCGCCCGGCGATGATCTACCCTGAAAGGGCCCTCTCGACGCCGAGAAATCGGGTCGAACAAGTCTCCAATCCACATACATCCGAGTATGTAACGAGAGAGGGCTGTCACTAAGAGATCGTGGTTGATGTCCTGTTAGACACCGCTGGACCTTTATTCACCTCACATGGCCTTGCTGGTGTGATTAAGGTGAAACCTCGACCATTAGATACCGCGAGCTGGTCACCGGCCGAAACATCCACCGTGGATAGTCACAAGCACGCACTTGTCGTTATTCGTTATGACCGCCATAGAGACAGCATAATTAGTCGCGTGCGCCGCTACAGGTGAATCGGGAGTCAGGACAAATTGTATCGGGATACCTCCTACCATAGATGTATCATCCATCATATATCCACGTACCTAATTATCATACCTCAATACCGAAAGCTTTACATCCCTCCGTTTCCATTTGATTTAGCGTCTAGGCTGTTGGCATGGTCTTCATGACCGCGTCGACGTATGAGGAGACGATGAAGCATTCGCGATCACGTAGATACCCACGCATATGTGGGTACATGGCGGGAAAGGATTTGCCGTCGGCGCAGACGCTTCGATATCAACATCTTCATTCGCGAAAAAGCCCACACCCTGCACGTACTTAGCACCTCAATGTTCCATGACCCCTATTGAATTTGTCACCTGGGGGAGGGCACAATGTTGGCTTAGTGATCGTCGTCGTCATCACTGTTTATCTGTTTCCGTGGCCAGTCTCGGGCGATATCGATCTGGTCCCTCGGCCAGAACCACTCGCAGAGCACGAATATCAAGTAGTCGATGATCACGCATAGGCAAAACAGCTTCCCAGCCCACACCCCGCAGCCGTAGTAGCGTTTTAGTCTGTCGATGAGGGCGAAGTTGCGCCCTCGCGTAGCGCGCCAGTGCCGGTCATGACCAACATCAAAGCCGTAGAATTCCGCCTCGCTGATATCGCCGGATATGCCTCGGTAGATACGGTCGGTCCGCTTCGCGACATTAGTCCACGAGTACATAGACTTCACCTGCTCGTGAAACTTTTCCGTCCGAACCCTGTTCGCCCGGAGGGCCGCAATAGCTCTTCCGGTCGCGGCAACTAGGTCGTCCTCTTCGGGCTTCGCAAACACAGTCATATGGGACGGTAGGACTTCGGGGATCCCTCCAACTGCTGTACACACGACATAGAGACCACAGCTTGCGGCTTCGACGATGACGGTACCGAAGGCTTCGGTCAAGCTAGGGTGCAGATAGATATGCCCTCTCACCATGACATCTCTCACGTTCTCGTGTCGCACAGGCCCTAACATTTCCACCTTGTCTTGCAAGACGTTCTGTTCAATCATCTGTTCTAATTCGATGGCTTTAGGCCCCGACCCGGCAATGATGAATCGCGTGTTGGGGTGGTTCTCGAGGATTCTGGGTATGGCTGCGGTGAGGAGGTCTGTCCCTTTGTTGTAAAAAAGACGACTAATCACTACGATCGTGAGGGTGTCGTTAGGGCCGAGAGGGTGTGCGGGCAAGGGGTGCTGGACGAATGCCATCGTACTCGGGTCGGGACGTGGAAGAGGTCTGAAGTTATCGGAGACAACAGCATTTGGTATGACAGATACCATGAGAGGATCCAGAGATGCCCTCAAGACCGTATTCTCCTTGCTTCCGAGGACATGAGTACAGGCCTAAGCAAGAACCACAAGTAGGGGGGGGAGGATCGGTGGGGGTGTACCATGTATTACTAACGCAGACGACATGGTCCACGTCGCTCAGAGTAAACTTCAACAGCTTATTCGTCAGGATGCTCGCCGCGTCGGCGAAGCCAAATAGCGAGTGGTCGGTGAAGACCGTTCGCAATCCCATCGTTCTAGCATGGAGCATGGCCTCCTGACACAGGCTACTCAAGCTCGCGTGGCCATGGACAATCTCGATACGTTCCCGGATGATGATATTACGGAAAAGCGGGAAGAAGGAGAAGACGGTGGGAAAAGTGGCTGAGCGATATATGACCGCGAAGGGGACGTGGAAGACCTTGATGCCGTTGGTAAGGTAGCGGATGCCCTTGCGATCGTCGTAGGCATGGGTGATAACGATCACCTTGTGGCCGCGGTCAATCAACTTGGATGCGAGCTGGTAGATGTGGCTTTCGATACCCCCAGGCTGGGGAAAGAAGAAATCGCTAACCATAGCGATGTTGTAGGTGCGGCGCGGCATCGTGGCGGACGATAGTCGTAGTCGCGATGCGGGCGGGAACCCCGAGTCATAGTCAAAGGCTGATAAACGCTTCCGCGAGGGCTATGAATTGGTATTCTGGGGTTAAGGACAAGGTCTCCTTTGCGGTTACCGTGGAATGCGATTTGGGGGAGTTGCGGATGGGGAGAGATAGTTGCGGTGCTCAATCTCAGTAGGTAGCTAGACGTGTGTGTGTGTGATTGACGGTTTAGAGGACGTAGATAGGCGTGTAAATAGGATGTACAGATGAGCGACGGCGAGAATTATCAGTACTACAATTAATACGAGTAATAAGAACGGCAACGGTAATAAAACCTAACAAAATACTGGACCGCGAATGGTCTTGCCCTCGAGTCTAGCGCAACCTAGCGCGACCCAGCGCGACCTTGCGATACTATTTGAAGCTGAAGATACGAGAAGTATAGTAGGTTGGCGAACAGGACGGACGGAGGGGTGTGTGCTCGTTAAATAGCTGCCATGGTTGATAAGGGGACAAGAACAAGCGATAATCGATAACAGATTACGCCTGGCAAACACCTGGCCAATAACTGAGCACAGATAAGAGATAATGAGGGCGGTCGGTTTATATGCGACGGCAGAATTACGAGGCACCCGTAAAAAAATACCTACATTGCCTTCAACATCCATATACGCCCATCTGCCAAGCAACCCAGCAAAATCATGGAAATTCACGTTATAGGACGTCGCCAATAACGGCAAATGCGGAGCGATATTTGAAGAGCCATGTATCAACGAGAGACCGGACCTACTAAAATGAACGCGCGACACACGCGCCCCCCAAAAGGTGACCCTGTTCGGAACTCGGAGTTGCGACGACCTGCCGAGCCTACGTCAACCCCAACATCAACGCCGGCGAGGCCGCAGCCCTATGCGTACGAGCCTGTGGTACCAGCCAACCGCTTACCCAATCGCAGTACCGCCTCTCAGCCTGTTCGCTTTGAAGACGACATCGACCATGAGTCCCCAGCAAAGAAGGCTAGGATAGCCGAAGACGACGGCGCTCCCGAGCCGAAAAAGAGGAAGTCCAAGAAACTGAGAAAGTCCAAGAAGCATTCTCCAGCTTCGGTAGACGGCCCGGACGAAGCAACCCATGACGAGCCCACGGAAGTCCCGACCGACCACGACGAGTCGAGCAATAGCAATAGGCCTATGCAATTGGATCCATCAGACCCTCTAGAAACGGAAGAACCGCCCCGGGACAACCCCTCAGGGGCAGATGGCGACACAGCAAAAGAAAGAAAACACAAAAAGAAGTCAAAAAAGAAGGGCGAGCTCGAGACAAATACCGAGGCCGGGGAGGCCGCCCCGAAGTGGCACCGAGCGGTGCTAGAGAAGAAGGCAAAGTCGATAAAAGTCCCCGAGCCACAGAGCATACCGGAAAAGCCGGATGTTTCGATGGTAGATGCGCCTGAGGCTAGCGACGCTATCGAGATTGATACAGGCATGCCAGAGCTTCACGGACTTGAGCCGCTACCACAGCCTAAGCCCGTTATTACCGATACGACAAAACCAACCTATGAAACACTGCCTCCTTGGCTCGCAAGGCCGATTCGTGTTTCACCGCAGTCCACTTTGCCTTTTACTGAGTTGGGTGTCTCGCCGGAGTTGGGGATCTCACCCGAGATAGCCGACAGGCTGTCTACGGGCGGGTTCAAACAAGCATTCGCCATCCAAACTGCCGTGATACCCCTACTTCTCCCTCACCGCTGCAAGACAAGGCACAGCGACGTCTTGGTATCGGCTGCAACTGGCTCAGGGAAAACTCTAGCCTACGTTCTACCTCTAGTGCGAGATCTTAGCCTGGGGAACCGCCACCTAACAAGGCTCCGCGCCGTGATTGTTTTGCCAACTCGGGAGCTTGTTAGGCAGGTTCACCAAGTATGTGAGCAATGCGCCGGTATATTTGCCCTCAATGGCTTGAAGAAGAGAGTTCGTGTCGGTATGGCAATGGGTAGCCAGACTATCGATCAAGAACAGGCGGCCCTGGTTGAGAGAGAGGAGCGCTATGATCCCGAGGGTCATGTAAGACGCACCAAGAGGCTTGCCTCGGGACGGGGATACGACTCTGCAGAGGATTCCGACGTGGGCTACAACACTGAAGACGAGGAGAAGGGAGCGATCCGCAAGAGGGAGGACAGGATCCCAACGCTACCCGACCACGTAATTATCTACCACTCTAAAGTGGATATTCTCATTTGCACACCCGGAAGACTAGTCGAGCACATAAAATACACCCCGGGATTCTCGTTAGACTTTGTCCGCTGGCTTGTCGTCGATGAAGCTGACAAGCTACTCAGCCAGAACTTCCAGCACTGGCTAGATGTCGTTATTCCGCCTTTGCAGGCCGACAACATGGGCTCACGAAACCATAAGCAATGCAATCTTTCGGGTGTGCGCAAAGTCATCCTCAGCGCTACCATGACGAGGGATCTCGATCGGCTGGAAGGGCTGAAGCTTCGTCAGCCAAAATTGGTTATCCTCGAGGGTTCAGGTGCCGCTGACGAACCGGAGGTTAATATTACCCGACCAGAGCTTGCCCTGCCCGAACTCCTCGAGGAGGCTGCGGTCAAAGTCAGCCATGCCAATCTCAAACCCCTCTTCCTCCTCGATTTGCTTCAGAGCAGAGAGTTATTAGGCCATACCAATATTAATGCACACAGCCAAGACCCCTCAGACGACGAAACTTCATCATCGGGCTCGGACTCTGAGTTGGGGTCAGTCTCGAGTTCGAAATCATCATTCAAACCCTCCGTGGCGGGGGGCGCGGCTAGTATTTTGGTGTTTACCAAGTCGAATGAGACAGCTCTACGGCTCTCACGCCTCCTCTTGTTGCTTTCACCAGCCCTACGCTCAGTAGTTGGCACTGTTACGTCCACAGCACAGTACTCCACCCGTAGACGGACGATACGATCCTTCGTCGCCGGAAAGCTGCGGGTTCTGGTCGCATCCGACCTCGTCGCCCGCGGCATAGACCTACCTTGCCTAGATCACGTCATCAACTACGATATGCCTTCGAGCGTAGCTTCGTATGTCCATCGCGTGGGCCGTACTGCTAGAGCTGGGAAGACGGGTAAGGCCTGGACGCTTTATACGAACCCAGAGGCGAGATGGTTCTGGAACAACGTAGCGAGTGAGACTCTCATTCAAAGAAGCAGAAAGGTGGAACGCATTAGGGTCACGGAGGAGAAGGAGGGTTCTTTCGACTTGAAGGTATCTGCCTACGAGTCAGCGCTCGCGAAGCTAGGAGAAGAAGTGAGCGAGCCAAGACATCGAACACGGTGATATTACTAGTAGTGTACGACTATAGGTCACGAGGAAAGGCTGAATACGAGTAATCGATACGAATTTATGGAGCGAAAGGACAAAACGCACCGCACCTAGAGTTGCCACGCCATCCAGTGCCATGTGACGACAAGACTCCCAATGCGGTTACTTGCCGTCGCCTGTCTTACCCCGCGGGATGACAATCGAGGTTCGAGGCTTGGCTAGGATGCGTGACGCGGGCCGCAGGCATGGGCATCTCAGGGTGAGATACCGCTAGACGGCGGGCTTTGGCGTTACATATCGGCCCTCACTGGGTGTTAGCCTCGAGGTAGGCGTAGTGAAACCCCCCCCCCCCCTTCGGTGATTTAGACGCGAGGTTACTCACGCTGCCTCCCAAGAGAAATGCCTCATGGTATCGCCCTACTCTTACGTTAGAAGTTGATAAACGGGACATTTCGACACGCCAACAATGCCCCCGGGGACCTTCATGGATCAGCGTAAGCTGTCGCTCGTACAACTAGCTCACGTCCGACTATTATGCACTAGGAACACGCCGCCCAATCGAGAGTTTTACAGGGTAATGGTCACGAACGAGGATGCAGACAGCTGCGAGCACCACTAGGACGACCAGCTCCCGTAAGCAAGCCTCTCGTAAAGTTGAGCAATGCCGAATCGTGCTTATTGACGCCCAGGGAGGGATGGGGGAAATGTTGACCGACTTTTGTGTGTCTAACACTAAAAACTTACCACCTAATACCGCCTCGGTCGTTGGACTAGTTAGGAGCGAGGCTGAGAAGGACTCCCCCGCAGTACGACAGGAATAGCTTGTACGGGCTATACTCGCCTCCGCTAAGGCAATAGCCTGTTCATCACCCTACATCACCTTAGCGTTGGAGGGACACCGGAATAATGAACCGACTATGGGGCTTGACCGGTCAGCTGGTATTCTGGCAGCTCACAATGGGGCCTCCAGCAAGCTTATGTTGTGACAGTGCCGGTTTTTATGCCTCTCGAGAACTCTGCAAATATACTATGGCACAGTTTCCCGTCACTCATCACCCCAGATCAGGTATCCAATCAGATAGAGGCCGCCGTGGCTAGTTTAGTGTGACCGAGGCTCGCCATCTTAACGCAAGCCCGTAACTGCCCGACCATAATATAGAGTAAAAATAGACTCCGTAGAATTCGCCCGATGTATGACTCGAGTATCGCCATGTTAGGAGAGGCAGCCTGCGGTATAACGAGCTCCGGGCTGCGTGTGGCACTACGGGCTTCGAGCCAGCGGTTTGACTAGTAATAATATATAAGATTGGGTTTCTCCCTCGTGGAAGATGAGATTATCTCTAACACCAACAGCCAGCTTTGCTTGACCGGCAACGTTGCTTAACACTAATTCTATAATTCACGAGCCACGCCTCATACCTACCTACCTCCTAACTCCTAACTCCTAATAATCTTTAACCGAAAAAGGCAGATTGTTTGTCTTACCGTTCGATCATCAAGATGAAGTTCACCACTGCTGCCATCGCCCTTCTCTCCGCCGCCCTCACGCTGGCGGCGCCTACTAGTCTTGAGGAACGTCAGGAGCCTGCCTACGTCGGCTTCGCGGTGCCTTCGGTCCTCAAGGTCCACGACATCCCGACCAACCTGAACACTGCCAGCACCAAGACGTCGACGCTGCGCAGCGGAAACCAGGAGACCAGCACACTATACGACATCCCGATCCCGCGGGCAGCGGCGGGGCGGACGTGCCGCGTCGTGCTCCGCTCTGGCGCCGCGGGCGACTTCGTGCTGGGCACGCGCACGGTCGACCTGTTCAGCAACACGTTCACGAACCTAGCAAAGCTGACGTCGGGCAACCTGCGCAACCAGCACCTCGCGCGGCTCGTCTACACGCCGAGCTCGGGCCTCTACGCCTACGACGAGAACACGGTCCCCGACTCGCCCGCCAAGAGCTTCCCCTGCCCCGCCGGCACCACGCTCCACTGCGAGACCGTCGCCGTGGGTGGGTACTCCGTCAACGTCATCGCGCAGGCCTCCGCCGCGGGCACGACCGCGCCCAACGGCATCAGCGTCGGCTGGTACTAAGCTAGCGTCGGTGTGCTCGTAGGCGCCCGCCGTCCTCACCTAAGTCTGCCTTGTCTGACCTGCGGCCCCCTCGGTGAGGTGGTGGGTAAGCACTGACACACCACGTGTGGCATGTGCCCACTTGCCTACGTGCGCTTGCATAAGGTGGAGTTGTTGGGGTTGTCTTGAGGATAGGTTTCCTACTGTCTGACATGCCTTTTCACTCAAACTATGCTTATATCATAAGTTGTAGAAAGGAGTCGCCTGGGTGGGATGATTATGGGCCGGAAAGCTTGGACAACGGACGTTCATTAATATTGTTCACTCACCTAATTTTTACCACGCGATACCACTTGGTACCTAATATACTCGTCCACAATTTAACGATCCCAACTCTTCCGTAACCCGAGTTCGAGTATTCCTACAGAGGCAACTTGTATAGCTGTTACGCCTGGGCCCTGTAATGGTCAAGGTTGCCATAGACATCAGCCTCTCCAACTTGATAAAGTAGGTAGCACGATAGCAGCTCTCTCCGTACTAGAACTCGTCTCTAAGAGCGGGTTCGGCACCGAAGAGTGAGAGTGGTAAGTGGTAAGACGTTATGTCCCCGATCTAAGCTACAAAGAGCGCCCCCCCCCTCACTCCCTAATTAGTGTACTATAAGTAAGTAGGGCGCAGGGATTGCGGGAATACTGAGAAGTGTGATGTGGTAATAGCCTATCTCCGCTGTCCGCGTAATATCAGTTTGTCAAGGGATGGGAAGTAAACCAAATCACGGAGTCATCCCATATGTAGGTACTTGATAAGCTACAGGTGCCTATCTGGGCACTACTTACGTATTCACAAGCGCATGCGGTTCTAGTTCTGAATTTATACGAAGTCCAAGGGGTGGAATCCCCCCTAGCAATTAGGCTTGGAGCTTCGGGGTGACTGCGGTTGATGGGGTGGATAAAGTTTAGTTTGGCATTACGGCCAAAAAATCTGATGCTCTACTATTTAGACACCTGTATGGGGTATGAGTTAATTTGTAGTTCTGGCTTGTTTGGTCTTCAGCCGGTTCTTTGTTGAACAGGGGAGAGGATCGGAGGACTAGGCTCAACCAGAATGCGATGGCGGGTTTATAGGTAAGCAAGGGCCGGGTGGTGGGACCCGGGGTTCTCAACTCTAATATGGCAGAACAGGAGAGACAATACGAGCAACAGAGTTTGCTGAACAGCACGTTTCTTAGAATGGAGCGGCGGAACGTGGTTCCAAATTAAGAACATCCAGGCGAGAAAATGCCAAGAGCTGTCCGCTGACAAGCAGGGCCAATATTAACAATTTGTTATGGGACCGGGACGTAGATTTATAGAGCTTTCTACGCTGTCACTTGGGCGGTGCTAGTCTCAAATTGGGTGAGTTAATAGAGCGAGTGTTTCAATTTAGCTTCTACCTGGAGAGGCTATAACGATAGGATAACGCGCGTCCAGATCCAATTGACCTTTCCAACGTGAAGAAACCATCCTACAGGTTGGAGAAGGGGGGAAATGGGGTCCGAAAAAACAAGACGTTAAGTGCGGCTGGCGATGGGAAGGGATGTGAGTGGTGGCCGGGCCCAAGTCGTGTTGCCACCAGGTGTCGTATTACATGCCCCGGGTCTCGATCGAGTTGAGAACCAGCCGCGTAACTTGAAGAAGAAGAAGATCCATCCTCGCTAGTCCATTGATGATGTCGACATGAGTTATGCAAGCCATCAGTTAACTGTATCGGATCTCTAGTATTTCTGTTAATTTTGCTCCCGGGCATGAGACGAAAGGAGTTTGGACCTACCCAAGCCTGAATTCCGACCGACTGAAATTTGATGGAGGACTCCGAGCTTAGGAACGTAACAAGGACGGACACACAGATCCCCAACCCATCATAGACTGCAGTCTCATCAAAAGGGAGTTGAACGTGTTGGCCGCTTAAACCGCCCCTTTGGAAGATTGTTTTGCTGCCGGCGTAAACCACCACAGTGCCGAGATTCGCTCCTGTAGAGTTGAAGTCGACCTTGACAGCCTTCAGATTCAAGAAGTCGCTGGGAGGGCTAGGGATGGGGAAATGAAACCACGCAGTTGTTGGCTTGGGACCCCCTGGCGACCTAGCCGAGGCAGAGCCATCTTCCATGGATATGGTGAGTGACTGCTCGGAATCTTTGATGGCGCCAATGCCATGCGTGGTGATCCATATATTATCATCACCCATTGCGTCGGCCTATGTTGACGTAGGAGTTGAGGAGTTGACGTTTGCAAAGTAATGTTCTGGTAATTGGAGGGAAGTGTCTGGTTGAGAAGTGGCATCCAGGTGGTTCTTGTGTAGACAAAGGCACCTATATATAGGAGTAGAGGTCCCTATACCTAATACTCAGAGTCACCGGATCGGAATATGATACGCGCTCCCATTCGGCAACTTGCTATGCTTGGGTTGTATCTTCAGTACCTTCAAGACGTTGCTCTGCAGGGGCATGCGTCGGCGTCTACCATGCCAGCTTTCAGCTGCCTTTGCTTCTCTCCCTGTTCGGTTCAACTCAGACTTGACACATCTAAACTGAGCGCTTTTCTGTTGCCGCCAGCGGTTGCTATACGATATACGCCGATTTCTTTTCAAAGGCCACCGTGCAGTTAAGGGGTGGTAGCGAATCAAAAGGTGCAAAGGTGTGGTAACATGTCTTTCTGCTTGTATTGAGTCGTCACCTTGTCCATCATGGGGTTCTACTCAGCTTCAGTTGCCAACTTTGGGTATAAAATTCAGCTCTCCTCAACCCAGGGTTTGTGATGATCTCCGTACTCATACAGAGCCTGATGGAGAGGCAATCTGACATTGCCCAAAATGACACAGGAGGTTACGCGGCAGCAGTAGCGTGACGACCTGCCGAGATAGTCCATTGATAGATCGTGCTTCAGGCCAGTGTTCACCGTCTTTCCCAAATGTCCAGCAGCCTCGCATCCTATCGTATTATCGTGTAATGCGCCACGGAAGCGACACAGACTTCTCGTTGGCGTTCCTACTTGCACAGCGCAGCAGGATCTCTTGACCTGGTGCAGTTGCTTAATAGGGGGAAAGCTTCTCAGGTTTGTCAACTTATAAACATATCCCCTGGGGAGCAACCCATAGTTCAGCAAAGTCAGACCACAGTCGCATATTCACTAATACTCCTACGTAGGCATCCAGCAAATTCAAGTGCATAGGATATCCAGCACCGAGGACTCGAACTCGTAATGATGAATATAATATCCGTATTTTGCTCATGATGAAAGAAGGAACGTCTTTGGGCGGTGTGTTCAGAGCCGTCACTCGCAGGCTGGCCGATGGGCATCGTACGATGTCGGTTGGCCTGGCACTACCTATCTGACGAACCAGAGGCTGGGCGCGCTATCAGCTAGAATCAAACCCTGTCCTGGCGCAGGCTGTGGAAGCAATGATGACCGAGAAGGATCTATAATATTTATACAACCATGGTTCATATCTTGAACACGGTAACGCATGCTGTCAATTCAGCTACTCTGTAGCTCGGGGAACCAGATAGGCGGTAAGCCTAGGACTTATTACCGGACGTGTCCCTCATCGTGAGGGGTTGTGGCTCCGTTTTAGGCCTCCACCACGCCGGGCTGAGATTCGCTGACCTCTCTCTCCCGTAGGCAATTTCGACCCTGGAATCGATGCATCCCGCTGTTATCGTCGCGATTCAGCTCTGGGATACGGAACAATAGCAGCACGTAGCATCGTGGACCCCATCATCCCGGGAAGACTAGGATGGGGGCACTACATTTCTACTTTGTAAACGCATAAAACCCCGAACGAACAGGAAGCCTCCGCCCTCCCCCTTTTCCCGTTTGGCGTTTAATATTCTGTAATTCGAATACCTGAACTCCTAGTAGTCTTTCACTCCGAGTGTTATGTGGCTACCAAGAACCATTACCAAATCTGCCTGTAACCCAGATCCCAACAGTACACAAGATAGGGGGGAGTCAGGCAGTACGACCACAGCTTAAAAAATGAGTGCTTACAAGAACCGAAGGTTTGTTTAGTTTATATAGTGGTATCAACAAGCCAATACACTTTCTATTCCCGCAGATGGGGGTAACGATGTGAATACCATCCCACAGTGTGGTCCTATTATAGAACGGCAGAGCCCGAATTCCCCTGGGCTGGACCCGGGGTCACCACGACCGAGAAACCACGCATTCTTTTCGAGAGCAAGTTTTGGACATAGAGGATTAACGTTAGGCCATGGACCCAACCCGAAAAGATAGCCCCAGAGCACATTGAGTTCTCAACCAAATTCAACTCAAAGCGCCGGCGCAAACGTCAGTGGAGACATTAGCTTCAGAGTCAGGGTCAATGCAACAGATGTCGGTTTTTGCATGGGTCTACCGTCCACACGGACACCTGGAGAGACAAAGAGGTATGCTCACGCAGGGCGTCGTGGATGACAATATAAGTTTGATGCAGCAAGGATAAGCAAGAATTTCACGACACCGATGCAGATCCATATCTACGTATTTGGCGTTGGAGACTCTATGTTTCGAACGGTGGTAATCGACGATGTTCTCACATTAGGGGCCCCTCAAAAAAATTTTCTGTCAGATATTTGGGGTTTATTTCCATCTGTTCAGCCTCGCATCACACTGTTCTCTTCACATAGGTTGGTGCCAACAAGAGAAGCCGGAAGTCTGACACAAGCCCCCAGGACTAGAGCGGGGACCATACCAGCACAACATACACAACCGCTACACACATGCTCATGCATTCAGAGTTACTATAGATAGAATACGAGAACAACGCAAGAATACGATTCGCGCACAATACGGCCGGCTGGGTGTGGAACAGTACGACGCAGTCAATATATAACATACGGGCGTCGATAGCAAGCACCTGTCATACTGGGGTCGAGTATATGCGGAGAGGCGACCAGAATGCTACCTCAAGGGCAATATCTACATGCATGGCAGCGCAGCCTCACTAACTGGCTCAAAAACCCTGTTGGTTACGGGCTGCTGATAGCTGAGAAACGAATGACTTCAGCTTGTGGCCGGAACGCCCCTACGAGCCTGGCCTCGGATCGCACCCGGCTACTCTTAACATGGGCAACGGCAGCAATGCAATAGGAGGCCGTGGACTGGTTTGCAAGGCACATTGCCTAGGCTATCTCTAGGCATATTATGTGGGAGAAGTGTATAGTCAGGTCTTTTATTTATCTTGTAGATGGGAAAGACGCGCCCCGTACACCAGCTCACACCTCATGCTGCCATATTAACCCCCAGAGTACTCTCTGCTGTATACCTCGAGTGAGCCTTCGTGAGCATTGCTGGTCAAACCCCCATCGCATTCCACACACCCGCTTCAGTAGCCACGACGTAGATAACATGAAGCAAAGTCTATATATATGCTTCTAATGTCTTGCTCAAACAGCCCCTCTGTGTATTAAACGGGTATCAATCCTATGTCTCCACCATCCAGTCCTAGTCAAACCCTTCGAATTCGTCCCGTATACCGTCCCCGTCTCTAGTAGTAGTAGGAGTAATAGTATCACCACCCTGGCTGTACTTCTCCCGGTTTTGTCTCCTCACCTCCTTGAGCAACGTCTCTAGATCCGCCTCCCGCGCCCGCTCCTCGTCTGTCAGCGCGCCGCGCCGCGCCGCCTCGCGCTTGCGCATCTTCTTGTCGCGGCGCTCAGCGCGCAGTTCCTCTTTTTCGCGCTTCCCGCTCCAGGCCTCAGCGTTGCGCATCCTCTTCGCCTTCCTGGCGGCGGCCCCGTCTTCTTCCCCCCCCGCGTCCGCGTCCGCCCCGGCCCCCCTCCGGGCCTCGAGCTGCCTCTTCTTCTCCCGGTCCGGATTCCGGTACGCGTACGCGTCCCAGTCGACCTCGACGCCGAGCCCGCGGCCCCCCTCGAAAGCGCGCAGCTCCGGCATCCGCGGCAGTCGCAGCAGGCCCCACGCGGCGCCCAGGTCCGCCCAATCGAGGTCCGCGACCCGGAAGATGGACGCCGCTGTATGCGCCGCGTAGCTGCGCACCCAACTGACGAACGCGCGCTGCGCCTTGTCGTGGATCCCGCGGTCGCGCCGCACGACCTCGCGGATGCGGCGAGTTGCCTCGACGGCGTCTTCCGCCGCGACGGCGACAACCGGACGCTCCAGTGGGGTTATCGGCGTGCGCCGCACTTCGAGGAACGGCACGTAATCAGCCTCGGCGGGCTGCAGAAGCACGACGCTGAGTCCGCGCCGGCCCGCGCGTCCGGCGCGCCCGCACCGGTGCAAGAAGGTCTTCGGGTCCGACGGCGGGTCGACCTGCACGACAAGGTCGACTTGCGGGAAGTCGAGCCCGCGCGCGGCGACGTCGGTCGTGAGCAGGACCGAGGTGCTCGCGCTTCCCGAGAATTTAGCAAAGTTGCGCTCCCGAACCTTGGCGTCAAGCTTGCCGTGTAGCGGTACGAGGTCGAAGCCCTCGGGAAGGAGCGCGGGTAACACGTGCGCGAAGTAGTCGACAGCGGCGCATGTCGACAGGAATACGATGCTCTTCTGCGGCCGCGGGTCGAGGTTCTCGAGCAGCCGGGCCAGGCTCGGCATCTTGTGACTCGCTGGAGTGACGAGGTAGCTCATCTGGAGGCTCGCTGGGGTCCTCTTCTCTTCGATAATCCCACCGGTTTTCAGGCTCTTCACCTTAACGGCGATCTTGACGGGGTTCCGCAGACCAACTCTAATAATCTCACCCACAGCTTCACTGACGCTGGCGCTGAACAGTCCCGTCCTCCGCTGCTTCGGTAACCGCGACAAGATCTTCTGCAGGTCCGCCTTGAACCCGAGGTCGAGCAGCCTGTCCGCCTCGTCTAGGATGAGAACCTCGAAGGAGGACTGTGGACAGTGCACATGGGGAGATGAGAGGAGCTCGGTCAGTCTTCCAGGCGTCGATACCAAGACGTTGGGTGATACGCGCAAGAAGAAGCTGAGATCCTGGGCGGTGGTCGTCGTGCTACCTCCGGACAGGAGTTGAGGAATGATGATAGGCTCGCTCGTGGCTGGCCGCTTTTCCTCGCCTGAGAGATATGGCAGCAGCTCAGAGGACGGGGGGTGGAAAGCGATAAGCGAGGATAGGGCTGCGTGAATCTGGCCGGCAAGCTCCTTGGTGGGGGCGACGACGATGGCGGCCACATGGTGCCGCTTCGTCGGCTCTTCTAGCCTCAAGATCTTATGGACAAGAGGTAGGAGAAATGAATACGTCTTTCCACTCCCCGTAACCGCCTGCTTTGTGTGTTAGTTATGGTGGAGACACGGCGAAATGATTCGCGCACCTCTACTACCACGTCCTTGTTCCCGCCCCCGAAGAGCGGCCATACGCTGGCCTGGACGGGAGTGGCGCGGGCGAAGCCCATACTCGAGACGGCATCGAGAATCCATTCAGCCAGCGGCGGCGTTAGTGCATCCCAGGCTCTGGGGTCCTTCTTCGGACTCTTCGTATGCGGCGTCGCCATCGTCTAGTGTGCTTGCGCATGGGATGTGCCCGGTGTGCTCAGAAGAGCAGTTCGTTTTCCAGGAAATTTCGAGGCATGCGCCCAGTCATATTTAACTTATCGATAAGATAATGCAATTAGATCAGCTATCGACGACAGCCGCCATTCAACTGGCGAAACCTCGACAACCCGCCCGCCGGTTTCGATATTACATAACACCCACAGGCTTCCACCGGCCAATCAGCTAAGAAAGTAATGTAATAGATCCAAGTCGCTCCTCTGCGTGTAAGAAGTAAAGAATTACGAGACCGAAACTCATTTCCACGAGCTGTGGGGTTTGAAAGAAACTGCCTTAACTGATCCCTCAATAGTGAGAACAACGGACAATCCAGGGAAAATAGATGCCTACGTAAACAAGTAGACTTGGTAAACTTTTTAGGTTTTCGGTAGGTACCTAAAACCGGCGGTAAGTTCTCGGAGAAAGATGAAAACAAGTATAGCATCTATTAATACAAGCCATTCTTCGGCCCTTTGCGCCCTTGCACCGGTCTTCGTAGTAGACTGGCGCCCCGACATTCGCTTTAAGAACTTTGAGTACTAACGACTTTTTCTGAAACTGGAGGTTATCTACATCCCAAGGTATCAGTAGGTAAACTAGATGCGGCACTCCGCGAAACAAGCCATTGTCAGAGAAATCAGATATGCTAAACTCCAAGCTGTCTAGAGACATATTTGAAAGGGTCTCTATAGCTGTCTTCGATCAACCTTATCCAGCCCGCGTATTCCCCGCTATTATTCATGAGGCTCTAGACTCCCATCTCCAGCAACTGTAGCCCTGGAAATATCATGTGCGCTGGATAGGCCAAAATACGTTCTTGGTTTATTAGAAGCGGCCAATTTCTTCGCCATGGTCTGGCTTGTGTAAGCTATACTACGGTAGGTGTATGGCTACTGGTAGGTAGGTTTGGAGCGTCTTATAGACCGAGGTGGTAGAGAGTGACCAGTAACGTAAACTGGGATGTTCCACAGCCTGCCGAGCCGATCTTGAACTTGGGAGAATGGCGAGGAAGGAATGCCGGTAGCCTCGTACATGTCGGACTTCACGATGCGGAATGGGTGACACCAACGTGTGTGCCACTACGGAGAGAGGGATCTGAAGGCACGACGTCCCGCCGGGCTGGTCAGATCCACATAGCCGGAGTCGATGGTCTCTATGCATACATACGCGTAGGCAAATGTATCATTGCTTGTGATCAGACCCAGAGGCTCGGTGCAGCTGCTCCACAGGTAGGTCAAGGGCTGACACTTTTCTGTTGGAGCAGAAGGTAAAGGGGGTCAAGATGTATTATTATAACTGCGTTCTCGTTATGCCGTCGGCGCCTACACTTTCCTGTTTGGCTTCTCGGGTTGGGTTACCTGTTACCTACAATTATGTAGGTATGCGTACGCCACGGGCATCGATGGGAGCAAATAAGCCTGTGGACACGAAGCCTGTGGACACGAAGCCCGTGGACACGAAGCCCGAGGCGGCACATGGCAATCTAAGGTGCGCATGCCTAGGCGGTGAATTGGGCGTTCGCACTTATCAGCTATAGGTACATAGGTAGGTATTCATCTCAGGGAAAACACGGAATCTGGGTAGGCGACGGGGGGTACCTACCTACCTATTGAATGAGTGGGTTCTTAGGAGGTATTGTAGAAAAGGACCTAAGGTACCTAACAAACTGCACATGAGGTAGAATAAGGTATCTACCCCTACGATGTTAGCAGAGGCCAGTACCTAAAGACATTGGGGTTAGAGATGAGCAGGTACCTCCTGTCGGCTGAACCGAGGTCGGATAAGGCCCGTACCTCTCTCAGCAGACCGAGTACAGGAGGCGCGGGCGACGAGATAGGTACCTAGGTACCTAAGGTATCTACCCACGTGCACGGACCACACAAAGCTCGCACCGGGGGAGGGGTGTCGTAATTGTACTACGTGTACGTACCTGAACAATGCGACTGGGAAGGCCGTGGAAGGAACGGAAGAGTGCTACCTTACCTATGACGGCAGGCCCGGACATGTCGCTCGCTCCTGCTGGTGTCCGTGAAAATTTCATTCCCATCCATTCCTTACCGTTCCTCGTCACGCGAGCCTATCAACCCTCTCCCGATCCTCGTCTCGTCGCTGTGCAGACAGACTCCTGCCACTCTCTCGCCGCTCTCTCGCTGCCAGTTACCTGCCTGGCTTTGCGTCGTCCCCATATAGATCGTCTATCTAGGAGCGCCATCTGTCCTCCCCCTCGCTGTCGCTCCATCGTCCGTCCAAATCTGGGCTGCACGGCCAGAGCCACGGCCCCCACCAGCTTCGCCACGAGAAGCAGCGCCATGCGGCAGAGCGCTCCTCTGCTGCATCGCCGACGTCCTTCACCCTGGATTCGATAGCCCTCCTCACATCTCACCATACCTACTCGTCCTCCGTACCCGTCCGGCACTCGAGGAAAGACAAACATCTCCACTCTGCTTTCTGGCCCCTGCGATACTACGGCTTGCGGCAGAACCTTACCGGCACCGTCGTTGCTTCTCCCCTGCCTCTTTTCCCCTACGCCATGTCTCTGCGCGGAAAACCCGCCGTTCCTGCAACCCCTCGGGTCATATCGCCCAGTCCCGCGCCATCCGAGGCCCGGGAGGGCTCGCAAGAACCCTACCTCGGCCCCATCACGAGATCCGCTGCCAGACGTCAGCAATCGAGCGGTGTTGCGACCCAGAAACCCCTTCGCGAGATCCCCGACTCGGACTCGGACCCGGAGCTCCGGAGGGCCCGGACTCGATCGCGAAGCCCCATCAAGTCCCGCAAGGTTAGCGGTCTTACGGCTGTGAGACCCGGTCGCACGTCTCGATCGAGACAAAAAGAGGAGGGCAAGACGGAAGCGCCGAGCGCCGGCGTCGAGATTCAGAATGGTCACCTCGCTCCCCCGACTCCTAACGTGTTCGCGTGGAGCTGGCGTGATTTCAGCCGCAGTCCCAGCCCCCTCGGGCTGATCCCGATACATCGGCATTTCAAAATCTTTATCCACAAGCACGAAGTGCCGAGAAAGGTGCTGCACGTATCGATCGGCTTCCTCGTATACTGGCTCTACGTCAGCGGCACCCAGACCTCTTCGGTTACGCCCTATCTGATGGGGGCGTTAATCCCTATCGCAGCCACCGATTACCTGCGGCACAAGTACGCCACCTTGAACCGCCTCTATGTCAGATGCCTAGGCGCTCTGATGCGCGAATCCGAATATGATGGCTGGAATGGGGTCATCTTCTACCTCCTCGGCGCCTGGATCGTTCTGTACTTCTTCCCCAAGGACGTCTCGGTCGTGTCGGTGATGCTCCTCAGCTGGTGTGACACCGCTGCCAGCACCTTTGGCCGGCTGTACGGAAGATACACGCCGAGGATCCGACGGGGTAAGTCCCTCGCCGGGTCCCTGGCTGCTTTCCTCGTCGGCGTGGCCACGGCCGGCTGGTTCTGGGGTTTACTCGCCCCCAAGACTGGTCCGTTTCCCGGAGACGACGAGAACCCGTTCATGTTCACGGGCCTGTTACGACTGCCAGAATTTGCCCTAACCGCGCTGGGTCTCTCTGAGTCCCAGGGAACGATTGGCGGCGCCGTCGCCCTAGGACTGCTAAGCCTATGGTCGGGCTTCACTGCGGCGGCTAGCGAGGTGGTTGACCTCGGCTGGGATGATAATCTTTCTATCCCGGTGCTTAGCGGCATCGGAATCTGGGGGTTTCTTAAAGTGTTTGGATAGGGTCGAGCCCGGGTAGACAGTTTGTCCCTCTTGCTCTGGTATGCGTGTGTGTTCGAGCATTCGGCGTTGCAGGTGGTACTTATGCGCAGAGCTCTCCGTTTGGTCTTGGTAGACGGATTATATAAGTAGACATGATGACGGCGACGGGTACGGCAACACTCACCCAGCTCGCATAGCTCAAAGGTATAATGGCCACCTAGGTAGAGATGTTCATTCAAGTAGGCGAGAGAGGGGGATTCTGGTTGATAATGTCACATGGCCTATCTCCTATCGAGCTCGGCCCCCCCCCCCCATGTGTTTTCCGAACGTAGTTCTCCGGCATTGAGCTGCCGCGCTAGGCTGGTTTCGAGGGTGCCAACCTGACCCAAGTTCGCCTTTGTATCCTGCAGGTCCGTCTCGGATGCTGGATGGTTCTCGGTGACCGGGTTGCGGATGATGTGCATGTCTCGAGCGAGCCAAGCGAAAGAACAGAAAAGGGGAGAAATTGTTATGTACGCGGAGCCTACGGACCAAGCCACCACTTTTACAGCCATCTACCTCCGACTTACACAACAGTATCTCCCGACGGGCTGGCGAACTGCCGCCCAAGACTGGCCACTAGTCGCAGTCGAAATCTAGGCAACCTGCGGTGAATGAGAACGACGGCGCAGGGTTGACATCTATTTCGTGGGATTGACTGGCTCCGTCTTCCCACGACAACGAGTGAGTGGGTGGGAAGACGGGACAATCTCGAGAGGGTGCCCCGGGGGACGCAATCGACCTTTCTAGGTGCCGTCAAGACACGCTCGGCTCACCCATCCACCCTATGAGAGATTGCCCCATCATCACATCGGCGCGCGAGTCCTTCTCGACTGCATGCGGATCCAGCCAGGCCCTGTAAGTTGCTTTCCGCGGCCAAGCGAGTTGGTATCCACACACCTGCCCCGTTGCCCTACCTGGGTCATCCGGATTCCTTACCTCTCTCTCCTTTTTTTTTTCCCTTTGTAATTTATTTCCGCCGTCCCGATTGCTGATCGGTCCGTTGGTGACTCGGACTTTTGTAGGCCTTGGCCCCATGATGAGTTGGCTTACGCGCGAGGTAGCATCTGCCTCCCGACCCTACATGAACAATCTAAGGGTTGCCGAATGCGCCGCAAGTCATGTGCAGCCGGCCAGTTCCTTCGGGGCGACGCCCACGAATTGTTATAGTGGTCCTACTATCTAAGTACGACATCGTTCTGGACCAAGCGTATGCTTTCTATTCAGCGGGCGGTCAACCGCCCTTTGCTCCGACGGCGTAGGCGGGAAGCGGAAGACGACACCCACTACTACTGGATATGGATAAGGTATCGTCGATTCCCCTCTCTCTTCTCTTTCTCTCTCTTTCTTTATCCCTCTCTGCCGGACGCGAAGAGACTAGTCCACTTAGTTTGTCCTAGCTATCGCGGATCCAACGTCTTTGGGGTTGACTCCTCTGCGACTGCGACGGATGGGGATAGGAGGAGGATAGTTAGGTCTCCGGCCGCGAATGGCAACGCCTCTCCACTCGTCCCTCCGACGGGACCGTGGTCCGCGAATGAGACGGGACCTCTCTTGAGAGTAAGCATGGCTCTCGTTAGCTCTTCTCAGATTAGCCTCCCGCTCGTGTCGATCTAGAGGATGCTGCCCCTCCGTTTCCCGACCCATTTCGCCCGTTCAGAAGAGGGTTGATCCCGGCGTTGTGCAGTCCCAGGTCGAGACAGTCCACGACCCCCCCTCCCCTCCTTCGGTGTTTCTCGCGTGTGTCGGCGGCGCGCGCACGGTATTGGCATGTCGCTAGCTGGTCCAGGCCAGCGAACTCGGGCGCAAGGTTGCAAACTCGTCATAGCCCAGACCTCTCACCGAATTGGCGCTTCGTCCACTTGCCGCGACTCGTCTCACGGATGCGGTGTCTCTGAACCCAATCGGCGAATGTAGGCACAATTGACGATGTAGGTTACTGTGTATTGATATTTGCACTGGTAAATTTGTTTTTTTTTTCTTCTTCTCGGGTTGCTCCGTGGGACCCTTGCCCGTTACGCGTTATCCTGTCCTCGGATAACGTGGGCAGGCCAAAGTTTTCCCTCCCTGCTCTCCCGTCTCTGTGTGTACATAGGTATGAGTAGACGTGTATGAGTATGCGCTCCTCTGCTACTTGTACGCTTACCCGTTTCAAGGCCCTTGGACGCCAGTACGTGGTCGGGCGTGTCCAATTTGTTTCGTAAGACGTATGGATCAACGGAACCTAACCCGAACAGGAGGGTTGTCCCTCTTTCTTACGCACCCAGGGCCATCGGTGCCAGCGCATCATGCTTCCTGGCATCTTGTGGTAATGCCATGTACATCCGCTCACAGCCGCCCCTGCGATCGAAGCTCACTTACACCACCCACTTACACCACCCGCTTGCACCAAATTTTGCTTGCCTTCCCTCTCCCTCCCGTGCTGTGTCGCGTATCTCGACGCGGAAGAGTTTCGGTGAGCGAAGGTGGGAATCGCGTCTCCACTGGCGTTGTCGGGCCTTCGGCGGGCTTCGATCGCAACGGGGGAGACCCAACCTGCCTGCGGGCCCCGTCTGAGGCTCACCGCGTCTTCGAGAACTGGCCCTCTCCCTTCCCCCCCCCCACCACCCTGCGCGTGTACCTAACGTATGTAAGTAAGTAGGCACATGGGTACAGCTCTTCCGTAATGCCAGGTCGGCAACACATGGTAGCAAGACTAAGGCTGGAGGTGGGGTAGAGGAAGAACAGTTGCTTAATTCCTCCCTTCGACGGAGAAAGCAGGGCAGGGCAGGGCAGGGTAGAGCGACGAGATTAGGCTAGCGAGGCAGAAAACCGTGCTCTCTTCTTTCTCCCACTTCCCCACCACCACTGACCTCCACCACCGCCAGCCCAACCCGGGCCTGGTACGTAATTGTTCCTCCATCGTTGGCCTCCGCCGCGCCCCACGCCTGGGCTCGTACCTGAATGTACCTGTTCAAGTGTGCCTCATTCGCATTGTACCTCGCTGTAGGTTAGGCACATACAGTGGGTGGTAGTAAGGTATTTCCCCTTACCCTTCCCCCCCCCCTTCCACCCCCATTCCGCCCTCTCCACCCCCTTCTTCCCTCCTTACCTCATCCAAATCCCCGTCGGCAGCGCGGGAATTTCTCGACATTTCTGACGAATGAGAAAATTCCTTTTCTTCTATTTTCCTTAAATCCCTTCCCCTTTCGACAATCGATAATTCGAGACGAGAAGCGGAGGGAATATATACATTTTTTTCTCAAAAATGAGATAAAATAAAAATAGCTGAACCCGTACGCGCGGGCCACGACAACGGCACAACTCGATTGCCCAATTTAGAAGAAGGCCGGGGTCGCGGTCGACGTTATTTCTTGCATCACCACCCCAGGCATCGACTTCTGTCTGTTTCGCGGGAGACCGCAGCGAAGACCGAAATCAATAAGCAGAAGGGGATCGATGGGGAAGAAGAAGAAGAAGAAGAAGAAGATTGTTATTATTATTATTACTATCTATCGGACTTTGGCACCTGGGTGCATTCGTTACGTCGACCTCGGCCAAGAAAACGAACGGCAGATCGGGCGGAGGTTGAAGAGAAAGAAAAGAAAGGGAAAAAAAAAGAGAGGGAGAAGAAAAGGGAGGACAAAGGGTGTAGATCCTATTTGTCTTCTTCCCCAATGACGCTGTCGTGATTCGGCATCCTAAAGAGGTCTTGAGAAGAGGAGGGGGGGAAGGCGAGCTGGCTTGACAACACATCATGACACAAAATGCCCGATCTGGCTGCACCTCTGCCTGACCTGGCCAGTTAGCCAACGCCGCCGGCTTCAACACATCCCAACGCTTGTCTCTGACAGGCTCTGGGGCCTTTTTTTTTTTTTTTTTTTCCCTTGCTCTAACTCGCACACACTTGTTGAATATCGGGAATGCGGTGGGCTCCGGGGTAGGACGCCTCGTCGTGTTCCAACCCTCCCTCTCGTTGACCGTCTCTGCCTACCTCGTTTCTTCTCCGGTCTCTCGAATTCACCACTTTTTCGAAACCCCTCTCTTCTTTTTTTTATTCTTATCACAGTCATCGTTATTATCACCGTATGCCCTATATCGTCTAGTTTCTCGACTCGTGGGTCCGGTACCTGAGAGCCTCGAGGATTGGCCAACCACAGGGTGTCGGTCAGGCTGATGAAGCTGCAGGTTTTACATGTTGGTAGGTATATAACCCGCTGCCCACCCATGTTGCTTCCCTATATTTCTTACACACACACCCTCTCCCCTCCCCTTCCCTTCCAAGCATGCGGACGTGGAGAGGTAGCATGGACGGATGGACGGGTTCTTCGTAATATACCTACGTAGGTGCCTGTACGGAATCCATCGCTGCTTTTGGGATCCGCATTCGCCGTCGAACGAAGCAGACCGGGCCACTCGACTACCACTTACTACTTTAGCGTCAGCAGCGTAACGTACCCGTCTTCTCCAATCGTCGAAGATTCGGTCTGAACAAGGCCTGGAAACGGTACATCCGTCTGGATAGGCGTGTTAGCCGGGAAAGACGAACAAGCGGTTCTCGACAAGGAGAGACCCGTCGTTGGCTGTCCATCTCCCTACCCGTCATCCACCCGTCTCCCCATCTGCCTGGACGTCGCCAACTTGTCCGGTCTAACCGCTGGGCCTAGGCTGTCGTCTCTCTTCGTGGCCGACACGCCCTCCCCACGGAGTCCACTCTGGGGGCTACGGATACTGGACATGTCATGTCCCAATCCTGCCGACGGAAACGACTTACACGCGCAACCCCCTTCAACTAGTCCGGGACCAAGCTGTCCATCCCATCGACTGACTACCCCGGCACCTGCTTAGAGCCTGCAGAACTCTCTGGCTTCTAGGGTCCCGAAACTGGGAATGCACATACATTCCGCGTCATCTGAAGTAAGTAGGTCTAGCCGTCTCTTCGCTTGTGTAGGCATGCCTGCCTACAGACGCAATATTTGCCCAGACGACCTGAGGCAAGAATACACCCCACCCCCCTTTTCACCCCCTCGGCTCCCTACGGGTGCATATACCTGTGCATGCGTGCGTACATCGTACAGCGTGGGTACGTATGATATGTAGGCATCGGCCTACATGTTACCCGCGGGCGGATGATATTTGTATGTTACCTCCCAACTGTTTTTTTCTTCTTCTTCTTCTTCTCCCTCCCTTGTCTGTCTTCGCGTTTTTCTCTCAGCCATCGGCTTTCCCGTCAGCCAGATGGGCGGACCGATAGTAGGCAGACTCGCTCCCGTTCGTACGTTCGTGCCCAGATAAGTGTCAGCCGTGTGATATGATATGAGGGATGATAACACCCACCTCTGCTCGCCACATCCCGTCATCGTCACCATTCGCGATGAGCCGGGCTCCACTGGCTCCCGTTCGTGGCCCGCCTATGACCGCTTCCCCGACGTTCCCATTCTCTTTCCTCTCTCTCGTCTTCTTCTTCTTCCACCCCCCTCCCCTGTAACATGGCCGTACTCATGCCTGTGAGGCGGCGTCGTTCACGCATCGCGGTATGCCTACGGATACGCCTATCCCCCTCACCCTTCCCCCGATATGTGCACATATTTCAGGCGCGCTCCAAGCTTCTATGCTGCCACCGTCGTACATGTGTGTCGTTAAGAATGCCTTACCTTCCTGCAGTAGTACTGCATCATTACCAGATCCTCCTGCATCTGATACTTCCACTCCCCCTCCATCTCTCTCCCCTTCCCCATATTCTACTTGGATCATATTCGCCTCCCGTCTACCCCTAAGAGGAAACCAAGTACGTACACCTATTCGAGGGTTTCTAGGCTTCATGAACCTATCCTTTCCCCCCCCCCCCATACACACACACATACATTCACACACACACACACACACACACACGAGAACTCTCCGCCCCTTCGAGACCCCTCCCTGCAATATATCCTACATCGCTATGATGCTAGTTAGTTACCTAGTGGCTCGGACGGATAATATCGGGATTCGATTCGCCATACATCAGGTGAGGATTCTACTATTCTCCCGAAGCTAGGACACATTACGACAGCAGTTATGTCGTCGTTTCCGCCTCCCTCCCGGCCAACCCCCCAAAGCAAGCCGCTTCCGTTTGACTGTCTACGGGCACTCCCCCCGTATCTAGAGACGGTAAGTCCGCCACACACCCTCACTCACGCTCACGCCTACATCTACACGCATATAACTACTGCTCCATGACTAGACCATGTAGTCAGTCACGTTTATGCGCGAGTTTTCCCCCCCTCCCCTTCTTACTGCCTTCCATATGCATGAAAATAACGATTTGTTTCCATTTTATTACTACCATCATTCTACTTGCCTCTCCCCTCCTCTTGGCGCAACCCTGGCGCGCTCACCTGGGCGGAGGCCTCATATGGATCTCCTTTTGCCGTTTTCGCCTATGGTTAGTCGACGTAGCGCAAGGCCAGGCAAAGTCTAGGCTACCTTACTCAAGTAAGTAGGTAAGTGTATGTGTGTACGTGTATACATACGTAGTGTGTCTATTCCAAGTATCCATGTCCATGTCCATGTAGATACCTAGTCAAGTAAAGCCCGTTGGTTCATCCATCGGCTCGGACCACGCCAATAGGCCCGGCCCTAGCCATGTATACAGTATACAGGTTCTTCCCGTGTGTATACTAGGTACTTACCACTCCTGTCGTCAGTCTTTCGCCGACAGGAGAGGAAAGGGGTAGGGGTGTTAGGTTAGAGGTGAGCCAGGAAAAAAAAGCAACCCCTTGCCTTTCCCTTACCATCCTTACTTGCTTCGGTAAACAGGACACACTCTACATCAGAGCGGGGTTGCCTCGGTCAGTCCTATCTCGATCGACGAATGGAGTCATCGAGACTTATCCTCTCATGACGGGAGATGGTATGGTCCGACTCGTCGAGCCTGCCCCGGGAGCCCGGGGGGGGGGGGGGGGAGAGAGGCCTCGAAAAGGTATAAAAAGGGGTGATGTTGACGGGTTGAACTCGTCTTCTCCCTCTTCCTCTTTTCTTCTTTTCAACCTACTTCCAACTCCTCAAGAAACTCTTCTCGATCTCAAGATCATCGTTATCATCCCGTCTGCTCAGACTCTCGTCAAGACCCTTCAAGCTTGGCCATACATATCTTAGTGCCAACCACCACCCACAACCACCCACCCATCCACCCACACACACACACACAAGGCATAGTAGCCAAAGGGACCTTCTACTCTTTGGTGTCTCACGCTCCTATCTATCTCCGTCACGTACTTCAGTCGCTTGCCAGTATTATCGTCCTCCTCGAGTAACTTCTCCCTTCCCACCGCTACCACTACCACCGCCAAACCAAATCACCATGGCATCCTACAGCACTCAGTACTACGGGGGCGCGTCGTCGGCGATGCCAATCCCGTCGGTGACGGCGGCGGCCACCAAGGAGGAGCAGTACCGGCAGTACTACTCGGGTGGCGGCAGCGGCAGCACCTACTCGGAGTCGCCGCCGGACGACCAGCGCGAGCGCGACGCGTCGGTGACGTCGGGCGTGCCGTCGTACGGCAACGGCAGCAGCAACGTCGCCAGCTACGCGACGAGCTACGCGAGCGGCGACTACGGCGACGGCAGCCAGGGCGGCGCCTCTGCTAGCGGCGTCGACTTCAACGACTTCATGCAGGCTCGCTTCGACGAGACCTTCGACCCCATCCCGCTCGACCGCAGCCTCGCGCGGCAGGCCCAGACGTGAGTCTTTTCTCCTTCCTCTGTTCCTCCTGCCTTTCCCGCCAAAAGCTTCCCGCTTCTTCTTCTACAACCCCCCGATCGGGAGGAGGAAAAGAAGAAGGATACAGAGATAGAGAGAAAGCAGCTAACACCAAGGCTCCCCCCGCCCGTCTGCAGTTCCGGCAAGCTCAACGCCAAGCACCGCGAGCTGCTCGAGATGCAAGCGGCGGCGCAGGCGCGGCTCGCGCGGTCGCGCGCCCGCTTCCAGAAGGGCCTCAACGACGCCCGCGAGGTGCACGCCGACCTGGAGTGGACGGCGAAGAAAGTCTCGTGAGTTCCCCAGCGCCCGTCCTCCGCCCCCCCCTTCCCTACTCCCCCCTCGCATTCCACGCCGCGCCGTCTCCGGCCTCTCGTGGTCCTCCCGAGGAAGCGGCTGCGCACGGAGCCTCCTTGCGGCGGAGGATTTCTGAGCTTCTCCTCCCGCCCCTTTTCCTGTTGTCTCTTTACCACGCGCCCTAAAAAACCCCACGTACACAGAAAAAAAAATCCAATTAGCTGACTATATTTTGCGTGCGGCACAGGGCGCTGAAGACCAAGGCGGAGAAGAAGCACGCCAAAGAGTACGAGAGGGCGCGCGAGCGGTATCCCTCGCCCGAGTACTAAGGAGAGAGGGAGAGAGCGCGCACGCGGATGTCGGCTCCGCCTTATTATTATTACCACCACCGCCGCCACCACTACTACTAATTCTACCAAAACGACGCACTTCTCCCGCAAACTGCAACTTTTTGAGCCGCATCGCCCGCGAGGAGCAGGGCGGAAACGGGCGCAGACAGAACGATACACACGATAGGAGTTTCAAAATTCTCACCACATCGAGAGAGAAAAAAAAAGGCCAAGGTTTCCTCCCCCTTATCCTCCCCCCTTTTCGCCAATACCCTCTGTTATCTCGATCGCATTCTACGCATGTCGTTTGTTTTAGCTTCTTTTTTCTTAGCGGCCGATCGCCTCGCTCCGAAAGTGGAGGGGGGATATGTCGGTTGCCCGACTAGCAGGGGGCGGCCAGGGCGGCAGGGAGGGCGCTGCCACGCGAGAGATCGGGCAGCATGCGAGATCTATCCATCTGGCATGTTCCCGCTGTCTCCCCATGCACACGCCCCCGCCTCTCCCCTCAGCTCCTCCACCCCTCTCCGTTTCTTATTTTTTGGGTCTCCTGTGTTTTTTTTCTTTTTTTAGTGGCTCCGAAATCTGCACTGCACATACCCCCGGCGCATAAACCGTACCGTGTACTTGGGTGGGAAGGACGAGAGAGAGAGCGGGGGGGGGGGGAAGAGATGGAGAAAAAAAAAGCAGACAAGGTTGAATAAGGCTGAGCCCCAGGAGAGCAGGGTGGGCGAACGGACTGTTGGGTGGTAGGGCGGCAAATGGGCAAAAAAAGGGAAAAATTAGACACACCCCCTATATCTCTGCCACGTCGCCGCTTTACGACCCTAGCTGGTCAGAGCGCTTGCCTGCCTGCCGCGAGGTACGTAGAGCAGTGGTGTGTGGGCAGTAAACCTGTTCCTGCATCTTCCTGCTCCCCACGCGACGCACGCGGCACGCACAACGGCACGCTGACGCATAGCGAGCGGACCGGGCTGGAGAGGAGGGGGGGGGCAGCAGGGCAGAGCAGGGTTCTCTGGGCAGGGTTGTTTAACGCGAGATTATGAGTTATGATTGGACGATGTAGACCGGCCTAGGGAGGGCAGGGTGCGTCGGCTGGCTGGCTAGCTGTCTGGGCTCCAAGAGGTACATCGTGAGCTGTCGCGGTGATGTACGTCTGACTGGCAGAGTGGTACCCGCCTCCGGCCACACTAGCTGCTGCAGCTGTGGGCATGACCGGGGGGCAGGGAACACTCCCAGGCTCCGGGTAGGGAGGGGGGCGTGGAGAGGCAGGGGCGTTTAGATAGGACGGCCGATCTGGCTGTCCTAGGGACACACTCTGGGTCGCTCGAGGGCCATGTACTCCCTCTTCCAGAGAGAGAGGTCCTCCCCTCCCCCCCCATTTAGCTGGGCATGAGGACAGGCCTTGTTCATTTCAGGGTGTGGGTATTGCCCCTTTGGTAATAGGCTGGCGATGGTATGGGCGGCGGGTGTCCCTTTCCGGTCGAGAGTTTTCTTTGGGTCGTTCATAGCAGGTCGGCAACGTGCTTCTCCTAGATGTAGTAATACCATGATTTCCCGTTTGGTGACCTGGCCGAGCGTCGCGTGCCGTGATGTGTCTTAGACACGGCGGGACAGCTACCCGTCTCCTCGTAAGCTAAGCCGGGCCCTTGCGAGGTACGATGACTCTCGTATCGGTCATGTGAGATGCTGGGAGGAGGGAGCCCATCGTAGGCCGAGGTAGACTTGGAAGAGGAGGTGGTAGCGGTCACGTGACCACACACAGGGGCTTGTCAGGTCCTGGGTGTCTCGGGAAGTCCGGTACATAGAATCATATAAAGCGAGGGGGGAATGTCGCATAGGTTTGAACTTTCTCCCATTCTCTTATTGTGTTAGGCTAGATGATTTAGGACGGTGAAGCCTTATGTTCATGCTAGGCCGTGAGCACACCTGCAGTGGGCCTGGCTGAGAGCTGAAACCCAACTTCACCTCCTCCGGACCTCCTTCATGGCCGCCCGGGACGCTTCTAAGGTCATCCAAGTACCCCTGGGCTGCAAGCCGTTCGCTTGCTCAAGCCGCTCCCACGGATTGGTGTTCGACTTCGGGTCGTAGTAATCGTCCCACCACTTCTTCGGCTCGTTCCGTTGGCGTCCGAAGGAGCGATCGCTGCCACGACTGCCTGAACCACGGGGCACCTGGCCAGAACTGAACGAGGGCCCTGCCTCGGTAGCCTGCGATGGGATACCAGTGATGGCGTCGATTTTAGACTGAATATCTTGTACGAGGTCGTCCTCGGCGACTGCGGCCGGGAGAAACGCGTCCAAGACGTGGGGATCCGGCTTGGTACCGCGGCTATTCTTGGGGTGCTCACCGTCTCCGCTATCAGCAAGGTTCGCACCCCCTTCCTCGTCTGTGTCGAGGTCAATCTCGTCATCGTTGCGAGTGCGGACACCAAGGGGCATCGCGTTGGCGCCGGACCCCGCATCCCGGGGACCGCCGCCGCTCTGCTGGCCGGGTACGGCGGAGTTCGATGCCACCACGGCGTCGGCGCGAGCGTTGAATCTGCGCCGCTTGTTGGGGTTCTGCGACCCGAAGCTCGAGAAGCCCATGGCTTCTGCTATCGATGCGTCTGCGTCCACGAAGCCCTCCATGACGGGCCGGTTGAAGGACCTCGTCCGGAAAGACTGGGGTTCCTGGTTTGCGGGCGGCTGGTGGGTCGCGGCGGGCGTGGAGGTGATAGGATGGCTAGAAAGGATTGGGCTCACACCTTTCCCCGGAGGCTACTTGGAGCGGAAAGGGGGTGGATGGAGTTGTGTCTTGGCCTCGAACCCTTAGTTGCCAGGCCGTGCCCGCGAGAGACGTGGAGTGGAGGGTAGATGTGAGGGCAGTAAAGGTCGGTGGGCCACTTTGGAACCAGACAGACACCGCTGGTTTTGGAAGACGGAAAGTTGAAGGCCTGTAACGGGACGAAACGTCGAGGAATAAAATACAGTTGGCCGCCACTTGTCCAGCCCTATTTTCCGGCGGAACTGGCCGACCGTGGCTTGGTGTGAATTGCCATGTACCACGACGTAGGATCAGATCGATTTCGGGTAACATTTTCGGTAGAGGGTACATGGTCTGTGATGACTCATCATGACGATTTTTATGCCTATCTTAGATATGACCATAACCAGGTAGGTAGACGACATAAACGCATACGTAGAATCGATCACGGGACTACGCGATAGTCCAACTACGAACCGGCGAGCGACCTCGGGTTTAAACGCGTCTTCCGGTAAGCGACATTCCCACTTATAAGATGGCAATTACCCAACCTACAAACCTAGGTTATAGAAATCCGGAGTGGATGGCTTTCGACGGATGCATAACCGTCTCAGAACAGCCACCTAACCGGAGAAGACGTAAGCAGATATGGTAGAATGCGTAGGATAACGACTTCAAATACGGGGGAGTAGCTAGGTACCTATGCGTTAGGTACAAGTACTCTTAAAAAGCCTCTTACATTACATTAACGCAGTTAATGCTACTACCGAGATTCTCTGATTTAATTGCTGCCCGGTTGTCCCCTCCATGTCGACATTACCATTTCTCATCCACTTCTCTCCAACCGCTTGACATTACCAGTAATATCATATGTTAAGATAGCTTCCCGTATCCTTCCGTATCCAATATGCCTTTGTGAGTCCCTCATTCTCTCTTGACACACCACGATCAAGGCACCCCCCGTCGTAAGTATACGTCTATTGACGGTTACCTATACTCGCAGACACCTGTTAGGCAAGAAATCATGGAACGTCTACAATCCCAAGAACATCGAGCGCGTGAGGCGCGACGAGGCAGATGCCAGGGCACGTGAAGAAGCCGAAGAGCAGCGCCAGCAGGAGATTGACGCCGAACGCCGCCTTGCGATCCTGCGTGGCGAGGATCCACCACCGCTACCCTTGCCTCCTACACGTGCGACCACCGACGAAGCACTCGGCCAGAAACGAGACCACGATGACAAGACGCCAGTCGCGGGTAGCCTGGGGGGGCGGGAGCGCAGGAAGCGCAAGCGCGCCGGCGAGGACGACACCGACTTCGAGATGCGGCTCGCCCGCGAGCAAGTGGGTGGCGCGCCGACAGCCGACCACGCCGTTCCCGCGAAAAGCGTGAGTAGCAGCGACGCACCGCTCGTGGGCCCTACGGGGCACATAGACTTGTTCCCCGATGAACGTGCGCGGCCGATCGCGCAGAAGGACGAGGCAGAAGCCGAGAGGAAGAAACGGGAGTCTGAGGACATGTACACAATGCGTTTCTCGAACGCGGCAGGCAAGGACGGTCTGGCCGGGCCTTGGTACGCGAAGGGCGGCGGCGTCGGCGTCGGAACCATCACAGACATTGCGGCGGCCAACCTAGAAGCCCCGAGCAAGGACGTGTGGGGCAACGAGGATCCGCGGCGAAAGGAGAGAACTGCTGCACGTCTCGTCGCCGACGATCCGTTGGCGATGATGAAGAGGGGCGCGGCTAAGGTCAGGGAAGTCGAGGCGGAGCGGAAAAAGTCCAATCGAGAAAAAGAGCGGGAACTAAGGCAGCTCCTAAAGCAGCAGAGGCATGAGAGGAAACGGAGGCGGGAGGAGGGGAGCGATGAGCATGATAGCCTCGAGGGGTTTAGCCTGGAGGATGCGAAAGCAAACCACCATCACCGGCGGAAGCAATCTCGTGATGATAAGGATGACGGCGTCGATGAGAATGATCGCCGGAAGCGGCGGTATGACCGCCGATCTCGGGATGAAAACAAACAATCTCAGCATCGTTCAGAGCCTAGAGAAGAGCGTCGGCACGATGATCGCCAGCGGAGCTCTCGGGATGACAGTTGGACTCGGGACCTAGATCGAGACCGAGAAAAGCATCGGTCGGTGTACGATCGCCGGCGGGCCAACATGACGGATAATTGGTAGCGTCGTATAGACATTCTTCGAACGTTCAGCGATTATCCTCGGAGCATCAGATATCCCCTCTTTCATGGGATGAATGAGGCAAGTACAGGCAAATCCATGTTCTCAGAGTTAGGCAGTCCACTCTCCTTACCCCCCCAAATGCTTTATACGTGCCTTAACATTCCATTCTGGGGTATCCTTATGTGATAATTATACAATTCCGAGCACGATCCATTACGGGTTCAACGCCTGCCATACCCAGATCATTCAGATCATTTTCCACTCTCCGCCCACGGCAAATCGATGTCCACCTCCTGGAGGCTTTTCTCAACCATCTGAACGACCTTGGGCGCGTCCTTGAGCTCCTTCAGCGCCGCGATGATATCCTCTACCGTCTCCTTGCTCAGGCCTTCCCTCCGGTCACTGTAGATGTCGACCCCCTCCTGCGTGAACAGAGTAGGCGCGAACCACGTGACGGCCCAGCGCTCGACGGCGGCCCCGTCTGCTCCCTCGTCGCCATTGTCGCCCCCGGTAGGGGGGAGCGGGCGCTCGCCCCATCCGAGGACCTCCCAGTGGCTGCTGGCGATGGCCAGCAGGCCCTTACCACGCCAGACCCAGGCGCTCGGGATGGTGGGGTGCGGCTTCTCGACGCCGACGACGCGCTTGACGCCGCCGGCCTTGCCGCCCTTCTTCTTCTTCTCGTACTCGACCAGGTTGTCGTTGGCCACGGGCGTGGCACCGACCTCGGCCGACGGCTCGCCCAGCGGCGTGTAGGTGATGCGCACGTTCTGCGCCGAGCGCCACATCGCCAGCGTCGAGTGCGTAACCGACCAGGTGCCCCACAGCCACCCGGGAGGCAGCGGGACGAACGGCTCGCCGCCGGTCGTGGAGGATCGGGACGGCTCCGTGACGTACTTGGACGGCGCGCGCAGGCTAATGCGTGTAGCGTCGCGCGTGCCCACCGCGTCGGCTGGTGTCAGTCCGGCCATTTTGAATTCGGTAATATGTATTATTAGATACGTAGATGCAGTCGCGGACGCGAGAGCTGTTAGGTAGGCATGCAAGTAGTAAGCGGGTTGTGATTCCGAGTATTGTTTGTCAACCGGGAGCAGGACGATAGGGAGAAAAGGTCAGTCGCTATTAAAAAGAGAAGAAAAAGACAAGAGACACTTGGCCAAACCGAGTGCAGCGAGAGGTATTATGTGTAGAACGTCGAAATAACCGACGACAACACGTGTTATTAGACAGGACGATGAAACTCGCAGAGTTCAGGACCCGAAAGAGCTTCGATCAAAGTCGAGTAAACGAGTGGAGGCCGGACCATGGCATAACATAGATAGGTAACATCTAAACAAGGTCTCCGTTCTGTATTTTGCTGGTTTATTGCATGTTTTAGGCGCATGACTTCAGCGGAAGCTTGCCGGTCATCTAGGGGTCTTATCGTCACGTGGAAGGAAGCCTTCCTAGTTACCTATCTAAGTCGCGTATATGCATATTTACTCTTTTTAGACCAGCACACATAAAGCCAGACATCATCTGCCAAGCACCAAGGCGAACCTACCCATCATTTCAAATACCGGGACGGGAGATATACCGATATCTCTGCGGGAGTAACGGCACTCAGATTTTCTATTATCTGACCCCAACTATCTTTCACTTAACTCATAGCTTGGATGATGACGTATGGGATACGGCCCGCGATGTGTTTCTCTCGCCTCTAGGCCATCAGACACGTCGACTTCCTCGAGCCGGCTGTCACCACGGCGTCCGTCATCATCGACAGAATCCCGTTGCTCATCTGAGCCAAACATACGAGCTCCCTCTTCCGCTGAATTCTTTCGTTCGTCTGCGTCCCCGCCCTGGGTTCTCTTCCCTCGGAAAAGTCGAGCGATGTTCCGCCTCATGCCTAGTATTTGTCCCTGGCCTGGATTTTCGGCAATGTCCGCTAGGGGTATGTTTGGCAGCTTGAGCCTCCGCCTGAATGTGGCCATTTCCGATTCTATGGGAACTCCGGCGTCCGATGCGTCGTCACCAGTTACGGGCTTCCCCTCGTGCCCGCGGGGATACTGAACTTCGGGGATCCAGACCCAAGTAATGAAAGCCCCCAAGAGCATTGCCGGGCAGAACCCTAGCAACATTCCTGCAAACTCGTGGTTGTACTCGTTTATTCCCAGCTTCATAAACAGCAGTATCGTCACGGCACCCAGCTTCCCCGAAGCCGCCGCGAGGCCGTAGAAGGTGCCCCGATACTTGGTGGCGAAGAGCTCTGCGGGAAGGATGAAAGTCATGGTATTTGGGCCGAGATTGAAGATGACCTGCGCAAGCACGTACAAAGTTACCGTCAACGCGTGCTTATCCGTCTGGAATGTGACGAAGAACGTCCCGCCGTTGATGGCGAATAGCCCGGCAAGCACAACGAACATCCAGCCCATCCATGTGGTACGAGGGAGGTAGTCAATGGCAAACAGGATGATCAGGCTTCCGGGTAGAGCGCCCGTTGAGATGGTTAAGAGGCTTCGGATGCTGTCTTGCTCAAGCATCTCATATATCGTGATGTCGGGTCGGGCCGGATCAGCCCGCCATGTCGCATTCCTGCACTCAAGCTCCCCTGGCGATGTAGAGATGTCTGACTGCGGCGGCGGCTTCGAGAGCCAAATTGTAGAGATGGTATTCGGGTTGTCTAGGCCCAGGCCGTAAAAGGCCAGATCCAATATCCACCATGTTGCCACTGCAGCAGCCAAGGTCAGCAGGCCATCCCACCAAGCATCCCGGGTGGTGTCTGGGAACTGAGAGGGGAGCATCGGGATACTTACTAACGCCTACCAGAGCACGCCACCGGCCCTTCTCCGCGAGATGTCTTTTTACCTCGCCGACATATTTGGCCACCGCCATTATCCAGCTCTCGCGGCCCCGACTTTCCGGTTGGGGCGCTCCAGAGTACTGGGAGGCGGCCGGTTCGAAAATGCCCGAAGAGCGACGTGACGCTATGGTACTGCCTTGGTCAGTAGGGAGAACATTCCCATCCCGCGCATATAGGTGCACGGCTGCTTCCATAGCATCCGCAACCTTCCCTTTCTCGGCTAAGTAATACGGTGTCTCGGGGATGATGCGTCTCAATATCAGCGAGATGAGAGCTGGTATAGCCCCGATCCCAATTGTCACCCTCCACACTACATCGATTACTGGCGATGCGACTTCGTAATCTGTCTCGCCGCGCGATAGTCCAAGGGCGCTACCCACCCCGTAAAGGATGACCAAGCCTAGAGCGTAAGCCGCAAGCTGGCCTATCGACTGCATGAGGAAGACGGCTGCTATCATCTTGCCTCGGGACTTAGTAGAAGACCATTCTGCCGCAATTATGGCCGAAAGCGGATACTACAGCAGGTTAGAAACCGCCAGATCCCTGGCACATCATTGACAGTTACCCACCTCAGCGCCCAGTCCGATGCCCAATAGAGCACGCCAGAACCCAATCCAACCGTATACGTTCATCGAGTTTCGGTGGCCTGAGGATGCTGTCGTCATACCCACCGTCGCAACAACAACAATACCCAACTCGAAGCCGTAGATGGCTTTGCGGCCATACCTATCAGCCAGGTGCCCAAATAGGACCATACCGACCATCGTCCCGATCAACGTGGTCAAGGTGAGGGCCAGCGAATTCGTCGACCACCCGGACCTGCATTCTGGGTAAACATAGCTTAGAGCAGGACTGACGACATTGACGGCGAAGATGCTATAGGAAGTGGTGAAGAATCCCGAGGCAGCGACTAGCCAGACCTTCCACTGGAACCCGTCTAAGCCGGATTCGTCGATAACCAACTGCACCGCTCTCGCGGGTTGCACCACTCTGTCGGGGCCGTGAGGATCCTACGCCGCCTTGGTTAGCAAGCGTGTTAGGAGATCGGCTATGTGCCGTGCTTGGATGGCCACCGTGATGACGTACATATTCTTCTATATCCTCTACGATGCGGCGCTCCTTAGCGCGGAGGCTAGAGAAGTAGCCGCCCATGGTATATGACTAGGTGATCTTGTTGTCCGCTTTCGGCGCGCCTTGAGAAGACTTGAGGGCATTCGCGGACGTCGAGACGAGAGCACGAATGGTGCAGGCTATATTTATACGCATACTCTTGTTCTAGGGGTTGATGGAGGAGCTGCGTGTCCGACTAGTGACTACACCGTTGCTCCGCCGCGATAAGCCGTCACCGCTCGGTGAGGCAAAAGGTGCCTTAGAAACGCCGCAAGGCCACAACCAGCCGCCTCCGCTGGCGGCAGAAACAGGTTACTCATAGTCTCAGCCGCACTTAACAGAATAATCCATGGCGTGACAGGCGCGTCAAATATCGCTCCTACAAGCCCAAATGTGACGCTCGCTGCTCCTTCGACCCTAGTGTGACACCAGCTTCGGTTGGCTAAATGAGGCTTCAACCCAACAGGAGGACCTTGACTGAGGCCTCTTCGAAGCAAAATCGAGCTAAGATGTATTTCATTCACCGAGGTGTCCTAGGCGAGCGCGCCCTGACGCGGCAGCTAGGGAGCCAATAGACTCCTTCCAATTTGGCGGGAACGAAATTCCGAGGCGACGTAAATAGTGAGCGTTCCTTTTGGCACACATGACCCCTACAGGCTCCTAGCAGAGCAACAAATTGCCCTGGACTTGTCGACGTGGTCCGGCGCCTGTGCGGCTCAGCCGCTGGTATAGAGTGTTGATATTGCTCCTCCTCCTCTACGAGGAGAACGTGGGGCAATCTGCGGCCCCTATTGGGTATTTCCATATCCCTGTCCCGACGCCCGCTGGCCGCCGTCGTACTGTTGTTCGTTCCTTTTAGACTTGGTCGCGGAGATACGCAGCGAAGGCCGCCTGTCTCGGACAGGAACTATGACACGCAGATTTATACCCCCGGAGGTGATCGTTGCTCCCCAGGTGCCCCCACCGTCTATACTTCCCTTATGTGAGACTGCGAGCCAGCTTGAACGTGGGCTGCTCGCGTGGGCAACTCCTGTCTCCCGGGACCCAAGATGGAGCCCGGCACGATACTATCGATCATCCAACTCTCTGGCTCTCTCGTCGACCTGGTCTCGAAAATCTCCCTGGAGTTCTTCGGAAAGGAGAAGATCCCTAACAAGCTCCAGGACCTTAATGAACGTGCCCAGCGGATCCACGATTACGTCGACACGATCGACCGGGAGTCTAGAGTATCGCATACGTCGTCCAGGCTGACCCTCAAGGGGACCGACGCTACGATCAAGACCCTTAGGGAGTGTAACGAGTTTCTGAAGCAATATGAACGGGCACTGCTGAATAGCCGTACGCTCGGGGGAGCCAGGCAACGAGTCCTGCTCGTCGCTGGCCCGGACAGTTCTCGACTTGAAGAGTTCCATAAGAGAATTGATCGGCACTGGGGGGAGCTCAATAGTTGGAAGTTGAATTCGGTTGACGAGAGATTGTCGGAGCTTACAGCAGCGTCAGTGCTCTCCCCGTTTCCCCCTTCTCCCTTCACATTGAATCCGTGCACGAAAGATCGCTAAACGGCATCACCATATCATAGTATAAATGCGGCAACGAGTAACAGCGGGACGCCACGAGCACATAGTATGATTTTCGACTCGCCGCAACTCGAGCCGACTGGGAGGTTTGATGAATTTCCGCCGCCGACAAACGTGGCCATAGGCCCGTCTTGCTCCAACCAATCCCCCTTCAGGGCAACCGCTCCTCTCACCTCCATATCCGAAGGTCCTGAACTCCCCGCTTCGGCGACCATTACGTACCGGTTATCGGATTCGGTTGTGTGGCAACGCCCTACTCGTCAGGGGACTGCCCCTGCTATGGAACTAGTCTCGGATAACACGGACGGGGATGCGGTCGATATAACTTCAGCCCGTTTCAGTGATCCGAGCCCATGGTTGCAGACTCAGCCATCGCCGCCGCAATTTTCGCCTAACCAGAGTCCAGGCCACTCGGTAACACTGTTAGTCTGCCCTTGCTTTCATCCTCTCACTTCACACGTGGTTAACCCAGCCTCTTAGATACATCGGTTCCCAGTCATATAAGTTCCACGGCGGATGTTATGAAGTTTCGGAGCGCGAAACTGTAAGGGTCGTCGAGTGGGTCAATACCGACATTGGTATTCGGATTAGTCACTTCGGTTAGACTCTCGGGGAGCAGAATGATTTCGAGGCGTGGCTTGCTAACCCGGTCTAGTTCCACGTGATAAGCCCGGTATACCACTCACGAAGCCCGACGATACGAACCTCCGGGTGTCTTTCCTGCCAAAAGATATCAAGCACAAGTTCGAGATCTCGGTTTCCGGGAAACTGAATAAGACCGAAGACAAGCCGGTTTACCAGTTCGAGAGTAAAGTAGATCGAGAGAACTTTCAGAAAAGGATTCGGGGCCGGCACTCTTTGGTGATGACTAGGGCCCTAAGGGTGCACAGCAGCTTCGAAAAGGACATCGCGATAAAACTGCACCTCAAGGTCTGGCGGCGGAGCGAACAGGACGAAGAGCCAACCTTCTCGTTTCCGGTGAATCACAAGGGCCAGACGTACCGCCACGTCGAGTTCCCGATTCGATGGTTCAAGAGAACACCAGAGCTCAAAGGGGACACCAGGCTGATCCTGCGGATGTATACGAAAGATACCGACCCGGAATACCGTGCGCCGCCGGAGGAGCCGAAACGGCGAGTTTCTACGCTTGAACTGGTGCGGAGAATATCGGGAGGCTCGAATTCATCGAATCAGCCGCGCTCACGGTCCTCGTCTCTCAGCGGGTCGCCCCTTGTTCTGTACGACGGCAAGGGCATCGAGCCGCCGAAGTCGAGTTATATCCGAGACTTAGGATACCTCGAGATCGAGTTCCTGACCCCAGAGCGTAAGCTTCCCGAACCTACCTGCCAAAGAACCTCTCTGCCCTTGCCGTCCCGGTGAAAACGTGGCTGCGCCCTTCCTCCCTACTAAGACAATATACGTAGTCAGGAAGTCGTTCATAGTCGCATGCCAGAAGGCACATCCCCCAGTCTCGGTCATATCGGGATCTAGCCGGAACAGCACGCCGAGCCCGGCGCCACCATGGCCCGCAAGTTCGACGACACAGGCAGCGCCGAACCCGCTCATGCACGAGCTTATGGGTGACTACGTGTTCCCAACCGGATCATCGTCGAGCTCGGTCCGGTCCTACTCCTCCGAGATGTATTACGACCACCTGTCACCGTTCGACCTCCCGCAACCGGCCGTCTACGGCGAGCAAGAGCCGGTGGAGGTCTTGGGTGAGCCCTATCCGGAGAGACGGTTCTACGATCCGGGATAGCGAAACGAGACGAGACTATACGAGTACATACACCTCGCAGACATGCACGCGGACGTCGGCTTCGCGCGGTTCCTCCACGTCCTGATAAGGGGATAATTTATTAATAAGACGGATGGAGGTTGAATAGATTGGTTCATCGCCCTGTTCTAATCACTTTCATTTAGGTACCTATGTGTGTCATGGAGTAAACGAACGTATAGGCACAGACGATGGGGCGGAGGGACAGATTGTACCAGTAGCGTGTAGGACTACGAGTGGCGGCGCATTTTGCCAGAGGCGTTACCCAGCATGGCTGATAGACTTGGGTAGGCATATTATCACGTATGTGTAGGTATGGTCTAGAGAGCCGACTAGATACCTACCAGATAGGCAAATATAGAATAGAGAGGAATACCTAGTGTTGTGATGGACCTTTTGATTAACCTGTGCTATTTTGAGCCGGGTAGTGGAGGTGGGAAGAAATGCTCATAAGATGCGCATAGACCTTATACGCAGGCATTCGTAGATAGGTACACGTTGGTCCGGGTTATTTCTGTGAGCAGCTAAGTACACGACCTCGGCCAATGGAAACTCGGGAAAATACGTCCCGCCACGCTGGGTCCCAACTGAAAAGGGTGGAGCGAAAGGTACCTTAGGTACATAGATATGTACCTTTTATGTACTACCATACGGGGAGGGGGGGTCTATGGATAGTATGTTAGTAATAGAGTCGGGGTACGGATATGGTAATTAAATCTAGTAAAGGTTACCTTAATTAATTATTCTTTCGAAAGAGCTAAAAAGATTATAGCAATGGTCTCGGTACCGACCTTATTACCTTCTCTTCTTATAATTTTAGGATAGTTTTTATAACTACGTAGGAATTAATGTCCAGACGGATATAATAATATCTAGACAGATATAACAATATCTAGACGGATATAATGTCTATATATTCCATAGGTACCTATCTACCTACCTACCAGGTACCTACCTACTTACTGAACAGGAGCAGCGTGGGCACGCTGTGATGGAGGCACGAAAACGGCTACCCAACTGCCAACAACTGGCCCAGTGCCGATCAACCAAGATCACAGCTGTAAACAGCTGTAATCGGTAGATCGGCCAGCTGAAAACGGCAGCTGGGAAAGGAAAGAGGACTAGAGAAGGGCAACGAGGATGGCTAGAAAGGCATAGCAAGAAACGAGTGAATGGCTGTAAGGCCGTGATGGCTATGATAGCTACAGGTCTAAGTCTAGCTGATGAAAATATGAGTGCGCGACCCATATAAATAGACATCGAAAAGGCTACGTGGCCTAGATCCACCTCACCACTACACTACCTAGACCTACCTACCTAGACCTATTGTCTTTATCTTTTTTCTACAAACACTATGATCTACTACCTATCTTCGAACCTATCTTCGAACCTATCTGCGAACCCATCTTCGAACCTATCTTCAAACCTATCTTCAAACCTATGAGAGCTAGTTCGCGTGCGTGGAATCTGTCTACTATCTATCTTCAAACCTATGGAAGAGGTAGGTAGGTACCTAGGTAGGTAGGAGGTTAAGTACCTATAGGTAATAGACGTAAAAGATACAAAGGTACAAAGGTACGTACTTAGTAACCTAGAGGTAACCGGGTAATCCTATAGAATGTACCTTTTTTTAAAATAAAGACATTATGTCCGGATGGTAACTATGTCGGGAAATGGTAATAATGTTAGCCTAGAGTTTAACTTACTCTTATCACGAGGCAGATACTATGTCCAGTCATAGAAAGGGTTGCTGACATAGTGTCAATAGACCCCCCTCTCCCTGTATGGTACATACACGCTACGTAAGCCGGTTCTACGTTCGGTATTCTTACCCCTACATCTATCATATCCTTCCATCTCGTCCCGGCCTGCCTACACGCGGACTGCCGCCAACCTCCCGCATACAGGTTGCCAGCCTTAGGAACAACCGAAAATTCAACAGAAGCTTGCACGCTTAGAAATCTACACCTGAGTTCTCCTGCTGACGCAACCCGGCCTCGCTCACGACCGCTTCGCTCCCCCGCTCCCCCCGTACCAGACACTATTCCCGCAGACACGACAGGCAATATTCGACAGCCGAGCCTCCCGATCGCCGTCCGCAACGATGGATATGCGAAATAACCTCCTCGGCAGGGGCCCCCGCGCCGGGCGTCCCGAGCAAGGTGGCTACGGCCAAGTCCCCCAGGGCCGGCCGCCGCCGCCGCCGCGAGACTACGGTGGCCCCCCGGAACCCGACCCCAGAGACGCCTACGGGGCGCCGCCACCAAGCTACGGCGCGAACCCCGTCTCACCCCCTCAGCAGAGAGCCCCCCGCCAGAACCCGCCTTCGAGCCGCCAGAACCCGCCTTCGAGCCGCCAGAACCTGCCCCCGAGCCGCCAGGTCCAACTCCGATTAGCCAAGCTGGAAAAGGGTGATCTCGCCGATCAATACATCTTCGGCAACATCTGTGCCGTCTCCCCGCAAGACTTCCCTCCCGACCCCTACGGCAACGACCTGCATATTCTCCTCAACGGAAACTTCGTCGTCACCGCCCGCCCGACCGAGTACATCCCGCCGGGCTGCATAAGTCTGTCCGATCCCCAGCGAACATGGTGTGAAATCAGTTTGACCGACGTCGTCGTTGGGGAGAGGTTCGACCACAAGGTGCCCCTCGGTAGTATGGATGTCGAGATTGGGTTCGCATCCGCGCGGAAGATAACGGAAGTCCCGTACGACCAGGACGAGCTCGCCGACGCCTTCACCAAAATGTTCCAGGGTCAGATCTTTGCCCCCGGGCAACGGCTGATCATGGACTACAGGGGAATCACGCTAATGTTCATCATTAAGACGGTTCAGCTGCTCGAGTTGCTCGGAAATGAGAATGGCCAGCCCGTAGAATCCTCTTCCAGGCCCAGCACGCGAGGTGTGCTAGTCCCCAGCACATCCGAGATCAACTTCTTCAAAGATGCCAAAAATCCCATAAAATTAAAAGGCTCGACGAAGAGACCCGCTACGAACGCTATTCTTCGGCCCGACTTCAAGTTCGCCGACATGGGCATCGGCGGCCTCGACGACGAATTCAGCACAATTTTCAGACGCGCTTTCGCGTCCCGCGTGTTTCCGCCGGGTCTCGTAGAGCAGATGGGCATCTCTCACGTGAAGGGTGTTCTGCTTTACGGACCGCCGGGGACGGGTAAGACGCTGATCGCCAGACAAATCGGCAAGATGCTGAATGCCCGCGAGCCGAAGGTTATCAACGGCCCGGAAATCCTCAATAAATACGTAGGCCAGTCCGAGGAGAACGTCAGAAAGATGTTTGCCGACGCCGAAAAGGAGTACAAGGAGAAGGGCGAAGAGAGCGGGTTGCATATCATCATTTTCGACGAACTGGATGCCGTCTGCAAACAGAGGGGCAGCGGGTCAGGCGGCACCGGCGTCGGCGACAGCGTAGTCAACCAACTGCTCTCCAAGCTCGACGGTGTCGACCAGCTCAACAACATCCTATTAATAGGCATGACTAACCGGAAGGACATGATCGACGACGCGCTGCTCCGGCCGGGACGTCTCGAAGTTCACGTCGAAATCTCTCTTCCTGATGAGAACGGCCGCGTGCAGATTCTGAACATCCACACTGCCAAGATCAGGGCTATGAAAAAACTAGCCGACGATGTCAGTTTAGACGAGCTTGCTCATCTGACCAAGAACTACTCGGGCGCGGAAATTAGCGGTCTCGTCAAGGCCGCGCTCTCGTATGCGTTCACCAGGCATACAAAGTTAGGAGACGTTACCGGTGTCAGCGGAAATCCCCAGGACGTGATGCTCATGCGAGCCGATTTCATGAGAGCCCTAGAGGACGTCAAACCGGCCTTTGGTGTGTCGGAGGAAGAGCTCAGCGACGCCGCTCCGTACGGAGTCATCGACTACAGCCCGCACATCCAGTCCATCCTCTCCACGGGCCTCAGCTTCGTCCAGGCGGTCCGCACCTCGGAGAAGTCGCACCTGTTCTCGGTCCTGGTGCACGGTCCGCTAGGGGCCGGGAAGACGGCGCTCGCGGCGGAGATCGGACTCAAGTCGGAGTTCCCCTTCGTCAAGCTCATCCGGCCGATCGACGTGGGCACGAACGAGGCGGCGAAGCTCGAGTACCTGCGGCGCGCCTTCTCGGACGCGTACAAGTCGGCCCTCAGCATCGTGATCCTCGACAGCGTCGAGAAGATCATCGACTGGAACCCCATTGGGCTGAGGTTCTCGAACGCCGTCGTGCAGTACCTGGGCGCCGTGCTCGAGACCCGACCTCCCAAGGTGCGTTTGTTTCCAGTTCCCTTCTTTTTTTTGTCTATCCTCTTTTTCTCTCCCCCTTCCTTGTAAAAAAAAAAACCAAAAAGAAAAGAAAAACAAGATGATCGATTCGTTCTGAGTTCTAAGAGTTCTAAAACTAACGACGGGGGGGGTTGGGGTTACCAGAACCGACGACTCCTCATCATCGCGACGACGAGCCAGCGGTCGATGCTGGACCAGCACGGCGTGTTCGCGTTCGACCGGGAGATCGCGGTGCCGGCGGTCAAGGATCACGGGGAGCTGCAGGCGCTGCTGGCGGCGTCGGGCAAGTTCCGGGACGGCGGGGACGTGGCGCAGGCGCTGGCGGAGCTGCGCGGGCTCACGGGCACGACGCAGGTCGGCATCGGCGTCAAGGCCGTCTTCTCGGCGCTCGAGACCGCCGCCGTGCGCGACCCGTTCCCCGTCAGCCTCGCCGAGGACATCAGCGCCGTCATGGCCGCGAGGAACCCGGGGGACTACTAGAGGGGCGCGCGGGGAAAGGGCCGAGGGGGTAGACGATGTACAAGGCGAGCAGAGAGAGGCGAGCAGAGAGGGGCGAGAGGAACAGATAGAGGCCGAATGGACATACAGACGTACAGGCCGGGACGGGGGCGTGGTGTCGACATAGGCATTCTCGGTCTGCCTACGCTCAGAGCGAGGTAGGTAGGTTACGAAAAGCATACGTTATATGCAGGCCGTAAGGCCGCGAAGCACGATGAACGGAGACATTAATGAGGTCAATACTCTGCTTCCTCTCTCTCTCTCCCCTTCTCATTCTACGCGTGTGTGGGAGGCTCCGGGGAAGCGTAAGAGGTTAGGAGTACGAGGAGAAATATCAATTGCATAGAAACTAGCTACTGCAAACACCCCGTCAAAGCGAATGGTATCAGCCGGGTATCCATAGTTGGGGGTATCGTTGGTTGTCATGCGCCTGCCTTCCCCCCCTTTCCACCTCTCCCACTACCGACCGGTCCAGTCGGTTTCCCTTTCATTTCGTCTCGACCGGGTCCGTACACGCCCTCATTACGCGCGATCCTATCTCACACCTGGCCCACCTGTCGCCACCAAGCCGATTCCCCTGCCCGTAAATCGTCGTTCGACCGTTCGTCCGACCGACGTGGCCTATCATTAATCCGCGTAGGAATGTGTACCCATTCAAACAAGGATGCGTAGTAAGGTCGGGAATACAAGCAGCCGTAATTAAGCCACATAGCAGGGAAGTCCTAATGTTTTTTTTTTTAGTGTTACAAAGAAAAAAGAAACAAGGCATAATCCGGGGGTGTTTAGAGGCGAAATCAAATGTTCTCGATGACGCGGGCGTTCAGGGCCTGGCTGAATCCGGGGTCGGCGCCGGCGCCCCCGCTGGATTCGCCCAGCTCTTCGTAGTTCTTAGCGGCGTTGGCGATAGAAGCGCTGAGGTTCACGGTCTGGTTCGCGGCGGGTAGGAAGATGACTTTGGCGTTGGCGGACTTGGCCATGGCTTGCATGGCCTCGAGGTAGCGGATCTGCATGGCCGGGGCGGAGGACAGGATGTCGGCGGCCTGGCGCATGAGCTTGGCGCTCTCGACCTCGGCCTTGGCGGCGATGATCTTGGACTCGCCGATACGCTTGCTCTGGGCCGCCATCGACAGCGAGCCCTGCAGCTCCTGGCTGAAGACGATGTCCTTGATGAGCATGGACTCGACCTGCACACCCCAGCCGGTGGCGACGTCCTCGATGATCTCGCCGATGCTCTGGGCGATCTCCTCGCGGCGCTCGATGACGTCCTGGAGAACGCGGGCGCCGACCACGTGGCGCAGCGTGGTCTGGGTGCGCTCGATGAGGGCCTGGCGCACGTTGGTGATACCGAAGGCGGCCTTGTGGGGCGATATGATGTGATAGTAGATGACCGACGTCAGATCAACCGTGACGTTATCCTTAGTCATACAGACTTGTCTCGGGACCTCTGGAGTGGCGCAAAACGAGGGTTAGCGGCGGTCTCGTTTTTGGTTCCCGCACCTAATTGACCGGGCGGAGAGAGAGAGACAGAGAGGGAGAGGGAGGCGAGGACATACCGACGATCTGTATCTTGACGTCGACCTGGATCAGCTTCTCGCTGAGAGGATTGATCTTGACGAGGCCGGGGTCGACAGCTTTGTAGAACTTTCCGAACTTGGTGACGAGCCCGACGTTGCCCTGGCTCACCTGCTTGTACGGGTTCGGACAGCAGATGACGCAGGGGATGGCTCCGAGCGTGCCCATGCAGGCGCCGATGGCATTGACTAATCGCGACAGACGCTATCAGTTTCGGGGGCCCTCGGACGGAGAGGAGGCAGGACCGCTTACTCATGCTCCCGTACCAGCCCTTGGCGTTAGCATCGTTGCCGACGATGGAGGCGTAGCTCTGCTGGAGATCCTCCTGCTTGGGACGCTCGACGGTCATCTTGGCCTGGGATCGGAAGCCGGCTGCGGAGCTACTGCTCGCCTCATCGACAGCAACATGCTTGCCCGACGGGATGCTCATGGTGGCGTTGGTTGCGCGGTGGCCGTTGGAGGGCTGCTAGTTGAGAAACGTATAGGCCGGATAGGTGCTGCCTGAGTGCTGCCTGGCTACTTAGGGAGGTTAGTGAGGGAATCAATGCGGACAAAGTGAAGTCTGGAGATGCGAGAGCTGACAGCGGAAGAGCGAGCAGATCGAGGTTGGATGCAGGTTGGGATCAACTGTTTCGTTTCCACGTGACTCGAACGAGAGGGAGGGGGGGGGGGGGGGGGGTCGATACACGGAGGCAAGGAGGGTTGTATTATAGGCGGTTCTACCTTGTTGTCGACGCCTGGATTGGTTATGATGTCAAGCGAACCCAGCCCAGCCAAGCCACGCCGAGCCTTTCCGCAGAAGGAGCGCTCTTTTGTTGCCGGGGGGAAGGAGCTCCGAGAGGGAGATGCCCCAGGGCAGCTTCCTGTCACGGCCGCGGGGTTTGATTGGGCGTTGCAGAGAGCGGTGGCGGAGCCTGGGGAACCTGGAGCTGAGCACAAGATTCGTACCTAGTACGGGGCCTGTCGCACCAGATATGCGACGGAGAATGCCTTGGCAGCATGTATCGCTACTCGGCCGCCTCCAGGGCGCGAAGTACCTACTAACCTGACGTCCTCTCGAGGGCTGCCCTTTGTGGAGCCGTCTTCTGCGCACAGGCCAGCAGAATGGTACATCTACCTACCTACCTCCTAGAGGTACCCACTACGTCAGGTACTACCGTACTAGTACCACCCTTCGACAAGTCCGTTCCCCGTCTACTGAATACGGGGCATAGTGGCTTCCATTTGCAGTTCCCGGGTAGGTACCTAATCTACTAATTGCCAACTACTAGTCAACTCTTCTCTCCATCGTAGACATCCCCAGAGGCTAAGTCGCGCCAGGGGACGCTTGGCCCCCCTCTCTCTCCCCGTCGCCACCAAAAATATCCATGCTACGAGATTGCTGCTACAAGTCAGCTGCCAGCCCCGCATCGTAAGATAGCTCGAGCCGATGCCATCCTCGACGGCAAAAAGATCGAATCTATCTACCCGGTAGCCGGCGGATTGGCTGTTCGCCTGCCTCGCTGCCTGCCTCGCTGCCTGCCTTGCTGCGTGTTGTGCCTAGCCCAATTATCCAGACCGAGCCGTCGCGTTCGGCTAGCCGTGTTCAGGTTCAGGCCACCGGCATCGATGATGGTGAGTCGATCAACCAAGCTAGCCAACACGTGCCGGTCTCCGTGTCATGGTTTGACGCCCGGCTCCACTGCGACTCGGCAGCCAATGCCACTGTTTTGGCCTCTTGGTGTCGGCCGAGCTGAGCTAGGCGCACCGCATTTGTGCGATGGATGCCACTCCTCCCAAGGCCTCCGTCGACCTGCCGTTGCTACCTGCTTCGTCGCTGCTCCTTACACCATATAAGATTGCAGGGGCTCCTATATGTCGTAGGGGCAGAGCATGGTGGCATATGTGTTTGGTGATGGTGTGTCGCTTACCTGAATTTTCCGGTCCTCCGCGATGGGGGGGGGCTTTTCTTTACAATATCGACTTACTACAGTGGCACACCACTGTCCGACTATCATCTAAGGCGCGTTGCCAATTTGAGCCTGCTTAGCAGCGTCTTTTATCCGCACACACACACACATGCGATGCCAAGACGGGGAGCCCAAGGATCACCCATAGAACGGTCCTACCTGAGTAACGAGCGTGACCGAGCACTGCCCCGATCGAATTCATCGTCTCCGACTCAGCTACGGCCCCTGTCCGCCATCATGGGCACCTTACACTGCCTATCACTTCCGACAAACTTCGAGCTAACAGGTTGAACGAGCTGCTCGATTGGGCAATTCGTCTCGATGCGTGTTCGGAACCCGGCTCCGGCGAGCCAACGCTCTCAAAATCTCGGCGACTCGTCATCCCATATGCAGAGCCCGGCTACCGCAACGTCGGCTAGGAATCGTCGAATCAGAAACGTCTACATAGAAATGCCAGGTCTTTGTTGAACCTCAAGCCTCTTGTCGATTCGCGAGTCTCTTTCCCAAAGCGGGAGGTCTTAAGCATGCAAACCATCGTCAAGCGACCTCGCCCATTGCACAACAAAGGTCCGTCTTACCCACTGGCATACCTGAAGGGGTAGAATTCTCGAAGCATTCCTTCCGCATCGCCACAGTAGTCTACGACGTCAAGACCAGAATCGGACTCCGCCCGGACCACCTATACCGGTATATACGATACCCACGCGATATTACCCGCCGTATAGGTGCGCTCAAAAGCGGCGTACACGCACGTACATATGTCTTCTAACCGCCTATAAGCCGGAGGAGCTTGGAGACGTCGCTGTGCCACATAGCAGAATGCGACTTTCCCAATTTGCTCCACTGAACTCCGTATTGTGGTAGTCTATTTGACTTCGCCACGATTCAGTACCGCGTTCTCCTCATCTTGCCAGCAGACCCTTGTTGGTCTGTTCATTCAGCCTTGCGTCTAGAACACGTCTCCCGACACCGATATCAGATGGAAGAGAGAGCATGGACCGAAGCAAACCCCGCTTGTTCTCTCATCGACGATGCAGGTGGAAAAGCCTAGCCGAGTCCCCGTGCCCGATCATTACCAGAATCGGGACGTCACCCTCGAGAATATTAACCATTTCCCCACCGCTGTCCCAATGGGTCCAAGGTTCTCCCAGAACTAAGAACGGGGATTGTAGATAGAGACCTGCCTGGAAACTCAGGTCTCAGCCACCGTCAGCTAGTATTCTCTCGTCGATATTTCATCTAAGCATGCCCCATCCGTCCGTGCTTCTTGAATAGCCAGGCTTTCGCTGACGCATCCTACTTGATTTCATCCTAGACGCAATGACGGCTTAGTTCGTGCCCTCGGCCTCGACCGTGTTCTAGGAGGGAGGGTCGACGTCGAATATGCGTAACGATCCTCTAATAGATACCTAGGGGCTGGTTTGATGTTGGTGTCTACATCGCGCAGAGAACAGAACAGAAAATACGAATCGACGCGGCAGAAGACACAACCCGACATCCGACCTATCGGGGATATCAAAACATGCAAAGGTGACTCAAGAGCCCTTTAGCGTATAGGCCCCATCCGTTCAGGATACGACATGGCGCCAAGCAGCTTAGGACTTCCAGAGCCGAGTTTTCCACTTCACAACCTTCCGGGTCGTAAGCCCCTTACGCCCCGGAGTTAGCTTAGGTCAAGAGGAGTGACGAGTCCTACAAGGCGGCCTAACCTAAAGATCGTATTGGTAGTCTCACGGTCGAAGGGGCGGCTGCTGCGCCTCCTAAATAGGAGCGATACCTACTTATCGCGACTAGAGGTAAGGTAGATAGTCGCAGGGGACCTCAGCCACGAAAACGGGATTAACTGGTAGGAATTCGGTGCTCCCGGGGCCTGTAGCTCATGGTACACATACCAGGGTGAAAAGGCGCCGTAGTTAGCCTTGCGAATATACTGCATTGTACAAATGAGCACATTGGTTACCGGTATGATATTACTGTAAATACAATATTACGGGGAGAAGCCAACTTCGAGCTTTAAGTTTCATTCAAAAATGCGCAGTGACTCATTGTTAATCTGGGAAGGGCATCCTTTGATCTTCTCACGCCAATTGCATTCGGACTTTGGTTACCTCAACCCCTCGACCTTTAGGGGAGACTCCATTAATACCGCCCAGTCACCATCACGGCCTCCGCCGGAAGCAAGCGAGTTATGTATATATCTGTCTCTCCGCTTATGCTACTAACATTATCGCTACCAGGTCCCCGTTGATGAATGAGCAGATTTAGCGTCGCTAATGAGTCCCGCAGACCTGACAGCTTTAGCATTTCAGCGCCCTTTTCGACGGTGAAATATATGCTATCTACATCCTCTTCATATAGGTAGATATATAACGGTCATTTCTAGTCATCATGTCATTCTTGGTAAAGTACCTCGACCAGGTAACGTCGAAATAGCCAACGTCAATATTCCCATAAATTCGTGACACTACTATAGACATGATCACTGCGACGTAAGGGATCAGCCTTTATAAGCCCACATACTACAAGTGGTAGAATACAGGCGTCTAAGTTTTACGCGATAGTCATAAGTCTGGTCCGCTTCGAAGCTGCCTTGGCTTAATAGTGGCTCGATTCCAACGTGCTACCCTGACGAAAGTTCAGCCCCTATACGCGGTTTAGAATCAAGACCCCAGAGCTAGACGAGATCTAGCAGTAAGGCACCGCGCCAAGAGAAGAGGGGTTCAAAACGCGACGAGGAACCAAAAAATAATAATTTCCGTGTCAGACGTGCGTAGTTGCGAAAGAGAGCGGGACAAGCGGTCATCGTGATGTTAATCAAGATAAGAATTAGTACTGGACTTCCAGAGATACTATAGCTGGAATGTACAAAAGCAGCAGCATATCTAATCAACATAAGTTTGAGCTACGTATATAATCTTCGTTTACTTTACGAACTGCTCGATACCTGATTCATGCTCTACTTTAGATGGCACACTCCAGAGCTAATTAAGGAGCTGACGAATGACCCAAAGCTGGATTAGTACGGAATCTATGCGTACGGGCGTCGCGCACTTCGTAAAGTAAACGAAGAGTATATGTCTTTAATTAGCTCTAAAGTGTACCATCTAAAGTACAGCGTAAACCAGGTGTCGAGCAATTCGTAAAGTAAACGAAGATTATAACATGCGTGGCTTGGATTTATGTTGATCAGGTACGCTGCTGTCTTCGTACATTCCGGTTATAGTTTCTCCGGAAGTCCATCACTAATTCTTATCTTGATTGACTTCACGATGCCCGGGCTCGCAACTGTCACGTAGCTAACTCAAGCGACGTCTGGTAGTATTATAGGTTGCGCGTAGAGGGAGCGTAGATAAGGAAAGATATCTTGACCGACTAGCTAAGAAGGAAATAGTCCAACTACTGCTGTTAGCTCGCGATAGGGAGTCGGCCCTGGTAAGCCCACGTACTACAAGTCGTAGAATGTAGGCGTCTACATTTTATTATGCGACAATTATATACTCCTGTAAACTACCAGGATAATCGCTCACACACAGGGAACCCAACAACGGTTCTGCTCGCAAGCCTGCCGTTAGTATTGGTCGCTTGGAGAGGATATCAAGGCTCAGCTTAATTCCTACTTAATACCTGAGCAGAGATATGTCCGATAACTTAATCCACTGGGACCATGTGCCATCGCATTTCTACTTCATTTGGTGAGAGAGGGAGTCGAGGTCGCACGACCGTTATCGCTCGACTGAGGGGCGCGGATACTGTAAAATAATATTACGCGGCCGGTTGAACCCCCCAGGTTCATGCTGTGTCCGGAATAAAACGGCGCAGATTATAATACTCCTCCCTATTTCTCTCAGCAGACAAGTAATCGAAAATGGTATTAATAAACATCGGAGGGTTGGCGAAGCGAGTCTAGAGGTCTTGCCCCGAGAGGTGCAGAGAACACTGTGCTCGCGGGGGCGTATGCACGGTAACAGACGCCAGTTTCAAGACAAGCAGATGGATCTCAACAGCTGAAATCCGGCATAGCGGATGCTTGACCGTCTTCGATTCGCATGTATAGCTAGAAGGGGGAGCGCTTGTCTTATGCAGGCTGTTATCACCACCCGGGCAGCGAGTGGGATAGAATAGCCCCCGGCTAAAATATAAACCCAGTCTCATCCTAGCGAGACGAACTGAAACGGATAGGAAGAAAGAAAAGAGAAAAGAAACACGGCTAGAGCGGTTGGGAGGGTTCTAAAAGGTTACAGATAAATTGACTTGGTCGCCAAGAAGAGATATTAGTTAAGACCATGTCCATATCAAAACACCGTTCGTCTCAAGAAAATGCGTTTCGGTGCTCTGTTCCTCGTCTCTGAGGAGGAGGTTTTGAGGGCCAATCCAAATTTGCGAATTCTCCGCTTGATTCACACCAAGACGTGCTTGTTGGCGCAGATTTATAGTATCATTATATGTCCAGCCGCTGGTGCGCGCAACAACCCGGAAGTCGTTGCTTCGCCCCAACTGAATAATTATACTGAATGCTAGACGTACTAGGGGGTAATAATGTACAGGCGCCCTAGTATCTGCTCCGTACCCGAATCTTATTGTGTGTATATACATACATACATGTCCCACGTAGAGAGTAGTAATATAGCCCTACATATCCCAATAGGAAGTGGAGGCGTCTACAAGTTCCCGTGGCGAGACTTATACATGTCACTTATCCTGACTATATTTCCGGCCCGCACCGTCGATCGCTTGCAACGTAGCAAAGACCCTAGTTGGCTGCCTGCTTTACCGCAGCCCGCCGAGGCGAACGCACTTGTCGACCCAGGTCTCCTTGGGCTTCTTCTTCTTCTGCGACACGCCCCACGTCCTCCACGTAGTATCGGTGGTGTTGGTGGTCTCGGTGCGCGCGGCCACCGACGGCGCCGGCGGCGGCGGCATCCGGAGGGCCGCGGCGTGCGGCGCCACCGTGAACGACTCGATCCGCGGGCCCTTGTAGAACCCGGACATGATCTGGCTCACGTAGAGCGAGTTGGTCGACCGCGAGGCCGCGTGCGAGGCCCGCGCCGGCCCGTCCCGCACGGCCGACTGCCGGGCGTCCGGAGCGGATACGGATGACGCAGCGTGGTGCTGTGGCTTCTCGGCCGCGTAGACGTCGTGGGGCTGCATGCTGTTGCGGTACTCGCCGTTTTCGGCCGCGTACGCGGCAGTCATGAGGTCGTCGATGATCTTGGACTCCGTCTTGGTGGCGGGCCCGCTCGCGGCTGCGTCGGGCTTATGGGATTTGTGTCCGCTCGCTGTTGCTGCCGCCTTCCGCTTCCGCAGGCACCGCCATATCAGGAATATCAGCGCGGCTACGATCACCACCACCCCTGTCGTGCACCAAGGTGTGGTTAGCATACGCGTAAACGATCGGAGGAGGCCTGGCTTTGCGCCGAGGCAGTCTTACCGAGTACACCGAAGGCTATAGCTCCATCCCGAGCTGAGTCTGACCCGCCCGACCCTCCTGACTGCGCTGGCAGAGGCTCTTGGCCGCTGGCAAGGCTCGGCGTAGCGCTGGCCCCCTCAGAGGTGCTCTGAGCGGGCGGGCTTGTGCTCGTAGAAACCGTGGTAGGTAGCGCCGGATCCGCAACAGACACGCTGGTGCTCGTGATCAATGTCGTCCTCGAAGAAGAGACCTGAGCAGGAACACTGACGCCGGTCGTCTGTATAGACGAGATCTGAGTAGATACCGCGGTGCTTCCCGTTGTGGTTGTTTGGGAAGGAGGAACTAAGACGGGGACATTGCTGCTCGTAGTCGAGGTGGTTTGGGAGGATGGAACCTGGATGACTGGAACACTACTGCTTGTTGTTGAGGTCGTTTCCGATGGTGAGGTCTGAAGAGGTGGGTTCTGAGTAGGCACAGAGATGCTTGTTGTGGTAAGTGTCGTTTGCGTAGAGGGGTCCGGAAGAAGCACGCTAGCACTGGTAGTCGACGTTGTTGTCACGGACGATTGCTGCGTAGTCACGATGGTGCTGCTGCTTGTGGTCGTTGTCGTTTGCAGGGCCGGATCCTGAGTGGGAGCTTCTGGTATGGCGGGTGTGGTCTGTACGGGCTCCGTAGGACTCGGCAGAATCGACGTAGGATCCGTATTCACAGGAGCCTCAGGTAGAGGCGGTGGAGGAGGGGGAGGGGGTGGAGGAGGTGGAGGAAATGTATCCGCCGTCGGCGATGGCGTATCTGGCCCCCCCTCTGACTCCCCGTCCGAGTCTGAACCGGAGTCTATATCGTCTGCGACATCTGGAAGATCGTCGCGAATAAATATGTGCAAACCATTCGCGCGGGTGCGCCACTGGCGAGAAGCAGTGCTTCGGTGATAGAGTCAGACTTTAAACCGGATCCTTCAACCGATCGAAAACTTACCGCATTTTGACGCTGTGACAGAAGAGCTTTAAACTACAACACGGACTTTATTGAAGAGAGGACAGAAAAGAGATTGCGCACAATTAACGGTCGTGAAGGTAGATGTCGTTAAACAGGCCCAGCCATAAACAGCAAATAGTGAGGGCGCAGCCCGGAAAGGGAAAGGAAGTGAGGTGATACGATAGAGAGAAACTACCACATGCACCCGGCTGAGAAGGGATCGAGAGGTAACAACTCTTCGCAATATTCCATCACCTTTAAATGACGAGTCGCACCCGCAAGTATTACCCAAGTTCCATCGCTATCTCGTCTCCAGTCTGGGGACAGCGAAAACTCGACCCGGGAGAGCACTGACTCTAACGACGAGGCGTTTCAAAGCTTTGGCCGCCGACGGCGATGTGCTTGGCGCCAAGCGTGACGAGGTCGATAGCTCATTCGCTGCAAGTCAAGACGACGCCGTTTCACCAGCTTAATTTTAGACATTATGAAGCTTAGTGGGTGGTCTGGGGCCGCGATGTTCTTGTTCTCTGGTTATTTTTGGCCCTGGATCTACCGCCCCGTGTGATAGTCGACCAGAGCCAACCCGAAAAGGGGCGTAACCCCAAACCCGCTGGGTCTCATCGACGCTCTTGAGCGATTTAATGCTAGCAAGAAACAAATCAGAGAGAAGGCCGGGGACGGACAGAATGTGTGAACTCGCGTCAAGATTCCCAATCTTCCCATCCACCAGAGATGTACCTAATACCGAGATGCGAAGGACCCGACCCGTCCGTTAGTCATGGTCACGCAACCCCATTCCGCGTGATTTCGTATCGGAACCTGTCGAGCTGAGATAACCTATAACGGTGTGTTTTCGTATAGGAAGCAATGGAGTTGCGAGTTGACGACTGGCTGGCACAAGCGCGGAGGATCGAAGGTAGGTAAGTCGATCCCTCCGCAGAGCGCACTGGCCAAGTGCGGGTCTGGGAATGAGAGCAGTTTCGCTGCTCGCGTCGGCTGGGATGCTGGGAGGTATCCTGGCAGGTCGATTCAGCAAGGAAGCAATTGTCATCACCTCGTGGTTTTGGGGAATATTACCCGCGAATTGCCAGCTTGCGTGAGAGGAGCACGAGGGAAGCTGGGTAGAATTTCCAGGCTATAAAAGAGTAGGTATATAATACTCGCAATACCTACCTATAAGGGATATATACTCGATATATATATACACACATACATATATACATATATGTATGCACTTACCGAACTGGACGTCTCGGGGTCTCGGATGGTCGGATGGTCGGGTTTAGGAAATCGGGATGGTGACGCAACCCCGTTTCTGGCTTACCTCTCCCTCTTCTCTCTCTCTCTCTCTCTATCTCCCCTCTGTCTTCTTTATCCGTGGCCCGGAGCTCCTTTTAACACTATTCTTACTATGTCTCACCACCTGCACCAACACCAACACCGTTAGAATTGGTTAACGTCAAGCCCCTTGACGCCACTTGGCAGAATACCACCCAATGGCACTGCAGGAGGACGCGCCGGCGATCGCTCCGAGGCAGCGTCCGGTGCCTCCGCCGAACCGCCGCCGGGACAAGCCTCAGCTGTCCTGTAATCTATGTAGACGGCGCAAGTATGTCCTAGCCGATGTCCCTCGAGTTCCTGTTCCTTGAGACGTAGAATAAGAATAGAAAAACCCTTAGTACTCCTCGCTCACCTCGTCTAGAGTAAAATGTGACCGCCAGCAACCTTGCAAGACGTGCACGCTTCGCGGCCTGGGCGCCTCTTGCTTTTACCCCTCCGATATCCGGGCGTCGCGCTTATCGGACCGGGAGCCGGGCTCGTCTGCTACGGTGCAGAGCCGTGTCCGCGAACTCGAGGGTCTTGTGCACGCTCTGATACAGCGGACTGGTGTGAAACCCCTGTCGCCGAATACGACTGCGGACCTCGAAGGCTCCCTCGACGCCGATGTCCCTGCGGCGGACACATCCGGGGAGCCGTCCGACTCCGGCACCCTGACCAACACTCCCGCCGGGCCCAGTTACGCCGATGGCGCGCATTGGACTGCTCTCCTGGACGGCATCTCCGAGCTGAAGGAGTACCTCCAAGAGAACAACGAGGCAGGCTATCACTACCACATCCCTCCGCACGTCATGCCCGACTATGGGCCCAGCCCAGAGCTCTTGTACGGCCGCTTCACCCAGGCCACGAAGGGGGAGATCTTGAGTACGGTGCCGAAGAAACCCGTTGCGGATCGGTTGATATCGAAATTCTTCGGCTTGATCGATCTAGCTCCAGGTTCGTAAACCACCCCTTCTCCTACCCCGCTTAGCTCACTACCCGTCGGAAAGCTCCTGATGCGTCGGTGCTGATATTGTAACAGCCCTCTTGCATAGTGGTCAGTTTATTCATCAGGTAAGACGACTCGATCGCCACTACCCTTCTCTCTCGCGCTGACGGCTGCGATGAGTACGAATCGTTCTATGCGGACCCATACTCGGCCCCCATCATGTGGGTGGGTCTCCTATTCGCTATTATGTGTGTTGCGACGATGCTCTCGATGCCACATACCGGACAGGACCCGGACTCTGACGTCCAGGATGTCGAGAGCGCGATCATCGTGAAGGTGTATCGGGAGAAGATCATCCAATGCCTCACCCTAGGGAGGTATACCAGAGGCGGCCCCTATGTCTTAGAAACCTTCCTCGTCTATATTGCTTCGGAGCACCTGCTACGGGAAGACGCTGAGTTTGGGACTCACATCCTGTTGGGCATGATCCTACAAATCTCCATGCGGATGGGTTACCACAGAGATCCTAAGAACTTTCCGGTCCTATCGCCTTTCGAGGGTGAGATGAGGAGGCGAATATGGGCCGCCTTACACCAGGCGAGTCTCGTTTTCGCGTCGCAGATGGGCCTGCCCAGTATGTTCAGGGCGCGGCAGATCGACACAGAGGAACCGCGAAATCTGATAGACTCAGATTTTGATGAAACCACCGCCGTGCTGCCGCCGTCGCGACCCGAAACCGAGATGACGCCGATTCTCTACGTCATCGTTCGGGGTCGCGTCGCCTCTCTCTGGGAGCAAGTTCGTGACATAGCAGTCGATACCAGGCTTCATAAATACGACGAGATTCTGGCCATGGATCGCAGGATGCAAGCGGAGCGACAGCGCCTACCCGAGACCCTTCGCGCACGGCCCATAGAGAAATCCATCACGGACCACCCGCAGATAATTATGCAGAGGATATGGCTAGAGATCTGTTTCCTCCGGTTGAAAGCCGTGCTGCACAAGAAGTACTTCATGGCGCCTCCTCACCTCCATCAGCGCTACAGCTACTCGCGGCACGTCTGCCTCAGGTCGGCCCTGAAAATCCTCGAGTACCAGCACATCGTCTACGAGAAGGTACAGCCCGACCACTTGCTGTACGAGGTTCGCTGGAAGCTTTCGTCCGTGATGAACAACGAGTTCCTCCTGGCGACTAGCATTCTGTGCGCCTACGTCAAGCAGGTCTGCTCCGCTCCCGAGAGCACGGTCGAGTGCATAGACACGCAGGAGGTCAGCGAAGCCCTCACACAGTCGCTAGACGATTGGCATCGTTTTAGTGCCACGTCGAGGTACGCTCGGACAGCGATCAAGGCCATTCGTCTAGTTCTCGGGATCGCAGGCACACCTACGGAGAGTCCCCCTGCTAACACGGAGGAGGAGGAGCTGAGCCGACTGCTCTCTTTTCAAGGTAGGCTTCCTCCCGCGGACACGCCCGTTCGAATCAGTCGATGCCTTCTGATGCGCGCTAGATTATCTGGGTCATTACTCTCGAATGAACTAACTCGACGCAGAACCCCTTCTCTTGGATTTCAACCTCCCGTTCACATTCGAGGGGGAATATAACGGAAGCAGCTCGAAATCTATCAGCGAACCCGAGCAAGAGATGACCTCGTTCGCCCCAATGCCGGCATCCAATGATGACTGGGCAAACCTATTCCCACGGGTTCCCACTCGTGCGTCAGATTGAGTCGAAGTCGTCTTACGTAGAATCGCATGGTTACATATCGAAGACATCAACTGTTGCAACAGTCCTACATGTCATTTTCTTCGCTAAGTCTAGCATCTAGTAGTAGCTGGCTCCCCAGGACGGGGAGCAGAAACAATCCCTTTGTGCCCGGACCTTGTGGTCTGGGCCTTGTATCTGAGCATGGCCGCTCAGTGCCAACAAAGTGGCCCTTGGATAACAGCGATCAAGAGTGCCCACAGACTTAATTGGGGGTTTGGTGGTGCTTCGTATACGGACGCCGGACCAGAAGATCCTCAAACTCCAAACGAAAATCACCTCCTGCATCTCCTCGTACCAACCGACGCACCCACCCGAACGCGAAGGCCACTCCACTCTACTCACCCCTCGACCATACGCATACACTTAGGGTAGGTACCCAGGGCCGGCCCCGAGGAACCCATGGCGCTCTCACTCAGCACGACGCCGCGGACGCTCCCGGACCTGCAGGCCGCGCTGCGGCTTCCGACGGAGGCGGCGGCAACAGCCCTCGTCGGCGAGGACGCGGTCAAGGAGGCGTTCCGGCGGTACGCGAACCTGTGCCTGTCGGCGGGGTTGCCGGGGCAGGCGGTGCCGACGGGGCGGGCGGTGCAGCGGTACCTGACGGGGCGGGCGGTGGAGGGCCGGGGGGCGGCGGCGCTGGACGGCGCCGTCGCCGCCGACTGCCACGCGCGGCCCTACGACGTGCTGCCGCACGCCGCGCGCTTCGTGCTCGCCGCCGCCCTCTTCCTGAACACCCCCTCCGGCCGCCCCTACGACGTCGGCCCCCCCGCCGCCCACCCGCCCCCCGACGCGGACCTCGACCGCTGCGACCGCCTCGTCCGCCTCCTCGGATTCCTCGCCCAGCAGAACCGCGAAAACAGGGACAGGCTCAAGCGCTTGCGCGCGGAAAGACTTGCGCGCGGCCGCGGCGCCGCGGAGAGCTAGGCGAGATTCCCCCCGGGGGTTCTGGCCGTGAGAGAATTCTGTGGGAGTAGTTAGATAGATGTAGCTTGACGAAACAAAAAAAAAACAAACAAAAAAACGGAGATTCGTCGTATAAATACGTCCTTTTGACCTAGACTTGATGATATGTGATGTCTCCCCTCTCGGGCGGTGAGCAAGCCAAGGGCGCTGTTCTTTGTAAAGAAACTAGAATTTCATGTCAATAGACTATGCGCGAAGTCGTTGAGCGTAAGGCGGAATTTGGATTGTAAAAGGGGCTCTGGTATTGTACCGCCGCTGCAGGCGGCCTAGAAAGGAATTGGGGCTGGAGATGAGATATATACAGCGCTCTTCCGCCCCAACCGACCATTAACGAGGACTCAACATATACCGAGGAGGGGCTGTAGTAGCATGGTATACTCGTATAGATTCTCCCGACGGCCGTCTCCCTAACTCCGAGCCATCATCATGCATTGTTATACTCATCTTATCGTCTCCCTTCCACACCTACCCTCTTAGCTCATTCCCATCCCCAACACAAACCGCCGCCTCCTCCCCGGGGGTGTGTTACGTCAGCTCGTGCCCTCGCAGCACCCCCGGCGCGACCCACCACGAGCGCGGGAACCCCATCCCCCACTTGGCGACGAGGCCGGCGAGCTCCTCGCGGCGGCCGGGCACGACGTTGACGAAGACGCGGTCGCCGCCGCTCATGCGCGGCTCCGAGTGGACGGCGCCGCGGTCCTGGCCGATGCGGAAGACGGCGCACGCACCGGCGCCGGCCTCGACGCGGCCCAGCGGCTCGAGCTCCGTCGCGAGGCGCTCGCGCACCGCGTCCGCAGCCGAGGCGCACCCGACACACCGCACCGACGTGCAGGCGTGGTCGGTGGCGAGGGCGCGCCGGGCCGCCCGCGATGTTGCACGCGCAGCAGCCTGGTGCTCCGCGGGGATGAACTGCGTCGAGGGGCCGAGGAGCGTCGCGCACAGCTTCCAGTCCGTCTGTAGGGCGAGCGCAGGCTTCTGAGACTTCCTCCGCATCAGGATCCTCGGTATCCTGCCGCCGCTACCTTTACTCGACGAGGGCGGCGGCGGCGCCAGCGGGGCCCGTAAGCCGCCGCTGGGGCCATTGGCGAAGAAGAGGTCGTCGGCGTGCCAGCGGGGCTTGTCGAACTCGGCGGTGGCTTTGGTGGCGCGGATGGTGAGCCAGTAGTGGTGCAGGCCGTTCTTCGCGAGCAGGTCGTTGGCGAAGGCCAGGAAGGGGAGCAGCACCGGCAGCAGGGAGGTCGAGAGCGCCGCGGCAGCCCATTCGTCGAGGCTCGGCGGCAGGTCGTCTGACTGGGAGAGCAGCGGCCCACAATAGCTCCAGAAGGCGTCCGTCTTGACTGATAAACCGTCGTCGCCGTCGTCGTGGCCCTTCCCTGGATATGGAGGCGGGGGAGGCTGTGATGTACGGTAGTCGAAGAACTCGAAGCTTGCTGACGTCTTGAGTCCGTCCTTCATGGTTGAGCAAGGACGGCGGTTGGTCGGGTGTGCTGGAGAGGTAAGTTGGGTTGAGGTTGGGTTCACTTGAGCTGCCCAGTCGAGGTACCTACGCGGGACCGTAGGCAAACCCAAGCCGCTAATATATACCAGGGGGCCGTCCTGATCAAGTATAGCGACCTGACGGATCAGGAATAGATGGTCGCTTCTCCAAACGGATCGAGGTTCCGGCGGGAGGTTGTGGTGATGGTGGGCAAGACGGGCAAGTTGTCGTAGGAGAAGCTGGACAGGTGCCAAGGGGGACCAGCCTTGGGTACGATTAGTCCGGGTCTGGGAATTCTGGCTCACGTATTATATAGGGAAACAGGAATCGGCGGTCCAACAGAAGGCATCGAAAGGCGCATCGGCCCGTCGACTGATCTGCTTGCCTGGGCACATGGAGGGCTACTCAATGCGAGAGAGGGCTAAGAAGGGCACCGCATTGCTACCTCGAAACGGGGGAGGGCGAATCAGCAGCTCGTCGACGTCCCCCGACCCAACCCCCCTGTCGACGAATCGCGGAAACGTGGGAGACCCAATGTCGCGCCGGGTGGCGCTGGTGGTGCAGGCAGCAGGCACGCATTGGCTGCACAACCCGGAACCGACCAGAGCTCGATATTAAGCGAAGACGCGGACAGGGAGAAGGGGGAGGAGGAAGAGGAGGAGGAGGACGTGGAGCTGTGCGTCTGCTTTTTCGTCTGCTCTCTGGCCCGAATCTCCCTCTCGCTCTCCCCGGCTGCACGTCTGCGAAAAGGGCACAGCGGGATGTCGTCCTGATAGGCAGACCGAAGGGCGACGTAGGTATGTAGGCATGGAGCGATGGATGGGGGTTTGGACGTGGGCCCATGAGAGAGAGCGAGAGAGGAGGCCGAGTGCCTGGGCGCCGCATTGGCCTACCGAACGCAGTCGGCACGTGGGATTAATCCTGTCATTTTTTGGCGTGGCGCACCTACGGCCACGAGTACATCGCCTACGAGGTCCCTCTACCTCTGGCACCTGAGGTGGGCACCTAACCAGGCACCCAAGGTCACACCTATAGGCAGGTACCCACTGTGTACCCAGTACCTGCCTGCCCAGGTACCTCCTAATATCACGTTCTATTTCCCGATGCATTCTGCGCATCGCGATAGGCAGGCGCCTTGGGCACTGGAGCGCATTGTGGTATGCACATGCTGTATAAGTACCTAATGCACATATATTATGTGCTGTATGTAGAGGCAAGTGTGGGGTACGGATGATACCCTCCTTGGGTACCTCCATGTACATTGGGTGCCTGACGTACCTACATCCGTACCAGACATCCCAGTTGGGTACCTCCCCTTTACCTCCTAGTGGTGCTTGTGGGCATAGAGATTACATAAATCACAATAGCATGGGCTGGGTGGATGGACCACATTCCGGACCAACCCACGCCGTGCGAAACCCAAGAACATACGTCTTTATTTATTTATTTTTATTTTTTATTTTTTATTTTTTTTCACCTCGTCCCCCCCCTCTCCCCCAGAAGCCATTCCTCCTACGCACCCACCCGGCCTGCCACAACCGCGTCACCTTCTCCTCTCTAACAGACGACGGAGCACGATACGCCTCCGACTCCGCCAGCTTCCCCGGCGGGGAGCTTCGTGCGGCTTTCAGCCCTCTTTTTCTCTAGTTAGATAGCCCGCGTCGCCTCCGAGCCTGAGGACCGACCCCTTTCTGCGCCGAGCTTTTCGCGATGATGTCGATCCCCGCCGTACCACGGTGAACTGAAAAAGCAGATCAGGATCTGCTCGACAGGGTCATCCGTAAAGTGAGCCTGCTTAGACTGGCGATCTGTCGAGATCGACGGCGTTATGCCGGAGGTTGTCGTTGCTGACCGCGCTCTCGACCGCCCAGATCGACCGGGGTGGGCTCTCTTCGGCCGAGAGACTCGGCGAGCCCCGATAGCTAGCCGACGCAGCGGAAAGGCTCCCTCAAAGCACCAGCAACACTCCCGCATTTTCCCTCTCTCCTTAGCCGTCCTCTCTGGCTCCCTCTCTGGCTCCTATGTTCCTTTGGGGGGCATTTCCCGGGCCATCGCAGTCCAGGAAAGCGGCATCAGGCAGTTGTTGGGATACACGGCCCATCGCGTATCATTAAGCAACCTTGACACCTAAGGACAGAGGGTAGGTTGTCCCTGATAACAAGCTTGTAACTAAACAATCTCGAAGTCAACATGTCTCTATCTTTACTCATATAGGGACGACCGCTATTCTAGTCGATGTCGCAGTCGCAATATGTAGACACGATGGCCGCGATAGTCTGTCATAGAAAGCCCACTGCTGCTTCCCTGGGCTTCATCTACTTACTCTCGTGGGGGCCATTTACCAGGAGCATCACTTCCGTACCCTCCTGCGGAACCAGACGATCGGCCGCAGCGGATTATAGCGAATGTCAGCGATGCCTTCGCGAATTTCAACAACCTCAGTCCTGTCACCTTGACCCCTTATTCAGCTTGCCCGTAGAGTGGCACGCCAAGATTTTTCCTACCGGGCATTGATTGCCCGAGTCTCGGGGGATGCTTGCTGCGCGGGAAACGTCGCAGATATCAAGGCTAAGTAGAGCTTCCCCCGACCCTTTCTTTCGCGGCTCAGCTTAAAGCGCCGGGCCAGAGAGGAGGGGTGGTCGCCCCCTGTGAGGTCATGTCTTCCTACGAGAGGCGATGCATAGAGAAGCTATGCGAGACAGGGTCTGTTCTGTTGGAAGCTAGTAGCCATTGTGAATGGGAGCGAGGGGACGGCGGCTGGGCATGTGTGCGCTCTCTCTAGCTGTCTAAGGTTGTGTCCCGCACGAGTGCTGACAAGGCGAGGCAGCGTTTCACGTCTGATTTCGCTACCGCTTCTCCGGGTCGCGTACGCAAAACCCGTCCCTTGGTGCTTTACACGGAAAGCGTCGGCGGGGATGCGTATGTATGTATGCATATATGTGTAGGCATGTCTATGACTACTAGTTAAGTATGTATGTATCTACCTATATTCATCCCTTTCACACACCTGCTTCCTGCTCAGTTCGTCTGTAAACCTTCCTGTCTACGTGCTCCACCGCCAGGAGGAGAACCCACCGTAAACAATCTGCTCGTCATTTCTTCCGTCGCTGTACGGCTGGTACCGAGTCCCGGTGTCAGAGCCAGCCGGGGGGATAAGGGGTTGATGCGCTGCCACGTGTGGTTTCAAGGGGGTAGGATAAGGGGGTGGGACGGTCAAGGCGAGAAGGGGGCAGACTAGATATTGGCAACCCTACTCATACATATACTAGTACACATAATGTACGCACACATATACGATAGGTACATAATTACTGGCGTGAATATGTCCAGGGATCTTGTCAGCCCAATCGTCCACACATACATGGTATTCCCCTACGGAGAAAAACAAGCTTAATACAAATGCCACCCTAATCAAACAATATATAACCCGACCCCGTCGATACCAGGGGTTACAACAGTAGAGTATCAGTCTCCTAGTGTATGCATATAAGGCTATGAATTCGCGAATACCGTCACATCAAAATATGAATGCAGCGCCATCGTCCGCCCAGAGTACACAGCCGTGTAGACGAGAAAATCGGGGGGGAAGGGGGAGCAATCGAATTGCTGATGTGCGCGATCAAGAGACCTCACACCATCGCCTACGGCGCATTCGTGCGCAGCAGCGCGGCTCTTTAGCGAGACGGACGGGCAGGCGAGATTGTCACATGGTGCCCTTGTCGGGCGGCAGTAGGTGCATTCGCACTGGTCGGAACGGGGTCCTAGGAGGCTGCTCTGCGCGGCCGCGACCTGCTGGAGGAGGAGCTAGTGTCGACCGACGGGGCCAACATTCCATCGAGGACGCTTTGCGGGCAGGCGACTATATACTCATATGCACTACCTACCTATCGCGTTGGTCCTCGCCAGGTCTCCCCCAGCCAAGCCACCCGCCGCGCCTATCGACTCCCGCGGGCGGTCGGCGGCTGGTAGCAGACAGAGCTGCCCGCGGGCCTCTGGACGCGGCCGCAGAAGATTCAGCGCGTTTCACGATCTCTCTCTCTCTCTCTCTCTCTCTCTCTCTCTCTCTCTCTCTTTCTCTCTCTCTCTCTCCTAGGGCTGCGCCCCCTCCCCCCCCCCCGGGCGCCAAAACAGCGCTTAGGAACCGGTGCTGGACTTGTCCATAATATACGGAGTATACATACATACCCTGTGCAAATACATACCTGCGTAGTATTTCGCCAAGCCGAGTATACCTACCAACCAAATTCCTTTAGAACATGGCATAGCAACAATCCAGGTTTTCGTCATTGCTCCGTTGCTACCAACAAAACTGCCTTTCTCTCTCTCTCCCGTCTGTCCATCTGCCTGTGTTAGATCGTGTTTTCAGGAGCTTTTTACGCGGCAGACATCATCACCGGGGGATGGACGCCCCCCCCTGGGCCGCGCCCTACTTACTCTGGCTCTCTTTGGGGGCCAAGCCTCTGACCAAAACCCTCCTCCAAGAAACTGGGCGTAACGAGCTGCCCTGCCTAGACCTCCGCTCGGTCTAGGCTTGCCTTAGAGAAGGAGGTGGTGGGGGAAGCCTTCGCATAGGCGAGTTGGCGAGATGGTCTCGGGGATCTCAATCGCTTCTTCACCTGACATCGAACCCATTGGCCACAGAAGTGCAGATTGGCAAGATCCTTCAGGGGCCAGCGCGGTTGCAGTGCTGCTTATTACACCGAAATGTACTACGTAGTATGCATGCAGGGTAGGCATGTGTGGTGGCGGAAACAGCTGGTGTCCGAATATCGCACGTCTTGTCCTGCCGAACAGGTACGATAGCAGGTATTTATAGGTAGGGTATACTGAAGGGTCGAAGGGAGAAAACAAATAAAGTCAAATCGCACATATGAGTATTCGAAGCGGGGCAGGACAGAGAGCCTCTGCTACGGGATATTATTCCACAAGTCCCTGGAGACGGCCCCGGCGCACCCTGTGGTGCTTGGAAGTCTGGGATGGGAGGAGATTGGGAGGGGAGACTCTCAGAAGGATTCTGGCCTCCCTGCGCATCGTCACATCGGGACAAGTGTGTAACTATCCCAGCCCACACGCGCGCGCGCGCGCACCCGGTATACTGCCCGGCCAAGAGAGAAGGGAATGAGACCGGGACATTTTGCCTCGATGCAATCGGGACCAAGGGATTTCCACATGTAGAAGCCTGCAAAACCATACTCCCTCGCACCCCCTGGGCCATGCGCAGAGGGGGCGATGCTGAAGAACTCCCTAACGCCTCCCTTTCTCTCATTCTCTCTCTCGATTCTCTGTCATCTATTGTGTGTCGTCTCCCTCCTTTTTGTTTTCTGAACACCAAGTCATGCTTTTCTTCAGCGTGTTGTAGAGTCGATCTCTCCTTTTCCTTGTTCTCTCTCGCTCTCTTCCGATTAAGTATATCCCGAGCACACACGTCGTCCCGGGGGCACAGGGCCGTCCCCTCGGAAAAGCCGTCATGGCGCAACCATCGTCAGAACCGTACAGCACACTCGAGGTCTCCAGGCGAGATCCAGAAACTTTCCAGAAGGAGGCAGTAGCATATCCCGACCACAGTTATCCGCAAGCTGTACCGGTCGAGCACGTGGCCGCGGGTGCCACGCATTCATATTACAGTCCCGAGACGGACAAACAGGTCGTCGGCCAGCCACCACAGCTATATCCCCCTCCGGTCGGCGTGCTGCCGCCGGCCTACAAGGGATCGGAGTATGCGGGTGCCGTGGCGTACACGATCGGAGGTGCCGGGTACTACGCAAATGGGGCGCCAGCATATCCCGACAGCTCGGCGTACCCCCCGAGTAGCGTCGGAACCATGAGCACAGCGGCATACACGACTCCGTTATCTCCCCTGCCCCCGCAGAATATGAGCGACCAATACCTCCCCGGTGAGGGGGAGAAGCCGGCAAGGGCGGCAACGATATGCGGCCTCCGGAGAAAGACCTTCTGGATAATCCTATTAATCGTAGTGTTGGTGATCGTGGCGCTAATAGCAGGAGTGGCGGGGGGCCTGGCTAGCAGAGGTCGCGACCAGTCGATATCAAATTCTGCGAATTCGGTAGGGTCGTCGGGGGATACCAATGGCAGCGACAACAATAACAACGGGTCATCGGCCGATCCGGGGTCGTCAGGCGCGACGAGCAGCGGCGAGAAGCTCATCCTCGGCAACTCGAAGCTGACGGCGTCGAACTGGACGGACGCGAGCGGGGTGGTGCATCGGACGGTCTTCTTCCAGGACGCGCACAACGCCATCATCGCGCGGCGTTGGGACTCGCAGGGCAAGTCGTGGAAGACGAACAACCTCACCCAGCTGATGGCGGCCACCACGACGCCGCTCAACCCGCTGCCGGGCACGCCGCTGACGAGCGCGTCGATGGACCTCGACCCCGTGTACGAGACGCACGTCTGGTTCCTCAACCCACGCAACATCATGCAGTCGATGGCCTCGTTCGACGCGCTCAAGCGGCCGGACAGCTGGGAGAACGACACGATGGACGGTGCCGTGCTCGAGACGTGGCCCGGGAGCCAGCTCTCGGGCATGTGGCAGCGTTGCGGGGACCGCGACTGCAACGGCACCTGGATAGTCGCGTACCAGCGGCCCGAAGGCGCCATCAAGACGGCCAACTCGAGCACGTGGCCCACGTCGACTGTCGCCGTCGAGTCCAAGGACGTCGCCGCCAACTCGAGCATGGCCGTGATCCCGAAGCTGCGCGGCCCCTTCCTCGACCGCCTCGAGCTCGTCTCCGAGACCATCCGGTCCGGCGACGGAGTTATGCGGATGACCTCGTACGACGACACGTGGAACGAGGCCGACACTAGAGGTACGTACTTTGCGCGACCCCCTTCTAATCTTCTTCCTTCCTACCCCTTCACTGTCCCCTTTGAGAAGCCAGTTGGCCGAAAAGCTAACCCGTCGCCGTCTAGTCACTGAACTCCTCACCGACATCCCGGTACCAGCGCCGACGCAACAGTTCGCGGCGACGAAGTGGGACAACTGGAGACAAGGGTTGTACATCGCGCTGCTGCAGGGCGGGAACATACTCGGCCGGCACTTTGACGGCCAGAAGATGAATAGCATCTCCAACTTCCAGTTCCTGCCGGGCCCGCGGCCCGACTTCACAGCCATCGCCATGTCGCCCGACGCCATGTTCTACGGCATCGCCAACGACGAGGTCCTCGAGTACCGTCTCGACCAGTCCGACCCCTCCAAGTTCAACTTCGTCGGCAGGGTCTTTCCTTGATCCTGCCAGCAGCCACCCTACACGACCTTCTTCTACTCCTCCACCTATCATTCTTACTATCATGTACCCTTTTTATTTTATCTAAGAACCTAACGGCCCAAACACACACAGGGAGAAAGAGAGACAGATATCGGGGGGTTCAGAGGGAAAAAGGGATGTTATCCTTCCTCCCTAACCTTCGTTGGCGAGTGGCACGGGGCTTCATCTTCATCTTCTTCACGTCATATTCCTACTTCTCCTTATTCGTTTCGTGTATAAGGCGGCCCTGCCATTTTGGAGTCGAGGAGACGGGCAGCGCTTGAGAACATTTTTGATACCAAAAAACGGATGCCGTTATGCATCTAGTTTCCCGCACTTGGAGAACCCATAGTTCTACTTACTCGTATGCATGTACGCTACGTGGCACGACTAGAAGAGAGATACCTTCATAACAGAAAGAAACCCGTCTGCAACAAGAACCTCCTGACCTTGCCGACGTTTGCCTCGCATACTCGGCATGCATCTTACTCAGTGTGGGGAGCAAATAACCCGCACCTCTCACGAGGTGACGGTTGTCTGGATAGGGTAGGTGACAAGAAGCACCGTGAGTCGTTGGATAACCCCTTGCTTGGCCCCTACCAGGTTATCAAGCTTTTAGTGTCTAGAAAATAATATGGCGCTGGACCCGGCGGTGCCACCAATACCTAGAGTAGGGGTTTCCTTATGGAGGAGGATCAAAGGTCCTCACCGAGCCTTATTGCAATAATTCCTTGCAGGGCCTAAGCTCGCCTAGGCCAGGCGCGGGATACGCAGACAGCAAGTCGGCAAGACCTCGTGGGCAGACGCGCCAAGCGAACCCTGTCCTGTCATGACCGACGATAGGACAGGTTGATCGGCAGCGAAGTGAAGAAGGCAGCCTGCCTCCTTATATGAATTGCCATCCACCACGAGGCGCACTCCCCCGGTCGGCTAATTGCGAAGCCGCAGGCGGCTGCTGGCAACACATCGCGCCTCAACAGCCTATACCGCACCATCCCAGGTCTCCAATCCAGGCTCGTCTCGCGCGCGTGAGGTGTCGCCGTTTAACCGTCGACCTATTCCGCGCGGGAGAACAGAGTACGGCACGCAGGGCGCATATTCGATTGGCTGAAGCTCAAACCTGGCGCGCTCTAGTCTCGCTTTTTCTCCGTTGCCTTTTTCTATTTTCCTAGTGCCCCCCGTGGCAGCCAGCCCGGCACGGCGGACGCGCGCGCAATCCCCTCGCTCGGCAAAGCCCCCAGTTCCAGGTAGCCCCGCTTGCCTCGTCGTTTAGCGATTTAGCCGCTGCGGTAAAGGTTCAGCGAATCCATGCGGTAACTGCCTTCCCTCCGACCCTTACGTACTAATCCCCCCACGCCGAAGTGTTATCCGAGGGCGAGAACGCGTAGAGAAACGTCTAAAGATCTGGGCAAGTCGACGTAAGAGCTGGAGGCAAAGGCGACGATACTTGCTCGGTACTACCGCTGCTGCAGCCAGCACGGGGATGAATTGCGCCGGGTTAGATCCAGCCGGGGAAGATCCGCGGTTCCTCCGAAGGCGATAAAAGCCGGGTAGACTGGGAAGAGGTGGCATGCAAGATATAGACCCGGAGACGGCCCGCGCGTCGGCGGTTTCGGTCGGTGATTGATCCGCAAGCTTGGTACATCGGTGGCGTCGTTGCAGGACACCCTAGCGGAGCCCTAGCCGTGGGTGAACGGGGGCACGCTGGCACATGTTTAGAGGTCGGGAGGGGGCGGAGAGAGAAAAACCGGGCGAGTTAGGCGAACGACGGCATCCAGGGAAAGGGAACGGGCGGGAGAGGCTCATGGCTGGGGTAGATTATCAGATGAGTTGGCGTGATGTTCCCCCTTGCTTACTACGGCACATGAGTCGAGGAAAAATCACAGGGGGACGGGTGGATGTCTTATACGCCTTGGGTACCTCGGGTAGCGTACTAACTGCAGCGTTAGGTATGTAGGCACCTAAGTACCTACTTAAGGCAGATACCTGTACTTAAGGTAGTATGAATAAGCTTGATTGTTCAACTTTGCTTGCTAGGTTGATAGGTAACATGCCTTAGCTAATTGCTTACCTACCCGCCTAAGGACGTACCTCCTGCATACATGCACGTGAGTCACGTATGCCTCGCCGATGGCGTCTTCGTGATTGTCGGCTTACTCGTTCCTCCGGCGAGACGAGAGCGGAAACGAGGATCGATCGATCTATACGCCGCCGCCGCGGTGGCGGCGGCGTTGGGATATTATATAAGGTCGGTGTAAGTGGCCGTATCTGCTTACTTGATGCTCACACAATACACGAGATAAGCCGGGGGCACCATACAAGCGTGGCGCCCTCTGCCGGACCTGGTATCCTAATTGGAGAAAAGCGCTGCCCGGAGCCTCTGCGGGGGCGTCGGAGTCACATTGGCCCTAAGGCGTTCGCCCTTTGCGGACGGGCACATATGCGACGTCGAGGAGGCTGTCGAATGAGCGCCGGCTCAATGCTGTCTCTTCCGGTTCGGGCGAATTGGGAAGAATTAAGTCAGCCATCGATTGCCGGGTGCCCAGCGCTACGACGTACCTCGCACGCACACACGCGCGCATGAGGTCCCATGGCTTGCCCGCGAAGACGTGCAGGGTGCGGCGTTCGAACCGAACCCAGCTCTCTCTAGGGTCCAGGCGAGTGCGGCAGCCCGAGGCGCGGGCGCTAGGGGGCGGCTTTGCTTGCCGTCGCGGCCTTACCAAAACTTTACATCAGCATGCGTCACGGCAGCGCCAACTCCAGTTGCCGCAGCCAGGGTTGGACGTGGGTTGGGGGTTCGTCGATGTCTCTTCTCTCTCCGTCGCCGCGAACCTCATCCTCGCTAGTCGTGCTAATCTCTTCTCGGTGATCACTCAAAGCAGGGCAGGGCAGAGCAGCCCCCCCTCCGTCTTCTTCTCCCTCACGAAAAAAAAAACCGGGGCGAACCTTCATGACGCTTCTCTCTCTGTCCGACCTACCTACGTGATGCATCCATCGTCTTCCGATTCGAGACCAACCCGATTTAGTCTCGTCCTTCGACCCCCAGCATAACGAGATACCCTATAGATAGCGTCTGGCCTTCTTACTAGGTACTAGACATACGTTCAGGCACGCTTTCACTCACCCACACACACACACACCTCCTCTCCCTATATATACATACAGACATCCCCCCCCAATGCGGGCCCTATCGCTTTCCGTCTCCATCCTTGTCGCGATCTTGTCCATCGTCGTCTTCCGAGAGCACGTCTTCGAGTTGGGGATAGCTACCCTCAACAAGGTCGTAGAGTACTCGAACAGGTATACCAACAGCGGTACCAGCACCACCAGTAGTAGTAGTAGCAGCAGCAGCACCGCCGCTACCACCACGGGAATAGACCCCGACCCCAACCCCGAGTCCGAGCCTAGCTTTTACAACCCCAACGAGAAACTTGTCGCCACCGATATGTCCATCCCGCGCGCCATCCGCAAGGTCTTCCTCGCCGTTGAGCAGGCCGAGGGCGCCGGCGCCCGCGTGCGCCGCTCCATCGGCACGGCCCAGCTACGCAATTTCTCTCCCTTCCTCATGCTCGACCATTTCAGGTAGGTGTATTATATCTCCGTACTATGAGACCTCGATAGCTAATTCGCTCCATGCAGCATTAAGCCTGGTGCTGGGTTCCCCGACCACCCTCATAGAGGCCAGGAGACCATCACGTACCTGCTCACTGGTGGTGTCGACCACGAAGACTTCGCCGGCCACGCCGGCACTATCGAGGCTGGCGACCTACAGTTCATGACCGCCGGACGCGGAATCATGCACGCCGAGATGCCGCGCCAGAACCCTGACGGCTCCGCCAACGTCGGCCTCCAGCTCTGGGTCGACTTGCCTGCCAATCTCAAGGCCTGCGAACCACGCTACCGCGACCTACGCGCCCGCGAAATCCCCGCCGCGGACATGGACAACGGCAAAGTCCACATCAAGGTCATCTCAGGCCAGGCCGGTGGCGTCGATAGCGTCAAGGACCTCGCCTACACGCCCGTCTGGATCCTCGATGTCGAGATGAAGCCCGGCGGTAAGCTCGCTCAGCCCTTACCGCGCGGCTGGAACGCTTTCTCCTACCAGCTCGAGGGTTCCGCCGTCTTCGGGTCCGGCGACGCCAAGCGTACTGTCGCCCAGTACCACAATTGCGTCTTTGAGCCAGACGGCGACATCGTTACTGTCGAGGTGCCCTCAACCGCCAGCGAGAATGCCCGCTTCGTGCTCATCGCCGGCCAGATCCTCAACCAAAAGGTGGTCCAATATGGACCTTTCGTCCTGAGCACACCCGAGGAGGTGCGCCAGGCCCTGATCGACTACCAGTTCCACATGAACGGGTTTGAGCGGGCCAAGGACTGGCGTAGTGAAATTGGCAAGTCGATGGCTAGTTGATCGTCCCCGTACGGTGATGGCGGCCTCCTGCTAGTCTTGCTCCTTTTGAAAAGTATGAGGTCGGGTCCATCCTTTTACCCCTTACCCGAAATGCCCTCTGGGCTCATGCTCACGACTCGAGATATTCCTGTATATAGCCATCTTTTAGTTCTTGTGCTTATCTGCCTCTTCTAGATACCTGACATAGTATGTTTTTTTATTTCTTCACGCGTGTACGCGGAGTGTCATATGAATGCACTGAAAAATGATAGTGTCTACCCCTTAATGTCTCTCTGGGATCCTTTCGCCCAATGTCCTTGCTGCGGAGCCACACTGCCACAACTATAGTTCTACCCGGGTACTCGACGCTGTTCAGAATAGCCCCTTGGGTCGCTTGGTTGGGTATACGTCTGGCAGGCGCTGGACCCATTGGAGCTGGGCCAACTCTTTCCTCGAGAGTGGGACGCCTTTCAACCGAGCCAGATTACGTGGGAGCACCCCCGTCACATGCTGCAGCCGAGAGGGGTCTAGGATGGCCGCGGCCTCCAGCGGGTGGACAGGAGCATCACCGCGGTAACGTCCGCTCCGGTCCGTCCCGGCCGCGGACATCGCGGCCTTGTAGGACCACGCCATCTCTCTGTATATGCTTCCGGGAGAAGTTGGGCGGGAGGTTTGTTGAGAGCGATGGCTGGCCGGGGTCGGTATGGCGGTGCGGCTTGTGTTCATAGGAGCCATGCTCGAAAAGAAGTAGGTAGGTAATAGCTCGTAGTTATCAGTGTCGTCTCTGAGTTTCTGTTAGAACGGACGCCTAGGTATGTAAAGTAAGTAGGTACATACGCAGCAAGCATGTAGACGAAAAACGTCGTGGGTAAGAGGACCTGTCAGTCGGAAAGTAAAGAGCGGGAGGAGTGCAGAGCCTCACCCTTTATCCTTTAATAGTCGCCATCCAGAGTACTCCCTATCAGCTAGGTTAGGTAGGCACTTGGCTTTTATCTCACGCGACGTTCCAAGGAAAGATAATATAACTAGACAGATTTGGGGGCCGCATTGGAAACAGCTTGATAGGTAGTGTATAACTATCCTGGTGTGATGCAGGATGCTATACTACTTGCCCATGTAAGGAGAAGTATCGCCGCCCAGCATACAACGTAGGTATTATATCTAAGAGTCAGTCTCACGATGCGCAGACTGATCGCAGAGGTAGGTAAGTAGGTATGCAATGGTAGGTAACGCACATTTCGCATAGTGACGCTTGACACCTTGCCTCCTTTCTATTCGTCGAGCAGCTGGCGAGGTATTAAAGTCCGTGCCGCGATGAGCAGCAAGACAGAGGCGTGGTCGTGCTAACACTATTATTCAGTAGACGTCTGCGGCTTTGCCGGCAGACAGAACCAAATCAGTGAGACGGGCGGCTAAAATATCACGTCAGATGCGGCGGAGAGGAGGCTGTAGCCTGCCTCGGTCTCCTCTCAGGCGAGGTGCGGGTGAACGCGAGCGTGAGCACGTCTATGTAAGTGTGCGTATACCTACGTTATACGCATAGGTTTAAGATATTATACCTAGGTAATGCCTACGCCTGTGTTCTCTCGTTTATATAGTATATGCGGGCCTATACACGCGATACGTAGGTAGCATTTCTCTCTTCGTGACAGGTTGTAGGGGGTGTATATGGGTGGGTAGGTAATATATTCTAGATCGACATGCATATCAGCATCCGGGATCATTAAGTCCGGCTCTCCATCTCTTTCCTCGACGGTCTCGCTCGTGCTGCGGAGGCTATCTCCGCGTGCTGCTCATTCGATGCCTCATGCTAATAGAGCGGTCTTTTGATAACAAAATCATCGGGGTAAGTGTAACCTAATAATAATCCCTCGCCGCCCGTCCACGGGACCCGAAATTCACAGCCACCCTTGGCGATAGAACGGCTCGTGATAGAGTATAGTAAGAAATTTTACCGAATATAATCATTTTTGCTTGTAGTTAGCGTAAAAAATGTCCCGTGCGGCTTGTATCAAAGCCGTGTCTGTGCCAGGAGAGCTATTTCTAGAAACTGCAGAATCTATGATAGAAACCCTCCGTGGCTACGTTGAGTAGCATTCTATCATGGCACTTTGTTGCCTCCGCCGTCGCCGTCTACTTGGTCACTTTGATCGTTGGCTCGATTCCCCGGCCCAAAGCTCGCTGCTGTCACCCGTTACTATGAAGCCTACCACGACGTTGTCCTTGGCGGCCAGTACACCTTCGAGATCGCCAAGACGCATAAGGTCCCATCGTCCATATCAGCCCGTTCGAGGTGCACGTTAGCGATGCGGCTTTCTTCGAGAAGCTATACCGAAACGGGGGACGCTGGAAGAAGTACGCGTGGGTCATCGACGCTCACAACGCCGGGGGCGCCACCATATTCACGGCCGACCACGACCAGCATAAGGCGCGCCGACACCCCCTGAATGCCTACTTCTCCAAGGCCAGGATCGCTAGCCGCCGAGACCTCTTTCGCCGTAAGGCGGGTAAACTCTGCGAGAGAATTACCGAGTTCGCGGGAACAGAACAGGTGCTCGATCTTGGTGCTGCTACGAGCGCCTTCTAGCGCGATGTCTCGACCGATTTCGTCCTCGGACAGGGCTACTATAACCTGGAGTAGGACGACTTTGGTGTTGGTATGACACTGTTCAGCCTCGGCGGCGGCAAGATGTGGCGCCTTAGCAAGCATATCCGCTGGTATGGTCCCGCTATGCTCGCTATACCGAAGGACTTCCTCATCGAGAACGCCGACGAGGCCACGGCTAACTTTATGCGCTATGCTAAGGCAAGTCCGCTGTCAGCTCGCGTGTAGATACTCCTGTTTATGAACCTTCGTCGATTCTACGGGCTAACAAAGAAGAGACCGTGCGCCTCCTAAGCGCTGCGGTCTCGTCTGTGTCCGACGACAAATCCCAGCCCATCATTGTCCACGAGATCATCCTACGCTCAGATCTTTCACCGGAGGATAAAACGCTCGCGCGTTTTCAGCGACGTGGCTATCGTAACCGGCGCTGGCATCGAGACAACCACCAGCGTCATCAGGCTGATAATTTACCACGTCTTCAGCAACCCTGAGGTGCCCAGGCAGCTGGGTGCCTACCTTGTAGGTGTTGCTTATGCATATGGGCGAAAAGCTATATCCAGACCCAAAGGGGTTCCACCTGGGACGGTGGGTAGACCCGGTGGCCTGGAGGAAGGCCGAGAAGACGTACGCGCCTTTTTCACAAGGATCAAGAATCTGTCTAGGCATGCAGTCTGCTGTTGCCTACCCCAGCATAGTTGTAAGAACATTGACCCTCCCAGTGTTAACTATTCGGTTATTAGTCTGGCGTGGGCGGCTATGCACATAGTCGTCTCCGAACTTGTCCATCCATTCGACTTCGAATTCAAGGATGTGGCGCCGGACCACTTCGAGTTTGAGAGTGACCAGTTTATTATCGGGACCAAAGGCAAGTCGTTTCTGAAAACAGTCGTCAGTCTTCGCAAGGGGTGAACGATCGATATGCAATGGAATGCGTACAGAACGTAGATGAGTATTTTATCCGGCGATTGGCTCATTGTTGATTGGTCGGTCTCAAGGATCAATGACGATGGTAGGAAAAAGACCCGTCCGGATAGCTCGGCGCTATGGAGAGAAAGGAGGAAACATACGATCGGAAACGTATATTCAGATACCCCTGGTGCGGTTGATGCTGCTTCATATCCAGAGGCAGAGGCATCATGCTGATATAGGTGGATGCAATACCTATATAGCCACGTGGGCCATGTTGCAACGTCCGAACGTGCGGGGGTAACAGAGAGTACTACTCTGATGCGTGTCATCTAGCTAGTAAAGAGGTCATTAATCCATCTTCGCCCTGGGAATTTGTTTGTTATGCCGAACCGATGAATAGAGACTAGAGACAATACGATAATAGTATGCAAGTTCTACTTATCCCTCACCGCGAATGGGTCTGAAGCGACGTCTGCTTAGCAGACTCGGGCCACCTTCAGGCTAATACTGCACAAGGGTTTCCCTTCACTTCCCTTCTCAGTTGAGCTGGAGATCGGATACGTAAACGTTCCCGAAGAACAGTCCCCTTGCTAAACCCACGTGGGACCCTAGGGATATTAGGAGCAGATTCATATGGGAGTTGCGTAAAAGGGGGGCGGAACAGACAAAGCGCCGAATAGGTCTTATGTTGCGCTGTCTGCAAGTATATATTGGATGTAACCAGCGTAACTTTAACTGTCTAAAAGTCGACTCTTAACTCGTCGGACCTACATGTCCAATTAATTACCTTCTCACTCTGGATGGCGGTTGGGGAGTTGATTCCACGTGGTTGACATGTGCGCATGAACCCGGCTGAGAGGAAACTTTTCGAGCAAGCTTTCGAGCCCGGAGTCGATTATCCCGGCGGGCAGCGTCCCCAAATGGTGCTCCTGCAGCGGGAAGGATAATTTGGGCGTCTATATGGACACATCGAACATGCAGCCGAAGCGACTTCATTTAGCCGTCTTTGGCAAAACCTCCGCACAGCGCACAAAGAGCGACGACGTGCGACCTTTGTCGCGACTCGGAGGAGCAGGCTGAATTCTATAAGACTAGCAGCAAGTTCGACGACAAAGATGCGGAGGACATCCCATACGGTCTCCAGCCCTGTTGTCTTTTGCCTTGTACCACCGTCACCATGATCTTCGACAAGCTGCTCCCTATTGCCGTGCTCTTGGGCGCGTCGGCTGCTCAGAATGTGACGCTCCGGTACATGCCCTTCGGTGACTCCATTACGGAGATCATCTGCTGGCGCTCTAAGCTCTGGCAGAAGCTGAAGGGCACCGAGTGGGGATCGGTTGACTGGGTCGGTTCCGGCAAAGGGGAAAACAACTGCCGCGACACCGAGTACGACCGCGACAACGAGGGTCACTCGGGCTTCCTGGCTATCGACATCGCCAACCGCAGGCAGCTCGTCGGGTGGCTCCAGCAGAACCCCGCGGATGTCATCACGATGCACCTCGGCACCAACGACATCGTGCAGCAGAACAAGCCGGTCAACGACATCATCACCGCCTTCACGACCCTGGTCGGCGTCATGCGGGACAGCAACCCCAGGATCAAGATCGTCGTGAGTTTCGCGCCGCGCTTCTCCTAGCTTTGCCCCCTCCATTTTCCGCCTGCAGCCGACGCCTCGACGGTTAGCGGCCGGTGGTTGCCATGCTTACCAGAAACGGCGCCTAGGTGGCTCAAATCATCCCGATGGGCTTCGGCAACTTCAACACGCAGATCCAGAACCTGAACAGGGCCATCACGCCGTGGGCGCAGGGCCTCAACAAGACCGAGTCGCCGATCTGGGTGGTGGACCAGTTCACGGGGTTCAGCGGCAGCAGCGACCTTCGCGACGGCGTCCACCCGAACGACTCGGGCGACAACAAGATGACCAACGTCTGGTACCCGGCCATCGTCAACGCCTTCCAGGTAGCCAAGGCCGACAAGGAGGCTCTCGCTGGTGCCGAGAGACTGGGCATCCCGTTCACGGCCTAGACAGTGCGAGCTAACCCCCAGGGTAGCTCAGCTGCACAATACGGGCCCCCCTCCCCCCCCTTTTTTGTTGGTTAGGTAGCTGGTCTTGCTTCGCGGTGTGCCCCATACGTAGTGAGACTGCCCCCGACGTAGCGGGTTGTTGAGAGGCTGCTTCGATTCGCCTTGTATATACATTTAGTAGTTATGATATAGGTATGTTGAAATCCGCATAAAAAGTCCTACGGACACGACACATACCGGCAGAAGAGAAGAAGGGATAGAATCCAACGTACTATACGCAGATAGATATGTAGGCATGTACTAGGTAGGTAGTTAGCTAGTTAGCTGTTTATAAGGGGCAATGCAGCCGTCGTGCCGTGTGCCGTGTGCCGCGCACTGCGATCCACAAGCACTGGCTACGTGCCCTTGTCGAGGCTACGCGGCGCCCCCAGAAGCAATAAAACTTGCTTGCCAAGATGGCGAATTATGCCTATAGCGCGAGTCACTTAGGAAATAGCGAGCAACGTAAAGCACCATACCATGCCGTGGTGCACTTGGTGAAGGGTGTTTTGGGAGCATACGATGAGGAGTGCGCGATGACGGAGAAGCTGAGCAGAGAAGTGGGAAAAAAGAGGTTGTTGGCGGCCTGGAGGTAGGTGAGTACCTACGTACATCCGGTGCCGATGAACCGGTCGCCAGTTCCACGGGCACGCGAGCGTGTACATGTATAGTACATCCGTAGACCGCTGGGTTCCGAACCGACCGAGAATAAACTTTGTGTTAGATAAGCGTGGCCTGCCCCTACCAATTATCGTGCACGGGTGCCTGTTTTATAGCGGGGCAGCAGGGGAGGGAAAGGGGGATGGGGGAGGAACCTGGTAGGAAGCAGTCAAGGAACGGGCGTGGATGCATATATACGTAGGTACCTAATAGTACCTATCCGTAGCCGGTATGTGCGCAGCCGATAAGGCATCTACCCTCGGTAGGAGGTACACACATATACCTCTATAGGTACCTACCTAGGAGATATGTGTAAGGCACGGAGGTACCTCGTGGGCATATCTCAAGGGGCGTCAAGACATCATTATGTCACATTTCCGGAGGCCACGGTATCTTGGAGGTATTTACATGTACCTAACATCAGAGAGGGATGGGGTGAGTTAGGAGACACCTCGCCTCAGCCAATGTAGCATCACCCATCAATCATCAGGGCGGGATGGGAGTAATACCAGAGCAGTATAAGCTGTAGATAGTCCCTACCCATACAGTACCGTGGACCCCCCGATGGGTTGAAACGTCAGACCCGACAACCTCCCCTTCCCCCCTGAAGGGAGCACGCTCAAAAACTCCAATCCACTTACCTGCCAGAACCCTCTGTAAATGGCTTCGAGAACACACGTCCACCTGGAGAAGACGAAGACTGCTCGATCCCTTTCTCCGGAAGAACGCCGTCGCGGATGCAAATGGGCCCTTTGGCAATATGCACTTGCAATCGCGCCTGTCCGTGCTTCACCTGAAGTGGAAGCAGCTGCCAACCCTCCATAAGATCCTCTCGGTTGCTGTGCTGTCCTTGCTGCTGATCGGTTAGTTGGTGTCCCATCAAGAGATGTCTACGCGGGCGACCGTCCGCATCTCGACGCACCTCGAGCGCGCCAGCCGCCGCACCCCAAAGCCGACTAACGCCAGAGGCCGTGCAAATATATAGTGACGTTGCTGCAACCGAGCCCGGCAGTCGCCCGTGATGGCTGGGACCGTCTCACGCGTCCCAAGAACCAGCCTCTGGCAGGCGGAATCCCTCTACGTGTCATGTTTATCGGCGCCTCCATGACCCTTGGCGAGCATTCGACCGGCAACTTGGGCTACCGAAAGCAAGTCCGAGATTGGCTCGTCTCTCGGGGGAATCCCGTTAATTACGTCGGCCAGGTAGTCCCAACTTGATTTCATTTTGTGTTTTCTTTTTCTTTCCCCGAGCTAACCTCCGGCTTGCCTGACTTCTAGAACCGATATGGCGACTTCAAGGACAATGACGTCCAGGCCTTTGGCGCCCAACCTATAAAGCCAACTCTCGACCGCCTCAAAGAGGTTGTCCCACAGGTACAACCGAACCTGTTCCTCATCAATGCCGGCTCGAGCGACTGCTTCCAGCTGGACCATTGGGGGCCGGCATACATCCTCCAGGCCATGCGCGCCCTGGTCGACTTTCTGTTCGAGGCCTCGCCGCAGGCCACCGTAATCATGTCGACCATCATTACAAGCCCGCGCGACGTCACGGAGCGCTGTGTAAAGAGCGCCAACGCTCAGATTCGACAGGTGGCTACCGACCTGATCCGTGAGGGTAAGCCGGTGACCATGGCAGAAATGCATTACGACCAGGGCCTACCGAACCGCGTCCTGGTCGAGGACATCGGGCCCGACGTCATGCACCCTACCGACGCGGGGTACTTCAAGATGGGCGACATCTTCATCGAGCACATCATCGAAGTTGAGAAAAAGGGCTGGCTCAAGCCGCCGGTGGACAACGGTGTGCCGGCGGACGGCGAGGCCGCGAGGGACGCCGAGGACGCGATCCACGCAGCGGAGGAGAAGGCGAAGGCGGAGGGCAAAGGCCAAGAGGACCCGGGACATCGAGACTCCGATAGGAACGTTCACGAGCGGGAGAGGCGATCATTCGGCAGACGACACGGCGCTGTGTAAGCCTACTCGCTTCTACGAGAGCAGCATTATCTATTATAATTCGAATCCATCCAGGAAATAATTAATCCACCTGTCCAACTCAAGAGTTGCATGGGATGCCTATAGTCGCCAAAGTGTAAGGCCGATCCTTATACCACAAACCGTCGGCACATTCATCTCGCACGTGGCCGGGCCGGATCGTATTCATGATGACGTCTTTTAACGCCATTCCGTAAGGCTCGCTAAGTCCGTGATACCGGGTCACCGGACGTAGTATAGACCCACCACCGTGAGCAATTCGGGTTCCCGCCCAACTCCCGCTTCCCAGGAACGAAGTCCCGTGACGAGTGCGACCACCGCGCAGCTGACGAGCTTCCTAAGGCACTTGTTTGGATGCTTGGCTACAGGCAGTGGATTTGTTAATTAAATCTGCGGCTCATTAGGATAAATACGCAGTTATATTGCGTGTCTTCCCATTTCTCACGTAGGTAGGAGATCAGTAGGTTGCTTAACGAAGGATAGGTTCGATTCCTAACAGCGCTACTTGGTAGTCTTCGCTATTTAGCTCATCTGTAGGTACCTAGTAAATACATAGGTACAGGTAGGTATCTTGACCCGTCCGCGGCGACGCAACTCAGAACCCGAGCCCGTGTTCGTACACGCCGGCCCCGCGCCCGATCGGCTGGGCGAGCGTGTAGCTGGCCGAGCTGTTGAATTCCTGCACGCCGTTGATCAGGTACAACGGCGTGAGCCTGCCGTCGTCGCTGAAGAAGAGCCGCGGCCGCTCGCGCCGGTAGTAGTCGGTGTGCCCGCCGTCGGTGAAGCGCACCGTCGTATCGTACGCCGGCTGCAGCTTGAAGGTCCAGTCGCCGCCCAACGTGCGCGAGAACAGGTGCCCGCCCACGCGCGGGTACTTTTCGCCGCGCTCGGCAATTTCCACCATCCAGTAGCACAGGATGTGCCAGTGGCCGCGGCGGTCTCGCCACAGGAACGGGTCCTCGGTCCAGTGCGCGCTGTAGTCCGACGTATTCCACGGCTGCCGCTTGAGCAGCGTGTAGGTGCTGTCGAAGCCCGGTGCTGCGTAGATCATGTTATCCTCCACCGCGAGCGCGATCTCTGCGGTCGGGTCCCCGCGCGTCCACAGCGGCCACGGCGACGGGTTCGTGCCGTCGAGTAGCCGCTGCGCCAGCGACCACGGGCCCCGGATGTACGGCGCGCTCGATACCGACACGTTGTTCGCCCACTTGAACGACCGGCACCGGTCCAGCGTCTCCGTCTCGATCCCGATCGTGTACATGAGGTACTTCTCGTCCGCCAGGCTCCAGACCACCTTCGCGTTGTGCCGGAACGTCCCCAGCAGCTCCTGGGCGTAATAGTACGGCCCCGCGGGGCCTGTCAGAGACTCGGCTCGGATTACAGTGCTGAACGGGCGCCAGCCCGGGAGGCCGCAGCCGCGGGCGAACTGGTCGACCACCAAGTGGAAGAGTCCCCTGTCGTGTCGATCCTGGATGATATTTCCGCCCCAGGATGAATTACCCCCTTTGGTGCTGTAGTAATCGGGCAGGGTGACATTTGTGTGGTTGTACCCCGTCCACCGTGTGACCGGCTGGAGATCAAGCTGGCCGCAATCGTCCGACTTCCACCCCGGATCGCACTTACACCTCCCGATGAAGCGCCAGCAGACGCCGTTGAGGCTGCAGTCCTCGTCCGTTTTACATCGTTCCGCGGCGGCGCCTACGGTCACGAAGACCGATAGGGCTAGGGATTTCCGCAGGAAGCTCGGGACGTACATCATAAGAGATGCCCACACTACTCTGAACCGCCACAGGCTGATTGACGTATGCTGGTAGGGTGCGGAGCTACCATACTTAATCGAATTCTATTATACTTCTACCCCAGATCGTAGACAACAGTCCATTCCTTGGCTGCGGAGAAGTAGGGGGTGTAGGTGCGGAGATTCTGGGATTGCAATCAGCTTTAACTATGTTGATGGGTTGGGGAATTCGCTCTCGGTATACCAATCTCCCGACATATCGTATATTCCGATCATAATTAGCAATATATACTTAATTCTGGATTCAGCCATCCCCCCCAGGGCCATGTTCACGGCTAGTTGCCGAATAGCTCCATGTTATTCACGGAATTCATTTCTCTCCCCAGAAAAACTCTGTGTTTAGCTTTAGGTCAAGGTCGCTCTATGACAGTTACCAAATAAAAGCCTGCCCGGCCATATCGTTCTCGAGCTACCTTGATCGTCGGGTGAACCTTCACACTTTTTGTTCGAGTGTAGTATATAACTCCAAAGTAGGCCGTGTCCGTTATCGCGAGAGATACGCCCTTCGTGTCTAGGATCCTGTGGGCGGACAAATTGGTCTGGATCCATAATTTGCCTATTTAGAAGAGACTGGCAGCATTACTGTTTCAGTCCTTGGACTCAACGCAGCGTTGCCTCTGGCTCCAACAGAGTTGTCTTCACAGACACTAAGGGGCCAGAGGGTAGGTCCTGGGCGGAACTGTAGAATGCCATTTTAAAGATCAAGCACCAAAGCTATGCTTAATTTGATAAGCTATCCCAACCCCCCACAGGTCACCTCTTCACAAACCACCCAAACTAAGCATTAATACACGTAGACGAGTTATGGTACACTATTTAAAAACCAAGAGTACTGCTGAGAAACTCGAACACGTGAACTCCGATGAAGCGATAAATAGTTCTAGTAATCTTCAACTAATCTTAGCAGGCCCAGCGATAACAGAGAATTGTCCGCCAGCTCCGGCCCAAGTCAACAGCCTGTCCTTGACATTCCGCCCTGTGATGCGCTGCGCAATCTTTACATCATCGGTCGAGTTGAGGCCGAGCTGACCCTGGAAGCCGTAACCTGTGGAGTAGGCACTGCCGACCCTGTCGATGAAGATGGTATGATCCGTGCCACACGCAACATGGACAACGTCTTGAATATTTGGGATTGCGGTAGGGCGTAAGCAAATACGTGGCTTGCTACGGTCATCGTAACGGATTAGCGTTGAATCATGTAACTGCTCGGGAGTGAAAGCGATGCCGAGCTGCCCGTCATCTATTCGGCCCCATACGTAGCATTGGCCTTTGGCGGTAACGGCCGCAGAGTGATGAGCGCCGCCATCCAGGACTACGACCTCCTTTTGACAAAGGTAGCGAATCTTGGTCGGGTTTATAAAAGCGGAGTTGGTGCCGGCAGTTCTGGTGTGTCCAGCTTCGCCGAAGCTATTCATACCCCAAGCCCATACGTTATCGTCTCGATCAACCGCAAAGGAATGATGCTCTCCAGATGCAATGTACTTAGCCTTATTGCGACAGACTCGGACTTGGCGTGGTGTGAGAGGGTCTGAATAGGCTCCATAAAGATGACGGCCGAATTGGTTTTGATCATTACAGCCCCAGGCCCAGATATTGCCTGCAATATCAAGAGCTAACGCGTGATTGACGCCACAAGCAATCTGAGTGATGTTTTGGAGGCCTTGGATGTGAATAGGTCTTGCTTGTTTCTCAACGAGCTTCCCACCGTCGCGCCTGAAAGCTTGGTGGCCCTGCGAGTCCTGCAATGCAAATGATGTTAGGATCGGACGGACCGCTGTGGTACCAGGTGAAATAAAACTTACGCGGAATGTGCCCCATCCGTAAACGAGACCAGTGTCAGTAAGCGCGAAACTGCAACTGTCGCCAGCAGCGACCTGAACAAATCGGGTGCCTGGAGGGAAACAGTCGCTTGGAATTTCCATAGGTTTTGACTCCAAGGGATTTAACTCTCCGTCTTCATCTTCGTCTTCCGAGTCTGCGTCTATATCGCGCAACTTGCCATCCCATTGCGAATTCCTTCCCAGAGCGCCGTTATCGTTCACACCCCAGGTGATGATTTTATTGTCCGCTGTCAACGCAACTGTATGCATGCCTCCGCAGGCAAGTTGAACGACGTGGAAGGCAAGGCAGATGGATTATCGACGTCTAAGAGCGGGTTCTTGGACGGGCGCAGGGCCTCTGTCTGCTTCGAGCCCAGGCCGAGCTCGCCAGCATCGCCACCGCCAAAGACGAGGACTATGAGCTTTTCGATAGGAACTTTGTTGATGATAGGAAGCTGGGACTCGGTCGATTGCTCATCCTTGAGGAGGGGTCTCGATGTAATCGGGCCGGTCTTGACCCTTTTCGAGACGTCAAGAGGTGTGGTGGTGAGTTGGTCGACCTTTTCTATTTCTAGGGAACGCTTGCGTTTATTAGTCCGCAAAGAAGCCGCAGATCTTGCATCATTTTTCTTCTCGGAGTCAATTGCACCGCCGGTAGACTTATTTTGGGTAGTCTTCCTGACTGGTTGGGCGATGTCCCTCGAAGTCGGGGTTGAACCGTGTTCTGGATCCTTGATTTTGCGCGTTCTTGGGGCTAATGCAGGAGAAACACCCCTAATCGTTGCTCTTCCTCCTTTCTTCTGCTTTGGAAGAGGGGCAGACGTCGTGGTCGATTTACGTGAAGGCATGGGGGAGAAAACTTGGGCGGAAATAAAGATCCCAAAGATCGAGAAATTCGTAGCAACAGACAGGTACGATGTAAACATTCGACCTCACTGCGCGTTGGCACGGATAAGCCTTACCGCCGAGCCAACAAACCCCACTAGCTGGTTCATCATGAATACCCCGCGCATCGCGCACTTTTCCATCACGTCTCGACTTTGACCTTCGTGCGCGACAACAATACGACAACACAATGTTGATACAAACTAAAGGTTAGCTTATTAGTAACAGGTAGCGGGATCGAGAGTAAACATCTATTCTATGTAGGTACATGTTTGGCGTGCTATCAGGTATTGTCCTCATCGCCCAGAAGGGTCGCAGGCCAAAGGCTACGGTGATATTTTACCGTTGCCGAGATTTCGATATCTCGACCACTTGTAGACGCAGGTAGCGAGCGCAGAAGGCATCATAGCATATCACACATCCAGAGACCAAGCGACTGTATCATACCTATGTACACCTCAAACACATGCATACCCAAGCCCCCTTTGCTCGCTATTGTATCTCGCCTTCCCCGCGTCTCCCTCACACGTCCAGACTGGCCGGATCGGTTCCCGTAAAGATCTTATACAGCCGGCGGCTCAGGGCGGGGCCGAGCGTGCGGTCCGTGAAGCCGGCAGCGGCGCCGGGCCCGGCGGCGCGGCGGCAGGCCTCGAGGGCGAGGGGGCCACGGGCCTCGAGGCCGCGCACGAGCTGGGGCAGGGAGGGGTAGGCGGCGGCGACGCCGTGGGCGGCGGGCGCGGCGACGCGCGCGATCTCGCCCAACGCGCGGACGTACGTGTCGCGCGCGTCGGCGCCGCCGCGCACCTGCCCCGCGGCCATGCAGAAGCCGGCGTCTCGCCCGGCCGCCTCGCGCGCCCGCCGGTACGGCACCGTGCTGACGTGCTGCGTGAACGACGCCACCCACGACGCCGTGTCCGCACCCGCCGCCGTGTGATGGATCAGCGCGCCGTGCTCGACCTGCAGCGCAAGCAGCGCGTCCTCAATCATGTCCTCGTCGACGTAGTGCTGCTGCGGCGGGGCGCGGGCGCCTCTGCGGCGGCGGGAGGAGGGCTGCTGCTGCTGCGGCGCGGAGGAGGAGGAGGGGGGAGCGTCGTCGAGGCCCCGCACCGCCGACGCGAACTGCCGGTTGAGGAGGTTCTTGTTCTTGCGCATCCACGGCCCGAGGCCCTCGATGAGGTAGATGGGCGTGCGGCCCGGGGACCCGGCCTTCACGCGGCACACGTGGGCGTCGAGGTCGCGGCCCGCGGGCCCGAGGACGAGCTCGACGAACTCGTCGGCCGCCACGACCACCAGGACGTGCTCCTCGTCGTCACGCACGTGCGCCGGCGCCGGCTCCCAGTGGCCCAGCGCCTCGTTGTACGCCGACGCCACCTTGCGCCGCCACTTGATCACGTTGGCCACGGGGCTGTCCCACGCCGCGCACTGCACGCCGAGGTCGCCCAGCAGCTTCTCGATCTGCGCGCGCAGCCCCGCGCCCAGGCTCGTCGGCAGGTCCGCGATCATCTCCGTCGCCGACACCTTCTTGTCCGTCCGCAGCTTGTTCACCTCCGCCAGCGCCTTCTCGCGCTCGTGCTCGGCCGCCCGCTGCGCCTTCGCCTGCTCCTTCTCTACCCGCTTGCGCTCCTTGTCCGCCTCCCGCGCCGCCGCCTTCTTGCGCCTCTCGGCCTCCTTCTCCTGGGCCGTCCTGGGCTCCGCCGGCGGCGGCTTCCTGGCTGTTGTTGTGCTCCTCGCCGCCTCAGCCTTCCTCCGGGGCGGTGAGAACGACAGGCTGAGGGAGCGCCGCCTGGGCTTAATCTGGGAGAAGTCGATGTCGCACAAGTCCGGCAGGTCCTCGGAGTCGGCGTCGGAGCCCGCGAGCGAGACTGCCTTATTGCGGCCGCTCCTCTCCGGCATCGAGCTCGATATCGGATCCCAGGCTCCGTCCCGTCTCGACTTCGTTGCCAGGTGCCCCCCCGGCGAGTCTTCGACTATGTCATCGGAGAGGATTATCAACACCGATGACTTGGTCTTCGCATCCCCGGACGGTTCGACCGGAGACTGGAATGGGTCATCGGATATTGGTTCACGTGGCCGAGAGACTGCAGATGGTCTATGGCTATCAGCGTCTCGTTCCGGCGAGCTTTTGAACGGGTCGCTTGACAAATTGACCCGGCAGGACTTGGTATGTGTAGTCCTTTTTGGTGGGCTATTAAACGGATCCGCCACGTCATTATTCGTGGTGGTTTTCTGGCGCTTGGTGGCGATAGGTCTGTTGGGAGAACTGCTGGTTTCGATCGGATCAAGTACCGAACTCCATCGCTTTAGGCCAGTCCGCGGGAGAGATCCGGTGGCCTTGGAGCTCATAACATCAGATTTTGCCCTCTTGAAGCCGTGAACCCGCTCCTTACTACCGGTTGCGGCGGCGGGAGCGCGTGTTTTCTCTACGATGCCGTCGTCTTCGTCTCCGAGCGAGTCGAGATCATCCGATAAGAAGAGAGCATCGTCATCTTGACGGAAGCGCTCTGTACCACCGGTCTTCCTCAAAGTGGTAGCTGGTCTATCAGGAATCCGGTCTGGCAGCTTCCCGGCTTTCTTGTCTGATGATGCCGTTGATTGTTCAAGATCACCGTAATTATGGGCAGAGATGCCAGCGAATGCACGGGGTGAGGCAAGCGGACTCGAGGATAGCAGGTCAATCACCTCGGTTGGCATTTCGACATTACTTCGGTGCTACCACACATAACAGATCGAGTTGGCTCGCTTAGCCTCGAAGAGTATAAATAGGGTAGGTAGGTAAGTACCTAGGTCTTAATTTCGTCTGAATTTCGTCCGAATCTGCAGCAGGCAAAACCAATTGGGTAGGTACTTCAAGAACAAGAGGCTCCGAGAACTTGATGTTGTCACCAATCAACAAGAGGGGTTCTTGATGAGTTGACATAATCGCCTTGGGGCCGAGACGCGTCGCCGCCGGCAAAAAGTAATATAAACACGGAGGTAGGCAGAAAGCCCAGACGCGACAGTGACGCGAGGCACGTGACTCAACGCTATCCTTTCAGCGCCTCACTAGTTAAATCAGCTCGGGTATTCCAATATGGATTGGCATTCGACTGTACAACTACATATTCTAGACATCCCGATTCGCGAATACTGTGCGATACCATTTCCTATCGATACATCATCACTGCTGTCGTCTCTCTTTGGTTGGAGTATTTTTGCAATCGGAGTTGTACCTAGTTGGGTAGTTGGGATGTCGAAAGCGGGAGGAAAAAGATGACCTGCCACCGTCAGTCTCTTGTGGGATCCGATCACGAAATTTTCCACACATCCCTGCCTTCTCATTAATTAACTGACCCAGGATCCGTCTTTATCCTGTCCCGAGTCCATGCGAATGCCTCGTAGAACTCTCGGACCCTCTCTCTTGCTCTAGCTCCTAGGTATATCGAACTTTGAAGGTCGCACGAATAACCCCAAAGCTTCGTGTCGCTCAAGATGAAAATGGCAAGGAGGGGAGGGAGGAGGACGAGGAAATGCAAGACGAGACCATCGTTCCCCTCGCCGCGCTTCTCGTCCCGTCTCGGGATAAAAGTCAAGTTACCAGCGATGAAACCTCACTCAGTCATATCCCGGTGCGACGAGTTACCTCGGACATGCACTCCACGCACGGGAAATCCGCGCCGTCTTGGAGATCGGCATGCCGACCGGCCTGACCACTGATTCTCGACGGCGAGATGGGCGGTCGTCGCCAGAGCAGTCTAGCCGAGTGGCAACTTGCCAAGGCGGTTGATCAAGATGGCCACTCAGATCATCTGGCCAGCACCGGCGAAGCGTGAGACTGCTGTAACCATAGTCGACGTGCTTCCCTTGGATGGGTTCGGTGCGTGGCGGAAAAGGACCTGGGGAAGAGAACGCGTGCAGGCTTATACCCGGCCGCCCCTCGGTTACCGGCCTCGTTCAGGGTCCAGGACGAAGCCACCAACCTTTCGCGTGATAGGCGGGAAGAAAGGAGGTATGGACGTACAACGCGGCGGAACGATCTGACATGCACAGTGTCTTACCTTACTCACCCGCCTACATACACCCGCACATACATACCTATGTGCATGCGCTACACTACATGAGGGGAAATTTGCCGACTCGTTCTCGACATCACCGCATCCAGACATCGACATGGGGAATACATAGGTATATGTGTATTTACTACTTAGTAGTACCTATGTATGTGCGTTCGTGCATGTTGCTATGGGCACGTACTAGTAGGCATCTATGCACTCTCGGACGAACTCGACAGACTTCCTGCTCTTGGCTGACCCATCACTTGCGATGCACGACGGCATCGTAGGTGAGAACTGGGGCGGGGGAAGTGAAACGGATGTCCAATCACGTTGGGGGGCCCTTGTTCTGGCAAAAAGTTGAAACGGAACTTGAGCCGGCCTGCCCTCGCCAGCGGCATTGTCGGCGCAACTTGCGCCATGCAGCCCTGGGCGGTCCACGCTGCGCTCAGACTCTGCCGCGCGAGGCCTGGCCCTTCGAGCGCCGGGGATTGGACCGTTGGGTGATCAGATCATGATCTTGGGTGCCCTTCCGTATGTGCGCACGGCCGGAGATTTTTATGAAGCCCTGCATACGTGCCGCCTAACCTGCCCTGCTCGCACCACAAAAACACACTTGAGAAGCGCGCACATATTGCACCCGCTGGTGCGGGCGGGTCGACGTCGGCAAGGGCACACACGTACTACGTAGGTAGGTAAGGTAGGTCGGTATGTGCATAGTCGACGCCCGCTGCTAGGATGCTCATGACCTCCCTAATCTGCGGAAATCAAGTTTTCTCTCCTTCAAAACAGAATGGTGAAATCAAAGCACTTCGGCCCGGTCCACAGAAAGGTCTGGCGAGGCATGCATACATACAGTAAGCAGAAGAGAGAATATTGATTCCCCCTTTCTGCGAGGCCGAAGCGCCTGTGAGAGATAGAGACTAAGAGAGAGAGAGAAATAGAGATAGAGAAAAGACGTATAAGACAGTAGGCACAGCATCGCCGGGTGGTATCGAAAGGATTTTATCGCCTCGGCGGGAGAAGGAATGCGAAGAGGAGGAGGGTTTCTAAGCAGTTCTCGCTCCTGCAGCACCGAACTCGCCGCCTACGCCTGCGGCCTGTGAACATCTCTCCATGTGTATATGTGTATAGGTATATATATACCTATATGCTATTCGAGGAATGCCCGTTGACCGCCGTCTCGTCCGAAGTCTCGTCTGCATGTGCGCATATGGATGTGCATATATATGTAGGCAGGCATACGCATGTATCGCATTATGGAGTCGGTCGTCTCTTGCCCTTGGTGGCAACGGGCTCCCGAGTTCGAAACGAAACACACGACCAACCATGAGTGCGCGCGCTTCGACCAGCCTTTTTTCTCTCTTTCTCTCTCTCTCTCTGTCCCGTCTTGTCGAACTGCGGGGTGTAGCAGTAATACATGGACCCTGTTAATTAAAGTAGCAGTCGGCGGGTCCTGAATCGTGATGTCTGAATCCCTTTTCCCTTCACAATACGTTTCGTAGTAACACACCGCGTGCGATGTCACCCTCTAGGGTGCGTCGATGCTACCGACAGCGACTAACCACCAGCGGGTCCGGGCTCTTTTCCTTTTTCTGCTTCTGCTTCTGCTTCTTATTCTTCTCTTTTACTATTACGTAGTACCGTGCAATGTACATACCTGGGCACGGCAAGTGTAGCCTAAATTTGGCAAGACTGTTCGATGTTTTTAGGTCTATCTACCTGGCTCGAGCCCAGCTTTACGGTAGATACGCTGGTATAGGCCTTCCGAGGACCTGGAAACCCACGTCGCTTGTTCTTAACCGCGATAACGTCGAGACGGGCCCATTGCAGATGTAGGGCATACGCGGCCAGCTTGCTCGTCTTGGACGTCGGGGCGCTTTACGTGGTAGAAAGTAAGAGGCCGCTTGGATAGGTGTGATCATACCCAGGATCCTGTTTGAGGACCGGTGGAGATGCCTAGGGATTCCATCTACGTCTATGGTCTGCACACATGTACACTCAGCAGGTATGCACACCATACGTTCTTCTTCTATGGAGAAGATGCTTCAGTACCTAACCACGTTTCGACGTTGATTTTTAAGCTTATGCGTGAGGACAACATAAGTGTGATACTTTCCACTGCGAATGGTGTCTCCGTGATCGTTAATCAGGACCGCGTGTCCCCTTGGAATGTAGGGTTGTCTCGTCTCAAGCAAAAAAGCCCCAACACACTAATTACGCAGTTAGGTGTGAGCTACGTAGTATGCACTGGGAACTGATTCCCACATAGGGAAAGGATCGAGCTGCGAAAGGTCTCTGCGAGAACTCTAGCGTGCGAAATAAGCGAATACACTACGCAAAGGGTTTACTACTGATTTATTATAGTCTTCTAAGCCACGGGCAGCACATTTATAGCTCCTCGCCGACCGAAGGGGAACCGAGTGGAGTTGTCCCGGTCCCTAGGCATCGGGTCACATAACCCGACTATGTTACGTAGTAGATGGTGACTGGAGCATGATGTGATCGAGGTGGATTTGACCGGTAACGAATTCGCAAATGGCGTCCCGCTAGCAAACATACGAAGAAGTAGACAGGAACGAGGTCGAAAAAAGGATGGCGCCGTACTCGCTCCCTACCTATTTATGTTAATGTTCAGTATCGCTATGCCACAGACTTATGTGCGAGGCGGGATGCATATAGCAAACGAGCGAGGATAGTGCTCGGGACCGTGGTTAATTAAGATCAAAGGACTACCGGCGACGATGTTCCGGATCTTCGGGTCCTGGTTCTGGAGAAGAACCTGAAACGGGCGATCACCGCTGAGGCTTCGCTAGCGCACGTGATTGCTGGTGAGTTATTCGTCTCGCGAGAATGTGAATGTTCCTTTCCCGACGAGGCGGCGAATATATATATATATATTATATATGTGTATAGACATGGAGATAGATATTTATACAAATAAGTAGAAAACATTTTTATTAAAAATAGAACAAAAAGGAGAGGAGGCGACCTCGATAGAGATCGCCAAATGGGTTCCGAGACAAACGCCCGCCAAAAGTGAGATATGCGTCTTACGTACATACATACATACATACATACATACATGCATGCATGCATGTGTGTATGCATATAAATATGCGCATGCGTCGTCCTATAGGGTATCCCGGGCTTAGGCAACTGCCGTCGGGGGATGGCGATCTTCATGTGTGCCCACAAGACAGGAGGTATTATATGACCTAGGTATGTACCTACCTGTCCATGTATCCGGATCTCTCTAGCCTGATATACCTCCTAATAGTATGCGCATACCTCTTCTACATCAAGTACATTTACGTGCTTAACAATGTATCTTCTCGTGTGCATATACCTAAGACATGCCGGGATGTGTGGCGGCCAGGTTCGGTGCATACCCTGGGTATGTACATATGAGGTATATACATATGAAGTAAGTCTGTACGCTGGAAAACGGTGGGGGCCCGTGTTTTTGGATCTTGATCCCGCCAACCAAAAGTGACCCCCTTAGATCTGAACATTAAGATGCCAACCGGGCCTATCAGCGTCGGCTGAAGCAGGGAATCCGCCAGAGAGTGGCTCATCGTTCGCGATCTTGATACTACGTAGTAGATGGGGATCGTCGTCGTGGCCAACGGTGCACCCAGCACCCACCTACACATCCACCCACCTGCATCGCAAGCGAGGTTTCTTGGGGGTGGAAGAGGGAGAAGAAGTAGAAAAAGGTCTGTGGAAGCAACTTAAGCGTGCGCGAGAGTGGTAATGGGATTTGACGAATCCCCATGCTAAAACCGCTACGCCGACTGGCGGTGACAGGTACCTATGCTTACAATTAGGCATTGGGCCATAGTGAAGGACGACGCTGGACGGTCCATGATCTCGGTCGCGTTGGTTTCGAGGAATTAATTTGGCCGAGGAGGAATTGGTTTGATTGATTCGACTGCGACCTCTCTGAGCTCGACGCCACCTTCACTACCACCCGACAATGGTCTGGTCGACAACGCGGCGATTGTACGCGGTAGGCATTGTATCGGTACTAACCAGAGGACGGCGATGGTTGGCCGGAGTGGAAATTTGGCTACGCATTTCCCCTTTCGTAGCGCTCCCCTCCCCCCCCCCCCTTTCCTTCGCGTCGCCGCTAGGCCGGGGAGAGACAGTCTGTCGCAACGCCGGTAGTCTGCTAGGCGCTCCGGAATAGCCTCTCGTCAGGTTAGCCCGAAATCCGCCGAGACGAATCCGGCCAACTCGACCCGCTCACGCGTGGCCTATTTGGCGCTAGACAGCTTCGACGTCGAGAGTCCGTGGGAGCCAAGATTGGCTCTTCCTTACCACCCGTCTGCCCACCGGGGCCTCTGCAACCCCTGGGCCGGCCGTCTGGAGCGCGCGGGCACATTTCTGCCCCTATCCTATCTACATAAGGCACGTATGTTATCATTTGGCAATCCCGATAGATCTGGGGGTGGTCCTGTCGCCGGCGCGAAACCCACATTTCCCTTACATAGTAGCAGCACGTAGCTGAATATCTGTGCGCTAACATCGTAAGAAGCAGAGGCGGGTCTACGTGGATGTACAGACACCATACCTGCGCTACCTACATATAGCAGGTAGGCCTTCGGGGTTTATCTTTGCCCCATGGCTATCGGTATGTAGGTATTCGACGTCGGGACCCCGTTCTCTTTGACAAATGCAGGCTCAAAACGTGGACGGGAACCCTGATGTGCGTGCACGCGTATCCATCCATCCTTCGTCTATGCCTTATTTAGCACCCACCCCCGAGCGCTGTCGCAGGCTGTCGCTCTACGCGCGCGGTATAGGGTGTCGCGCTGGTCTATATGGTTGTGAGGTATGCAATGGATATGCGCATAGGTACAGGATCACCGCGAAGGACATGAAGCCTCGCTCATCGTGGGTAGTCTCTGAGGACCGGACACCTTGTGGCACCACTTCGAGGGCGGGATATGGGGGAGGTAAGGTGAAATGCTACCTCAGGCATACTACGTAGTAACCTGTTGGCATTTTTGGCGTGCGATAGGGACGTGCCTCCAAGGTTCGAAAGGATCGGGGACCTTGGCTAACCTAAGGTCAATTGGGCCGACAGCAATAAGGAACCCGTAGTCGTGAGATGCGCGAGCGCCCTCGGCTGGTGTTGGCGTTGCGAGGGGGAGCATGATTTGCTGCCGTGTGGGGTTCGAGGCCAAGATATAAATTGAGAGAGGAGGAGAGAGAGATAGAGAGAGGAGGCTCTTGGATACAGAGGCGGATGCGTGACACGCTGCGACATGCTGTGACAGTGACGTGTGGTGACAGTGGGAAGGGCGTTTGGGATGCGTCCGTCGTGCTCTGGCAAAGATTCGGAGGACAGATTGGGGACGGGTAATAATAGAATGGGTGGAGGTGGAGGGCGGGTTCCATAGGCTGGTCCACAGACGGATTCATCTGCTTTGGGTACCTTAGGTTAGGTACCTAACCCACCTAAGGGGCACATGCTGGAATGGCTAGGTAGGTACCTCCTAACCTTACCTCCTCCTAAGACGCTAGAGGTATCTCCCTTGCTTCCCAGCATCACGTCCCCAGCATCACGTACCTAGTATCACGTACCTAGTATCACGTACATACCTACCTACGTAGTACATATACGTATATATGTACCTACCTAGGTACCTGTATATGCCTCATTCATTATAGTGGCACGTACGAGTGCGTACCTCTCCCTCTCCTATTTCTCTGCGATTAGAGAGCAAGTAGTTGTTATATTTAGGTACCTACTGGCATATACCTAGGTAGTAATATGGTCGTTTGCGTGGGGTATGGCTGGTGCGGAGTTATTATTCCCTTGCTATCACAAAATTGAGCCACAGATTACACGTTATGCAAAAGAAAGGGAGAAAAAAGAAAGAAAAAGAAGAAGAAAAAAAGACAAATTAATAAGGAAGACGCCGTTGGCCATGTAGGTGAGACAGGCGGTGCCGCTGTCAGGCAAAATACATTAGGTGCCTTCCCAGGTACGAAGGCACACATGTCTGAGGCATCAGACCTGCTAGATATCCTAGGTATCTACACTTCTTCCCCTCTCCCGAGGTAGGTACCTTAGAAGGTAGGAGGTACATTAGGTAGGTAGTGAGGTAGGCAGATGCATGTCAGTGCCTAACAAGGGCCTCTCCTACGGTGGGGCATACGTACCTAGGTAGGACGGGAGGCAGGTATTACTACAGCGCTCCGTCTATTCTGTGCATATTACATATAGATGGCATGCATGCAGGTATGATGAGATATATATCTACCTTGGGTAGGCAGGCAGGCAGGTACCTATCCATACACGCATTAGGCACCTACTCACAAGGCACACGGACCTGAATGGATACCAGATCGTGATACCTAAGGGCATCCCATCATCCATACTGACATGCAGACAGGAAATAATAATCAACTGCCTCCAGTGCCACCACCCACCTGTTTTCATCAAGCGACAAGCGCCCAATTTAGCTGCCCATGACCTTCTCGGGTGTTATGCGGTAACCGTGGGTCTCGATGCCCAAAGCGGTTGGCACAATCTAAGAGTAAGACTTGGGGTACCTATGAAGTTAGGTAGGAAGACTTTGCGCGTTTGCGTGGGGCGCTATAGGTACTAACAACCTTACGTTAGGCACCTGATCTCCTTGCGTTATACCTACCTAGAGGTACCTCCTACCTCCATCCTAGGCTACCAGGTACCTACCTACTAGGCAGGTAGGTAGGTAGGTACCTGTAGCCCGGGTTGGGTATAGAGGTAGATACCTGTACCTACCTTAGGTACCTAGGGTAGGTAGCGGTACCTGTCCGCAGAGCCATGCCGTGACGCCCCCGGCGATGCGCCTGCTGGGTTGCAGCAACCCCCTGGCACCCCTGTGGGCCTGCTTATTTATCCCACCTCGCTGCTACTGCTGGATTCAACCAGGAAACGGCAACCAGAGAAGAGAGAGGGAGGGCGCGACAGAGCAGCAACAGAGAGAGCGACCCCTATCAATCCATCCCCGAGTTGGCCGATGGCCTTTTCTCGCTTGACAGGTGACGGCCGACTGGTATCGAGGATGGGTGTGATACGATAACGCTCCTTGACCAAATAATAACAAGCACTGCTACCCCCAAATTTCATCTCTTTTCTCAGCTCCCCCCCCCCCCCCTTTTGAACCCGCGAATCTGAACCTATCCCCATCCCCCCCGTCTCTGTTTTCTGGTACGTAGGAGAGAGACGAGTCACTGAGGGAGACGCATGGTCAGTCTCAGACAAGACCCCGGCTTTCTCACACGAACGAGACGAGTAATTCGGATGTTCCAACAACTGGCAACGTCCTCATCAGCTTGGTTATCGTCAGCCCGCCCATCCTTTTCATGACTTATGACTCCCGCAGTGATACCATCCACCACAGCCTTCCTAGGTTGACAGGCGACAGGGTTTATTTCGTGTCTTTTTTTTTTTTCTCCTGCTCTCCTCGTGTTTTGCATTCCACAATTCGACGCTGGACTAGGCCGGATTCCTCCCAAGCAGCGGACCCGCGTGCCACCAAACGATCTAAGCTGCTGTCCGTCCCTTCTCCCCTGAGACACCATTTCGCCCATTGCACCGTACCCTTGCCAGCCCACCCCCTTGGTTAGGTATTTACGAGGCCACCGCGCTCTCGTCCATTGCTGTCATGGCACCATCACCTCCGGCATCGCCCAGCTTCACGTCGCCGCGACCGATGAGCGCCATGGTTAGACCGGCACCGAGAAGCAACAGTCGGCTGAGTATGAGTAGCAAGGCAGGTGGCGGGAGCCGGGCTTCTGACGAGGATGGAGGCCGCACTTCGGTGAAAGTGGGTGAGTTAAAAATTCTGTTTGCCTTGTTTGGGCGCCTCTTGGACGTTCTCTCGCGCCTTTCCGCGCTGCGACCGCTCGTCGGATCGCTGGGCTAACGCTTGACGCATAGCCGTTCGCGTGCGGCCACCGCTTAAACCTACCGACCCGGGCTACGAGCTTATACCTCAGCGGTTTCAGCGGTCCATGGTACAAACCACCTCTAACACAGGTATCGCCATCGACGCTCCCCAAGGCAAGAAGCTGTTCATCTTCGATCGCGTCTTTGGCCCCGACGTGACTCAGGAAGGAATCTGGGAATACTTGGAGGAGAGTGTCAATGCCTTCGTACAGGGCTACAATGTCTCCCTACTCGCCTACGGGCAGTCGGGTGCTGGCAAGTCGTACACGATGGGCACGTCGGGCCCTCTGGAACAAGGGGATACGGAAGTCATGGGTAAGCAAGACAGCTAGCGCACCCCGACTTGGGTGGTGACGGTGGTGGTGGTGGTGGTGGTTATGGGCCATAGCGGAGGGTGAGATGCTGACCGTTGGTGATCCGAGTAGGTGTCATCCCACGAGCCGCGACGGCTCTGTTTGAGAAGCTTGATGGGCCCTCCCGACCCTTGAACTCGAACCGTAATTCCATGTCCCAGCTGAAAGTTCCGGCGCGCTACTCGGCGCAGCCCGCAGCACCCAAGGGGGAGAAGAGCTGGCAATTGAAGGCAACCTACGTGGAAATTTACAACGAGCAGCTCCGAGACCTTCTCGTACCCGACCACCTCCAGCCGCACGAGCGAAACAATGTCACCATTCGCGAAGACCAGAAGGGCAATATCATCCTCACCGGCCTGCAGCAAGTCGAAATCAATTCGGTGGACGACCTGATGAATGCTTTAAATTTCGGCTCGACCATTCGGCAGACCGACGCGACGGCGATTAATGCTAAGTCCTCGCGGTCCCATGCTGTCTTTAGTCTGAATCTCGTGCAGCGGAAGAGCGCGGCGCAGAACGCTCAGGGTGCTAATAAGCGATTCTCGGTACCACTAGAGGCCATGACAGGGACCGACACCTGGGTCACCACGGATTCTAAGCTCCATTTTGTCGATTTGGCCGGAAGTGAGCGTTTGAAGAATACGGGCGCACAGGGCGAGCGGGCGAGGGAGGGTATCTCTATAAACGCTGGCCTGGCCGCACTCGGCAAGGTCATATCACAGCTTTCGTCCCGACAAGCCGGCTCGCATGTCTCGTATCGAGATTCGAGGTTGACGAGGCTCCTGCAAGACTCTCTGGGCGGAAACGCTATCACCTATATGATTGCGTGTGTGACGCCGGCCGAGTTTCACCTGAGCGAAACCTTGAACACCGTCCAGTACGCGCAGAGGGCCCGCGCGATTCAGAGCAAGCCCAGGATTCAGCAGGTGGAGGAGGGCGATAAGCAGGCGATCATCGAGCGCCTTAAAGCCGAAGTGGCTTTCTTACGCGAACAGATTCGGAGTGCGGAGCGCGGTGGGGGCGAGCGACGCGTGGTTTCGGCGGGCGAGAGGTCCGAGCGGCAGAACGAGCGCGAGACGGATTTGCAAAATCAACTTTTGGATGCACAAGAAAGTTACACCACCCTGAGCCAGCGCCACGCTAAGCTGATTGCCGAGATGGCTAAGGCGCGAGACAACGAGGCCGTCGAGAACCAGTCCCGAGAGGAAGACATCGGCGATATCGCGACGGAGAGGTTGAACCGGTCTAACTCCTTCGCCCAGGCCGTCGAACAGGTTGTCCTCGAGTACGAAAAGACGATCCAGACGCTCGAGCAGTCGCTGACCAGTACTCGGACGACGCTCTCGAACACGGAGGCCAGCCTCCTCGAGAAAGAAACCAAGTGTGCCTACATTGAAACTATCAACACCCAACTGCAAAACCGTCTACAGAAGGTCATGGACCGCGAGATGAACACCGAGAGTTACCTCCACGACCTGGAGGCCAAGCTCGACGGCCAGACGTCTGGCGAGGAGAAGAATGCCACCATCGTAATCGAACTGCGGAAGGAGATCGCACGGATCCGTGAGAATGAGGCAGCCTGCGAGGACTACATCTCTACCTTGGAGGAGCGTCTTGCCGAGTCTGACCAAGATCAGGAGCTGATGCAGCGCGAGATAGACCGTCTCGAGCAGGTCATCGAGCGCCAGCGAAGCCTCGGGAAGCTTGATAACCTTCTCTACGAGCTAGACCACATCCAAGACGGCAAGCAGTCCGAGGCCGGATCTGAGCCTAGCAACGGGATCGGGCATCGTCGCACGTTTTCCGAGCGGTCGGCCAAGAGCCACGCCAGCCGGCCGAGCCTCGGCATCAGAGAAGTCCTCCCCGAGGTCGCTGAAGGTACCGAGGAGGATGCCAGCGAACATGTCCGCGCCGAGGAGCTCGATGACGATGACGTCGACGCGGTCGGGAAACTGGTCGGCACGGAGAGGTCGACACCTAGCGCCTATCCTCCGCAGAGCCCCGCGCAAACTCAATTTGTCGCCGACAAGCTAGAGACAGTGACGGATGAGCTCGTTTCTCTGCGGGTCGAGCACGAGTCAACTCTCAACGAATTCGACATGCTTCATGCCAAGTACGAAGAGGCCCTGCGGACCTTGGCGGAGCTGCAAGATCAGATCGACGAAGCGAGGCACCCTAGTCACCAACGGGATTCCATTCTGTCCGTTGCTTCTCCCGACGAAACGAGGCCCTCAAGTTTTTTATCCGACGCGAGGTCCAGCGACGTCAAGGATGGGAGGCTCTTATCGCGATCGCTATCCTCGGAGTTATCCTCAGCTATGGACTCACCAGCTATTATCGATATTCTGGAGACGGACGCGCCTACGCCCTCTGAATCCAGGGAGACGTTGGTAGCGGACAATGCTAGCGGTAGTGAACCTCTGGCTGTCGAACTCGAAAGGCTGAAGGCGCTGGCCGAGGAGAAGGAGGCCGCCGAGAAAGAACTCACCGAAAAGTATGCCCGGCTCGAGGAGATACACCAGGAAACGTTAGACGTGGTCGAGGACCTAAAGACCCAGGTCGCGAAGGCGAAACATGCTGAGCCGCCGTCTCCGAGGACGGGCGCTCCGGTCATCCGCCGAAAGTCCAGCCAGAACGTCCTCGTCATCGACCGGGCGCACCGGTCGTTTGCGACGCTCCGAAACCTCGCCGCCGAAAACTTCGAGGGGAGACCGGACATTATGCAGAACTTCGACCTCAATCTCAACAGCGCCATGCACGAATTGCACGTTAGGTCTGAGCGGATTCAAGAATTGGAAGCGGACGTCGCTAGCACCAAGAAGGAAATGGAAACGAAGATGACGATTATTTCCGGATTGACGCGTGAGCGATCCAGCTTGAAGTCTGGTCCCATGGATATCTCAATGGTCGCCACGCTTAGGGAGCAACTAGAGAGGCACGAGCAACGACTCAAGGAGATGCAGGAAGCCCATACGATTCGCGAAAAGGAGCTCGTGGCCGAACTAGAAGCGTTGCGTGCATCCGTCAAGGAAGCCGCAGAAGCCCGATCGGCATCAGCGGCCCTAGACGATAAAGAAAATGAGCACCGTGTCGCCCAGGAAGAGAAGATAGCCCATCTCGAGGCTGAGCTCTCCAGCTGGGAGGGTAAACACCAGGCGGCTCTAGATGCCATGCTAGCGACCGAGGAACATATGAGAACGACGGTCGGCGGCCTCGAGGCCGAAGTCGCGACCGCCAACGCTAAGCTCAACGAGATCCGAGAGCAAGCTAAGAGTGACGAGGAGAGCAAGGAAGAGGAGATCAAGCACCAGAACCTTGTCTCTGCCCTCCGCAACGACATCGCTCAGTTTAAGACCATCATCGACGCCAATGCTGTCAAGGTTGCTCAGTTGGAGCAGGCACACACTCTTGCTAAGCAACAGCTGGAAGAGACCTCTCAGGCGAGAGACGTTGCGATTGCCGAGTCGCGTGGCTACCAGGAACTAGTCAGTAGACTCGAAAGTCAGATAGCGGAGCACGAACGAGCATTGAAGGCCCACGAGGAGGGTCTCGCCCAACTCTATGATGACCACGCCAAGCAAGTCGAGGCGATCAGAGCTACCTCGAAAGACGAGTACGACATCCAAGTCAACGACCTCCTGTTGGAGCATGCCGAGAACGTCAAGCTGTTGGAGAGTGATGTCACGGAGGCTCGCGAGGAGCTCACGAAAGTCGCTACCCAGGTTGCTTTTGCGCTCGGCGTCGAAGTGAGCGTCGAAAATATCAGCGAGCGCATCGAGGATTTGATCGCGGACCAGAAGGCTCTCGCCGCTGAGCAACAGAAGTCTGCCGAGCTCGAAGAACACGTCGAAGAGCTCTCGGCGATTAATAATACTATCATGCGTGATCTCGAGACCGTAAAGTCGTCGGTGAATGACATTCTCTTCTCCGACAGTGAAGGGATGAAGAGTCCATACACCACCGTGGCGGAGCAGCTGGCAGCCGTCAAGAAGAGAATCTACGACCTAGAGAACAAGAATAAAAAGCACTCTAGGTTGGTTGAGGAGTTGGAAGACCAACTGCAGACCAACTATGACCAGGCCCAAATCACGAACAACCGGCTGTCTACTCTTCAGACGGAGCGTAACGCGCAGCTGGAGGAAGCCAACGCGGCCAAAGCCAAGGCACAGGTTGAACTAGACGCCGTTCGAGAAGAATTGGCCATTCTCCAGGTAAGATATCTGGGAATTCCGGTCTCCCACCTCCTACTAGTTCTTGCTATGCTAATAAACGAGCTATTTAGGCCCGCATGGAAGAATTCACCACTACTACGGATGGACCTAAGAGAACCGGCTCAAACGGTTCGCAGATCCGCAAGACAGCTTCCGTCACCTCGTTACCATCTCCGCCTCCCGCCATCCCCCTCCCCCCATTACCCCCCAACGGCACAACCTCGCCAACTCCAGGCGTCCCGGCAACACCGACCGGTGGCCGACCCACCAGCCACGACGTTGCTCTCGCTCAGATCCGCGAGGACCAGGAGGCGCGCATCCAGAGCATCGAGAGGCACCTAAAGGCCGAGAGGCAGCTCACCTCTACGCTAGAGGAGGCGCTGACAGACCTTGAACGCCAATCGAAACAGGTCAAGGCCGACTGCGACGCCTGGAGGAAGCGGGCTCAGGAGCTGGAGACCGAGGTCAAGGAGCTCAAGGAGCGGCCACAGCAGGACAACCGATGGCGCGACAGCCTTCACCAGATCGAGGAGGAGCGAAAGAAGCGCCAAGATGCCGAGAGGGCCAGGACCCACCTAGAGGAACGCATGAATGCTATCAACAACAAGAAAAAGAAGAAGGGCAGCCTCAACTGCTTTTAGTGGCAAGGTTAGTGCGGCATGCTCTCGGCAGCTCTTCTTTTGCTCACCGCGTATGCCCTGCTGTATCTTCTCCGCCCCCCCGTCGCTCCGCCATCTGGCCTGCCCGGGAATTTTGCATTGCGGGGCTTCTCAGACGCGCGGTTAACATTTGGCAAGGCGTTTAAGGGGTAAACTTCCATTGCTTTGCTTGCTTCGTATGACGTTGGACATCTTGTACTCTCTTCGTTTCCACCTCTCGATATGTTTGCGACTTTTTTTTTTCTTCTCCCCTTACGCCGTGCAGCCACCGGACAGCTCCTGGCCATATACCCTCGCAGGCTCCCTTGTAAATTCTAATACTCCGACCTCTACTTTTCTATGGCACACAAAACACCGCAAACAACGTAACGATCTGGACGGGATACGACATGAATCGCAGATACGACGTGTGTTATGGAATAACTTTACGCTATACTCCCTACCAGTCTTTCGGGCTTTATCTCGTGCCCCACGTGCTTTTCATTTGATCTTTTTGACGTTGCGCCCCTAAATCGGGCGGAGAGTTGAGCTAGAGGCGCAGACGCTTGCGACCCGAGATACCACTTCTAAACTCTTCTTTTTCAAACCCCTTTTCTATTCCGTACGTTCCTGACCGTCGCCGTGGGGGAGAGGAGGGATCATTTTCTATTTTGACCCTTGTTGGGCGTCGTGGTTTGCATGTGGGCGTTGGGAGATGATCGGCTAGCCTCTAAAGCTAAGTACGATTTTAGTAAGCTTGTGCAAGGGGGAATTGTCTGTATTTTTTACCTTTTTTTCAGATGAGTGTGAAAGGTCTGCCTGTTTCGTCTTAAGCAGACACTACTAGTCTGTCTCACTACTGTGTTATATAGCAATTTGGCAGACGAAGGAATTTGACGCCGTTATGAGAACTCTCAGGATCTATTTGGCCAGACTAGATCATCATGCGTTACCCATAAGCTCGCGGGCAAATAACGACATAACCGTTCATACGAGGTCGGCGGGAAAAATCTTGCGTAGGCTAACGTGACTTAGGCACCCCGGACTGCTCCGCAAAGAACCAAGTATAAAAAATAAAATAAAGAGGCAGGGGGGGTCATTTCTAGTAAGCGTCGCTATTTAGAAATCAGGTTATGGGTCGACAACCTTACGAGAACAACGCATGTAGGGAGATAGGCTAAATAATAGAGACTACCAAGTAGCGCTGTCAGGAATCGAACCTGTCCTCTATTATATAACCCACTTAGCTTAGGGCAAGGTTACGTTTAGGATTCAAGACTACTAACTGGCTAGTCGGCTGTTGACGCCGTGGTAGTTAAATGAGCGACACTCCATCACAACTAGGCTATCGCAGTCCTCACGATGCCAACCCGACTGTCGTTACAAGGATACATAAAAGTAGCCGAACCGAGCCTCTGAAAGAGTGATAAGCTCCGTCGCAAATTCCAGCCTCCCTTTCCGAACACTTCCAGTTGGGATATCCCTCCTTCCGTTTAGACACCCACGGGGGTCTGGCAGAGAAGTGCCTGGCCGAGCTGTAGCACCAGGGTTAGCGTTCGAAACCCGGCTAGGATTATCTAGGCAACGATACTTACGACGGGGACGACGCAGCAGCGAGCGCGCTGCCCGCGGACGGCGCAGATTCTCCTGAAGTCGTCCGCGTTGTGGGGAACCTCGGGGACTATGGCAAAGGGGAGGAGTGGTTAGCAGAGTGATTCTCGCGCTGGTGCCGCGGCTGCTAGTATAGCCTCGTGTGGTGAGAGGGGAACTTACGAGACTGGCAGTCAAGATCAGCCAGACCGAGGACGTCGGTGGCACAGCACTGAGGGCTGCTATAGGGAGGGGTGTTGCAAGGGACATACGAGCTGCCGCCGCCGGTGCGCTTAACGGGGTCGACGGGGTTGGCGAGGACGGCAGAAGCCAGGAAGGTGACGAAGAAGGAGGAGAACTGCATTTTGAGTGTTGGAAGGATGGTTTTCGATAACCTGAAAGCTCGGAGAGTGCGTGGGAAGCTGAAGCGAGAGAGTGGTCTGGAGAAGTGCTCTTGTTGTTGTTGCTGGTGAAGAAGTTCTGGACGAGACTGGAGGGGAACCAGCCAGGTTCTTATACTCGAAGGCCGCCTTCGTCCCCGGCCGTGATCACAGTCGACCCGAGAAAAACTCTTCATCGGGGCACGCCAGCAAGCTCACGACGAAGTCAGTAACGAGACACGACGCGACGCCACGTTAGCAGGGTTCTACATGGTATTACCTACCTCGAACCTCCATGTATGCGCGTAGGTCAGACACGAGGCCCCTGGATCCATATCTGCAAAGCGTTCCTTGCCACTATACAAAATCGCAGTCTCTATTGGGCGCAGCTAAGTGCTGAGCGCACAACACAGGGGTTGATGAGGCCAACTTGGAAGAGCTCAAGCACGAAGTCCAGTTTGCTGAAAGGGGTAGAAGATCGACGTAGAGACTCGATTGGAAGTGACTTGCGGGGCCCAATCGACCGTGACGAGAATGGCAACAACCACTATCACGATGGCAACAAACCTCAACAAAGGTACGCATTACTTAAGCGCCGCCTGTAATTTGGGCTCCGTACAGCCAGGAGTTTTGCAGCTGACGTCAAAGGCTTCTCGGCGCGCTCCGTCTGCCCACTGCCTCAGTATAACTCAACGTCAAAGGCGAAGCGCGCGGGAAACACAGCAATGGAACAAAGATACCCGAGGCGGCATGCCGTAGGGGGATCGCTAGATCACACACACACACACACAATGTAAACAGGTATGCATGTATGTCTGCCTAGCTATACTAGGGTTGTCCAAGCTATCTCACGAGCTCGCTCAATACATACGTAGTATACGATCCTTTCAGAGCAGCCTGACCTAAAGGCGGCGACTGTGCACTAGGCGTCAGCTCTGGATACCTTCATCTCATCCTTCGTGGCTTGAGCCGCAACTTCTAATTTGATCGCTAGCCCAGCTCGCCCGTCCCATGCTGGCTGACCCAGTCACTGGGGGTCTAGCGGCGTCGCCGCCCCATGCTCTACCGGCGCGGAAGCCAGGCCGGGCAATTTACGGGTCACCGTTCTGGGGGGGGAGGCTCGTTCAATCGTTGGCTATTGGCTTACTGCGCGAAACCGCCAATCTTGCCTTCAGACACAGATATGATATTAGAGAGGGCACACATTTGGTCGAGAGGATCAAAAGGAAAAGAAAAAGGAAAAAAAGGAAGAAAAAACCTCACTGCCTCCCCACACTTGCTCCCTCCCAGGGAAAACCACATCGCTAATATCACGCACGCGGAAATGAGGGCGGCCTGGGTTGTGTTGTGAAGAGGCAGGTCTAAGCGCAGAGGGTTTCCGAATTCGGAAATTCTATAATACTACGTATTACAACTGCCATTGTCGCCCTGGTGCTTCACAACTCTCAACCGAGTAACCTAACTAACTCTCTGCGCTTCCGCTGTAACTAGATAGCATTTCTGGAAATCTCATTCTGCCTCCGTTGGTCTCAAGTTAGCGAGGGGAACAAATTATGCATGCATATAGGTAGGTGTACCATACATACGAGATCTGCCGCACCGCAGCATGTAGGCGGGTAGGTGGCTATAGCCGATGTCCCATTCATCAAGATCTGGGTTCGTTGGCACGCAGATTGGTTGGTGGAGGAGAAAAGTTGGATTTGGACGTTCGTGAATTGGCGGCTCCTGTCCACTGACTAACATTCCCATTACCCGTTGCTCCATTCCTCGATACGTATAGGTCACCCTTTATTTTGACGCATGCTGCAAGCCACCAGGGCCACCTGCCCACAACGGTGACCCCCCTCCCCCCCCTCCTCGTCGATGGCGAGGTAAGGCCAACCATGCTCGACTAGAAACCGGGTTCGAGGCTTGCCATGCATGGCCGGGGACGCCCTGGAACACGGTTTTGCGATTCCTCTGGGGAATTCACTCGCACGAAACCCTCCTCGGAGGATTCATGGTCACGTCCGAACCTACCGCCCCCCGGTCCCCCGATCGTGTAGGGATCAGCCTTCAGCCGGTGGTGATCCGAGATACGATTTTCGATCAACCGTGTCTGAAAATTTTCTTCTGATTTGCTGACCGGGGCGGGTCTAGGACTGTGTGACTGTCACCAGGTGTGAAAGTATTATTTCCTGGTTCTCACGGACCGGGGAGGAGGTTATGGGGTAGGTATAGTTACCGACGCGCTGGTCCATTGGATGTGCTGGCTGACCGGTTGGCTAACCGACGGGTGCCAGAGGTCTGGGCCGTTCCGTACAGCCCCAGAAATCCGTCGAACCCCCAGCACCTTGCAGAGTGGACATTAGTTCAATTGCGTGGGCGGTCGGTTGAGCAGCTGGTTTCACTCAGGTGACAAGGAGTAGGTAATTATTTTCCCCCTCTAAGCTACGCGATTGGCCTGCGGCGGCCAAGTTTGGCGTTCCTCCATGAATAGGAAACGATCATAATATGTATTATGTGTACGTGAGTTCTGATGACTACCTACTTTTACTAACATGTGTTCTCGTAATTCCTCGCGGAGACTTTGCTACGGGTAAACAAAGCATATTAGAAAAAGAAAAAGCGGAAAACAGGTTCTTTTGGTAAAGTCCTGCGGTCTCCGCCCATGCCTGTCCGCCCGTAATAGGTATTATGTGTGTCCTCGGTCTCGAGCGGTCCCGGCCAACTAGTGGGTGGTTACCTCTCTGATGCTCTTGAAGTGTAACCGCGCCAGCCAGGTTTCTGACATGTATTTCCTGATCCGCTTCCCCCAGATGATGAAGACGAGGAGGACGAGGTTGTTCGCCAAGAGCACGCCGCCGAAGATGCCTGCCATCACCACGGCGTAGCCGCTCTCCATGACCCAGTCCAGGACCTTGACCCCAAACCCGAAGCTGATGGCCTGCTTGCCAATGTTCATGGCGATCAGCATCTCGGATGTGTTGGAATAGTACGAGTCCACCGCGTAGGCGAGCGTGAACGAGAAGAAGAAGTAGGCGGCCCAGTAGTTCATGGCTCCGCCCACGAAGAAGCCTATCCAATGCAAGCCCCTCTCGGCGGTGAACCCGTACAGAACTACCCCGGCGGGGCCGATCAGCATGGCAGGCAGCATGACGCCCAGACGCATCTCAGCCTCGCGGATGCCGTTGTTGCGCTTCGTAAAGTAAGCTGCGAGGCGGTCTGAGGACGACGTGAAGGGTATGGCGAGTCCGTAGCCGACTACGGAGGCCAGAGAGAAGAGCCCAGAGTTGGTCTGTATGCAGGTTAGCGATGCTAATGACGATGCTGGTGACGATGACGGGCGCTCGATAGTTCAGCTGCTTCCCCAGGTTGGCTTACCACTGGCCAGTTGTACGGAGGTGACACGATCAAGATCGGGAAAGTGTAGGAGAAGGCCAAGGCCGATAATCCAATCTGCCACACATCATGTCAGTAGAAGGTCACCCAGGATCCCCTGTCTACTATTCTGTAGTCCCGCAGCTCTACAGTTCTACCATTCTACACTACTCAGACTACTCCTTCATTCCTTTGAAGGAGGCAGGGGGGGCTTGCAGGAATGCAAGATAAGATGACGCACTGTAAGTTTGTTAGCTGTCATGTTCTTGTGTTGTCGACGGGTATGTAGACATGTGATGGCCCACGTGAAAGGAGGCAACTTGACTACGCTTACCATTGATTCCGAAAGTAGTAATCACCCACAGCGACTGAGGCGCTAGGAAATAAGTCCACGAGCGAATCATCGTCATGAATAGGGGGACGTCAGGGTCGACCCTCCCCTTGAGACTCAGCGTCTCGATAAAAGTCTTGCGGCTGGGCACAACGTAGCCGGTCTCCCGGTCTCCCTTCTCGAACTCCTGGACACCTTCCTTCTCCGAGGCATTTGACGGTGTGGGGGGCGTCATGTGGGCTGCCCGGTCGTAGGAAGTCTCCTCGACGTAGAAGAAGGCCATGATGAGGAGCACCATGGCGAACGCGAACTCGACATAGAAGAAAAGCCTCCACCCGAGGCCGGCGTTGAGCATGTATCCCGCGGGGAGGCCGGCAAACGTTCCGAGACATAGGCAGACTATAACAGGAAACGGTTAGATCTCGACTAGGGGAAGAGGCATCGCCTCTTTCTCGTCTGGCGGTTTACCTGTGTAGTAGCCAATGCGCTTCCCTCGCTCGTGCAGGTAGAAGATGTCGTTGACCAGCTGGACAGGCAGGGCCTCGCACACCGACGATCCGAAGCAGTGGACGAGACGGGCTGCCAGGAGCCCATTGTACGACGTGCACTGGGAGGAGGCTATCAAGCCCACGGCGAACTACGGCTTCCCTGTCAGCACTTACGCGTGGCGATATTTCTGTGGCGTCGCGCGCCTTACCGTGAGGAGCGAGAAGAGCATGACCGGTCGGCGGCCAAACTTGAGGTAGCAGGGCACGAAGACCAACGAGCCTAGGGCACACATATACGCGTCAGCATCCACCCACACGCACGCACACACACTCGCTCGTTCTCACAGCCCCCTCCATCTGTTCGTTCCATCCCCCGTCCCACCTTCCGTCGACTACGTCCGAGTGACACATGAAGAAGATACACAGATATGACCTACCGAATCCGAAGGCGAGGTTTGGGTACGAGATGAGCTCGGACGCCACCCCGGGCGTGATCCCGAACTCACGGGACCAGAGCTCTATGTAGGGCGAGGGCCCGATGATGGCAGCGTTGCCGAGAAAAGAGTAGACGGAGCAGATGACCAGGATCATCGTCTTCTTGAAATTGGTCCACTATGATTGTCCCCTCTCTCATACGCACGCGTCAGGACACTTTGCGCCGGCGGGTGGGGGAAGGGCGCTCGCGACGGCTTGCGATCGCCGCCGGCCGCGGCGATCGACGAACGCACGTGCACGTACATACCTGCAAGGGGTCGTTCGGGTCCTCCGCCGGGACCGGGAAGAGCGCCTGGCCATATCCAGTGTCGTCGCCCTCTAAGTGCGAAGGGAACAGGAGAGCGCGTTAGCTAACCCTCGGAGAACGGCAGATAAAGAGGGGAGGCAAGTTGTTGTTGTTGTTGTTGTTGTTGTTGTTGCGTGGAGGCCTGACGACCTCCACAACTGCGCGATTCGCGGGATCGTCGACGGTCACTTACCGGCTGCTTGGAGGTTGACGGTGCCGGGGATGTTCTCTTCGTGCGCGTGGCTGTGCGACAGATGGGCGCGCGGTTTGGATGCCATGGTGGAGGGTTGGATGCGATCGATGGGAGGGATAAAGAGGCTCCGATGCAGATCAATCTAGCTTCCCAAGTTCCCGGATGCCAGCAAAAAAAATAAGGAATCAGGCAATTAAATAGAGAAGAGGAGAGGGCAGAAAGGAGTCAGAGGACGAGGGGCTGGCTGAGGCTGATAGCAGGGTAGGCTGTTAGCCTGCGTGTCTCATGTCACGCTGGTTTGTTGAGCATCTACCTGCTTTGCGGGACTTGCTGGCGCTGATTGCTCGTGGTAGTGAGGCTACTTAGATGCTAAACTAGGTGAACAGGCTTCCGGGTCGATCGTCTTTCTCTCGCGCGTCCTCGTTTCGCGATCTCGCCGCACGGATGGGGTCTAAGAGCGCACGCGCAGGACCGGTGGTGGCTCTCCCCCGTCCTCTGACCCCCAGGCCAAGAACGCGGACTCTGGGCCTTGTATCTAAAGTCGCGGGGGAGGGCCTAGTGGAGAGGGAAATCTGGGGTCCCCATCTGCCGTCTATAATGAGGAGGGCCTATAGCCCCCTTGCCGGTGCGGAGAGAAATAAGGGGGAGGGTGAGCCAGCGTTGGTCTGGAGCCGGGATGGCCCCAATTATTCCAAGAAAATCCCCCCCCCGTTCCTTGATCTTATTTAGGCCGGCCTCTACCCACTACGTAGTCCTACTACCGACTACTACCACAACCACGAGGCAGCCAGGAGACGACATCTCGGGGATTTGCCTCTGTTTTTTTATTGCCGATGAGCGGGGAGGAAGAGAGGAGAGAAGCGCACGCGGCTGGCAACTCGCCACCACCTCGCCTAAGTAAACCCATTGCGTCGACAAGCTACCCCAAAATATGTGCTGAGAACAAGCATACAGCCAGTAGCTCCCCTCTCTCACTAGCATGCATATCGTATGCATAGAGCTATGAGGAGTGTGCGATAGTATTCGCCCAGATCCTGTGTGGTGCGGTGGCATCTGGAATGTCGCCGTCGACTGACTTATGTTTTCTCAAGGGTTCTCTCTAAAACGCAAGTAGGCTAGTTAACCAACTATGCGGAGAAGAGATGGGGAGTGTTATTTCTTAGCTCTCTCTCTCTCTCTCTCTTTGAGAAGACAAAATGAGTAAACCCAGAAACACCGGGTTGGTAATACAAGCCGCGCATAAGGCCCCAAGAAGGGATTCTATAATTAACACTACCGGTTATTAACTACCTAAGTCAATTAATTATGCTGCTCCATACATATGCGCGCCTCGGCCTGGGGAAGCCGTCGTCAACTCGGATCGTCTGCCGGGCGATCGAGGCTCCAGAAGCGAATGTGATGTGCGTGTGGGCCAACCCCGTGGGAAGGAAAGTCTTGACTTGATGACCGAACCGTTGGCAATGGTGATCATCACGCGTGGGCCGTGGCTAGTCCCCAGGTCCGAGTCCCGGGTGTGGATGAGAGACAAGAAAGGATCTGGAGTCTTCTACCCCAACTACCGCCGCCGACGCGCCAACGCCGCCATCCCGGCCAGCTGGAACCGCGGCCATAAATGTGCGCCCGAGGGCGCCGCCTATTTATGAGTACATCTGTTTAATGTATTTAGATCGACACATGGACACTTGCCGCCCCAACTTAGCTCCCGCCCATCCATGCGCACCTACATGCTCCTTTTTATAATTGTTGATTTTGGGGAATGGGTTGGTGTGAGCAAAGAGACCTGTTTCCGAGGTTACCGAAATTTTCCAATTGACGGATGTTCTAATCGACATATGGAAGGCCTGTCGCAATAACTTCTCTCTCTCCCTCTCTCACCTTCGCATTTGTGGCTCATGCTGCGTATTTCACAATGCATGATGCAATTTTCAATGCTTGCAAAGGAACAATAGGGGGTGGCCTTAAGCGAGGTTGATTTCTGTGTGTATCTCCGGTTCGGGGCTATGCGGGTTGATTGGTTCGTTGGCTTGCTCCGCCAACCTCCCCCCTCTTCGTCGTCTTCCTCGTCGTCCTCCTCTTCCCTCTTCTTCTCTCGTCCTCCCCCAATCCGGGTTCTTGTCACCGTCATAGTGGACACGCTATCGATATTTATGTGCCTTGGCCTTGAAATTAGCTAGCTTCCGAGGTTCCCGTCCAGGCCGGTTCTAGAGTAGTTTGACAGATCAGCGACTCCCGTCGCCGCCGAGGCCGGTGCGGTCTTTTTCATACCCTCTAATGCTTGCAGGGTGGAATCAATGCGTCCGGCGTCGTCGACGTTGATTTGTGATGCTCCCAGCGTCTGAATAAATCCACCAAAATATTTGTCCGCTCCGAGTAGGGACGCCGCCCATCATCGTACGGTGAGTTCGCCAAGGTATTCTGCAGCATATACCCGCCCCCCTAGTTCCCGCGAGGACCGAAGGATTGGAAGCGTGGTCTCTTCTCGTTGGGCAGAAGTCGAGATATGGGTACGTGTCGCCCGGGCCACTTGCCCGAAATGGCCAGGAATCTGGAGATAGCTGCCATTGACCATTCGTTGCCCTTCATTGCCTTTCGCTGCCTTTCCGCATTCGAAATGAAGAGGCCGGCGGTGAGAACCCAAAGAACTAGGATCCGACCCAACCCCTCCAAAGTCGGCCGCGTCGCAGCGTCCCCCGTCCAATTAAGGAAGGCGAATTCGCCTGCCAACCACCCGATATCGATGTGCGGTGTGTGGATATGGCCAATATCACCGTCTTGCATGTGTAAGCCGAGACCGTCTTCGGACCAAGGTAAAGATGAGAGATAGAGAGATAGAGAGAGAGACCTCAATGTAGGTATAAGAAGCCTGAGGATCCGCAAGCTCGTGGAGACTGGTTCCCTTGTGAGGTCCAAGGGCATTTATGCCTTATCCCAACAACCGCCCCAAACCCAACCAAACAACCATACCCAACGACCATTGTCGTCAGTAGACAGGATGCAGGCCTTCTCCATCCTCGTCACTGTCGTCATGGCTGTCATGGCCACGGCCTCCGCCGCTGCGGAAGCTAAGGTGAGTCTTTTATTCCGATTCGACGCTTATATACGACGTGTGTACGGCCCCGCGTACTGACTTCGGTATCAACAGCTCGAGCCACAAGGGTTTTCGGAGTCGGCATGACTCGTGGCCGCGGATAGGATCCCGGTGAGCGCAGTCCGCCATTGGATTGACCGGATCCCGTCCGCGCCCGTACTACGAATACCCGAAGACATCTCAGGCATTGGATAGCCTCGGGAGGCGCCGGAGTAGGCACACGTGTGGAAGAGGAAGCATGCCCACATATCTGTCATGTTACGAGCGTTATGAGCAACCGGCTTCTAGTTCAGGATGGGACGAGATCTGAGGATCGTTTTTATGAGGACAGCGTGTGCTCGACTTGGACCATCTGTACATACATCAGCCATTCTCCGACCACCATGCGGCGCTCATGAACCTGCCGCTTGGTGCGTTAGCAGCCTCATCAGGCCAATACAATCTCCTTTGTATGCATCCAAACCGCCAAAGAGAAATTATAGGGGCCCAACTGCGGAGTGAATCCACCCGTCGATCCATTGCCCCCACGGCAAGCAAAGCTTGATACCCGGTACCCGCTGGTGACCCCATAACGCCTATCGCTCGTAATGCATATACACACACATACGTAGTAGCCATACATAATAGCTCAGCAGTGGATGATATCGTCTTTAGGCCCTCACGTTATCCGGCAGGGTGCTATCCGCCCAAATGTTCCGGGTCTCTTCCTCGACCGCTCTCATGGCGATGGCTACCTCCTCTAGCTTCTCGACCACATCCCTAACGCCCTGATCGATCTTGGAAAAGTACCGGTCGTTCGCCTCGCGCCTGTTTCTCGCGAGGAGTATATCCCGCTCCGTCTCTTCCTCGAGCCTGGCGCCGAGCCGCTCGCGGTTCGCGGTCCCGCTACTGCCAGGGCGCGCGCTGCCGGTCCCAGCGGTCGTGCTCTTGGGGGCCTCGGTGGCCTCCGTCGCGCCTGCTCCACCGCCACCCCCGCCTGCGCCCCTCCCCATGCCCGCGGATATAGTCGGGACAAGACCGGCGCCCCCTGCAGCGGCAGCGGCGGCGGTAGCAGCCATCTCGGCGAGGGCGCCCTTGAGGCTGGGCACCTCGGCGGCGGCGGCGGCGCCAGAGGCAGACGAAGCCGGCGCGTCGGGGACGACGGCCTCGTCGGCCTCGCTGCGCGCCCACGCCTGCGCGAGCCCGATCTGGGCGGCGCGCAGGTCGGCGAGCTTGCGGTCGTGCTCGGGCCCGAAGATGTGGGTGCCGCCGCCGGCCGACAGCTCAATCTCCTGGAGCGTGAGCTGCATCTCGGCCCACAGCGCGTCGGCGCGGTCGGCGGTGGCACCGCTGCGCGCCGAGTCGCCGGTGCGCAGGCGGGGGCCCAGCGGCGAGCGGGTGCGCGGCGCGCGCGACGGCGCGGTCGTGGCGGCCTGCGAGTGCGATCGCGAGTACGACTGTGAGTGGCGCGTCGGCGCGTTGTCGCCGCCGCCGCCGCCGTGCCCGTATGGCGAGGGAGTCGGGCCGCCGGCGCCTACTCCAGCGAGCGAGACATGTGAAGCTGCGGGGGAGGGACGCGGGAAGAGGCTCGGCGGAGGGTCGCGAGTTTTGGAGGTGCTCCGTGTTAAGTCGAGGTTGGCCATGGCTCCATTTTCGCCAATGGTGTCGGCCGGGTGAGGGATATAGAGAGAGGGAAAGAAGGAAGAGAATAAGCGATGGGATCGATGACTGGCTTGCCTTCACAACCAAAAATCCATGGGGAAAGGTGTGTTCCTGTAGAAGAGCGAGGATGAAGTCCTCGTCGAGCGGGAGAGGAAAGAGGCTTGAGCGATGGACTCGATGGCCGATTGAGCGCGGTGATTGGCTACTTGCTCGTAAGTTGGGATGTCCGTGTCCCAGGTTACGACTGCGCAACGCAACCTGTCATTATGTGAGAAGAGCATAGCCACAATGCGTCCCGCATCTTGTGGACAACCCCGGTGGCTGGCCCGCTAGTGTGTGGCTAATATGAGCGCGGGTGGCTGGTGAGAACGAGAGCTCACTTCAGCCACAATGGTACTTAGATACTCTGATCCCGTTCGCTAGGGCGGGCAACCCTTAGCAATTGTGCACTGCCAGTACCGTGAAAAAAATTAACCGAGAAACTTCAATCATCCACGAACCGGCCTAGAAGGACAACCTCCATTCAAGTTGCACCCTCAACAACCCCGTCTTCTCAGCGATACCACACATCAATCGGTAGGTTCAAAGCGTCCCGTCAGCCAGCTCGATCCGATCCCTACACAACATCCCACCTAAGCTCGATCTGAATACTCTTAGTGCCCGCCAATTCTTCTCCCACTGCCCGCCGCACTCCCCTCTATATCCTTACAAACCACTCATACATACCGCCGACGCCCCTTACCGACCTGTTCCTCGCTAACGACGCCCCTCCGCCGCTGCTCTAGCAATCATGGGTAAAGGAAAACCTCGTGGACTCAACGCCGCCAGAAAGCTGCGGCTGCACCGAAAGGAGCAGAAGTGGGCCGACCTCGGATACAAGAAGCGCGCTCTCGGTACCGCGTTCAAGTCCTCGCCGTTCGGTGGCTCTTCCCACGCCAAGGGCATCGTCCTCGAGAAGGTCGGCGTCGAAGCCAAGCAGCCCAATTCCGCCATCCGGAAGTGCGTCCGAGTACAGCTCATCAAGAACGGAAAGAAGGTCACTGCTTTCGGTACGATACCCCTCTCTCCCTTCCCCCGGGCGCTGATATTCTGTCTGTCTATGTTGTATGGCGCACGCCGCGACGAAAGAAGTATTGAGATAAGGGGGAGATATTTTACAGTAGTGGCGGCGGCAAGAGCAAAGGTTGCTAGGTCGTGCGACGAAGGGTCGGCTTAGCTAACATAATACCTTCTTATCAGTCCCCAACGACGGTTGCTTGAACTTCGTAGACGAGAACGACGAGGTCCTCCTGGCTGGTTTCGGTCGCAAGGGCAAGGCCAAGGGTGATATTCCCGGTGTGCGATTCAAGGTCGTCAAGGTCTCGGGTGTCGGTCTGCTGGCCCTGTGGAAGGAGAAGAAGGAGAAGCCGAGGTCGTAGACGGGGGCGGCTCGGTTTCGGGGGCGAAACGGTATTAAAAAAAGGAATACGCGTGACGAAGAGAACATCATTTGGGCATGCGGAGTCGATACGGCTTGCTTTGTTTCATCGGCATCATGAGGTCAGGGCCTTGATACACTTTTCATAGGTGGACGCGATCCAAGAATAGAGGTCGGTTTGTCGCCAGAGCACACACTGTTTCTCATCCGAAAGGATTATGGTGACCTGGTAAGCACTTGGCTACCACGGTTGTGAACCCGATCCATGTTTGTGGTAATTATTGAAGTCGTCCGCTTTTCTATGTAACGGTGGTCTAAATTGGTCTAAATCCAATTATACATGGGTAATGTGCAACATGTGGTGGTACATCCAAGAATACTGAGGCATCCTATTCGGCTTCCTTCTCGCCTGCCTCGATTCGTGCCGGGTCCTCTCCGAAGTACTTGAGCAGATAGTCTGCCCCGAGACCGAGGCTGATAACGCCGCCGGTGATCCAGCTCCCGTTGGCAAACCACCACCAGCAGTCCTGGACGCTCTTGAGGTCGACCTTCCTGATCATGTAACCGAGAGTCAGGGCGGCGCCGCCGCAGCTCCCGATGAAGAAGGCGGGCCCAGCCCCCGTGGCGGTGCCGGCAGCAGCGAGCAGACCGATCTGGACGGCAGCAGCAGCGGTGAGGATCTTCTTGGTGTCCGGGTCGTGCTTGAGGGCGATGCTCTTGATGCCGGCCTTGGCGTCGTCGCGGATGTCCATGTGGGCGTAGATCATGTCGTAGAGGATGGTCCAGGCGACGTTGCTGGTGTAGAGAAGAGCGGCGGCGGCGAACGGGCCGGTGTTTCCCTCGGCGAGCAAGTCGATGCCTAGAGCGGGGAAGCCCATGACGGCGCCCCAGGAGAAGGTGAGGCCAAGGACGAACTGGGGGTAGTAGGTGACGCGCTTGGCGAGAGGGTAGGCGGCGACGAGCAGGAGGCTCGGCGTGGCGTAGTAGAAGCAGGCGGGCTGGGGCAGCTGGAGGAGGACGGCGAGGCCGGCGAGGAGCTGGGCGGCGACGTAGGCGAGGGCGTGCGGGGGCGAGAGGGCGCCGCGGGCGAGGGGGCGGTGGCGCGTGCGCGCGACGTGGGGGTCCAGGTTGCGATCCCACAAGTCGTTGATGGAGCAGCCAGCGCCGCGCATGACGATGGCGCCGGCGAGGAAGAGCGCGGCGGTTCCGGTGACGGCGAGCGGGCCCGCGGGGTCGGCCGACGAGAGCGTCAGCGGCGCCGCGAGCAGCGTCGAGAACAGGCACGGGAAGTATAGGTAGTACGTGCCCGCGGGCTTGTCGATCCGGATCAGCTCCGCGTACGGCACCCACGACGCGGGCAGCCGCGCGAGCAGGCCCGACGTGGGCGGCGAGTACGACGCCGCGGTCGTCGGCGCGGTCTGGGGCGAGGACGAGGGCGGGCCGATCGTGTGGGCAGCGCGCTGGTTCCTCGAGCCAGACGACGGCGACGATAGGGGGATTACGTGTTTGGGTCTGAGGAAGCCGAGGGCAACCGCCGGCGTTGCTGCGGCTGGGAGCGGACTCTTTCTTCTCCCCCAGGCGCAGTTTGACGCCGACGAGCTGAGTCTCGAGAGGCTGTTGCGGGGCGGTGGTGATAGAGGCAACCCCCACGGAAACAGGCCCGAAGACGCCAGCCGGCTGCGGGATAGCAGCAGGCGGCCAGCGCCCCTGGACACGATGGGCTGATGCGTCATGTCCAGCGCTGAGACCTGTGTATTTCTAAAGGGGTAATGTTGTTAGCCGGAGTGTCCAGGCGGACTAGGTGGGGTGAAGAGAAAATTCTACCTAGGGGTGTCCGAGAGAGAGAGAGGAGAGGAGGATAGGGATGATGAGATGAGTGTAAATCAAGCGACCCTTAGTAAACCGCACTCGAGGCTTTTCGAACGGCGGGATCAGATATGCGGCCCAGCCATCGCCGGAGTAGAGGGCGAGTTCTGGTCTCACCACTACGAGCGTTGGTTTTTACACGCAAATGCCGATGTAGATAGATGGACAGATGGACACCTAAGATAGGGGAAACACGTACCTGTCTCTCTCACACACACACTCTCTTTCTATGAGTCTATGAGAATATTCCTCCCCACTGCCTCCCAGCCATATTCACTCGCTCTCTAGATACTATTTTCCTCTAAAAACAGACGCTCACAACGCACTGAGTGGAAGCATTTCGCAGAGATCTTGTAGCTGCTTAGTAGGTGGGTACCTAGGTACGCTTCCAATAGCGGGTAAGAGGTAAATACACATTTTACATTGCGGCACCTGAGCAATCAGGCATCAAGAAAGGAGCCCTGTGATTGGTGGAATTGAAGAAAAACACGCAACAGCTAACTGTTTGTAAAACGCTGCATTTAAGCCCTTTTAGCAGTTTAGTTTTTACACCTTCAATTGATCAACTAGGTTCAGCTTTCAACACATCTTGTATGCCTTACAATTAAGGCAGCGAGGCCATGAGTGTGAACCGCCAAAACGCACAATATTACATGCCTAGGTATATACATATACATATACATATACATATACATAAACCCCCGGATCAGGCTTAGGGTCTGAAGAAAAGCGAGAGATGTCAAAGTTGGTACTGCATATGTACATTTGGCAGCACCTAGCTCTTCTGGGTACCTAGCAGGAACTTTTATATATCACCTAACCCACGTGGGGCAAAACGGTGTATATGTACCTGGGTATCTAGGTACTTTCAGCGATATGCCCTGAATTGATGATGTGAATGCATTACAGGTACGTACTAGGTACGTGGAAGGTCCCTACCCCGTTGTAATGAAATGATGGGATAATACGGTTTATATCACACTATACCATATTATCACGCTTAAAGTCATATAAACCCTAGTAGAAATAGCTAGAATCTCTAGGTACCTGGGTATACCTCACTTACACGTACGTTACGTTGAGGGGCGGGGTACGTATCCTCGACCGAGTTGCCTGCGGACCTCTTGACGACTTAGGTACCTCCTACGCGCGCACTGACCTGACGGTTGGCTGCCAACCTCGCGGTCGGCAATCCTGCTTAGATTGTTTCCTTCCCTCGCATTTTTCCCCCAGCTTCGCCTCCTCGTCATCACACACTCACACATCCCTTCTCTTTTTTTCCCTTCATCTCTGCAATCACCCTTTGCGCCTATGATCTGCTGCGCTCTGGGGAGTTGTCGCTTTCCAGAGTGTCCCATTCCACACGTGCCTAGGTCGCAAGTTACCAGGGGCTTGTTGACGTAAAAAAAAAAACGCGGCTCTCTTGCGGGCGCGTCTGTCTATCTAGCTTTTCCGTGGCCATCTTTGCGCACAACCCCTCGCCTTCTTCGATCGTCTCTACATCCCTTACTCCTCCATGTGTGTCCCGGGGCACTACACCCGGCCTTGAGCTCTCCAGCTAGCTAGCCGTTTATAGAGATCACGTATCGTCGCCAAAATGCCGTCTCCGATGCACCACCCCCAAGCCAAGTTCGATCCGATCCCCCCGGATCTCGACCTCCATGCACTTGTCGACAGGACCCCCAACTTCGACTGGGTCGTACGCATCTCCACCGCCCACATTAGGCGTCTAGGCCCCTCCGGTTTCGAGAAGTTGGTACAGCTTCACGTCATAGAGGGAGGTCGGCCGCTTGTCATCGAGGGGTGGAATAAGGTCCTACCCGAGAGACTATTCAGCGCCTCCTGGCTGGAGAGCGCGTACGACAAGAAGCGTAAGCTGTTCTGTCCTCCTTCTCTTCCCTCCTTCTCCCTCCCCCGCTTTCCTTGCCATGAAGGCCTATTTGGTGGTGTAGGGCCGGAACCGCGCGCTGGCCGTGGAAATGCTGATTATGATGGACAGAGGAAAATGTTCGCGATATCACTTCGCAAACCGATATTCCGATGACTATGGGTCATTATCTACGGTCGATGCGACAGCTGACAAATCAGTGGTCTCCTAACAACTTCCGCGATGAACGACGACAGCGTCTCTACCTGAAAGATATAGATTGCCCCCCTGAATGGTACAACCACCTAAAGAAGGTCATACCCCCGAATGTCTTCTACATGAACGAGAACGTTAGCGCGAACCCGGCCGCGGATGCTCGGAACGACGATATTTTCGGCGCCCCCGAGAAAACCTCCGCCGTCGCGGGTGATCTGATGAGTAGTCTCCCGGAGGAGATGCGCGCTCAGAATTTGATGTGCTACATCGGCCACGAAGGAACGTATACACCTGCGCACCGGGAGATGTGCGCAAGCTTGGGACAGAATATCATGGTCGAGGCCTCGGGGGATAAGGATGGAGAGAAGCCGGGTAGTTCTATTTGGTTCATGACCGAGACCAAGGAGCGTGAGGTCGTCCGCGAATACTTTCTCTCCATGCTCGGCCACGACATCGAGATTGAGAAACATTTCGCTCAAATTAACGCCTGGAAGAAGGCCAACTTTTCCGTCTATATCGTGGAGCAGAAAGTAGGCGACTTTATCTTGGTCCCCCCCCTAGCGCCTCACCAAGTTTGGAATCGTGGGACGAGAACAGTGAAGGTTGCGTGGAACAGGACGACTGTCGAAACTCTCGGCTTAGCCCTCAGTGAAGCCCTGCCGAAGGCACGACTCGTCTGCCGAGACGAACAGTACAAAAACAAGGCTATCATCTTTTACACCCTCGACAAGTATCATAAGGAACTCGAGTCCTTCGAGGAAAATACCGAGCTCGGTCTGCTAGCGCTCGGCCAAGAGTTTATGCAGAACTCATCGCGCGTGAGGCAGATGGCCAACGATTTCAGACACTTATTTCAGCTTTTCACGGAGATTCTAGTGGGCGAGATGTTTGGTCAGAAGCAGATGAATGTCGAGTACATCCCGTTCGACTCGAACATCACATGTTCGTATTGCCGGTCCAACATCTTCAATCGCTTCTTAACCTGCAAATGCTGTGTTCGCCAGCTGGTCAATGGCGATGAGGATACGTACGATATCTGCATGGAATGCTACGCCATGGGCCGCTCGTGCGTCTGCATCTCGGGCCTCCAGTGGTGCGAGCAGTGGAAATGGTCTGATCTCGTCGAGAGACATGAGACCTGGCGAGCGATGGTAATCAAGCAGGATGGATTCGTCGACATCAACCTGTCTCCCCAGCCTCTAGAGATCGCGCGAAAAAGATCTGGCAAGAAATCCGTGGCCCAGATTTGCCAGGACCAACTTCGGCGGCGACCCTGGAACGACATCACAAAGCCGCCTGAGCCTCACACCGAGGAGGAGGACGAACCCGAGGTCGATGACGAGGGCCGGGTTAAGAAGAAGCCCAGGTGGAGGAGGCGCAAGAAGAAGGGCGAGATCCACCGCTGCCATGTCTGTTGCCACAAGGAATACACGTATAAGCTGAGTTTTTGCACCACGTGCACGAACGCCTATTGCTACGGCGTCTTGTGGCGGGCGTTTGACATGATGCCGCAAGCAGTGATGGAGAAAGAGCACTGGCAATGTCCCAAATGCCTCCAAGTTTGCAATTGCGGGGCGTGTCGGCAGAGTGGAAATGGAAATCCATATCAACCAAAGAACACCCTCCTTGGGCACGACACACGTCCTATCGCGGACGACCGCAGCGTCGAGTCGATTGTCGACTTCCGACAACACAACCTTAATTGGCTGAAAGCCGCTGGAGAGGAGAACCGGAGCAAGGACACGAGACGGATGCAGCGACTGAAGCAGCAGGCAGATGCCGAAAAAGCCAAAGACCCGCTGGCGTCACTGGATGCCGCAGAGGATGCTCCTCACGAAATGGACTCGGCTCTCCAAGATTCGATTATGAATGGTTACGGCGATCAAAGCCACGCCCTGGGCACGGCTGCTGGGGCTATGCCTAATTACGAAAACGACCAGCCACCTCCTGTCGAAGCTCCAGCCAACGAAAAGCCGCCCGATGGCCACATCGAGAGCGCCGACGTATCCGCCTTGCAGAATGACGAAGGCGACTCGGTCTACCCAGATCTTTCCGAATATCCCGACCCGTCGATGATGGCTGGCAGACGAATGATGGGCATGGGATTCTACGACCAAGATGAGAGTGCTGATAAGATTCTGTTTGAGTCTTTCCAGATGCCGTCTGCTGAGTCCATAAACAATGAGCCTGAAATTTCCGACTTTGTCAAGAAAACACTTCGACTAGCGAAAAGAAAGGCGAGACTAGAGACAGATCAAGATCCAGACTTCAGGGGACCCAAGAGTCATTTTCGCAAAAAGCCTAGGGTCGGAAACATCGACCAATTTGACAACTTGGACCCAGCCCTGCTTGGTGTCGTTGGCGAGATTATCTCTACCCCGACAGGGGCTGCTCCTGGCAGCGAATTAAATGGAAACCCCCAGCAGTCGGTCGACGGCGCCGTCGAGGAACAGGCACATAACGAGGAGGTTCCACCAAATTCTCCTCCCAAGCAGAGCAAGTCGACTCTCCCCGTGGACCCCCTACGACCTACCCTGCGGCATGCTAAGCCGAAGACATCATATGTGGAAGCCGAGGATCCCGTAGAAGACCTAGAGGACGCCGTTCCGGTTGATTCGCTGCAAATTTTTGGGCCCGAAAACGAGGATGGCGTCCCGGAGGACGCTAACCCTGTAGACCTTGCGGCGGACGCAATCCGCGCCTTGACCCAGCGTCCTAAGGATACCGAGACACCAGCAGTCGCAACCGCGACGCCGAAATCTACCGGCAAACGACGAGGTCGGCCACCCCGAAGTTCTCTTGGCATAACTAGCGCTCCGTCGTCAGGCAGGAGACCCGGCCGCCCTCCTGGACGACCTAGAAAGTCTCTCCCCAACGATGCCACAGATGGCGATGTCGCTACCGCAGAGGGTGCCGACAACTCTAATGTGACGGTTGACGAGCTCGAGGCTCAACTCGCGCAAGAATTAGGTGACGACCCAGACCGAGATATGGAGACACGATCGCCAGCGACCCCATCTCGCGGAGGTTTGGTGAAAAGAAGAGGCCGGCCCCCGGGAAGGCCCCGCACTAAATCGCTGGCACGGCCTCCTTCCGACCCAGAGCCGTTGCCGGACATACGATTCATGTCTATGAGGGAACGGGCCGCGATGAGAGGTCGGAAGATTAGAATAAGCTCTCGAAAGACAAGAGCCGAGCAGTCCGGAAGCCCTGCTACGACTTCGGCAAGAGAGGCACCAAAGGAAGCCTCTACTGCCACAACCGAAGGTAGTATAGACAAACCAGCAGATGATGTCAACGGCGAGGAGGAAAGTGTGTCTAGCCCTAAGCGAGGCCGGAAGGAATTAGATGACGACGATTTCGAGCCCGGTGACGCGGCCGCTTCTCCTGCACCGAGCTCTCTACCAGAACAAGACGGGTCGGGACGCCGACCCACAAGGCGGTCGAGTGGCCCTACCGTCGTTAGACTCTCGATCTCGGATTCCGGTGACAGTGATTCATCGCAGTCGGACGATTCTGGCGACGACCATCCCTCTAGGAAGCGCTTTGTTGCATCGCGCGGCCGGGGAAGGGGTAGAGGAAGGGGACGAGGAGGGAGAGGCAGAGCGAGTATGCGTGGCCGGGGCTAGTCGAGCCACTACGGAATGCACCGGGTTTCTCAGTCTTCTTTTTTTTTTTTATTCAAGTTGGCAGTACAGCCAAACAGGCAAGCTCGCCAACAACCATGTAAATTCCCCGCGTTACTGCTACACATGGATAATTAGTCGATCTTGCTTCCATTGTCAAAAATTCACCTCAAGTACAACCAAGGATCTGTCGCGTCAAAAGCGAGCCGGGTATGGTGATGGATGCGTAGGAATGCGCCTGTTCGCTCGTACCGTAGTGTATTGCCTGCCTCAAGTGTCACTTATACTAGGTGTAGGTATAGATTGTTCGAAACTTGTGACCACGCACGCGCCTTGGGGGGAGGGGGGTGACAGCCAACCCCTATTTACTCCACGACACGAAGCCGGCTACCGCAAGCGAGTGTTTCGGGTTAGAAAGCGTCGAGGCCCGCTGGCATGTTTCGGGACATTCTGCTCGTGAATGGCAACTCGTCATTGCCGTGTTTTGTCGCGGCGTGTCACGGGAGGAGAGGGGGAGGAGGGTCAAATAGGGGTTATGACGCCCTTTCGTGTGCGGTAGCTGCGATAGCCCTCTCTGTTTAGGAATGCGGATATGTAGACGTAGGAATGGCAACTTGTGGGGAGACGATTCGTAAGCTGGCTATCTAGGCTGCTGTATCTCATCAGTGAGCGATAGGGCGAAGGTGCCTGGATATGTAGTTCCTGGTTAGGGTTAGTTGTTTAGTGATACGTACGACTTCACGGCGACGAGGGCTCGGGGGGCTTGCCTTCTAGCCGAACTCCGGCTTCACTACATATTATCCCATTGAGCTTCTATACGGTCTCCCGAGCTCTTGTTGATATAGCAGCCAGATGCGAAGACAGCCATTAATTATACAGGCATCTCTTCTCTCCTCCCGTCGCCATTTAATCTTCCTGTATCTTTCACAAGGCGGCTCTTGAATCGAACCGTCGGCTTGCCGTGAAAGGACGGATGAGGTAAAACATGACATGTTCCCATCACATGGACTTATAAGAATAGAGTAAATCGCCGTAGAGCGAGCGAGCTTCTAAGCTATTATTCTTGCAGTGATAGATAGCCGCCTCGCGCCACCTCCGGATAATTCTAACTCGGTAGAGAGCCTCCGCACCGCAGAACCAATTCGCCATGTTTAGGTACGCGTGAAACCCATTCCCTACAATCGCTCGTTGTATCGCTGTGGTGAGGTTGCTAAGACGCGATGTAAAAATACGTCCATCCTCGAGGAAGCCCCCTATGGCATACTCTAAAAAAGGCAGATGCTGTCAAAGACCTGGCAGTTTCAGTATTTCGACGTACTGATCATCATTTGTAGCTAATGTGGAACGAGATCTCTAGAGCGCCGATAACTCGACTTATATCTTAGTGTGTGGGATCGACGTCCGGGGTCTTGCCTGGCACCTCGAAACCCCGTTTCCGGGGCCTCCCCTCCTTCGGCCGCGGGGGAGGGGACAGCGCCTACTTAGTCGGGGGCCTGGCGCTCGGCTGGGCTGAAGACAGCTAATTATACGGGAAGCTATCGACCTTGTGATATTCCTGTGGGCATGTAGACTCTTGAACGGCCCCAATCAATATCAGCCCCTGAAAGGGGTCCGCTCTCGAAGGATCGCTCGGGGCGCACTAGAGGTGCTAGGCTGGGTTATTGTATCGTTGTTGAAGAATATGGTATCACTGACCTGACTACGGAGATTTTTCCTTTAAGGGGGGTTTTTTTTCAGTCGAGTCCCGTTCTCTACCTCACGGTTCTTTTCTGGAATGCCGAGGAGCACTTGGGCTCCATGTGGGCGCAAGCAGGCCTTGCACAGGAGAACGTGTTGTAGAATTTCCTCCCACGGCCTCGGGCTCGGTCTTTCTTTTAGGCTGGGGAGTATACAAAAGTGCGTGGGTGTCCTCGGTAACGCACCCGAATGGCCTCTTTTACGAGTTCTGTCGTCGCCGTAGATTGTGACGAGGTAACGAAGATGGCGTGATCTCGCCACCCAGGCGTCTGCCATTAATCTCGCTACCTCTCAGACCAGAGACGGAACCCCTTTTCGACAGAGAGGCTCCTGGCGGCGGCGGTATCCGCCACGCGTCGCACGCCCAAGCCGAAAGTGATATGTGATATTTTTATGGTACCGCGGGTGAGAATAGGTGGGTTCACTTCGGTCTCATATGAACCAGGATTCTGGGATTAAGTCTCTCGCCGCAGCACGTGGACATCCACGAACACAGGAGCGAAGTTATGCTCCTTGCGCAGCGGAAGAGACATGCGGGTAAGAAGGCCAACATGGATAGAATATGGACTGATCCGGCTTCGCCGTGACCTTGTTCGCAATTTAGGGCCCATGGCGATGGCTCTCTATCTTATATCATGGCAGCGAAAACGGTGGGAAGCACCGAACCTAGGCCCGGATCTGACTTGGAAACTACCTACGCGCGCGAGCCCGAGTGTCCGAAATGCCGGGTGGTGCTGATGAGAAAGGACTCATGGGATAGTACATAGGTATGATAAGTATTAGGTATATCTCAGGTCTATCTCTCCTCCTACTTCGCTATGTGGTCATTTGCCCCTGGAATACCTCGTCTGTATCTTACTATGTAGAGATAGGGGGATCCCTCTCTAGGAACCTTGGGCTATACGTGAGATGATAATGAGATGCAACGGGTTCAAGAAGGCAACTAGAATATGTAGTTCGCTAGCTCAGGTCATAGTAGAGACGATATGCCCCCGTGGAATCTGAGTAGGGTCTCAAGGAGCCCTCCCGCAGCCGGGAGGCGCCCTGCAAACAAACACCTACCTAAAATTCACGAAGGTCTCTGCTAGGTCGGCCCTACTTGGTGGTGGCTTACCATCTGCCGTCTTCGGGAGGCTTGGTTTGCAGCGGGAATCCCGAGAAGCTTCTGGTGCGATGTTGGCTCCTTGGACTCCTTTAGACTCGGCATACCCCCTTCTCAATGCATCGTTATCGGCAACCAGATGTTCGTGTTAAATCACTTCGTCGTAGAGCTAACCAAAGCTTGTGGCTCGCGCAGCAGGCTGTAGCAGTGTCGTAGCAGCGACGTCGCGCTGCGTGAAGGGAAGCCCCCCCGTAGAGGGCGCGGCAGCATGTGAAGGAGGCACCATCGCTCACCGAAATGACGCTTCCCAGGACGTGCTCAGTCGAGTTTGGTTCGGGTCGTATGTTCTAGCCTCGCGACGACTTCTGCAGTTGGGACATTTTTCTCCTTTCTCCTCCTCTCCCACCGACACCCTCTCCCCACGTCGTCGTCTCGGGTTTTTCTTCTCTTCCGCATGGACCTTGGCGAGCCTAGCATCCAGCATAGTCCGACTTATGGCGACGGCTCTATAACGGCTCTAGGCAAGTTATGTAGCCGCTAGTCCGCTCCCGCGCGTCTAGTGGTTATACTATGTGTTAGCCCTCAGTATGTGCTCACGCAAGTGGGTTGGCGAGAGGGCTAACGGGGTTTACTATCGGATTCCGAGGTCCGCACACCTAGCAAGTAATCTCCACGACCCTCGCGGTAATATATGGCTAGGTCGTGATGTACCTGTCGGTGGCTCACGACAACCCACCGCCTGCGCATTCCTTGTTTTTTTGTTAGATACACGTTTCTAACCGTTCTCACGCTCTACTTCGGCACTACGGGTAGAGGCGGACATACACTGTAGAAGCGGTTTGTTTGCTCGATAAGGTGGACGGGTGTAGGCTGTATTTAATATAGATCGGGATTTGCTCGTCGGCATCGTTTCGTGCCTGTGGCATCGGCCACTTCTCTAGGAGGCGAGCCGGTCGGCATTAGTTAGAGGGCGGCCTGATATGCCAACGGCGCAGCGGCATGTTCCATGGGCTTCTTCGTCTTGATCGTCTCCAAGCTAGATACCGAACAAAGAGACCCTACGAAGTAGCATTGCGATGTAGCACTGCCGCTAGGCAGCTACACTCTCACCTGCTGTGCCGACGCCTGTCATGGCAGGGAGGGCGCAGGACGGCGGAGGCCCCTACTGCAGGGGGAGGAAACGCGTGGATGCGGTTCCTGAATCCTGCGGACAACGTAGACGCATAACGATGATGCTACGTCGACATAGCGATGCCGACATGTACGGACATGGGGATATGTGCGTACGGCGTAGTGAGCAGAGAAGAGGCTTGGGCGAGAGAAGCGATGTCGTATTGTGAGGTTCGTGGCGGTGGTGATGCCGGCTCGACCCAGCTGAATGCGCGGACCAGGGCTGGGACCTGGTAGATGCCTCCTACTAATAGGTACCTAGGTACCTGTGTGGGCGCCTTGCGGCCTCAGGCGTTAAATCACCAGCCTTAGTACCCAAGCGTTTGCTCAGCTTCCGTTCGGTTCGGTACGGACCTATTCACGATATCTATCTACCTACCCGCAACCCTAGTCAATTATGCCCATCGTCAACTCTCTCCAGCAAGTCCCTACCTACTCATACATGTTGCACGGACACGGCTGTTATATCTACAATTCCTCCTGTCCTCAGTCCCCAGGTACCTACCTAATTATGTTTACCCGGTCACCCGTCTGCGCCGGCTCGGCCAAGGACGCCCAGAAGTAGCCCCTTTCGGTAACGATTCCCGAAGCCACCTCTGTAGCACTCTACACCTACCCATCTCGGCCTCGACTGTGCACCGCCTAACGTATGAGGTTAGGTGGTGAACATGCGGATTCTAGTGGCTCGCAGTAGCGGTCGTAGAGAGTCGATCGATCTGTATTGGTATGTCTCAGAACAAGGCACCTATAGATGAGATGGGGAGACTAGGAGATGGAATTAAGGAAGATGGGGCCAAGGAAGACGGGGCTAAGGAAGACGGGGAAGACGGTTTTATTAGCAGCTTGGCGGCATCTCGTCGCGAGTGTGTACCTAGGCAGATAAGCACATGCCCACATGCCTGTCTGCTACCGTGGTGGTCGCGAATCCCAGGGCCGGGGACCGTTGCCGTGCCTGCTTGCTTGCTTGCTTGCTCTTAGTGCTGACGAGTGCCGCAAATCTGTCCCTCTGGAGTCTCGGATATCTGTATATACCGAACTTGCCTACCTATCTATCTACCCACACACTGGTAGGCATATATGGAGACTCGAACCCTTCCCTCTTCATCCCTGTATGTTGATTCTCTCCTCTGTCCCCGAGTCGAATCCCCTCTTCGCTAGATGCGAAGAGCCCACACGTCCGGGCGCGGGGCGGCCTGGTTGGCTTGTCAAACTCGAGAGGCGGTTCTGGGCGCATATCTGCACCCTCACCTACCTACTACGTAGGTATGTATGCGATGTTATGCAAGCCCTGTATAGGGGGGCGTGCGTTGGTGAGGTCGGATCGTGGCTCAGCACCGACAGTCTGGCAGGGGGGATCAAGAGGCTGGGATCCATGGGCGAGCACTTTTCTACTACTGCCTACTGCGTACTAGTTAATGAGCCCATCGTCAGATATGCGTATCATGTTCATTACTTTGATGCGTTGGGAGGGATAGCGAGATAATACGCGGACGATCCCGACCAATCTCCCACCCCAGTACCTTATCTAATGGCCAACTCTATCGTTCGCTCTTGATTTTCACAAGGTCTAGGTTGATGCGGACTGGGCCGCCCTAGGCGAAGAAGGGTTGTGGAATTTCCACGACCGTGGAGATGCTGCTAGTGAAGTAGCGGATATTTTGCTCTAGTCGATGTCACGATAGACGGAACTCTGATGTTCGCCAGTGTCCACGTCCCTGCTCAAGAGAGTCGGCCGTGTGTCGGGCGTGTTATTACCTAGGTATACGGGGGGGGCTTTGCTTTTGGATCGTCACCGGGGTCTTTCTTCCTGTCCGCCCTACGACATCGGGCCCTCAGCTGCTCTCGTCGCAACCTCTTCCGCCCCTCATGGCGAGCAGTGTCTGTGTCCCATCGGCAAGGGGCTTTTGTCCGAAGTTACATACCTAGTAGAGCCCTGGGCTATGGAAGGGCGAAACGGAAACGAGGGGGGGTGGGGGTCCTTTGGGCGGACCGTGTCAGCCGTCGGCGCCTTGGTCTTCCACTATTGATGGGACCAACCATCGCGCTTATTAATGAGCCGTAGTTGAGGACGGTGTTCTCTGTCGTTTCTCGACGTCATCATATCACATAGGTACGGACGGCTCCCGGCTTGTTACTCCATTCGTCATATCATCCATTAGCCGTCATCCGAGTACTGTCTCCTTGCCCGCTTCCTAGGCACCTGAAGGCAGAATTGAAGTTGATTCTGCCAGAGATTGACGCCGTTAGGCTCTCGAGACGGCAACACACATTCACACCGCGGCTGTCTCAGTCGAGGTATCTGCACACAAGTTCATATCTCGGGAATAGATGTCGTAAGAGCATACTAGTAGACAATCCCTTACTATTGTTTTGTCTAGGCACAAACTTTTCCAACGCCGTCGGTTGCTATTGTAAATACATGATATATACGGCAGCTCACAGCGAGCCGTTACTCGACACTTTCGAATGGGCCGTGCGATTGTCTTGCTTGCTAGCCGTCCCCCCCCGTGCGTAGTCGTCCTCGGTGGAAACGACAAACTGCGTAGTTCGCATGATGCCGGTCCCCGTGAGAATCTCTTCGTCCGAGTCCTGGGCTGACCGAATCTCCGTGCGAACTCGGCGGCTGCCCATCTCTTTCAAGGCAATATTGCTCTCGGGCCCGTCCGTAGTTCTGATATAGCCCTGCTGCTGCGCGTGCGACGCGCCGCTGTATTTGTGTTGCGCGTAGTAGGAGCCATTGCCCGACGACTTGAGGTGAGGCATCCAACGCCGGATGAGCGGCCACAGAGCCGGGGCCGACGCCGTGAGAATCGCGAGGTTGCACTCTATAGATGAGACGCAGAAACCGAGAGAGAAGTTCTTATCGGGACTCGTGTCGTGAAAATTCTGGGCGAGGAAGTATAGACGGACCACGCTCACCACCGTCACGCTGTGGGGTGAGTTTCATTAGCATCTTGCGCGGCGTTAGAGAATGGCGGCTACTCACATGATACCTAACATGAAGACGCCGATCAACGCGATCTTCCTATTCTTATTGATTTGCAGGCCGAGGAAGATGTAGAACGGCAGAGCGACGGCGACAACATCCGTTAGAATCGTCAGACATGCCGCCGCGACGCCGAATTTGAACTGCTCAAAACAGTACCCGTCGATCATAGGACGCCAATTCTTCTCGATGGGCAAGCATTGAAAGATGACGGCGAAGAAGATGGCCACCATCAACAGCGTGTTGAAGATGATGGTGCCCCAGACCACATACCGAACGCCGGACTTCACTCCGGAGAAGCGGAGCAGGAAGACGAGGACGGACTGCTTCACTAGGGTCAAGATGGGCTGGTAGACGGCACCCACGACGTAGATCCAAATAAGCCCGTCAGTGGGGTCGAAGGGCATGGGAACATCGTAGTAGTGAATTCCGATGAAGAGCAATTTCATAACTGGGCGTCGTCAGCTTCAGTTGGAATCGCCGCCAGACGATAACTCGGGGGGGTTCGCGGAAACCCCATACCTTGAATTGAGCCCACTGCCAGAGCAATGCTCAGCACCATCGACGCCACGATGAGGCCATCATCTACAACGGATAACCGCGTTAGCAACTAGTTCCTTTGCGCGAGTCTTCGATTCTGCGGTTCTCACTCACCCCAACCAAAGCTCTTCGTATCAATCCTGATATAAACCCTCAACAAGACCACTATCAACGCCAGCGCAGGGCATACCACCTCGATGGCAATGCCCAAGTCTTGAAGCCAACTCGTCGGGTTAGGGTTGGTTGGTGCTGATGGGAGAGCTTGACCGCCGTCTGACATGGTGGGCAATCACCAGAGCATCTGTGCTGTGCGTATCTAGATAAGCTTAGTAGTCTATCCCTAGGATGCTTCGACCGAAGCAGTAGAAGATCGTCGTCGAAGATGCGATCAGGTCATACATATACTCATATGTTTCGACTCTTAGAGATCGCATCAGGCTGAAAGACTTGGAAACCCAGGGGTTGACGAGTTGCATTGTAACATTGTCCAGGGTAACGGGGTCAAAACATCTTGTCAAGCCTGCGTACCTACTGAAATTTCAAGATGGACGTCTGCTCTCAGGTAACTTGGCAACATATCGAGAGCGGGAGAGATGCTGGGGCACACGATCTTTTCTCTCGCCTTAACAGGAAACGTCTAGCCACATGGATTCCCCAGTCTCGACCTAAATCCTCTAGGGCCCAACGTTCCGAAACTGGATCCTTCGTGACTAGGCTGGCTTGGCTTCCAGAAAGCCACTCGCACGAGTTCACCACTACGTTCTAATACAGTTTCAGTCAAAGCCCTACATGGTAGGTAGGTAATGTCAGTTGTGTCCCCTACGGCTTGTCGGCCGAGTACGCAGCAGTGACAGCAGCGAGGACGTCTGCTAAGAACCGTTATGCGAGTTAGAGTGCTTTTTTTCCTCCTCATCGCGTCTTGTCTTCACCCACCTCTCTAGCAACCTCCGTCCCCCCCCCCATTCCCCAACACAGGACCTGATTACGTAGGTATTCTCTATAGGAAGCCTTTACTACGGTGGTATTGTACCTGCATACCCGATGACTTTGCTCGGACTATCTCTTAGCACATTTGGGGATAGGACCTCTTACTCCATGCGTATTCGAGAGCCTTCGAAGGTCAGCCTCCTTGGTCCGAGCCTTGAGGGTCTCTCTCCCTCCCTCGCTCTCTCTATCTCTGCATGTATTCACCACGCTTCAAGGCTCCTATCGCGTCAAAGATTCTAAGCAAGGGTGTCAGTAAATTATGCTATCCCTTTTCAATTTTCGCAACCCAGCCCATCACATGCGGCTTGCAGCATGTACCTGATGCTGCCTTCGCAACCATTCTTTCCCCTCTTTCACCATCACGCTGCCTACGTCGATCGATATGACCAGGGAACGGTCCCTACTCTTCATGGCTGATTCGAAGCCTCATCCCCCCTCATAAGAGAGCGATAGATGGGAATAGGGTAGGTTTTCTTACCATCCCTCGACAGTCTACCCATCCCGCTTATTAGCCGTGATATGATGCCGTATTTCGTTTCGACTTGCCCTAAAAACTGACGGACCGCAGGAACGCTGCATCCGTGAGGTAATATATGCCGGGCTAGGAGCGCCACTCGAATGGCTATAATAGCGCCCGAGGTTATACCATTTCTAGGAAGAGGCTATTTACGACATAGGAGTACTCCTGGGGCCAGCTGGAGAAGATGGGTTGGGTACTTAAGCCGTCGACACCCCCGTCGTTTTCCCACAGTTGGTTGGTTAAGTTGATCGACCGGTCCCAAGCACATAAAATTCTCTGTACGCACCTAGAGTTGGTTGCCTCCAACTGCAGAATCCTCCGGCAGGTCGCTAATTTGCCAGGTTTAGGTGATTCGAAGAGGAATACTACGCTGTGGTGTGTGGTGTGGTAGAGAGGAGCCGAGAAAGGACCAACACCCGGCTGGTCTGCCGACAGCTGGTCTGTTTGAGCAAGCGGGGGCAACTATCCAGGCTTGGGCAGGGCAGCAGTTTAGCCTCCCATGAAGCTATGCATATCCTTGCCAAATTAGCAATAACAGCCCCGTCTCCATAACCCGGCGTTCCGGAACGGAAGGTCGACCCCCTACAAAGAAGCTGGCTAACCCCTAGTTGAGACTCGAACAAAAATGGCGTCGTCCTAAACAGGCGCCGGGCTCTCGACGGACTCCCGACCTGGTTCAGAACTACTATGCTCGGTTTGGGGTAGTTCGATGGGACCTATGGGATTGGATGGGACCCTAAGCTTAGTGTGTTCCTATTAAGATGCCCTGATCGAACAACACGAGATTGCAGAGGACTCTTTGGGTATGCGCAGACGCGCAACCCGAGCTCTCGGTTGCCCCTGAGAAATAGCGCGTGCCATGTGGGATAATATCGTGTATGCTATACCATCATATAGTCCAGAGTTGAATGAGAGATGGATTACCCTATAAACTATTGATACTTAGCGTGTTAGCAGCAGAGAATCCACGTGGCAGGCAAGGAATAACAGTGTCTTTGACAGCCTTTATAAGATAGTTGCACGCAAGGCCGATCCTTTGGAATCTCCCCCCCGAGTTCCTCAGCCATTGAGATCATTCAAGGACGTGTTTATCCGGCGGCTAGGTTTGTCCTTTCCTTCAAACTGCATTCTAGCCTATTACCACGTCCCTCCTCATGGCGCGTCTCGCATTCCTTGCGGCTCTGTCGCTAGCCAACTTAGCGCTCGGCCAGACGATCGAAGATGGTGCCGGTTCGCCAACCTCCCCCTCCCCTCCTCCCCTCTGCTTGACACATGCTCTGCATCATGACACGCGTGGACGTGATGATGGAGTGATGCATAGGGTTAGGCTCACCAATTACTTCATATAGTGGCCACCGAGCAGAATGTGGCCCCGGCCGTTGAGACGGTGGATATCGATGCTGCTTCGTCAGGCATCGGGTATTTCCCATACGAGTCAAGCCAGCTCACCGGTGATGTCATCGCCAACTTGACAAACTACAACCTCAGCGACATCGAGCTCTTCGATTTTGGCGGGGCAGAAGAAGAGGCACCGGCCCAAAAGCGCGCCGCGCGTGTCTGCAAAACCTATCCGGGAGACAGGAACTGGCCGTCTCCCCCGGCGTGGACCCTCCTCCGGATCCTGCTCGGAGGCTCTCTGATCGAGGGTGTACCGGCCGCGGCACCGTGCTACTCCAACTGGCCCCAGTATAACCAGGCCAAGTGCGCCGAGATCACTTCCAAGTGGCAGACTCCCCAATTCCAGTAAGTCTCTTCTCTCTCGTTGCTCACTCCATAGACTAGTTTCCCTCTGACCCCATCTAGACTCGCGGAGCCCCTCGGTATACAATATTACGTCTTTGAGGGTGTGAGCTGCCTGCCGCCCAGCCTTACCCGGACGGGGGCCAAGTGTACCCTCGGAGGCTTGCCGTCGTACGTCGTCAGGGCGACGAACGTAGCACAGATCCAACTCGCCGTCAACTTCGCCCGCAACTCTAACCTTCGACTCATCGTCAAGAACAAGGGCCATGACTTCAAGGCCAAATCCACTGGTGCTGGAGCCCTCTCCATCTGGACCAATGGTCTTCAGGGCATCCAGTACCTCGGTGCTACATACACCCACAAGGCTTCCTGCTACAGGGGACCAGCGTTCAAGATCGGGGCCGGCGTTCAGGCTTCAGCTCTCTACTCCGCTGCCGATAGGCTAGGCCTCCACATCGTCGGCGGTAACACTCGCGTACGTATAATCGCCCTCGGGCAACATAACAGTGTGCACATGCTAACCGTAGCTGTGCTTAGACTGTCGGCATCGGCGGCGGCTACATCGCAGGCGGTGGTCATTCTCCCCTTCAATCCTTGTACGGAATGGCAGCCGACCAGGTCCTGTCCATGGAGGTTGTCCTACCTAACGGCCGGTTCGTATCTGTCGATGCAAAGCACTACCCCGATCTATTCTTCGCCCTCCGTGGCGGCGGCGGAAGCACCTGGGGTATCGTCACCTCCCTCGTTATCCGTGCCTACCCGAAGACGCAGGTCACCACGCTCACCTACAGCTTTGCTGCGAGCGCCGAAGTCCCGAAGGAGACCTTCTGGAAGGGCGTCGATGCCGTATTCGCCAAGTTCCCTCAGTATGCCGACAAGGGAATGTACAGCTACTGGTCTATCAACTGCATTTTCGACTGCTCCTTTTCCATGGCTCCCCAGTGGGGCAATGATTTGAACGTCAACGCCCTCAAGACTCTGTCTGCCCCCCTCTTTAGCGAACTCTCCGCTCTCGGAATCAACGTCACCGACGCCACGTACAAGAACTACGACGGTGTGCTGAAGGGCATCGAGGGCACTTGGCCCGCCGAGAGCGAGCAGGGCGGCGTCTGGAACTTCAACACCGGGTCGCGACTGTTCCCGCGCTCCAACTGGGAGGACCCGGCCAAGTTGGCAGCCCAGACGGCAGCCCTTCGGCAGGGTGTCGAGAAGGCCGGCCTGATGCTCGGGTACAACTTCAAGGCGGCTGTCAACCCCTCGATCAACCAGACCAACGCCGTCAACCCGGCGTGGCGCGACACCTTGCTGCACGCGTTGCTGGGCGCCACCTGGAGCCAAGAGGCTACGCCGCAGGAGATTGCTACCGCGAACAAGAATCTCGTCGAGACGATGCAGCCCTGGCGAGAGGCGTCCCCGAATTCCGGAGCGTACCTCAACGAGGCCGACATCAACGAGCCGAACTGGCAGCAGGCCTTCTACGGATCCCATTACGCCTACTTGTACCAGCTCAAGCAGAAGTACGACCCCTGGGGTCTCTTGTGGGCGCCGACGGCGGTTGGTTCCGAGGACTGGTACGTTACCGGCCAGATCGACTACTACCCTACACAGAACGGAAAACTCTGTCCCAAATAAGAGCGGCAAATATACCCCGGGCAGGTGACGATTTGTGAGATAGAGGACATTAATCACGATACCATGGTAGCGCAAAGGGACTAAGCTTCGGAGCCGGCGGTTTTTTGGACACTTGAGTCACGGGTCTCCTGTACATATATTGTACCTCTGGCATTTTACTCACACGCATAATATCTTAGATGCGCATATAGACCTTATATTAATGAAAGATCCTAGGGGTTGGATATGCGGCATTCGATCACCAAGCCGTACGCGTACGTAGACTTGGTGGTTTCATGCCGATAACAATCCCATGGTTCTCTATACTGTCCCGAGCATAAAGAAGGCAAGGAGAGCTGGCTGCTACCTCTGCTGTTGAACCTATACTAAAATATGTCCGAGAACACCCCTTGTGGTCGAACACAGTCAGGAGACTACGTTGTTACATAACGATACGTTTGTTATTGACATGGAAGTTTATAAAGACAGTCCGGATCCGCGGCCCCGGAGCAGCTGAAGATGGCTCTAAGAAGTAGTCCGTGTTTGCATGAGAATCATGTGAACACCTGCGTTTGAGGCCAGACGCCCTTTGTTTCCAAGCATGTCTGGCCAAGAATCCCCTGTTGATCAACTATTACCCGCAATAGAACCCGGAGATCCCCACCGGCGCTGGAATAACAACGTTTATCAGCGGTGTCACGGCTGCTTGAGACGCACCCCAGATAGAAGGCATGCTAGATGTGTCCGGCCTACGCCCGGCCACGGGTGCCGCCACTGCAAGTCGGTAGGTCTTGTCTGCCTCTGGGAAGGGTTTCTCTTGCCTCCGGTCCCGGGTAAAGTAAAGCGCACAAGACCGACGCCGTGCGATAACTGTCGGGAAATCCAGGCGGCATGCGATTTTGGACGCCCATGTCTTCGGTGTGCACAATCGAATCAACATTGTGTGGGTGGCAGCATGACTAACTGCTTCCACCGAGGTACCCACAGCGACCAGTTCTATGGTTATTTCCTCAACCTCGGTTTCGGAGCGAGTGGGATCGATGATCCAAATACCGTCAAGCTCTGGTCCCAACCGCCTGACTATCACCTACAGTACCAGCAGTGGCTATTGTGGCAGAATAAGGACAATGGACTGAAGTCGGTTCTCTATCAAGAATATCTGACGGTAATTCGACTCACGCGAGATGTCATGTTGCGGGGAGTGTCACTAAATCTGGCCAGTATCATGGCACAACTGAGGCAGGATTACGAGGCCGGTGTCCTGGTAAACAAGTCTCAAGCTTGCCGGGATATTCATATGTATCTCTACCGAGAGAGCGTAGTGTTCCCGATATTTGACAACCCCGTCATGGAAGTGGCACCTGTCAGTATTCCCGAGGGGACCAAAATGGACATCTTAGAATGCCGAGCCTTAAACCCGAGCCCAGACGCCGAGCTCTCGTTCCTGGCGCCGTTGCGGAACGTAGCAAAGACGCCGATCGGTCGCCCCAGGTTGCCCGGCCCGGCACGACCGATTTACTGGGTACCTTGGGAACTAGATCCTGAGCAACTCCCGGTAATGCCTAACGGCCATCTGTACCCCCCGAACCACCCGAACATCGTCGACGTGGACCATCTCAAAAGGCCGCTACCCCCGCACCCGAACGAGAGCGGCGAGTCGGAGTTGTCGTCTATCCCGTACAACCGTATCTGGGACGACGGCGAGATGTATGAGGCGGACCACAGATGCCGGGTATCTTCGCAGACGGGTGAGGAATGCGGGAACCTGACGCGACGTGGCTGCGAAGATACGACCCACACTGGGCAGGGAATGCCGATATGCGACGCGTGCGAGGAGAAAAGCCGAATGGCATTCGCGCAGAGATTCGTGCACCTACTTGCACACCTCCGGGCGCATTTCTGTACGGCATGCGTGAATCAGGACCTGGTCACGCTCTTCACCGGCGCCGGCCACTCGATCTGGTTCGACTGGATGGCCTTCGGGGCGGCGTCGTCGCTCGACTTCTCGGCCCAGACACTAGTCGGCACAGGGTACACGAAGCGCGTGGGCGATTACATGGGCAACCCCCTCGACATGACCGGCTGCTCTTGCGCCGTCCTCTTTCTTGGGAGGCGCCTCTGCAACCCGCACCGGCTTGCCTATCTGATAAAAATGCAGCAGGCCGCGGACAACATGAGGGCGTACTGCAAGAACTTGTACGGGCGAATGGTCTGCCCGGCTTGTCGGATCCGGCCGGGCATGGATAGGTTTATGTTTCGGGGCCCCGATGGCGGCTCCGAAACCCCCATTCGGGTCTACGGCTGCTTGAACTGCCACCAGTTCGTATTTTCTAATAACCCCGCCTCAGCGACCGAGTTCTCCATGTCGAACCTCAACTCTCCGACAGCACCGCCGCCGTATACGCCCCGTCAGCACGAAAGGGACGAGAGGGTCCTGATCAGGACGCGACGTGGCGCGGTTTTGCTGAGGAAACGAGCGTCATTTGATGAGATGGAGTAGGCTCTGGGTCAGTGGCTAGGGGCCTCGCTGTTGCTCCTTCGACATCGCGATAGGTAAGAAATCGAGTCTGGCACGATAGTAGTCTTGGTTCTAGGTGTCAAATCCACCCACCACGCGTCCCTACGGAGAAAGCATGAGTGCCGACGACGCCGCGTAGTTTGTCTTGGTGTGCTAGTAGGTAGATATTTATCGACTGTTTATCGAGAAGACGGCATCTTGCGTGATAGATAGATTCGTAGATAGATTCGTAGCCAGACTCCGACTCTTGTCAGCCCACCTGCGCCTGGTGTTAGCTCAGCTGAGCATAGCAACACGAGATAGGTATCTTAGACAGTTATAATTAGTTCAGCAACTGCTTGTCGAGGCGGTGTTGCAGACTTTGACCTCTTCCCGTTCAGATTTCTAGCTGGTTGATTCTCGTAAGCTGTACGTGTAATGCGATAGGTAGGTACGTAACCGCGCCCGGAGGTTATATACCAGGTACCTAAGGTACCCATGAATTAATGTACCTAGGTACCTGCCTATTCGTTTAAACTTGCCGCACATGGGCAGCTGGTAGTCGTTCTTGGCGTAGCGTGTTTACAGCTGCATCCAGCTGATGATTCTGGCTCTCGCCCCTCGGTCACGGCCAAGTTTTGCAACCCCGGCTTATCTGTGATTTCTCTCGTGACAGGCCAGGAGACGAGTCAGTAGTGGTATTAAGCAGATAGCATTGCTAAGAGGCGAAATGGCCGCGGCGGGGATTCCATACGGATGATAGGCAAGTATATGCGCCTCGCTGTTCTTAGCGGTAGGACATGTGCCCAAGGCAGCGATCGGCAGATGGCAGGGCAATCGAGAGAACTGGGTAACGGCCGTCTTGTAACCTGGGTATCACACACCAGGAGGGTAGAGGTACCTATAGAACAGCGAGTTCTACGAACACCTACCTGATGTAGAAAACCACAACAATACAACATTTTCACTACCTCCAAAAATATCTTTTCATCACCCCCATCGTCCGGCGTTCCTCTCTGCGGGCACACGCTACACAATGAGAGCTTCCGCCGGAGCAACGAGGGCCAACCGGCACCCCCCGCTCATAGCCGGCACCGTCTCAACCCATCCCATCACTCGGCTACAAGCTCGTAGAGTGCTGACTTTCTGACATCGCACATACCTACAGACACATATGGGAATGCGATGGGGCGCAGCCAACATGTCTACCCTGCAAGGTAACCCGTCGGTGTTACCCTGAAATCGGCACCGTTCTCTTGACGAGCGACGCGCGAGGGCCAGAGTGAGAAGGCCGGGGAGAAGAAGGAGAGAAAAAGAGAGAGGGCATTGCCAGTTGATATGCATGTTGGGACCAAACGAAGGCAGGCTATACAACTATATTACTACCCAACCGTCGGCTCTGCTGGTTAGCCTGCATGCTGACTGCCACCCATTCGACCAATGCTACCCCGAGATCCCATACCATGAACACATCTACTCTCCCAGAATGAAGGCTCGTACCTTTCCTCGTCGCATATATGCCGCCGCATATAGTTGCCACTCTGGTAGCCGGCATGGTAGGCGAGTACCTGAGTTACCCGTCCAGGTCGGGTGGTAGTACCGAGATGGTCGTGTGGTTACCTTATTTTCGAATCTACCCACACCGTCTCTGGGATGAGGGGTTGTCTGAGATCCTCCAGACGGGAGCGACTGATTGCAATCCGGATACTGTCGTGTCTGCCGCATCCGTTTATAAAGACACATGCGCCTGCCCGTGTCTCGATCGCGCATCTTATGTCGTATCGGGAGGTGTCGCGTGGGAAGCTCTACAGGCACAGGCCTACATTGCCAGATACGGAAGCGTACGCGTAGAATACGCGGACTCGCGATCCTCTGTCTCCCACAGTGCACCGAGCGCCCGCCGAACGGGGCCGTGTTAGCGACGGCGGCTTCGTTCCCCTTGCGCAGGTCGATGATGCCGCGGGGGATTCCGATCGCGGCGAGCCGGGACAGCCGAGATGGACTGCGAAGGACCAATTCCGCAGCCAGGTACAAAAAGTCCTTCGACAAAGCGCCATGCACCGTCCCCGAGTTCACGCGGGCGCGCACATGCTGCCGACTCCTCTGGAGGCCGCACTCCTCGGCGACGGCGACCATTTGGACGTACCGGTTCCGTCTCGCGAAGGCGTAGCACTTCCAGGTGGCCATTACCGCCCCGGCGCGCAAAGGCGCTCGCCGACACCAAGTACTATGGCTGGCCAGGAGGTGAACGCACAGGTTGGGCATGTTATCATTGACTCGTCCGGGGACTTACCTACTAGGGGACTGCATATAGACGATCGTTGGGATGCCAATGGCTATTATGGGTCGGGAGGGAAGATCGAAGAGGAAAGTGTGGAAGAGCCTGAAAACTACAAGCCACCGGTTCTGAAAGGGGGATTCCTATATTCCCTCGCCTTGATTCTGGTTATACTGGCCGCTTTGGCTCAACTTGCTATCCAACTTCTCCCTCATGGTCCTGGGGTGGCCGTGTATCCCCAAAATGATCAGATCACGACCGACATCCAGCCACGGCTCGACTCTGATACAGTAGATATGCGCCCCTACGCAACAATATTCGGGCGGCAAAATAGTACGAAGACTTCGACGATTTCTACGACACCCACCACCTCCACAATACCTGCGATCCCCTCGACATCCACCGCATCCACCACTTCCACCACGTCTACCACATTTCCATCACCAGAACCTATACCTTCGATACCCCCTATACCTCCTACCATCATTCCGATACCCTCACCGCCACAGCCTTCGCCGCCAGTGGACCAGCCTGACGACCCTTCATCCAGTTCAACACTGCCGGAAGATGGTCGTCCAAGCACGTCCAAGACAATGAATCCATGGCCACAACCCTCGCCGCCATGGGATCAGCCTGACGACCCTTCATCTAGCTCGACACTGCTGGAAGACGGTCATCCGAGCACGTCCAAGACAACGAACCCATGGCCACAACCGACGCATCCGGAGCACCCCGGAGAAACCAGCGGCATCATCACACTTCCCGTAGAACTACCCATCACACTTCCTGTAGAATTGCCCATATCGACCGAAACGGAGCATCCCTCTCACACTCCTGAAGAACCGAAGCCACCTACGACCCCTATAGAGACTATCCCGTCTCCGTCGGTGCCCAGTATCAGCGCGACCTCCCGGGAACCGGGAAAAACCACGACGACAAAGGATTCAACCCTGACGCATCCCGCCCCTAACCCCACACATCACTCGTCCCAGACGTCTCCAAGCCGCCCCAGCCTCGAATCCCCTGTCCCGTCTGCCACATCTTCCAGAGAGACTATTGACATCCCAACGGACCCGTCCTTGGTGCCCATCACGACAATCACCGTTCTCCCAGACACGCCACCCAAAGCCCCCATCACTACAACGATAGTGACCTCAACGCGTCTTGAAGATGGGAGGTTTATCGAAACTTCTATGATAAGCACCATTCATAGTACTACCGAAGACGATGGCCCCTTGATGCTTTATACGATAACGAAATCGGACTCGCACGGCTTGCCAACTAGGACGGAGACCTTCCTCGCGCAAAGGATCTCGAGCACCTCAATCTTGACCGACGCGCAGGGGAACCCTACGTCCACGGTACCACTGATAGTCATTCGCCCACCCGGGAGGACGACTCTCACGAACAGGCAGCGAGTCGCGACGAAGACCGTGGATTTCTATCTCGATTGGATGACGCAGGTGCTGTCCGGCCCGGGGGGGAGCCCGACCGCCACCCGCACCTACCAGGTCACGATGACCATTTCCGCCTCCACGTATTACGACAAAAACGGCGTCGCGACCCTGACGCAGACCATACTCGTCCCGCTCGCGCTGCCGACAATGACGAGCACCTTCATCGTCGCGCCGCCGGCGCCGACAATCGGCCGGCAGAGCAAGCAGACCGTGCACGTCGCCACTATCCCCGACGGCACCTACTTCCTCGGGCTCATGCTCCCCGCCTGTGTGGCCGTCGCCGTTTCCGTCCTCGCCCGCGTCCTCCACCAGACCGCGAAGTTGTACCATCCCTTTCACGCGCTCGCCTCGTCGACCCGCGGCGCGCTCGCCCCCGACACCGTGTGCTTCCAGACCGCCGGCGCGTGGTGGGTCCCAGCGGCAGATGTGCGCCGCCTGCTGCGCGGCCGGGGCGTCCCGCTACTGCCTCTGACCGGCCTACTCGTGCTACTGGCCGCGGTTCTCGTGCCTCTGAGCTCGGACACGGTCGGCATCGTGCTCGAGGGGCCCGAGTGCGCGCCGGCGGACCAGGGCCGGGATGCGCTGCGCTGCGAGATGGTGCTCGCTGTGCGCTCCGTCGCGGCACAGCTTGTCGTCGCCGTCCTCGTGTCGATGGCGGCCCTCGTCGGCGCCGCCGCCCTCGTCCTACGGAAGTGGCCCACCGGGCTCGCGGCGAGCCCAAACCCCTGGAGCATGCTGCACGTGGCCGGGCTTGCGGCGAACAACGACATGCGGCTGCTGCTGCGCCGGCTGCGGAACAAGGCCGGCCGCGGGCGCCGCATCTCCAACCGCGAGGTAGCCACGGCCCTCGCAGACATCCCGTTCGTGCTCGACTACTGGAAGGACAATGGGGTTCTCAAGTATAGCATCCTCGTCATCAACGAAGAGGCGCAGTCGCTGGGACGGAGCGGCGGCAGGCCCGCTACCTACGGGGCGGCGGTGGTGGCGAGGGGGGCCAACGCGGCGCCCTTCTTCGTCCTCACGTGGGCGGGCCGGGTCCTCTTCCTCGGGCTACTGTGCGCCGTCCTGATCGGGCTCATGGTGTACAATATCGTGGGCGAGGGCGTCGGGTACATCGAGTTCATGATGGGGCGGTGGCGTATCCTACGGTTCGTATTCACCGCCGTCGGCGTCCTGATCTCGCTGATCTGGGGTTCCTTTTTCCAGGGTAAGTTGCACTGCCGGTACGACATCGGGAGATGGTGCTCCTGCTAACGAACGCCGGACAGCCGTCGCGTTCATCAGCCCTTACAGGCTACTCAGACGCAGCGGCCTCTTTAAGGGGAATATTATCCACATGACGCCTCCCACAAACCCCTTTAGCGGCATACGGTCCTCGCTGGCGCCCGGACAGCGAGACATTTACGCTGGGATCGTGGCCGCCACCGCGGTTCTATCTGAGATTCTCCCCGTGCTCCTCAGCACCGCGCTGGATAAGTGCACAGAGAGCTTCGTGGCCCACGAGGTGTGTTCCTGGATGGCGGTGGGTGTCTTGAGCATCATGATATTGGCAGTTGCCGGCTCCTTCTTCGTCGTCTGGCCGCATATGCCCATCGACCCGAGCACGTTGGCGGGGGCAATGTACTACGTGACAGACCCGACGACGGTAAGCGTTTTGTCTATGAGCCCATCCTCGGGGCTTTTGTTTGGTAGGGCGAGTCCGGGTACGGTTTCCGGGGTTTAGAGGGCGGCGTGAATAGGGGCAAAACATACATACCCAGGATCGGCGTTTGCGGGATGTATTTTCGGGGACACTATTTTGATACTATAGAAACTTTCCACGACAAAGCTTCGGGTTTGTAGAATACACTACAAGACCATATATACGCTCAGTGCTCCGCTTAACTAGTGGTACTTAAGACCCTTCTCGGCGCGATCGATGGCAGCCTTGGTCGACGCGTCAAGATCCTCTTTCGGGAGGCCCAAGACGTCATTATCGAGGCCCCGTCTATCCTCAAAGTTACCAGAGCCGTCCTTGAAAAAGAGCCTGCTGTACAGGAACTTGACAAACGCCGTCTGGTCGCCGCCCAAGACAAGCGCCCGGGCGTCCTGGAAGCGCTTGGTGCTGTCCTCATATGCGATCGTCCAATCGGATGCCTTCGTCCCGGTAACGCGGCAGACTACAGCGAACATATCCTTCTGGCTGAGTAGGTAGGATGAGACGTAGACGAACTTGTTCTTGTAGCCCGAGAGGCTCGGGCCACCTTCCACCTCCGGCTGAATCGGCAACGAGAGGAGCTTAGCCACGGCCCTTCCGGTCTGTGCCCAGGTCTAGGTAGGTAATGCCGGTTAGCATCCATCCGCCAAGCCATGTGAGGCGATGCGTCTTGTTACTCACGATGACGTTGATTTTTGTCTCGCCATCGTCGAAGAACGTCCAGGTGCGCTTCTTCCAGTCCATACCGAATGTTTCCGGGCCGGTGCCGAGGCTGTATTCGTACCAGAAGCTTGTGATCATACCGATCCACGAGCTCTTGCCCAGCTCCTCTATCAACTTTCGGGTGGCTATCTCGGCGTGTCCCAAGATGATATCGGTGCTCATCGCCTCGTCTGCCATGTCAGGGCTCCACTCGTTCGGCAAGACATAGGGGACATTGGCGGCGGCGGCGGCTCGGATGAGCTTCTCCTGCGTGCCCTGGGGAGCTCTGATATGCATGGTGATGATAAGGACCTCTTGGCCCTGTAGAGCGCTCACTAGTGTCGACTCGTCCTCGTAATCGACCTTGGCCACCTTTAGCCCGGCGGGGATTACAGCCTGGCTATCTTTACGTGTGACGGCCGTGATTTCGTGCTTTCCAGTCTTCAAGAGCTCCTCAACGATGTAGGTGCCAACCGTGCCAGCAGCCTAGCGGCAGAGAATCGTTAGCGAAAATACGATGCGTACACGTGTCTAGGTGTAATCGGCGTGGCCTTGGGTTCCTTACGCCGACGATGGCTACTTTCTTGACGTAGTTGTTCTGAGACATGATGATGAGGTCTTTTCGATAGGATTTAGACCGATGCAGTGTGTTTTGAGGCTCTCTGAGGGTCGATAATTGGGTAATGGCGGAGTGGTGCTGGATAGAGGGGATATTCTATGGGGAGCCAGCGTTCATTTTATACCTATCTAGACTGATGATGAGTGCCCGAATGTTACCCCGAGCCTACGTACCTATTGTATCCCTAGAACACCCATACCGATCGGCCCATGACCTCGAAGTATCCGACGCTGCCTCTCAGCTAGACAATGCGTCAAGTAAGCCATGCCCGGCCATAGTGAGGCATGCGGGGGTTGCCGGGTTTAGCTGGAGGTACCGCCGTCGGGGTTTAATAATTACCCCATTTAGAAAGGATATAGAAGAGCGAAGCTATTCCACAAATCGCCGCCATGATGGGAGCCTAACTGCAGTCTGGGCTTTGTAATCGGCAGCGAAGGGGTTAAGGAGATCTCGCTCTTTAGCAAAGCGCGAGTATTACTTGCTGAGCAACTACGGACCCACCGATCAACACCAGAGATTCCATACGTGCACGGGGTGTGCTGTTAGCTTATAAATCATACCTAGTCTCGTCGAGGGAGAACCTGTAGGGTGGAGCCCGCTGGTTAATATAGCTTACCCAGCCCGACAAGGCAACCGGTGGAATCTTCGCTGAGACAGTTATTCATGGTCGTGTCTCGGCCGAGGACAGGCATTACAGTCATTAGTTGTTTGGAAGTTGACTGGATTCTTGCTGGCGAGCAAGCCAAAGCCCGGGGACTCTAGAGACTCTGGGTATGATATCAAGCACTTAGGTATTAGTTTATGCGCCCACACTCGAGTAGTAGTTAAGAGCCTTCTGCTTGTGTGGTAGCATTGCCCACGGAGACAAAACTATACGTATAATAGGCTCGGCCTAATCAAGCCAGTCCGATCCCAACCCAGCCGGTTGATGACTGGAGCGGGGGGGGTTTTTTTCTTGTGAACTCTTGAATGAGCCATTCTTGTGGCTCACAAACGCTCCGCTAACACCCAGGTCCCGACTTGGCGTCGCGATGATTGTTATCCGATGATTTATCGGAATACCTATCCTACCTATAGGTGATCAGATCGACACCGGGGAGATAGATACCTACTAGCATGACGCGATAGCAGGGCACCCCTCGAGTCTGAGACCAGATGTAGGTAGGTACCTGACTAATAGTCAGGCATCGTTATTTATAATCATACCTGTGAGGTTTGGCCCTGGGGCGCGCGTAAAGGTCGTGGAAAGAGAAGAGAACATTACTGAGGCCAATACGACAGGGAGAGTCGGCTATCAAACGAGGTAGTTCTACCGAGAGAGTCTCATCCCGATACCTATTTAATACTGGCACAACGGTCTGAGGGGTCGTTCACAAGAGGACAATGGGAGGAGCAGCAAGAATACTGGGTAGCCTGAGCATAGAGGCTCGCATTTGCCATAATGGAATAAGATTAGCCACTCGGAGGAGCGGGACGTATCCGGATGTATCTACTAAGAATAATGAGGCGTAGACCGTCAAATATTATTAGTTGTCATTCCCAAGTGTCACCAATACTCGTGAACCCTGGCTGTTCTCCTTCAGCTCGACAACTACGAAGTCGGGACGTGCTGAGAGTGAATAGTTATAACCTATGTGCAGTGCTCGGTGCCATCGGCGTGAGTGTGGCATTCCTATTCGACGTCTTTATTAGCGAAACGTTCTATCGGAGGACGCTAGATCACGCGTACCGTGCCCGCGGTGGTGGTGGCTGAGGCACCCGAGTCGGTCGTCGGCGAGGGCGCGGCGGGGGCCTCCGGCTCTGGAGCCTTCCCGGTGCAGCCCTCGCCCGGGAGGGAGATGTCGTAGGCATAGACACCCAAGGCGAAGTATTGTAAGGTATGTGAGTTGCGCACCGCCTCGGCCGGGTTGCTAACAGCCAACTCAAGGCAGTCGTTGTAAGTGTCGGCGTAATGATCGACGATCCCCTCGCCGATGGCCGGGAGATGGTACAGGCGGTGGACTAGGTCGGACCCGAAATAGAAGTTGAGCTTGCCGGCAGCAACCGAATATCCGTAACCGCAAAGCCCCTCGAGCGGCATGCGGCTCGTGAAGGAAAGGGGGCAGATGACGGTCTCCTGGGTGGCATTATCTCCGCGCCAGTGTCCCGCCCGGCCTGTGGTCAGTGTTAGCGAAAATGTAGGTATTGTTCACAGCCGCCCTGGAGTGCTGCTCGCGCCCCCAACTCACCAGGCTGTTGGCAGTTGCCGTCGATGTCATCGCAGCGGAACCAGATGCCACCACGGTCAGCATTCACAATCCTATCGTACCACCCGACGGCTTCCGCGGTGGGCGCCTCGCCGAAGTACTTAACGTAAAATTTCGAGGAACTTCTGAACCGCAGGATGTGTTGCTTCGCATGTTGTGCGAGCGTGATGGCCTCGTGGAGACCCCGCGACAGGAGGGCTCTCTGGGTCGCGTTGCAGGAACTGTGGATGGGATACCGCTCGGTGGCGCCCGCCGCCCAATTGTACGTGGTCGGGGCCGGGGTTGGCGACGTGACGGTCTCAGTCACCGTAACGGCAGCTTGCCGTATAGGTAGCCTAGCAGTCAACCCAGCGCCAACGTTGACGCCTAGGCATACTAGGAGAGCAGTTCCCACGGAGTATTGCATCTTCAACGATTGATCTAAGGATCAGCAATCTTGAAGTATTAAAACTGGGGAATGCAACGGTGGCTTGCTGCGAGGCCCCTGAGGCAACTTGGTTATCGGTCGTCCTCCAGAGACAGGCGCATCGAGGCAGGTTTTAATATAGCTGCTCCTTGTGGGAAGGGTATCGTGGCCCTCCCGCCCGTCCCTGACGAAAATCGCAACCCTTCCGGACATTGCCAGTTTCCTTGACACACTCTATAAGCTCCTCTGGCCGCAGCTAACGTGAATAGGAGAGTTCCCACAACTACACCGAGCATGACCAGAGCGAGGTTGGGAAGCTAGACAACTTAGCATCGGTCATAACCGGAGAACCTTCCCATGCCAAGATGGCATCAACTAATATCGGACCTGTCGCTTCTAGAGAAAAGGCCAAGATGCGGTAGCCTGCGAGCCCCCCCCCCCCCCCCCCCCCCTTCGCATCCCCGGGATAGCCATCAAGGTGTTCGCTCCGTAGGCCTCGCTACTACGTGGTATACGACCTGCGAGCAGCCTTAACACCTGACCCACGGATCCAGCTGGGATGACTCGCCTCAGGTCTACTACGTAGTACGATGCCACAGGGCCGCTAATAGGATCGAGATTATTCAGGAAAGTTGGCTTGACAGAACCTCTGCGGTCGTGGGTCGGCCTAACATCCCTGGCCGCAACTAATCAGCTCACGTCGTCCGTTAACCGAAAGGACTATCGCGGCTCCATTCAGGACTAACTTCCGGAAACGGCTTGTTCTCGCTCGTCCCCTAACCTGGCTTGACTCCATGCTGGCTCCTCTTCCTGGCCCGTGGAGGAAAAGCTAGTGAGCTGAACAACTGCATGTATATAAGTGGACTCTATGCGCAGTTCGGAGTAGGGCTACCGTCCAACCCACCTCTTTCTACACCCACATCGTCAAGTTTCGTGTGAAAGTCTTTCAAGATGCCTAGCTTCACTGTGGTTCTTGCCGCTCTTTTCGCCGCTTCTAAGGCTCTCGCCCAGACCCTGCCCTCTTTCCCTACTGCCTCCTTCGGCTGTGAGCCGCACGGCGACCACTGGTAGGTTATACTCCCCCTCATCCCCCCCACCGTATGTTGAGACTTTTAAGAGGCTGACATCTCGGTCAGGCACTGTGAGGGGGCGGTTACCAACACCGGTACCGCAGGGGATGTGTCTAGCACGGGCACCACCTTCGTTACTTCGGCCACGGATGCGCCCGTAATTATTTCCAGCAACTCTCACGGCCACGGTGATGAGTCCGTAACTCTGTCGCCCAGCCCCACGGAGTCGGTCGGTTGTGAGCCCCACGGCGATCACTGGCATTGCGAGGGCACCGCGTCCACCACGCCGGCGCCCATCAGCAGCGCAACCAGCAGCCCCACCAGCAGTGGCCATGATGACCATGACCACGACCACGACCACACCACGAATTCCTCTATGGGAACCGTTACGCTTGCGCCTAGCCCGACTGAGTCCGTCGGTTGCGAGTCTCACGGCGACCACTGGCATTGCGAAGGCCCTGCTGTTCCCACCAACTCTGTTCCCGCCACCTCTCCTCCCGTCAACGCTACCTCTACCACTTCATCGCCGCCCATCCCGACGGCAGGCGCTGCAAAACTGGGCATGGGGGGCATGGCTATTGCTGGTGGACTCGCTATGGCTGTCGGAATGGGTCTTTGAAGGCTGTCCTGATATCTTAATATTACCTATATTAAACCGCAGAAGAGGCCGGGGGGGGATATAACGCACACTTAGTCCTGAGACGCAAAATAAATACTCTCTTACTGCATAACTCGCTTCCGCATAGTTGTGAATACAGCTTTAAAAAGGGCTTGAGTTTCAAGGGGCTACAGCCCTCTACAGAATCAGAGCCTTCAACGACCTACGGTAGTATACCTAAGGCCCCAGCCTCCCCTCCTCACGCAAATACGTCGATAGATAGATGTATGGGGTACAACGAGTCGACACATATCGTGTCTTTTAGCGGCGGCGTATGAGTGTATGCGTATATAGGACATTCAAGGCATCGGCATAGGACGTCTAGGTGTGTGTATGTGTCTGTGGGGATTCGGCGTGAGCACTTATTATTTCGTATAGGTATAGATCGGCACGATGACCTGCGTTTTGATAAATTACCTGTTTGTATTTTGCTTCGTCTCGATATCCATGCCGTCCCGCAGCGGATTCCACCCATTCGTAGCCTAGTAAACGAGAAAATATTTTCTCCCTCGGCGTTATCGATTGTGTCCACATGTCTACGGGGTGTTGCCCGGTGGCTTCCAACTCGCCCGAGAGAGGAGACGAATAAAACGTCAAGAGCCCCGTGAAAACACGAGGTAGCTTCTGGCAGGCCGTGATCTCAGTGTTGCCCCGTTTGGTGTGTGTCCATCAAGGTCCTCAAGTTCGAGCGTTGCAGGACTTATAACGGCGCAATAACAGGTCTGCCAAGGACTCGAAGGATGGCCAAGGACGGCGATGTGGGGGATACAACACGCCCGGGATGAGCCTCGAGAAAACCATTACTAGCAACACCTTCCTAAGGCGATGAGGAGCTGAGACACCTTGGTGGCCCATCAGGACACAGTCAGGATACTTGCCCACCTTGTGGTCCAACTGACATCTGCGTCCCTCCGTCATCCCGTTGCACATGCGAATATATAGGCGCCTAGGTGAGCGATGCTATAGCCAGCTCCGTTCAGCTCGAGAGCCGCGTCCGCACATTCCTGAGGTGGCTCGCATCACGCGCAGCGCATACATATTATCGACCAGAGAGCGACACACAGTCCCGCTGAGGAGGCCGTACACCCTGCCGCAAAATGAGCTTTCTCCCGGGTCGGTTGACCACGATGTCCCTCTTCTTTATCCTCTCGTTGGGTAGTATCCCCCACGCGACGGCGTCGTACCTCTCCTCCGGGGCGAGGCCGATCCCGACCATCACGGAAGCCCACCTACTTCCTCGGGCCACGGAAAGCTTCACTGCCGTGTCAGAGTGTCATAAGCACAGCACCGCAGTGTAGGTATTTTTCTTCTTTTTGGGGGGAGGGCTTAACCCCCCCCCAGAAGAGGCTGGACAACTGACGACGTGAGCGCATATTGACAAATCCTATCGGGTAGATACTGCATGTACGGCGCGACGGAACTTCAAGTGGTGGTGCCGGCAACGATAACCGGAGAACTTCCACCCACTTACACCGACTGCCATAGCCACGGCTCTGACTCGTAGGTTGAAACATCCAGCCTTTACCGGAAGTTATAATAATGACAGAGTTAGATACTGCGTTGGACCAGATGGAAATGATGTCCAAGTCCTCAGCCTACCTAGCAGCAGCTCTGAATCTGGTGACTCCTCGGGATCCGAAACAAATAGTGATTCTCAAGATGAAAGCGCGGGACTGAACTGTCACTTTCACGCGGGTGTCGAGTAAGCGTTGTTCTAACCGGTCTCACCCCACCGTGAGCCTATTTCTAATTGTGGTGATGAATAGACACTGCGTCGGCGAGGGACAGGGCGAAGGATCGGCTAGTCCTGTATCATGCTTGCGCCGAGATCGAGAGTACAACGTCCCCCTTCGTATCGGCCTACTCTTCGTCATACTCGTTACTAGTTTCATCGGTAAGTACTCACGTCATGCTAGACCTCGAAGGAGGAGTCGACTTACGATAAACCACAGGTGTTGTCGCACCTATATTCCTCAAGCCGGTGTTGTCCTCGAAGTTCGAAATAGTCTTCATTATCCTCAAGCAATTTGGTACTGGCGTGATCATCGCAACAGCGTTTGTCCATGTGAGAATCCAAAGTCGACGGCGATTAGTATGTCGAAAAAAGTTCGATATACTGATTCTTCCTTCTAGCTCTTCACTCACGCGCAACTCATGTTCACCAATGAGTGCATTGGTACAATCGAGTACGAGGCAGTGACTGCTGCCATCGTCATGGCCGGATTGTTCCTATCGTTCGTAGTCGAAACGGCCAGCCATCGCATCGCCCAGAAATTCCGGGACAGGTCTCGGTACAATGACGACATCGTTGGCGTTGCCGTGCTCGAGGCCGGTATCATATTCCATTCGCTGCGTGAGTTATCAACCCCAAACTATCGAGAGGCGCACATACATCGACACACAACCTCTCTCTCTCCCTCCTTAACTAACTCGGTTCCTGCAGTTATCGGTCTTACTCTAGTAGTTGCTGGGGACAGCTTCTTCATCACTCTGTTCATTGTCATTCTGTTCCACCAGATGTTCGAAGGCATCGCTCTCGGAACACGCATTGCCTCCATCGGGGACCGAGCTAAGGGTGCGAGAGAGGGCGCCGCTCATGTGCTGGCGACGGCAGGAAAAGACGCTTCCGAGCAGGGGCAAGAAGCTACGGCTGCGGATGGCAACGCAGATTCCGTAGACGAAGGCAAAAATTGGAAATCCCTGTCGCTGACCAAGAAACTGATCATGGCCAGCGCCTTCGCCGTGATAACCCCTATCGGCATGGCGATCGGGATCGGGGTTCTCAACCAATTCAACGGCAACGACCCGCAGACGTTGATCGCCCTGGGCACCCTGGACGCGCTGTCTGCTGGTATCCTCGTCTGGGTTGGCGTTGTGGAGATGTGGGCGGCAGACTGGATGTTTGACGGCGAACTGGCACACGCCGGACCTGTCGTCACGGCTCTCGCCGGACTCGGCCTTATCGCGGGCATGGTTCTGATGAGTTTCCTGGGCAAATGGGCATAACGGTTGGGCCTCGACGGCGCGTCACATGTGATGGCAACAGTTGATTGATTAGCTGAGATGAAGATACACCGTCCCGAGTTGGAGAAATGTATATTATTTAGGCGATACTCAGATTCCCAGGAAGACAATCCACCTGTTCGACAGCTCATCGTGGCGTTCAGCGTCTCCTTTCGTGTCGTCTTACGATTGCCGCGGCGATATACATAGGGGGTGAGGTCTTGCTTTGACGCACGCAATGTAGTATAAGTTGTCTTGGAGAGGGGTGTTGAGGCAAGGAGGGTATATCGTATTCGCAGGTTCTCGGCATCTGATGGGTGTTGGTTAGCCAACTCCTCTTTCAATCCCCCTTTAGTTGAATTGTGGCCGTCTCTATCAACTTAGACTTGGTATGTCCATATCGCCTTAGAACATAATACCCTATTCAGCGCGTGGGCGTGTACGTACCCATCTACCCGAACTTCCGCACTTAGCGACAGCTTATCTCCGCCGCCACGTTCAGTTCAACCACCGCCCTCAGTATTCATTACTACGGTCCGGCAAGACCTGCAAGATGACTTCCCCACGGTCAGTTAACAGTTCCGAGGGTTGCAATGGCTAAAGGAGTGGTGCTTGCATACGTTTGCGTCCGATGCGCTCTCAATTCGTTGACGACCCGAACCTCTCTCGTTCCCGGCTTCGTCCAATTGAGGAAATATACGACCGAATCTCCCGTCGCACCAACCGCCCAACCATCGACGCGCAAACACGAAGGGCCTGCGGATGGGAATACGAATTCAGAGCCGGGGCCTATGGCACGCCTCCTCGAAGATGCCACGGAGGAAGTCCTACTCACAGGAGGCAGTGCGGGTCGAAGGGCGATCGAAGACGCCGGTTTCTCAGAAGAGTTGAAGGAACGCCTACTTGCTAGGGTAAAAGACGCACAGTTCCGGTCAGCGCACGCCTCAGCGTTCACCGAAGCCAATATGCCCTCCGCCGCTGGTGAAGGTAGTCGTCTTACTGCCATAAGTGAGCCGTGGACCGGCACCGAAACGACCGGAGATGCTGTCCTACGAATGCTCGACGACGCGCATAAACCGCTGAAGCGGGAGCTACGAGGTCGCCCAAAGATACCCGATCTCCAGCCGGTCGATATGCGAATAAGGCAGGATCCCAAGGTGAGCCCTGGGTACAGAGCAGCCAACGCTAGAGATAAGGCCTCCGTATACGCAGGCATGGGCATGAAAAAGCTTCAGGAGGGCCTAAGTGAGCAAGAGAAGGAGGCAATGAGGCAGGAGTTCCGCGACCGCTTTCGGCCGGCGGCTCGCGCCCTGCCGAGTACACTAACGGGATTGGCGTCGCTCGCGAACGAGAGAATTGAAGACGCGATGGCGAGGGGGCAGTTCAAGGACATCCCGCGGGGCAGGGGCGTCGAGCGCGACACGAGATCCGACAATCCTTTCATCGACACAACAGAGTACATCATGAACAAGATGATCAAGCGCCAGGAGATCGTGCCGCCGTGGATCGAGAAGCAGCAGGAGCTTGCGAAAGCAGCGCATACCTTCCGGGCGCGACTCCGGAGTGATTGGAAACGCCACGCAGCTCGGATGATTTCCAGCAAAGGGGGGTCGCTTGAGGATCAGATGAATAGGGCGAGAAAGTATGCGAAGGCAGAGGAGAGTCATAACCCGCGAAAATGCAACGTAGATCAGATAACGGTGCCTACGAACTCGACCGACGACCCAGTCATGGTCAAAACGCGACAGCAAACACCGGTAGAAACGGTAACCGAGATAACGCCGGAGGTGGCTGACAACGGAACAGGATCGGAGGAGGCGCCGTCGCCACTCCCTTTCCGAGACGCTGACTGGCTGGCTACGGAACAGTCCTACATGGATCTCTCTATCAATCACCTCAATACGCTCACGCGATCTTATAATTTGATGGCGCCCGAGCTCGCTAAGAAGCCGTATTTCTCCCTCGAGCGAGAACTGAACAACTGCTACGCTGACGTTGCGCCCCAACTCGCAGAGGCTATTCGCGATAGGGCCTCTCGACCTGCGAGATCTCTAGCGGACAACGGCGGACACGCACCAAGCATCTTGGACCGCTTCGGGAAGGGCGGTGAGACTACTAAGGTATACGACTCTAAGAGTCCTCATTACGGATTTAGGGAGATGTGGCGCGATTTCTGGAATCGCCAAGCGAATTGATGAGGCGGCCCCGTTGGACGGCTACAAGGCAAGTAATGGGCCTTGTCCCTGATGTAGCTAGCTATGCGACTCCGTAGTAGGTAGGTAGGCAAGCCGCACGGGTGCAGTGTGATGGGAAGGTCGGAGAGGGAGGAGACCCGATACTCTCCCTTCCCACGATAATACATATAGCTCTAGCACGAAGTTGACTCCTGTAATGATACTTAGATAAAGTAAAAAATAAAAAATAAAATACGGACGCGGAGAGGTCGGCGATGTAGTCGAGACCCAGCGGCTTCCTTATTCGCCTCACATGCTACCCCAGGCCACCCCGGACAACGCAATGCAGGAATCTGAGAATCCTGAGAATCCCATCGTCCCTGGGAGCTGGAATGCCTTCGCGGTATCTCGATCCGAGTCGGTAGAACGGTGCGGCATGCTGGGAGGGCGACAAATCAAAGCTCGCCGATGGCAATCAAGCATTCCGTGCGCATGTACCCTTCGGACCAAAGGGGGAATCTGGTAGCACTCGGGCCGAGCCGTCGTCAAGGGACTGCGTGCTATAGCCGAATTAATGTGGCGAAGGAGGATTCGGCGGCGTCATCATAGCATTATGGTGAGGGTAGGTAGCATCACGCATGCCGAAGGCCGCACCACAGGCCGCACAGGAGGGGACGCAGAATTGCGACCAGAAACGAGCAGAAGAGAAAGGTTGTGGTGCACAGCACAGGTCCCTATAAAGCACACCGTGCCTCTGTCGCCTCCGGTGTCTCGCGACTTAGCGAGAATCCTCCCTCGCATCGTCTGCTCGCATCAGGTATTGGGTATCTGCCTGCATCGCCCGCACCGCCTGTTAGCTTAGCTGTAAGAGGCAAAGAGCTGGCCCGAAGCTGGCGGCCGTGGCACCACAAACGGCCAGCGGAGGATCAAACGGGCTAATACCTACCTGCTGAATACGCTATAGGTATATAGGCCTTCCTAATTCCCAATTCCCGGCGGGTGTTCGGCCTTTTCCATTTCGGCCAGAAGCCGGGAAATAATAAGTTGAGCTGCGAGCTGCGAGCTACGAGCTTCTCAACCCATTGCGCATTAGGTATTATTACAAGATAGCCCGACACTCTCTCTCTCCGTCTCTCTCTGTCCTACTCCTCTTCTCCTCTTCTTCTTCTCTCAACCCTCTGTCCTTGGGCTGCATTCTCCTTCTCGCCCCCTCTCCGTCTTCCTTCTCCAGGTCGGAATTTGTCCCGGACCAGTGGATAATCCCCCTCCACGTTGAGAACCTGGACCTGCTAAGTAATACCTACCAAAGTCGCCGCCGAGTCTGTACAGCACAACGCCGCATAGCAAACCACGATGGCGTCGCCGGTAGCCTCCGCGGCCCTCAAATCTCGTGTCCTGAGGTCGTCTATGCTGAAGAAGCTATGTCACCCCCAAGACCTGCTTCATCACTTCCCCAATGGCGCCTACATCGGCTGGTCGGGCTTTACGGGCGTGGGCTATCCCAAGTGCGTACCGAGACCCTCCCCCCACCTCCGTCACTCTCTCGCGACGGAGCTGACGATCCGGCCACCTAACCTCCCAACCCAGGAAAATGCCCACCTTCCTAGCAGACCACGTGGAGAAGAATAACCTCCAGGGCAAGCTGCGATACACGCTCTTCGTCGGCGCATCCTCCGGGGCCGAGACGGAGAACCGATGGGCAGAGCTGGATATGATCGAGAGGCGCAGCCCCCACCAAGTCGGGAAAGCCATCGCGAAGGGCATCAACGAAGGGAGAATAAAGTTCTTTGACAAGCATCTGTCCATGTTCCCCGTCGATCTGGTATACGTAGGTCGATGCACGCACGGCTTCCTCGCTCTAGTGGTACATTTGCTAAGAGTTGGCGCCGCTAGGGGTTTTATACGATGGAGCGGCCGAGCAACAAGCTCGACGTGGTGGTGGTGGAGGCAACAGACATTAAAGAAGATGGGAGCATCGTCCCCGGCGCATCCGTTGGCGCAACCCCCGAACTCATTCAACTAGCCGATAAGGTAGGTGAACAAGCTCTCCAGCCTCGAGGCGAGCCCGGAAACTAACTACGAGCTTGTGCCGCCGTAACTAGATCATCATCGAAGTCAATACATCGTTACCCAGCTTCGAGGGACTTCACGACATCACGATGACCGATCTGCCCCCGAAGCGGAAACCCTATCTAATAATGGGAGTTGAGGACCGCATCGGGACGACGTCCATCCCGATCGACCCGGAAAAGGTGGTCGGACTGATCGAGTCCGACTACCAGGACCAGACGACGCCGAACACGCCTGCCGACGACACGTCACGCGCGATCGCAAACCACCTGATCGAGTTCTTTGAGCACGAGGTGAAACAGGGTCGCATGCCCAAGTCGCTCCTCCCCCTGCAGTCGGGCATCGGCAACATCGCGAACGCCGTCATCGGCGGCCTCAGCGAGTCAAACTTCTGGAACCTCAAGGTGTGGACCGAGGTCATCCAGGACACCTTCCTCGACCTGTTCGACTCGGGCCGGCTCGACTTCGCGACGGCGACGTCGGTGCGGTTCTCGCCCGAGGGCTTCAAGCGCTTCTACGACAACTGGGAGTCGTACCACAACAAGCTGCTGCTGCGGTCCCAGCAGGTGTCGAACTCGCCCGAGATCATCCGGCGCCTCGGCGTCATCGGCATGAACACACCAGTCGAGGTGGACATCTACGCCCACGCGAACAGCACAAACGTGATGGCCAGCCGGATGCTCAACGGGCTCGGCGGCTCGGCCGACTTCCTGCGCTCGGCCAAGTACAGCATCATGCACACGCCGTCGACGCGACCGTCGAAGACGGACCCGCACGGCGTCAGCTGCATCGTGCCCATGTGCACGCACGTCGACCAGACGGAACACGACCTCGATGTCATCGTAACCGAGACGGGCTTGGCGGACGTGCGGGGCCTGAGCCCGCGCGAGCGAGCGCGCGTCATCATCGACAAGTGCGCCCACGACCAGTACCGGCCCATCCTCAAGGACTACTTCGACAAGGCCGAGTTCGAGTGCCTGCGCAAGGGCTGGGGCCACGAACCGCACCTCCTGTTCAACGCGTTCGACATGCACAAGGCGCTCCTCGAGCAAGGCAGCATGAGAAAGATCCAGAAATGGTGAGAAATACCTAGCTGAATGCACCTGCATAGCGAAGGCGAGCGGGGGCGGGGTTTTTCACATAGAGGAGCGCGCCGGCGACATGGACAGAGGAATAAGGCAGAGAGGCAAGGAGGCAGGCGAAGATTATTATCTACCTAATATAAAAAACGTACCATGGATTCAATAGAAGAAGACGGATGGCCGGATCTTCTCTTTCGGGCCATCATATCCTCTAGCATCAGAGCCAGGTTCCAGTACCTACTTATGTATGTACCTAATATGACCCCAATCCAAACAACTACCTAATTGAGTCTTCACCTATGCTTACGTAGGTAAGGTAACGCCGCTTCAGTTCAGCTCCCGGCTCAGCTTCGGCTCAGCTTCTGTTCGTGTCGGAGACGTGACTCGCAACGCGACCTCCGCGATTCGATGTGTTCAACACGAATGCATTAATTGATAAAAACGGCCTTTCGGGCCGCAAATTGAGCCCTTAAAATTGGCCAATTCAACAGCTGTATTTGTAGGAGTGCAGTGTTGAGGCATTCCCTCCTCCTAGCCTGCGACCCCTTCATCTGGTCTCGCCATCCATCGTCAGCCCGCCATCTCACGTCCACATTTCAAGCTTCATGCTTGATAACCAAAGGGACTGGGTTGGGTATTCGTCCAAGATCATGCGCACGTAGTCGTGCCAATCATCGTTCCAACCCCCGTTGGCAAACGTAGCCGTCGAATATTCCCAGTAGGTCGGATACCATGACGCAAACTCCCAGTCGATTATAACCGGCGTCTCGTCGGGCTGTATCATAATGTTCTTCCTCTGAAAGTCGTTGTGTCTGAAGACGGGAGAGCCATTGCCGCGAAGGACAGTCGGCAGGACATGTTGGTAATACCGAGTCTTGTGGGCCGCCCGCTCGCCGAGGTAGAGCGAGTATACCCGAATGATGTAGTCTATCAGTTCGTCCTCGGCTGCAAACGATGTCTTGACCACGTGGGCACCCCGTGTCGCCGAGAACATGTCGTCGAGTGGCGGCCCGCCGGCGATGTTGCCAAAGTAGCCTGGGTGCTGCAGTTGCCGGAGTTGATCGAAGTAGGTCCGAAGGATCCTAGCAATAGCGGTTTTGCGAGCCCGGTCCAGACTACTCCACAGGTTCAGAAGCGTCGTGCCGGCCACATATTGCATGACAATATATGTGACGACGCCCCGTTCCTCTTGACGCTGGTAGATAGCGTAGACTCTGGGGATCGGCACCGTCGTGGACTTTGCCACGTACAGCATGTTCCGGGCCTCAATGGGGTGGACATGAATGCCGAACTTGATGACGAATTTCTGCTGCATCCTCACGAGGCGAGAACCGCTGGACTGGTTTAGTAAGACTTCGGAGCCGTCGATATCATTTGGAGTCGGCAGAGGATTGGGATCATTCTGAGACTGGTCCACGAACAGGACATCGTATGGCGCCGCCTTGGGCATGACGAATTTCGCCCCAAGCAACAATGTTGTTGTTGAGAACTGGAAAAGTGCTTGTGGCTGGCGACATATGGGAAGAAAGAAGAAAAACAAGAAAAGGCGGGATGCCGAGGTAGATATGCGGCTCCGTAGCCGGGAGGGGATCGATCATTCACCGAGGCTGTCCGGGAGTAACAGTTAGCATATATGCAGGGTAATTCCTGTGGTAGGAGGTGCAGAAGCAAGCTTAGCTAACGAACACGAACACGAACTTTATGTAGACAAACTTCGTAATGCCCTAATAGATAGCCGATCACCAAGCTCTTCCACTGTTCCAAAGATTCTGCATGTTCGTCCACCGATGGACGTGATAATTCCTCGCCATTCTCTCCAAGTCGGAGATCATCATTCTTCATCCATAGTCTTGAGCACGCTCTAGTTGCCGCAACCACCACCAGACCTTAAGACAGTCCACCTCTTTCTTTGCTCCCCATCCCGCAATAAGCAGACAAAGGCTCCCCTTTTCAGGCATCTTCCCACTTTCATCATGTCGTCCTATCCTGTCTGTCTACCTCATCGAATCCTTGGGAGCCCCTCGAGTCATTCCATCTTCGTTGAAACCGAAAAAGGTGAGTCTGAGACTCTCTTCCAAGTCAAAGGCGGCATCCATAGCGGCATAACATATGAGACCGTATCGAGGAAGCCCGACTTGTCCAATACCTTCATATCAAAGTCACAGTTGGGATAGGTCAGGGTCGAGGACCTGTCTCGCGTCGACTCCATCTGCCGCGCCGACCCTCCTCCCGCGAGGTGTGCATTTCGCGAATTTCCCAGTCCGTTTAGTTTGCGTTGCATGGACGTGGGGGTAACCTGGCTTTTGCTTTTACCTCGCTATTTGTATTTGCTAGTATTCTCCGATCATTTCTGGCGGATACTGGTCGTAGCTCTCACGACCACTCTTCTCAATTTAGAAGGGTCAGCCATCTCGTCCGGGGGGGGGGGGGGGGGGGTTTCCGGCGCTGATACTGGCTTGCGCGCCAAGGCCATGACGGAGGTGATCCCGGGCCTACTTAGACCCTACCGGACGAGTTCTCTACCGACGAAGCTGGTTGCACTAGACGCGGTTAGTTTCGTGACTGGAACTCGTGTGTGGATTTCCAGCGTCGGGTGGCAAATCGAGGGAGGGAAACGGTGCCAAGGGGTAGGTATCAAGTAGAGTGGTTTGCCTTGCTGCCTAGCGATCAACATCCATACACATATTAATACCTGCCTGTTACCATCTGTCACAGGACCACGGGCCACCCCCCCGCGGGCCACCCTGCTCCCCACCAAAAAACGGAAAAAGTCGCTATTTTCAAACACGCATAACGTTATATATATAAGGATTTAAAGGTTATAAGTTATATCAGTCGAATTATCTTTTTAAGCTCTTTAGATTGATATAAGTTTCTTTAGATATCACGGCTTATAACGAGTAGAATTCTTTACTTAATATAGATATAAGATTTTTATATCTTATAATAATATTTACTTATTAAAAATTAATTATATTTATTAAATAAAGCTTTAAAATTATAATGATTATATTTTTATAAATCTTACTTACTTTTCTAAAATGTATATAATGAAAAGTATTAATAATACTTATATATTAAATGTAATAATTAAATGAAAAAGGTATATAATCTTAATAATAATATATATATTCCTTTAATATTATAACGTTATATAATATATAATTTATAAAATATTACTTATTATGTTTTAAATATCTATATTTATATATAATATATATTTAAAGTGTATATTTTAAAGTTATAGCAAAGATAATAAGCTATTGAAATATATTGAAATTTTGCTAAATAAAAAGTTATATAATTAATTATTTTTTAACTAGGTTTATATTTTATTGATAAATAAAATATACCTATATATTTATTACTTAATTAAAAGTTAAATACTATTTATTTTAAGGTTATTTGAAACGATATATGTAAGAATTTATTTATAAATATATATAATATATAATATTAAATTAATAATAAATATATTTCTTTAATTTAATGAAGGTTTTCTTTGTTTATATTATTATATAAGTTATAAATATAATATTATAGTATGAATATTACGTAATGTAAATCGAATAGAATTTTTATTATTTATATAAGTATTAATAAAATATATTGATATTTTTATTACGAAAAGATTATGAAAATAAACTTTAAATTTATAATTTTTATAATCCATTATATAGAGAAAGTAACAAAGAAAATAAATTATATTATATATATTTTATATCTTAAGTTTCATATGTAAAATGCTAAAGAGAAATAGGTATATTATAATATTATAATATTATATTAAATATAATATTATATATACTAATATAGATATTTTTAGAAGTATATTTATATATATATATTATATATATTATAGTGGTGCGGTAAGACATACCCTCTTAATGCATTACGTAATACGCTACGATAGGCCTTATGCCTATATAAAGTAACCATAGTACCCGTAAGTACGGGATATGCTATACTTGTTATTTAATTCATTACCTAGCTAGATTACTATCTTTACTATTTTTATCTTAATTAAAGATTCGTTTTTATTATTAGATTCGTCGTTCTCCGATTAATATATTTATCTTAATTATAAGCGCTTAAGTTACTTCGTCGTACCGCTATAACCGAATAAGTAACTTTTACGTTTTATTCCTTTTCTTTCCTTACCTCTTATACCTTCGGGCTAGCGACTACTATATTTCTACGATTAAGAGGCATAGCTAAGATACGATAACTATATTAGATTCCTTGCCTCTCGATTAATATAGCGATACTAGTTTTATCTATCTTAGACTATCATACGTATTATAATCTTCGATAGAATATACTTTTAAGTAAATCTATCCGGGTTTTTAATATCGCGTACGCTTTACTCCTCCTTAATAGCGACTATCTTATAACTTTTTCGACCCCTTAACCTTTAGTTTACAGAGTTTTTATTACGCTACTAGGATTTAAAGGATACCGATCGCCGTCGGCGCCGCTATCTAACCCGCGAAGTAGCCTACGTTTTACGTTAAATAAAGTATTTTACTTTATGGTTATTTATTTATTATAAGAAGGTACGTATAAGCCCGGGAACTTTTATAACGATATTATTATTATTAAGATAATACCTAGCCCTTAATACTTATAACGTTATTAAGCTATCGATATTACGATATAATACGACGACTAAACCGCGTTTATACCGATTAAGATATTCCTCGTATCGTTATTTACCTACTTATACGGAGGAACCCGTAAAACCTAGGAGAACTTTCGTCGTAATACTACCGCTACTAGGAATAATACTTAGCCCTCGATACTAACCGCTTCCTCGAACCGCTAATAGTATAGTATATCTCGTACGAGTAAATAGAGCTTATAGCGATTAAGGTAGTCCCTTTATAGTTATTTACCTACTATATAAAGGACGTACGAACGCCTTAGTATAAATTACGATAACTTATACGACCCGTTACTCCTTTATTAATATTAAGGGCGGATAAAGACTAATAATAATTATACCTTAACCGACCTTACGATAGCTTCTTTTTCCTTCTAAACTTATTAATCGATATAAACTAAATATATAAATACTAATAACTTATTATATTAAAGGCATTTTAAAATACCTAGGCGTAGCGATTCGACGATATAGTATACGATATAATATAAATATTTACATTAATAATATAAATAGAAATTAATAGACTAATAGCTATTAATAACCGATAGTTTTAAAGAAAACTAGGAATTAATATTAATAGAACTACGTAGATATAGAGGATTAAGGAAACGGAACTAGAGTCGAGTTAATAAGTATACCTATATATAAGCTAGCCTTATATTACTAACTAATAGTTAATATAGCGAGAAGTATTAATATAAGCGTAAAACGGCGCCTAGCGGTAATACCGTTAATACTATTAAATAACCTTCGTTAAATCGAAACCGGCTTATAGCTATAACCGGTATCGTATCTAACGCGATTTTCTACTCGGGATCTATCCCTTATACGTATTACTTTAATAAAGGTTATACGTTAGGAGTTTTAGACCTTAATAGGAGGAATTATCGTCGATTTATTTATAATAATTAAACTATTAATCTAAGGAATACGTATCGTACTTTAATTAAGCGTTAGCCGACTAAAGAAACTCGTATAATACCCGGATCCTATCGATCGGGATAGTATAATAAATAATAATATACTTATACTAAAGAAAAAGTATTAAGATATAAATAATAGTTATTATACCTTTACTCCTATATTAAATAATAAGATCCTTACTATTTCTCTTTTTACTTTATACCTCGTACCGATAAACTAAACGGAATCCGTAGCTAGGAAACGAAGTAAATCGCCGTTAAAACCCGAAGTAATAAAGACTAAATTATTAATAAAGACCTTAAGAGTCGATATTAATTCTCCGCCCTTATATCCGCCCGAAAAGGAGAAGGACGACGATAAAACTCTTACTTAGCTACCCCTTAACCGCGGCTTTATACTTATCCCGCTAATCCCTATAGTATTATCTTAGAATAATAATAACGGGACCTTTAGTAGTTAGAATATACCGGTAGTTATCCCGATTATCGTAATACTAGCTATTAGATTTCCTAACCCTATCGATTACCCTAGGCTTAAGTTTAACGAATATAACGTAACTTAATAACTAAAGAAGGTAGATCGATTATTTAACCGCTACCGTATAAACGACGACGATAAGATTAAGGAAATCGGCGAATAAACTACGACTAAAATTATTAAGGAGCGTATTAACGACGTTATAAAGGATTAAACGATTTAAAGAGTTATCGTTATAGCCTTAAAGTACCGCTTTAGGATTACCGATAGATTAGGTTAAACTAACGTTAAACGTAAACTCGTATAACTAAAACGAGGATACGTAATTAACGACCTTAAGGCGATCTTTACGTATCTTATAAACTATAAACGTCTTTCTAAGTTCGTAAACGATAACGGAAAGCTTCCTTAGAAAGTAGGATACCTAACCGATAAATTCCGGATATCCTTAATTATAAAGTTCTATAAGACGGAAGACTACGATTATAATAAAATCGGAAATATCGACTACCGGATTCTTTATACCTAGCTTTATAAGTAGGCGGAACGTCGTATAGTAAT